TTCCGCACCGTATTTTACTTTGGATACACCTCGTTTTCTACCTTGGCCTTTCTCCACACAAGGTAAACATCCCTTGAGGGGTACATTCTGATAAGCACGTGCCGGGCTGGCCCATTTTCACTGCCATATGTAGCGGGAACACGCAACCCAATAATACTAAACTCTACACACCTTCTGATTGTAGCGTGTAGTGTATATGGGAGCCTGGTCTCATGTCAGTCCAGTTCAATTGGCATGTCCACTTGCAGTCTAGGTAGCTATGATAAAGGCCAAGACGGACTGTCGGGGGGTGCTCAAAGGTTGCTTCGCGCAAACTACGGTACCTTAGTCCTGTCACTCGGCACGCTGCCACTAACAATAATTCTAGTATAACAGAGCATTTTGTGAAATAGTCGTCAACAATGGCTTAGCCATTTTAATCTATAATAACTCATCAAGTTTCGAAGAGGAGAAGAAGCAAAAGAAAAAGGAGCAAATGACAAGACAAAGTTGAAGAAAAATGTCTTGCGCATCAAAAACCGCCAAAGGCGGCCTGCGGTCCTGATCCCATATCCTTCAACGCTTCCCCTATTGCCTGAAATGTGGCAATCTGCCGCTCCTGCTCTTCTTGAGGCAGAGCAGCGAAAGCAGTTGTTTCTTCGTCCCATTTTTTCACACAGTCCGCGTTCCAATTGCACCTCTCAACCTCCCTAAAGATGGGGTGATAGAATCGAGGGTGATTTTTTGGCCACTCGGAGGCATGGTAATGATGCTTGACTAATGCATTGCGCGAGTTATGGGTGCCCGAGTCAGAATGACCTTGCCCAGCGGCGAAAGCTTCGACCGTCAGGACCAGAAATCCTCCAACAACTTTGGACTGGGGGATATCATGGAACGTATGCCATGTCACGGTCTTGCCAATGGTACGACTCATTTCAGATAGGATGGCACCCGTAAAGGCAGAGGGCCCGGTGCCTGTGATCACATCATCGAAGTCCAGCTGAAGCTCTGAGATTGGCTTTTCTTGCTTGATGGAGAGCTCATTGAGCCAATGGAGGATATTCTCGACTAGTCGCATCATCACAGGCTGTCGGGGCTTGCACATGAAGGTCCATTGGCAGAAGGATTGCGATTTCTGACCCAATATAGGATGGTCGCTGAACTGTGGCTCATCAATTTCGACGCCTATGACCATGTCGATATCTCTTTCGTCATGAGTGCTTGGGACAAATCGCCCGACGGGTCTCAATGCTTCCACGTCTATATCAGCATAGATACCTCCTTCTATATACATCACAAGGTACCGAAGCAGGTCAGCCTTGATAATTGGCGCAGTCAAAGATTGATACATTTCAACGATATCTGGTCGGTTCTCCCCAAGAGGTCCGAAATTCGTTTTGACATATTCGAAGGCATTCTGGTCGGTCAGAACTTCGTACCGATAGCCCGGGTTTTTCGCAGTCCAGCTGCGCGCAACCTCGATATCACGTCCGTCAAATTCCAATGGGTTCACTTTCCAAATCTGCCAGATTTTGTGGGGAAATTTTCCACTAACATCGGCCGTCACCTGAGTAGAGTATGATCGAGTCTCGCCAAAGCCGTGTGATTTCCTGGTGACACAGAAGTAGATGAACAGGAACAATGCCACCAGGCCGCCATGCGTGAACCGACGTGCCCTCTTTGGAAAGAGATTGATCGGCATGAATCTGTTCTCAACCATGACCGCGCCTGTGATTTTATTCACTGGCCTCTTGTCTGGGGAAAGCAAAGAAATCGGAAAAAGGAAAAAGATCGTGAGTCCAGGAAAACATAGCCTTATTTCAGCGCCGTGTAGATTACATACAGTACATAGGTTTGTTATAGCTTTGTATTTAACATGTGGTCTTCACTAATTTTGAAATGCATTGCCTCGGGTTGCGCTAGTCCCTGACACCTTTGAAAGATTATGTCTCATTTGCTGGGCTGTCTTGTTGGTAATCCCGCGAGCGCATTTGTAGCCACTAGTACGGGAACCGTCGAGACTTCAAGATCCACTGGATCATTTGGTGGCATCTGAACGCTTCAAGTTAATCGGCCGGACCAATATTAGGGAAGTGATGGGATCAGTCAATCATGGCAATTTAGTGGAAAACGCCTTTTAGACTTCCGTAAATCTTATCCGCATGATATGGAACCCACTCAAATGCGACCCCAAACCTTGTCAAATTGCGAGGGTGAGATCGTGCCTGCACGGCTTCAACCACTCGGTCATGTTCCCTGGGGGTCTGCGTTTAGACCCCGACGTGTGGAGGTAGGAAAGAGGGTCCGCAAAGACCCGGCACAATTTACACGAAACGAGATCTAGCGGCAGCCTCGGCACCAGTGGGTAGTAGTAAAAAATAAAATTATTATTGCTTAGATAAAACAATCATGAAAAAATGAATAAGTATCAGTGGCACTAGGACTCGGCCTGCCCAGCGACCCGCTAAGGAGCATTAGTCACTGTATGAGTACCCACAATTCACGTATTAGACTTACCAGGAGCTGTGTAATAATTCTCAAGCAGTGAGACATAGGTTTTTATTAATCGTCTTCTTCGACCTTTCAAAGGACTCTAGCAACTTCAACTCTTACCTCCGATGCCGATCCTACACACCTCAATTGAGAGCTTTTCGCCTCAGTTGAACTTAAGTCACGAAGGAGTCCTCGAGGGTGGACGGTGGAAACCACAGTTAGCCCAGAGGACACACCCTCGACATGGAATGTCGTCTTTTTCATGGATGGCTCCTTTCCTGCCCACTTTGTTCACTGGGCCGACAAATAGCGATACGAACACGAATGAAAAGCAACGACAGCGCACCAGGCCGACCGCATACCTAGATGGATTACGAGGGTTTGCAGCTCTCCTGGTCTACTGGGGACATCATGAACTTTGGGCCCACGATGGTGCAGGAGTGGGAAAGGCCTTCGAGCTAGCCTACGGTTATGACAACAAATACTATTTCGCTTGTCTTCCTGGTCTTCGAACAATCTTCGCTGGGGGTCATTTTGCTGTCAGCGTTTTCTTTGTGCTCTCTGGGTACGTTCTCTCAATGAAGCCACTGGGATGCATCCAGGATGGCGACTACGCTGAACTAGGTAAAAGTCTTTCCTCTGCGGTATTCCGCCGATGGTTTCGTCTGTATATACCTGTCATTTGCACAACACTTTGCTACATGACGTTTTTGCATTTATTCAAAATTCGCACTATCCCAGAGCTTCAAGGAAGCTACCTCTCGGAGCTATGGAATTGGTACGCCGAATTCAAGAATTTCAGCTTCGTTTTGCGAACAGGCGGTGAACCTTGGTTCACGTACAATTTTCATGCTTGGTCTATACCCGTCGAATATCGAGGCTCTCTGTCTGTTTACACCGCTGCGATCGCTTTTGCAAGGGTTCGCCGCAACGCCCGGCTGATCGGCGAAGTTGCATTGGTGGTATATTTTTTGTACATTGCGGATGGGGCGCACTTTGCCATGTTTATTGCTGGCATGCTTTTAAGAGATCTCGATCTCCTCGCCATGCGCAATGACTTGCCCGGCTTCTTTCGCAGACTGGAGCCCTTCAAGTCAGCCATTATGACCTTACTCTTTTATGCCAGCCTCTACCTCGGCGGGGTTCCATCGCATACGGATAACTTGCAACAACTACGTGACTCACCGGGATGGTACCTCTTATCATTCCTGAAGCCACAGGCAGTGTTCGACTACAAGTGGTTCTACCTATTCTGGGCCGCTGTCTTCCTTGTCTCGTGCACATCTCACCTTCAGTGGCTCAAGGCATTTTTTGCAGCCCCGTTCAACCAGTACTTGGGCCGAATTTCATTTGCCTTGTATTTAGTCCACGGACCGGTTCTGTGGATTTTGGGAGACAGGCTCTACGCTGCAGTGGGATTCGTGCGCGATTCACATGCTCAAAATTGTCCCTGGTGGATTAATCGTTTGCCCCTGCCTACCCTTGGTCCTTCTGGGCTTGAGGTCAATTTTCTCGTCCCACAGCTGATTTTGTTGCCCTTGACCCTTTGGCTTGCAGAGGTCACGACTAGACTAGTTGACGAGCCCGCTGTGAGGCTCTCTCAGCGGATGTATCGAGAGGCGTTGGTCGACAAAATTTGACAAATCTCCTCTTGTGTTTATAATCTACTTATTTGTTTTTGAGCTTCTTATGCAAAGCCTACTCTGCATTATGAATTATTGTATGATAAAAGTCTAGCAATTGTCGGAGTCCCTAAGTCCAGATACACCTCGATCATGAAGACTTACAATGAAAGTACGTACGCCATGTGTCTAAGACCATAGTGGAAAAGCTTGTCAGATTATTGATTTCGGCATATGTTCTTCGCAGCTTTACCTCAATTCTCACGGTCGATGTAATGCCAATCTCAGAAGTTGTATCTAGCGAGGAATCGGCTTGATGCTCCCAGGATACGCCGAATACAATACACAGAAATTAAGAGTTACGGATGTAGCCACGCTACTCCCCATTGATGACTAGCGGCAAACTACTACCTCAATTCAGCGTCCGTCGGGCCCCCATTTCTAGTCAATTTGTCAGTGACCAATCTCGGCAACCCGTTTTCTGAAATATGGCTTATTACTTCTTACTGTTACATCCCGATGCTCTACTCTACACACGCCAGACTGAACATGGCCAAAAAAACAGGCACACGCCTAATGCTTGTTGCAGGGCTATTGTTCGCGGTGATCCTCGTCGCTAAACTTCAATCCAACCATCTCGATTTGCAAACGAATTTTCTGTCCACGTATCACTCCATGGATAGTCCATATGGGCAGTCATACATAAATACCAGGGAATCTGAGACAGCTTGCTCAGGCGTCCGCGGCAGCGAAGCCTGGTCTCACTGCCGGGATAGACAACCCGCAGACGAAGACGGAAGACGTCCTGAACTAGAGAAAGAAATGTCTCGAATGCGCCATATATTATACTCAGTATCGAGTCCCGATCGGACGTATTTTAATATCGATTTTGGGAGAAGATCCGTGATGAATCCCAGTATCATACCCCATCCTGAATTGCTTGAAACCTGGATCATCACTGCACAACTTCAAACCCCTCCTTCGGCTCGAATAGCATCAGTCTGGTTTGCTGAACTCGTCTGCAATGCGGCGTTCTCAGAGGATAAGCGAGTTCTGAGCTGTCTGGAACCACCACTGCAATTGCCCATACCAGCGACGTTTGGTGACTCCAGCAGGTGCGTCGACGACCTTTCATACTTTAGTCTGAGCGTTGGTCCTCATGATGCGAGGGTATTCTACGGGCCGGAGATTCCGTACACCATTTATGGCTCCAATTCTTTCTTTACTTGCTTTGGACAATGGATCTCCGATTTTCGAATATTGGTGGACTGGGGCATAGACACGATACTTGAACATGAGTTCCGCCAGTATCGTGAGCTCCAACGTCCAATGCCCTGGAATGCTGTTGAGAAGAATTGGTTCCTTTTCTGGGACGACTTGGGACAAATGTTTATACACCATGATATTGCACCGGTGCGAGTATTTGCGAAACTCGAGCTCGATGGCTCTGTCGGGCCAAACCTGGCTCTGGCGACCGCAAATTCTGACCAAACGTGTCTCATGAGATTCTTGCTTCAGAGTGAAAACCCAACGGAGAGCATTCATCAAGCGACAAACTCGCTAGCTATCACTCTATGTGCACTATCTGACCAATCTTGCCAACCCGATACGACCAATACCTTTGTGCTTTTCATCATCCAACAAAAGACCTTACGAGGTCTTCACCCCGTATATGAGCCATATGCCGTGCTTACTCGGCGTTCTATGCCATATGAGATTTATGCGGTCTCATCAAAACCAATTTGGATTTTTGGTCGCAAAATTGCTGCGAAAAAGTCAGATGTACCTTCTTCAACATTATTCTCAGACGACTCCGAGATGCTCTACGTGACCACCATCAGCTGGAAAAGCCAAGGCCAGAAGTATCATGGGTACATTGATGACACACTGTTCCTGGCATTTGGTAGAGAGGACTCGGCCGCTGGAGGTATCGACGTTACCGCGAGAGACCTCTTAGCAGAGCTGGGTATGTGTGCAGGAATTTGATTTGATTCTTTACTAGGAGCTCTGGCGACTTGTATGTCTCATTTTTCAATTACTTTGAGGGTGAATTCGATCTTGTTACGATGTACAATACGTCCATGTGCTTGAACATTAGAAATTTAACCTAGCACCGTACAATCCACTATCGATACATGAGAATTAAAAACGAAAAAAAGCGAAAGGTAATTAAGATCCCTTTCAGAGTCAGTGGCAGTCCAGAATCCTCGTCAGCCTCCATTTCTCGTACTGTCTTCTTATCTTTCTATTTGTTTGTTCGTGTAGAACTTGGTCAGTGGGCTGAGTGGCTTGGGCGGCGTTGTGTAGCATGCTCTCCCACTGGAGTAGTTTTTTTGACATGAAGTCCTGCTGCCAAGCGCTATGCGTCCTTTCACATGTTTTTTCCACCATTTTGTCTAAGACATTGATCGACCGAGGTGAGTCCCGTATATGGACAGTGCCCCGTAAGCTTGAGCATGTGCCCGAAACTCAAAATAGTTAGTGCCTGCGTGGTGTGGGGCAGGTCCTCAAGCCAAGAACCCTGATCTCCCGCGTTCGCCGTATGTATCGATTGGTCAGTGGAAACTTTCAACCTCACACACCTCACTGCCAGAACGTCCCTCCGGCTGTCAATCTCGATTCGGTTAGATATCCGGTGGATGGCTGCTTTAGTCGCACCTGGCCACCTTTGGTCTCCACGGGGTAACTATGACAGGAAAATTATCAATGCGGGCAATATCATGCATCACTATGAATTTGGGGATAAGGATCATGCGCGTTTTGGTATCTGCTATCGTCAGAATTGGGCATTAGGCGAGCTTTCGCGGAAATCAGTGGGGTCAGAGGAGAACTAACTGACAGACCTGAGGATTCAGACAAAGTTTCTTTGCTCTAGTATTCTCCCCTGGGTTTGGGGACCGTTCTTTTTGCTGTCTTGGGTCTCGTAACTTACAAAGCCGGACCGAAGTAAAATCCCATGTAAGTTGTTACGAATAATAATCTAATGACTCAGAAGCAAGGACGTATTAAGTTCTTTTTTCATTTTCGGTTAGTTTGCCGTTGCCGATGTTGCATCCAATATTACAACTAGAGTGCCTTATATTACAATGCCTCTCGGTAGGACTTTTTTCCGCATACCCAGCTTTTAGAGGCGTGCATATTTATATAGGCAGTGTTGCTGGAGAGTGCCTTGCTTCGAACCGCCATGACGCCATTGCAATGAGACTTCGTGTATTAGTATACATGTGCACAAGTCAGTTCAAATATTTTGATCAAATGAATGCCCTTGCTTCGTGTCATAGGGCGTTCTTCCTTAGAATGACTCCGTTCGTCCTTATTCTTCCCATGGATCACAAAAATTGAATTTGAGAAGGCTCTAGGGTCTAGGTTGTGGCAGACAATTAGTGGAGAAATGCACCCTGCAGTCAGGTTTTCCACAGTGTCATAACTTTTCAATGTGTTCTATGATAGGAGATATTTCACATAATTCTAGTTTGAGATAGCTTGGTAGCAAGAAGCTAGAGCGTCAAATTAAGTATTTCAGACAACAGTTGAAAGAACCTCCAAGTGTTTCTCCACGCAATTCTTTAGACCAGAAAAATCATTCCGGCTAGCAGGATGGCAGTACTAGCCATCTGAGCAGCTCCAGATCCAATAGCAGAGGCCCCATTGAACTGGGAGGTGCTCGAAGGCGAAGCAGTGTTAACCATGGACGAAGTCGTGGAACCCATAGTCGAAGTCATGGAGGCTGAAGACGAAGTCCGACGGCTTCCGCCCAAACCACTGACCGTGGTAGAATTGGAGCTGCTCAATGTAGTCGGGACACTTCCTGCGGCAGTCGATGTGGGAGCTGATGGGTCCACCGGCGGGACAGAGACCGGGTGGCCAGCACCAGAGCACAAAGATACGACGACATTGGAAACGGCTAAAGGGTATAGTTAGAGGGGATCATACTGAAGAGAATTCGGCTTCTCATACCTTGTTGGTCCATGACATCACAAGCTTGTTTGACGCAGGGCACAACCTGTTCCACAAGGCTCGTCTTTTGGCAATGGCATGCGAAATCCGTCAGCTCAGAGCAGCCGTCCGCACCAAGGGCCGAAGTAAGGCAGTTAAGCTGCAAGAGGAAGAAGGAGAAGAGAGCACGGGTTAAATTTGAAACGAGAATTAGAGTCGGGGCATTGAGCGGACAGGCCTTACAGAGCATTGTGGGATATTGGATATTTGGGCGCTGGTGATGGCACCGGCGCCGAGCACGACAGCAGCAGCAGCGAGACGCATTTTGGCTATTATGCGGAAACGAATGGATGGATAGCCTGGAGGTTGTTTGGCCTGAATGGGCTCTCAACGCGACAGGCACAAAACAACTCGAATGTATGCACCCGACTAGTTTCATATGATCCGGGACTCCAGGCCTTATTTATAGCTAGCGGAGTATACCGGCTATGAGCACATCATTCATGTCACGCTATTGGTCGCGTAGAGTTATCTTTGATTTCTCTTTTCCACTGACTCAGTCGGCTCGGATACTTTTCAGACTTGGTCCGCTGGTTTTATATACAGTGTAGTCATGTTACTACAATACGGCTGGCCTTGTAATGGTGTGAACAAATCAGATCAAAGGTTGAACGAGGCGGAGTCCCAAAACCCAGACAAAGATGGTTTAGCGTGGTCCTTTGACTCTGCTGCTGGAGTGTTTGCACACTGACTAAGATGGAGTTACCCGCACATTTCTTTAATTAAACGAAGTGGAGCGAGCCTGGGGGTGCGTGCGGGGTAATTGGAAAACCAAGGGACCATTCCCTAGAAGCGGAAATATAAGTGACGGGGCCAGTGAAAGAGTACTTCCACATGCATGACCAGCCTCGATCGATCTTAATCATTACACGAACCCGGCGCATGTAGGGGTCGAAGTTCCTCTTCGCGACTATCAATGCTAACTGAGGGTGTTACATACTGGATTTTTGCATGAGGAGATCTTAGCTAAGTATTATTCAACTTAGCGTATTCAAACCACCTAGTGGCGGATTACCACCGAGCGGCGCTCCTAAACACCATAATAAATACGATAAATTGTGTTACGACACTGTCCTTGGTACTGCACAAGAGGTGCGTCAGCACCGCCAGGCCCCTGTATCCTATCTGCAGCATACAGATCACATGTCGCTTAGGATCACACCATCCTATATAGACTAATCGCTGATTCCTCTTACGAGGAATCAGCGATTAGTCTGAATGCCATCCACACACTCTTGTGTTCCTCGGTCTTATTCTGTCAATACGAATACCGCGGTGGACCGGAGATATAATTATCCTTCATGTTTATTACTTATGTAATCTAGAATCCCCCTATAAATTGGCAGAATCAGGGGTAATACAAGAACAGAGCTTTTGATATCGTTGATTGGTTGCATATAAAACATTCCGACATATTCCAACGTACCGAGGAGTCCCCTCTGAGGGGCTCCTTGCAAGTGATAAGTGATGATAAGATGGGGATGTAGGTAATGTAAACGCTATTTTTCACAATTCTTAATCCCACTGAGCCTTCCGTATCACCCACACCCCATTGGCGGGTGTACAGTCACATTTAATAAGTATTTGCACCCTGGTACCTCGGTAGACTAGACCCACATGAATTCTGCCGGTAGAACTTCTGTTTCTAATAACTAGTATGCCATCCTTCATACTTAATAGCATCCTATATACGATGAAGCATAGTTTCGGCTAGATTGATAAATGTCTAATCGTAAGCTGTTCCCACATGGCCTGCACTGCATTCACTAGCTCTGCCCAAGTGGTAGCATTGTGTATTAGGCATCTCGCGAAGCCACGGCCGTGTTGTAGTTCAGAGGTATTAATTATTTTGTTCTCTTCTAGAGGGAAACATGACGCTATATATACAACACGAAGCCAATTGGAAATCAACTCGGTTGTCTGTATAGACATCTCGAGCTAATTCCGATGGTGCGGCTTGGCTACTGATCTGCACCAGCCTCATATCACAACATTCCCCCTCAGGATCGCTTTGCTAGCAGGGCGATACTGGAATTATGCAGAGCAGTCAGGCCTCGGTAAAACCACTTAAAAAACCTTCGTGGGAAAATAAAGTGGAAAGAGCATGATATTGATGAGCGGGGACCGATACAGTTGCGTTTCGGCCAGAAATGTGGGAAGCCATTGCAGATGAAGAATTGCATTGTACTGCCCGATGTATTCGGCATGAGTTGTAGACGTGGTTACTTCCCCCTACCTTTTGGACGACCAGGAAACTGGCGCACCTGCAAGCTGGAATACATAGCCAGACGTTGAGTATGCACCGTCAGTGACGACGGAGCCACCGAAGTCGGCATCCGTGTACCCGATCAGCTGCCCACTGCGATAGGTAATACGATGAGAATGCGTGACTTTCATGTAGCGAACCAATCGCTGCAGAGCAACTTGGTGGTGCGATTGCGACTGAGACGTGAAGCGACTCGACATGCCCAGCGTAAACGCAATATCCGGTCGTGTACGAACCATCAGAAACATCAACGAACCAATGGTAGTCGCAAAACGAGCTTTTGCTTCCTCGTCTGGATATTTCTCCTCTACACGATGATTCAGGATTTGTTTGGGATTCATCGGCGTAGACTTCGACTGACAAGTCTCCATGCCAAAGTCGGAGAGCACCTTCTGGATGTACTGATGTTGGTGAACGGACACTGACCTGTCGGCATGATAGGCGAATCGGATCTCGAGGAACGAGCGCGGGGTTCCCAGGTCATTTAATCGGATTTCTGTTTGCAATGCTCGTTGCACTTGGTTTCTCTCGTGCGTGTTTGCGGCGGCAACGAGAAAGTCGTCGACGTAAACACAGACCACGCAATTGGATTTGTAGTACACACAGTTGTCCCATTGCGCCATGGTGAAGCCATGGGAAGTCAGAACGCGGTAGACGCATTTGTACCAAATCCGTGGGGCTTGCTTCAGCCCGTACAGTGAGCGGCGCAGCCGGCACACGTACTCTAGTTCTTCAAAGCCCTCGGGCAACTTCATTTAGATGGACGAGTCGACAACACCGTAGAGGAATGCAATGACAGCATCGAATTGGTGGAGTTCCCATCCGCACAACACAGCGCTGGCAACAATGCAGCGGACCGAGTCCATTCGCGATACGGCCGCGAACGTCTCGTGGTAGTCGATCCCATGTTTCTGTCGGTAGCCCTTGATGCGATAAGTTGTATGTCTAAAGGGAAAAAGCCCAGAACAAGAGCTAAGGTTCCAAAATTATTAGTTAAGTGTCGATAAATTTCGACAGACTCATTTCTTCGAACCTGGACACACCGCATTTTTAGAAATTGATCAGCCTTCGAGGAAGTTCATTGGATGTGCGCGGCCGGTTCCAATCATCTGAGAGCGCGAGTCCATATCGTCGCCGAGTTCGTTTCTCCTCGGGCGAATATTCAAGAGGTGGCTCTCCCTTCTTGACGGGGTCTGGCCGACCCTTCCAGATGGATTCCAGCTCATAGTCAGGTTCACTGCTGGTGACCCCGAAACAGGCTTTCTGTAGCGAAGCCGTAAAAGCGATCTGTCATCGAAAGCAGTGTGCGGAAGACGGCCAAGGCAGGTGGAACAGGCTCAGCGCATGATTTGCCATTCCGGCCGGCTTCAGTCTGGGTTAAGATGGCCCCTACTTGCTGACAAGATGGGCGTGCCACCGTCCCATTCTTCACAGCATTCAAGGACCAAAAGATTTTCAAGGGAGTGATGCCGCGTTGGCTTTATAATATCTCGCAGTTGAGACTTTGTTTGACTGGCGGATATCAACCCGATGGGGTCAAGGATTGCGTAGATGGCGCATTGAATCTCCAGTGGGAGTGAAATGAGAGATGGTCTTACGTTCGGCATCTCCACTTTTGGGGTTAATAGACTTGCGTGATATTGAGACGAGTCAAGGAAGTCCCAGGTTCCCGAGGTTGGCTAAATATGAAGTCGGTCCAAGGGTCATCAGTTGTGGGGATGCAATAGGTCAGGCGGTTAACAGCCTTATTACATTCACCTCGAAGCACCCGTTTGGCCCCTCAGCTTCGGGCTCCTAGGAAGGCCAAGGTAGGTATCATACTTGTTCTTCTAATGCAGCCTGATGTTCAGCATCAATGATGCAAGAAGTTGCGACTGTATTTCTCTGACATGGGATGGAATCTCAAGCATTTGCTATGTGTTGAAGTTATTGATACTTGGGCTTCATAAAAGGTTTTCCTTTCAGATGTTCTTCGCAAAATGTAAGGTCCTTGCACTACAGTATTTTAGATACCCAAGCTGGCCCCATTCCCTGCCGATACCACTTTTTTAATGTCCCCAAATAGAGCAGTGGGCAGGAGTGCTACACCACGATTTACCCATACACTCCCGGCCTTAAGGCGAAGAGCAGTACACTCAGCCTACTCTGTGTTGCGACACCACAGTGTTGCGCCAAGGCCCTGATCAGTAGCATTCGCGCGTTGGATAACCTCCTCTTCATCCTCCCATTTCGGAACAGGGACGATAGATCCGAAAGGCTCATCCTGCACCACATGCGATTTCTCTGGTGGGTTATCCACAATTTTTGCAGGTATGAAATATCCTGTTGTTTCCCGTTTGACGTCTTCACGGATGGCAGTGGATACGCAGGACTCGTGGGTACATCCGCGGTGAATCCAATGAGCACGGACTGGATGCAACGACATCTTGGCTCATTGGATCAGTCCAATGTGTATGTGGCCGAGCTCACGGGCATTGAGATGGCATTGGGACAACTGGTAACACGACCGACAAAGGAGGACAAAGTCAGAGAACTGGTGATCTTCTCTGGCAGCCAAGCTGCAATTAAATCATTGCAGAACCCAAAGCGACCGTCTGGTCAGTACGTGCTGAAGAGCATTTACAATCACGTACGGGCCATTCGGTCGCGGGGAGCACCCACATCCCCATCGATCACCCTTCGATGGATTCCAGCCCATGTGCGTGTTCCTGGCAATGAATTTGCAGACGAGGCTGCAAAATCCGCCGCACTGTGGGGTGCAGGGGATTCACAGAAGGGCAGCGGAGCGGGAGCGGGAGCGGAGAAACACCTTTTCCGGCTGGCCTCCGCGGCGAGACGATGCGTCCACCAACGCATTAAGGAACGGTGGAAGAGACAATGGGAAAGGGGGAAGACGGCCAAACCGACCAAGCACATAGTCAAGGCGCCGAGTCGCAAGGCTTTAGAGTCATATGAGGGACTGTCCAAGCTATACGCATCGATTCTCATCCAGATGAGATCAATGCGTATTGTATCAAGGAAAGGGAATCGGATCGTTGTAGCTGTGAGCAGGGATCTCAAACACCAAGACATATCCTGCTGCAGTGTCCGCTGTATAGTGATCTGCGGCGAACCATGCTTGACAAGATCGCTCGCACCGATCTTGGCAATACCACTGAGTACCATGCAATAGTACCTCACCCGCGCGCGGCCCGCTACGCCGCTGCGATGATGCATCAAACTGGTCTCCTTGGTCAGTTCCGATACGTGAAAGCGGAACCGGACACTGACCATGACCATGAAACGAACAAATCGACCTTGCGGCCATGGGATAGGTGGTGAAGACGCTGTGCATACACCAACGAACACCAAGACCGGGCCACCGAGAATGACCAGAACACTCAACTACTACCGATTCGCCACGTACAACGATCAATTGAGAACCGAGGCACTTGGAGAGAGGACTGATGAAAGAGAGGCGTGAGCAGGCCACGGGGACGCAGAAGAGTGGAATACTGTGGGCTTTGTACTTTTGGGTCTGATTTTATATGGGGATTTCTATGCTTGGGATTTGGGTTTAGTACACTCTTTTCTGTGCCGGCCTTCTGCGGAAGGCCGGTTTTCCTTTGTATGACTGTTTATTGCAAGCCGCGAGTCTGGAATCAAGGACACCAAATTCTGCCTCAGATTTGGACGAAGCGCCTGCATAGCCTCGACGCATCTAGTTAGGCTTTATCAGGTTAATAGAACTTTGATTGATTAATTGATTGATTGAAAGCCGTCGCAGAACGAGTGGAGAGGAAGGGAAAGTCCTGTTGGAGGAGGAAATGCAGCAAACTGGGGGACAGAGGACTGGAACACGATGCAAAGGTGCAGGTGCGGCATCATGCGGGGTAAATTATTGCGATCGGAAGCGGCTGCAGTTCTGTTTCTTTGTTTGGTCTGTTTGATCAGTTGTCCTTTTTGTCGGAGTTTGATTGGTTTGTCTGAAAGTGCGGGAAGCCCCACCGGAACTGGAGCTTCAATCCTCCAATTCCTCCATTCCGTACGTACTACTACTACTACTACTACTACTACTACTACTACTACTACTACTACTACTACTACTTAACAGAGTCATGGCCGTTAAGAACGGCACTTATACTCTGCGTCTTATTCGATATATTTTTGAGAAGAACCGCCTGCTTAGTACAATACTTGCACAATCAAAGTAGGCGCATTCCGTAATGGTCTGAGTCATGACGTCAGACACGTTAGCCCGAGGGCCAGGGAAGATTCTCTTGTGTCACTTTTCGCCACAAGTCGCCCCTCGATTCAATTACACGCTCGGAGTGGAGCAGGTCATAAGAGACGATTCTCCTATACAGGAATAGTTGTGTCCATGGTTGAACGCGTCTTGCGACGAATGAACTTTGCATACCAAAACAACTCGTCACTCTCGAACGGCGGTAAGATGGAGAGACTGTTTGATAATGACCGGCCGGATTTAAGCTTCTCCATAGAGTCCTGGGCAGATGTATCTTCACCCTAACGGAAGGGACATTTCGCTCGGGCAGAGAAGCTGCGAGAGATATCAAGGATCACTAGAATTCTCATCGTGTCGTCTGACAAAAAATTCAATGCATATAGAGAAGTGCGTGATCTTGATGAACCGCCTGACTGACCAGCCACGGAAGACTTTCGATTAGTCAACAGATGCCTAAGCTATGAAGTTTGGTCGACGAAGCCAACACGGGAGTTTAACATGGTCCAGACCGAGTCCACCAGATGGCTGGCGCAAAACGAATACCTGCAGAGAAGTATGATATTTTATTATAAATATTGCTATCTGCCGCTTGGAACGACATTGAGAATCACCATTGAAAACAACAAGTACATTTTTAACCACGTAAATTCCTCAGTTGCAAAATGACGGCATCGAATGGTTCCTTTCCCCCTTCTCGAGTGAATCTCACCGAAGATGGTGCTGATGCCTCAAAACTCACCTTTCACACCAAAATTTTCATCGGTAACAAGGTACGGTACTTGAAGCATTGCTTTTTTGACGAAAGCCCAATTCAACTGAGCCACTGCAGAGTTTTGGCCAGCTTTTCCCTATTCCTAGCAAAGTAGCTTACCATCAGTCTCAGTACGTCCCTGCCAAATCCGGCCAATTTTGGACGGTTCGAAACCCAACCGATGACTCTATTGTTACAGAAGAGGTCCACTGTGCCGGTGAAGAGGACGTCGATGATGCAGTGGCTGCATCCCAATCTGCGTTTGAGGAAACTTGGGGCAATATGGCCAGCAGCGAGCGTCAAAAAAGAATGCTTAAACTTGCCGATCTACTTGATAGAGACAACCTTGCCATCGTGAAGCTCGAAAGCATTGCAATGGGACAGCCAACTGCCTTTGGCGCTCGACTCGGCGGACTCTTGGGATCCATTGTCCGGTATTATGCCGGGTGGTGCGATAAGCTTCCAGGAGAGCTGCAGGCCGACGATGGCGATGGACGATTCAAACTGGTACGCTACCAGCCTTTGGGTGTCTGCGCTGGTATTGCCGCATGGAATGCCACCCTGACTTTTCTTTGCATGAAAACCATGCCCGCTATTGCAGCTGGAAACACATTCATATTCAAATCTTCAGAAAAATCACCTTTAGGGTCCTTGGCCTTCGGGGAATTAGTAAAGGAAGCTGGTTTCCCCCCAGGGGTCATCAATATCATATCAGGTCCCGGGTCGACAGGGGCGCTACTTGCTTCCCATATGGGCATCAAAAAGATTAGCTACACAGGTTCCGTGAATGCCGGACGCAAAGTCCAAGTCGCTGCAACGAATAGTAACCTGAAACGCGTTACTCTCGAACTTGGAGGTAAATCGCCGTCGATCATCTTTCCTGATGCGGACCTCGAAAACGCCCTTGAGAATTCCTCTCAGAATTTTCTGCTCAACTCCGGCCAAATCTGCGTTTCTGCAACAAGAGTTCTCATCCATGAAGATATCGCCGAAAATTTCGCGAATGAGCTGAAGGCTCGCTTCGAGATGTTCAAGAATACCATGGGAGAACCTTTGGCAAAAGAGACGTTTCTTGGGCCGCTGGCCGATAAGGCGCAGACAGAAAACGTCCGGAGTTTCTTTCAGCAAGGTAAGAAAGATGGTGTTGAGTTCCTCACAGGTGGGAAGATAAAGGGTAATTTCGTCGAACCAACGATAATGAAAAATCCTCCGCTCGACTCCTCTGTCTGGAAGGAAGAAATATTTGGTCCGGCCTTGGGAATCAGAACCTTTAAATCCGAAGAAGAGGCTATTCGACTTGCAAACGACACCAGCTATGGCTTATCTGCCTGCGTCTACACGAGTGATATTGCCCGTGCACTGAGAGTTTCTGGAAGACTTGAGTCTGGAACGGTGGCCATCAATTCCAACTACTTACCAGGAACCACCGTTCCGTTTGGAGGTTGGAAACAAAGCGGAAACGGAGGACGTGAGGGTGGATATGCGGCTATAAAGAGCTATCTGGAAGCCAAAACCATCACCATCAATATGGAAGTTGGGCCCAGATAAATATTTGAAGAGGGAATAGGTGCGTGCTTCGCATGATTTTTGTTCTAAGAAATGCATCAAGAAATGAAATCAACTCCGTCGCTTTCTTTGAACAATTGCTAGTTTACCCGAAAAAATTTGGGGAGATCATTGAGGAATTGGTTGAACCTGCCGCAAGTGGAATCCAGACCAGCCGACTACAAAGCACGGTGACAATCTTATGAAAGGGCTACGTCACATCATGATTTTAATTCATTCTTTACACGAGCCATGATAGGTTGCTAATAACATGGTTTTATAAAAAAAACCGTTGAATCATTTCGAGTTATTTGTCTGCTCCAAATATGTACTACTAGCCCTAAACAAATTATCGACCACTGTTGATGTCACAGCTTACAGCACTCCGCGCATGAAACATACGTAACCTTAAATTGTAAATGATGTCCGCGGGTGGCTCTTTCCTCGCAACCAAGTAGACCAAGAAGAGTCATGCGTAATTCCCCGCCCTTGGCCTTTTTCATGGAGCTAAATGACTTTCACAACATGGATAACATGATTAAGATCCTTTCGGTTCTGTGGGCTCAAGCCTGTAAATCATCTCATAATGGTTGATAGCACTATTTTTCTCTCCACCTGCTCTGGGTAATAGCTCCTCTTACACTACAAGACACTCTGCACAAGGTAACAATGAGACGGCTGATGCTACTGCGGGACATAGAGGGTTTGGAGATGAGCACGGTTCAAAGAACTTTGTTGCTAAAGTAATTCCAATAAGATCAAATGATCGCCTAGATTAATTAGTCACCGAATCACTGAGATTACACAAGTTTGTGATGTACAGTGCTGTAACATAAGTATTTGACCTCGAGTACTTTGGCCTTGGACCCACTTCTTAATACTGCCTGGCGGAAACCTCCGAAATTCAAACCATTTCAATAGATAGTATGCCAACTTTAACATATTTGATAACATCGCCCACCCTGTGAGGCATAGTCTCTGGGTCCCCATCTTTGCATAATTCATGTAGTACCAGTCTGTATTTTTGGGTATTTGGCTTACAATAGACACCTCAGTTTTAACCTCAGTTCCTGACGTACGTTCAATGAGTTCTTCCCGCTACGGCACCAGTCTTCTGACGGCCGTCAGAAATTATTTAGAAAAGGGAGTTAGGGACTGGGAGCTATCGCATTAGCTTGTTTTGACGGCCGTCAGAGAATAGGCTCAATTGGCTATAGTATTAGTCACTAATGATATGTCCATTGATCGTCATCCTCCCGAGGACGCTTGTGTGATGATACGCGTCGTGTCTGAGTGCTTTTCATAGAAGGGAGATCTGTCACATCGTCTTCATTATCAATGCGCTGTGGAAGTTTCTCTTCCTCGTCCTCCTCTTGTACACCCGGTTCCTCATTACCACTAATTGGATCAAATTCACTCGCTTGAGTATCCCTTTCCTCCCTAGCCGCCTATATCTCTTCATATGAGAGATACTCATTGATCATTGCCCTTTGTTCACCGTACATTCGTTGAATACTACGTGTTTCCATGCATTTTGAGTTGCAACACCAAGGATGGGCTAAAGGACTCTGCAAAGGGGCCAAGATCCATCTGCCGACCTGGGGGGTGATCGTGCACGATGTTAACGTGCGCGCCCTTGGGATTGACAAGGCAACGGAGCTGAAGGATGCCTTGGCACGAGTGATTAAAATGTTGGAGACGTCGAGCCAGAAGAACTGGGGCAAGGATCCCAAAGTGATCAAGCTGCATTGGGCGGTCATTCCTGACGGCAAGAAAGCGAGTTCGATGGTTATGGAACTGGACTCGCCAGTTGCGGCGAAGAAGGCCACTGACCTGAATACCCTGCTTAGCGATAGTTATCTGACCACGGTCTTATACGACCGGGCTGGTCGCATTCGACAGTGTCATCGATGTCAACAATTTGGACACATAGGATTAAACTGTCCCAACGGAGCCAAGTGTGTGTTCTGTGCCGACGAGCACCTTTCTTGGGAGTGCGAGCGGTACAAGAACAGTATTTTCATGGAACGGAAGAGCGCCAATTGCGGGGGCGCACATGCTGGATGGTCAAGGAGGTGTGAGGCGTTCCGTTAGGAAGTGGAACGTGTGGATATCAGACGGGCCACCAGGCCTAGATATCACCGCGTGCCGGCCCACATCTCTATCTCCCAGCAGTCAGTGGGATCGAGGTTGGAGGGATCGTTTCCCTACTTACCTTCACGGGAAACCGGCTCTGGGAGTAGCGACTCAGGGTCGTCCGCACGCTCTTCCAGCGGGGAGCAGACACACGGAGACTCCGGCCTTGTGTGAAGTGTGTCAAGCCTGCAATCCACTCAACAACCGGAGAACGAGGTGAACACGACGTCAGTGGTCACCTCAAGCAGCAAGGCGCCCCGTGGCAGTTTTAAAAAAAGCACCAAAGGTGGCGCCAAGGGAAAAATAAGAGAGGTATCCGGGTAATTAGTGAGCCCATAGATACCGTTGAAGACCAGGCAGCCGGCTAAGTGTAGGCAATCACAGATTTAATTCACCGGTTGATTCATGCACTATCGTAGACGCAGTCCGAGCCATCTAAACAGTCGTCTAGGGCAGCCAGGTTAGCTCGAGCGCTTCCCCCAGGGTAACCCGCAAGACCACGAGGGTGGCCCCGGCGGCGAAGAAGGCATGCATGGAACGACAGGAGGGGGATAGGGAGGCTGTGTTCGATAACGAACTGTGGAAAGAGCACGAGCAGCAGCCTGCCAATATCGACTCGCCCAACATCAACGACCAGGACTCCGACTATCGGCCATCATCTCCACTCACCAAAGGAGATGCCAAGGCAACGAAGAACAGCGCGGCACGCAAGGCCACAGGGAAGGAGAACGACTCACCATTATTCTCCAGCACAGCCAAATCCAACAACAGGCCGCAGTCGGCCTATAAAGCGCAAGCACCGGGCAGATGCCCCAGTCGGCGAAGGGACCGTTTCGACAAGCTTAAGCAACCGCTCGTCGCTAAAGGAGGGAAGGAAAAGGGAAGGAAAGGCAAAGAAACTTCGATCAAATAAGAAGCAACCCCCCCCGCCCGTTCATCTCGCAATGAATAAGGAGCTGAACAATATTAAATATAATACGCGCCGGTCGAAAGGCGTCATGATGGCCCGGTTTATGCGTGATCCCATGGTTCTTCAGGCTCGCATCATCGCCATCCAAGAACCGTGGGCCAATCCATATCAGGAAACCACGCATCACCTGGCTAAACAGAGCCATCAACTGCTGTATCCCCAGGCGAACCAGACCGGGGGACTGCGGACGAGGGTATGCCTGTTGTGTCGAAGCAATGAGAAGGATATACACATATCGTGCACTCTAGGGATTGTCAAGAGCTTCAGATACAGCACGGGAGTGAGGCGGGGAGCTGCGCATATTCAATGTATATAATGAACCAGGAAACGGGGAGGACATGTTACAGCTACTCACACGGATGATTACACCGACACGGGAATAGGTGAAGGAGCCAGGTATCACGTACCTAATCGTGGGGGACTTCAACCTCCATCAATGCCAATATAGAAGACAAGCCATTGCTGGATCTACGAGGGGAGACCATGCAGCTACAAAAGATTGATGATGCCATCGGATACTGTATGGAAGTCGTCTAACGCGGTGTGCAAGAGTCGACGCCTTGGGCACGCTATTCGTCATGGGCAAACCACAGCTTCACCCCCGAGTGCCGCGAGACAATCAAGGTGACACGGCAGCTCCGCAGACGGTTCGCGACATCACAGGATAACGATGACTGGCAGTAATACACTAGTGCGCGCAACCGCAAGGGCAGGGTCATTGCGAAGGCCTGCTGCACGGCATATCGCAAATGGGTGAAGGAAATTACTGAAGAAGGGACAAAGGGGATGTGGAAGATCGGCAAATGGGCAAGGAACCGTGAAGCGTCGTCCGGGAGCATTATCCTCGCGCTGAAGAGGCCAGACGGCAATCTTTCGGATACTAGCTAGGCCAAAGTAGATTTTCTGAAGGACGCCTTCTTCCCTCAGCCACCCACCCCAGATCTTGATAATATCCAGTGAGAGAACTGCCTGCATCAAGTTGACTAAATCTAGTTTCCGCCAGTCTCTCTGTAAGAAATACTGGACGCCATCCGCAGAGCGCGGCCGATAAAGCACCAGGGGATCATACGGTGCCGAACAAGGTATGGCGATTGCTAGCAGCGGATGACACCTCAACTTTCTGCAGCATTACCACATCAATCTTTGACGCCTGTATCCGCATCGGATACATTCCTCGCCACTTCTAGTCCTCGATCACGGTCACCCTCCACAAAGGCGGCCCGAAAGACTACCGAATGCTGAAGTTGTGCCGGAGGGTGGCTTTGCTGAACACTCTTGGCAAGCTGTTGAAAACGGTCATTGTAACGAGGATATCGTGGGCGGCGGAGAAGGGGATCTTACCGAAGGGACGTCTTGGAGGACGGAGAGGAGTCTGTCGATCACGCAATCAATTAATCCTGAACCAAGTGTATAAGGCTTGGAGCATGAACCGGAAGGTCGGTATACTGCTGCTTGATGTGTCTGGGGCATACGACAACGTCTCTCACGAACGCCTGCTCTATAATATCAAGAAGCTGAAGTTGGGCCGCTTCATGCCTGGATTCAGTCCTTCCTGCAAGGCAACAGCACCAGATTCCGACTCCTGGGGTTCCTCAGTGATACAATCTCGTCATTGACAAGCAATCTACGAGTTCCACGTGGAGGAAGGAGATAGTAGGATGCCATTGAAACTGCCAGAACAGTGACAGACTATCACACCATCATCGCACGCCAAATACCTCGGTATCTGGCTGGACAAGCACCTCGATTTCACAACGCACCACAAAAAAGTCATCGCGAAAGCCAACAGTACCTTGGAAGCCTTCCGCGGCATCGCTGGATCCACGTGGGGGACGTCACTATCTGCGATGCGCCAGATCTACAGAGCCGTGGTCATCCCCCAACTCTTCTGGGGTCTTGCGGCGTGGTGGAGTCCCGCAAGTGGAAACATGCCAGTCGCGGAGCAATCACGCGTGGTCAGAGGATTTACACGGATTCAGAAACGCGCCGCGCTGATGATTAGTGGGGCTTTTAAAAGCACCTCGGACGCGGCGCTGGACATTGAGCTCTTCCTGACACCGATTAATCTACTGATGCAACAGACCATCGAAGAGACCGCTATCCGGATCGAGACGGGAGTTCTTTGAGCGATACACGAAAGGATCAATGCCAACAAGAAGCGAAACCCAAGAGAAAAGAAGCTCGGAGGGACTACACCCCTCGGGGCGTTGAAGTGGAAGAAGAACGGCCCATTGGCGCCGTTAAAGTGACGAGGACATGAGATGCAATAGGAAACGAGGACTGCACTCGTGCTCCCCCCATGGGAGACACGCATCAAGTGCGTCATGGAGGATGGGGAAACTGCTATTCAGACTCATGACACCATATGAATGGACGCCGCACTCGCCGACGGAGCGATCCAGCGCATTTTCACTGATGGCAGTGGATACGCAGGACTCGTGGGTGCATCCGCGGCGAAACGATGCGTTCGCCAGAGAGGCAGTGGGAAAAGGAGAAAATGGCCAAGCAGACCAAGCGCCTAATCAAGGCGCATACACGAAAGACCTTGGAGTTGTAAGAGGGATTGTCCAAGATATACGCATCTATTCTCATCCAGATGAGATCAATGCGCATTGGTTCAGGGCACTTCTTATACAAGATCAAAGAAATGGAATCAGATCGTTGTAGCTGTGATCAGGGATCTCAAACACCGAGAGATATCCTGTTCCAGTGCCCGCTGTAAAATGATCTGCGACGAGCCATGCTTGACAAGATCGCTCGCATCGATCTTGGAGACACTGCGGACTACGATGCAATCGTATCCCACCCGCGCGCGGCCCGCTACGCCGCTGCGATGATTTATCAAACTGTTCTTCTCGGTCAGTTCCGGCACGTGGAAGCGGAGCCGGACACTGACGATGACGACGACCACGAACAGATTGGCCTTGAGGCCATGGGATAGGTTGTGAAGATGCTGTGCATACACCGCCGAACATCAAGACCAACCACCGAGAGTGGTCGACTCTCAACCATTACCGACTCAACACGACAACATCATCAATTAAGAACCGAAGCGCTTGAAGATAGGACTGACGAACGAGAGGTGGGAGCATGCGACGGGGACGAGGGGATACAGAAGGAGTCAAGTACTGGGTGCATTATTTCTTCGGGTTTGATTTTACATGGGCTTTATTATGCGTGGGCCTTGGATTTGAAACACTGTTTTCTGTGCCGGCCTCACGCGGAAGGCCGGTTTTCCTTTGTATGACTGTTTATTGCAAGCCGCGAGTCTGGAGTTAAGGACGCCAAGTTCTGCTTCGGATTTCGACGAAGCGCCTGCATAGCCTCGACGCATCTAGCTAGGCTTTATCAGGTTAATAGAACTTTAATTGATTGATTGATTGATTGATATGATAATTTCGGACACCAGGATTACCGTACATCGAGTACTCTAATACGGCCAATGGGAGGGAAACAAATCTGGATTGCAAAATTAAATAAGCACAGGCAATTTCTATGGCAGTCTGTTTACAGAAGAAACCACCTGTCTTTCAATGAGCCTTCGCTCAGTCAAACTATCAGATTGCTTTGCTCAACGACCAATCAAATTTCCAGACTTTAAGACCATCAACGATGAGATCAAAATGTACTTTTAGTGATGTCTGATCCATCGTGTTGAATTCTAGTGCCCCAAATTTTGATGAGCCCCACGCATGAGTGTATACCTTCACGTCTGTGTTCTCGACTTGCTTATATGTCCGCTCCAAAGGTTGAAAAAATTGGCTCAAAGGACTTGTTGAAAACTCAATAACGTTTGTCTTGTTCTCCGGCGAAGGGAATAACGTAGTTGCGTGCTCATGTCGATCACCGCTGATAATGATAACACCTTCTGTTTGCCACATTATCTCTAGCAGCTGTTGGCGCTCAAATAGATAGCCCGCCCAGCTATCACGTTCGTCGGAAGATCCTCTCCAATTTCGTGTGAATGGCACACTACTGACTAGTACCTTCCACTTCTTTTCATTCTTTAGCCAGTATATCAGATCGGCTAACTGCTGCGGGCCAAGCATGGTTCTCGACTGCTCATCTATGACCTCGGGTCCAGAGCGATATCGCCTGTTATCCATAACAAAGAATGAAACATCGCCGTGGTCGAAGGTGAAATGTGTCGCTCCTGCTCGGAAAGGCGGTGGGTTCACTTTGTGTTGATAATGGATAAATGGCTGAATGGCCTGTTCATAGAGCCCAGTTTCCTGGGCAGACCAGTCATTTGTAATCTCATGATCGTCATACATGTGTAAGAAAGGGATGGACTGAAGAGCTTTGTTCCAGCTTGGTGATGCATATATATGTCGGTAAGCCTTTCTGTAATGAGCTAAGCTCCAACCATATCGCTGAGGAATGTCGATATATATAAAGTCACCCAAAAAAAGAATGAAGTCGGTTTTCACTTGCGTAATATGCCTGGACAAATGGTCTAGGCCGCGTATTCGAAGTGAATGGTCGGTCGGATTGTAGGGGAAAAAGGGCATGATGCAACTTGATGTGGTAATCGAGAACACTTTTGGGTAGAGCATGGGCGTACGGAAAAAACCAGTATGGCTGGCGTTCGTTGCGTATGTGTATAAAGTATCCTCATGTAACCCAGGAAGGGTGATGGTAGCCGTGAAGTCACTGTCGTTGTTGAAACCTCCAATAATATCTGAAACCCATTTCGAATCCTCTTCAGATTTCCATTGCACACGGACTCTCTCAACCCCAGGAGCTCGCATTACAATGCTTGCTGAAGAAGAAGTGAGATAGCCAACCCTGGAGAAGGAGAGGTTTTCTCCAGAATGTAGGAATTGACTCCTCCAAAGGAAGTCCCACGTTACAAGGACAGGAATACAGCTTATTAGAAGGCCTGTTATAGACATCCATAGGTGTGAAGATTCATACCAACCAAAAACAAGAGGATACCATTTAGATGGTCTGTTGCTCAATTTGCCCGGTTTTTCAGTCCGTTTATCGCACAGGACTTGAAGCGTGAATGTGCTGAAGTATAAAGTAGCGGTTGTATAGATGATGGGTAGGAAGCGAGGTCCAAGTGGGAGCTAAACCAATAAGCATATTAATCGATCAAAAATTGGATAACGTACCAAGCGGAGAAAGCAAAATACCGTCAGCCACAGTAAAATTCGACTGATTGCAGCGACTGTTCGCAGTGCACTTTTGATTTTGGAGTGTCCTTGGAATATGCTCCTCGCACGATTGATATGCCACTTAAAGGCAGCCATATTGGACCTGGGCACATGAAAGGCGTCTTTTCCTCTGCCCATGTGGAAACCAGCTGCGAATAGTGGTGTAGTTCGGGAAACAAAGGATTCATGTGCCAGCACACGCCACCTTTAAATTTTTTGGGCCTGGCAATACAATGCCTATCTAGAGTCCAAATTACCCAGACTTGGCAATAATTTGAAAAATCCAAGTGGATACTATCTCACAGCCCGAGCACTGAAATTCCATGTTCAGCCCACGTGCAGATTTTAGCGCGCGCCACGATCTCACATGAGGCTTTGGTATTCCTCACTAGTATACTTTATCTACCGCACAGCTTCTATTAGTGTTTATGTTTTACCCACTTGGCTTTTAGTCACGATCCAATATTTAATCAGAAGGTCTGACACGTGGTCAGATCTCTCAATAACCCATTATAGAAAAAAACCCACTATAAAAAGAAAAGTGGGTATTAGTCACCTCACATGAGTTGTTTTTTCGAGTCTCCTCGTATTCACCTTGTTTCACTCATTGAGGTCAATAATAGATTCTATCGTAATGAAGGCTACATCAGATCATAGGGCACACCAAGTAGCTCTCGAAAAATCGGTTTGGCGAAGCGTTGTAGCTGAGGGGATCTTTGGTCTCAAGGATAGAGAAAGTTGCGATTTGGTAAGCGTACTCGCGCTAGTTAGTTAGTAGGCGGGCCCAACGATGGTTTCTAGAATTAGGCCAAGAACCCTCGAAATTAGCGCAATATCATTAAAGATCAACCACCCCAACTGACCACCCTTTATCTTCTTCGTTCCTCAAATAAAATGTCTCTCATCCGCCAGTTCTACAATTTTACCCACAACACTGCGGGGCTGGCGAAGATTTTTCGTCTAATCCAAGCTATCTCCCAGATCGTCATCGAATTCACCGTTGACGATGTCTCCGCATCGCGATGGGCGATCGCGAAGTCGCAATTGGCGTTAAGTCAGTCATTTCACATACGTCTATTCTAGGAAAACCAACAAACATATGAACAAATTCTAATAGCTCCTAGGCAGACGATACTTGAGCTTCTTCGAGGTAATCGATTCCTTTGATCGCGTTGCTGCCCTCCTCAGCGGCGAGACGAGCGGACACGGGATCGTATGGATGCTAGTTGACCTAGCACGATGGAGCTGTCTGGGGACGTATCTCCTGCTAGAAGATCTGACTATCGTACGTTCCTGATCTCTCAGTGTCCTGAAATGTTGACCTTGCTTTTGGTCTTGAAAGAACCTCATAATAAGATTCTGATGACTTAGCTCCATATAATGAACGTCTACCCAGTAAGTTGGAATGGACCCGTCCTTGAACAAGCGTACAAATTTCGGTTCTACGCACTGGCACTCTCCGTTTTCGGCGCGACGTGGGGTCTTATATTTTGCTCGAGTGGACCTTCGAAGGCAAGCATGCCAAAGGATGAGAGACAGGGTACGAAAAAGGTCAAATCATCGGGCAAAAAGTCGGTTTTTCAATCGACTTCCCGGACCGCTGTGACTTCAACTCTCGTTAAGCGTATTATTGTTGATAGCTGTGATTTGTTGATTCCTGGGTCTATCCTGGGATGGATTGCGGTGAGCGATTTGGGGGTGGCGGTGGCAATGTTGTTTAGTACAGTTGTCTCGGGGAAGGACGTTTGGTCAAGGGCACAGGTGGGTGTTTGAATTATTAGAGTATAGATTAGACTTATCAATTGGAATGGGAACGGCTTGATGGCTGTGTGACAAAGCAGACTAGGCCACAGCAACGAACACATACACTCCCAAACTCTCAGTGACGCGTATAGGACCTGCTCTGAAGTTGGATATCGTTTTGACGTTGACACCGTATCATAAAACGGAGAATCAGATGAGAAGGTCATATTAGGTATTTTTTCCTGCAATGTGCCTCCCTGTATGATAGAAGAATGCAGATGGCCCGAGGCATTTACATCTCAGCCACGCTAGATATTATTATCACCGTTTCGACCACTACCCCTGCGACTACGTGTTGACGCGCTAGTCGGTCACAGCTGCCGTGACAACGTTTCAACTTCACTGATCTTTCCTCCTCGTTAAGCTGGGAGAATTCAAATCATGGACTGGAATGGATAAATTCTGTGACTAATAGGCGGCCAAGAATCTGATTGACTCCAGCCAGCCCTTGCCAGACTTAAAAACTTAAATATCAAGAACAGATGCCATTTATTAAAATTTATTATGGGTCCTCTCCCAGACGTAGACCAATTTTGTTCGCTATTAGATGATAGCATTAAATGATGGCTGAATTGTTGTTATAGTCTTTCGGAACATACCCGAGTGATCCACAGGGCTGGAACAAAGGCTAAACCCGTCTTTGTGCGAGTTTTGGGTCAATTAAACTTTATACTCTAACAGCCTACCACAGAATTATTTAAATTCTCATTCAGTATATTCTGCACCTTCTGTTTGTGTCATCTAGTGGAATAGAATTCGCCAGAGCGAGGTTTCTCCGTTAGTTCCCCCGAATAAAACCCTTTAACTTTGAGACGCTACCCACGTGGTCAAAAGTTACGACTTTCTCAAAGATGCCAAGCTTGTAAGCTTGCCACGTGCTGTATAAAACAGAATTTTTGGATCTTCATCTAACAGAACTCGACGACAGGCCAGGGCTGCTTTGAAGTATATAAAGCCATGCTCGAAGTTGGGTTCTAACATGATGTTCATTCAATATTAAGCGCAAGCAAGAAGCCATTTACCTCAATTAAGATGAGTGACAACCATATGAGCCCTCTCGCCCTAAAGGTTATGGATGATACTGTAACCAGGGTCGAAGCTTCGGCAACACCGCCTGCTAAACGGACCCGACACACCAGTTATCTGGACGTGCTGGTCCAGGGTGTGGCTCTCTTCTCTGATGGTTACAACATTCAGGTCGTTGGATACATGCTGACGGTTTTGGCTAAGCTGTAAGAATACCTCCAGAACGAAACAATGCTTAGCTACTAATGAATGTTTTCCTAGGTATCCAAAAGAAACCACTGCAGACGTCAAGACTCGGCTATCTAACTCCATCCTCATCGGTGACATCTTTGGAATGCTCCTATTTGGGTACTGTATTGATAGATTCGGGAGAAGACTTGGTGTTATCCTTACTACGCTGTTCCTTGTTCTGGTGGGCTACTATAAAGAGACCTTTGTTTGCAAGCCGCTAATAGCATATTGTAGGGCATTACCATTGCTACCGCCTCTCATGGAGGTACGGTTCAAGGGATGTACTGGATGATGGTTGTCGGTCGCGGTGTTGCGGGTGTTGGTGCTGGTAGGATCCCCATACTTGTACCTGAGAAGGCTTGTGGACTAACAGTCATAGGCGGCGAATATGCCGTGTGCACATCTCAAGCCCTGGAATGCGCTGACGGCTCCGAACGTTTGCGCAAAAAAAGAGGAATGCTGGTTGCCGTGTCCACAAATGCCGCTATCATCGCTGGCTTCGTTGCCTCTAGTATCGTCTCTATCATTGTCGTAAAAGCATACAACGGCCATCCCAGCGACGGGATCTGGAGAATATGTTTTGGAATTGGAATTATCGTATGTCATAATAACCATAATCATGTTGATTGGCTAACAAAATACATTCAGCTTCCACTGACAATCTTCCTCTTCCGGATGCGTCTTCTCGATTCAACTCAATACGACAAGCATGCCATACAGCACAAAATCCCCTACAAACTTGCTCTGAAGTATTATTGGAAACCATTAATCGGAACCTGCACTGCGTGGTTTCTATATGATGTCATCATCTACCCATTCAACCTCCTCGCCCCGACCCTGGTAGCCGGATTCTCTAGCAACACCAGCCTTCTGCAAACAATTGGCTGGAGTGCACTCATTAACTCCTTCGCTCTACCCGGTGCATTTATAGGCGCCCTTCTCATGGATCGTATAGGTCGGAAGCAAACATATGCCCTTGGCTGGGCAATTGCTGCGGTGTTTGGTTTCATCATTGGCGGCGCCATGTTCAAGCTACAACATATCTTCCCGCTCTTCGTCGTTCTGTACGGACTCATGCAAACATGCCTGGCCCTTGGACCAGGAGATTGCAATTTTCTAGTCTCCTCCGAATCCTTCCCTACCCCTCTTCGAGGTCATTTCCTCGGTTTCGCAGCAGCGATTGGTAAAGTCGGTGCAGCGGTCGGTACAAGTGCCTTGACGCCGGTTGTATCATCATTTGAGACAAAAATGGAGGGCCAGAGGGCGCTGTTTCTGATTGGGAGCGCAATCTCCGTGCTTGGGACTCTGGTTGTTTGGTTCTTGATTCCTGGTGTAAGTGTCTCCGCTTTGATCTATGATGAATGTAGCTGAGAGTTTTACAGCATCCTGATGCTCTTGATGACGAGGATGTCAAGTTCAGGAGATATCTCGAGGATAATGGGTATGATACCAGCCACATGGGTTTGAAGTCTGAGAAAAATATTGAGAGTTCTGTCACTGGGACAGGTGAGTGAGAAGGAAGACGCTTATTGCCATTGTGAATTCAGCTACGGTCTGTTCTACCCCTGGAGCCTAGACTTTACGCAATTTGCAATTAGCGAACGCTTGTTGGGTATTTCAGATTGATTATATTGCAAATTTTCGGTAGTTAAAAAGTGTCGGCATGTAGAAGATGACGTGGAATGCTTGGGGTAACAATATATACATAATTTTTTCGCCAGAAGTGCTTCTGGTCATGCAAGTTCTTTCGATTGAGTTATGCCATCTAGTCGCCCCGCAAGTTGCCGGGAGTCTGAGAGAATTAGAGGTTAATTCTTGATAATTATGCATACAAAATGTAGTCCGATCGATAAACTAAGTTGAATTGATTGACAACCCAGTACAATTGTGGTTTCCTCAGGCAATACATTGTGTACAGGATTTTCTTTTCCGTAATTGGCTCAAAACATCACACTAAGAGGCTAGTGACCGCTCGTACGTCCTAGACTGAGACATTTAGTCGCGTTGGTAACGTGCCTAGTCGGGATGCGCATGACGGATGTTGCCTTCGCGGACTGACCTTACGTATGAAACCGGAGCTTCTTGGTAGTCGGCTACAACTACATAGGACTAGCAAAGGAATCACAGTTATGCGTCATGATTTACGCGGTCGCATGGACGTGATCCGCGTAGGAAGATTTATACCAACGACCCTGGCGTTTGTCTCAAGAAAGAAAAGATCAATTCATTATCTTGGTGAATGGTCAGTTGTAAAAACAGATATCCGGAGTGATTTTATATTTATATGCAATACCGTTGTCGATGGGATTGTCGGCATTTCTCTCGTTCAGATTGCCCACGCAATATTAAGCGTCTCATCTACCTCTGGCAAAATATATCTCTACAGCATCAATGTATTAAGCCTCTATTTCAGGACAAAGAAGAGACCTTGCTATTTGACAAACGACTCATGATCGAAAGACAAGGATAGACCGAGTAGGACAAGGACAGTGTTTGAAATGTCACAATGTCTATAGTCAATGTGGTACGGCCGCGCTTCAATGAGGTCCAAAGAGCTAGGTATCCGACGCGCGACCATGACTGGCCCAAGTAAAGGCGTGGAATGATCGAATCGGCTTGCGCTTCAGGTCCACGGTTAGTGCTGACAGTAAAATGATAGTGGTGACAGCCGACGGTGCATGTCATTGATTCGGGATCATCCTGCAGGCGATGCCTCGTGTTTGAAAGTGCGGTCGTTGAGTCAACGCTGGACCGTGAAAAATTAGAGCAGACTTTGAAACTCTAGGCACTCTTGAAACCTTCTCCGTCAATCAAAGTTATGTCAACGAGAAGGTTTCCATAGACTTGAATCACTGTCCTAGTACGGCCTTAGAAAGTATTCCCCGTTGAGTCACCAGAGCCTACACTGGACCTGTTGCCTAAAAAATAACATCAACTGAGGCATATATCCAACAGTCCTCAGCTGAAGCAGCCATTTTCGTCAGTGCCTTTCAACATTTGTCATGGACAGACACCGCCAAACCGGTGCATAATGAGGCAGATAGGCGAAAAGACCAGCCGAGAGGTCTATAGATACTGCCTAGCATCACAGACCTTTGTCGTACTCATCATGGTTTGACTTTATCACATTGAGAAAAGTTCTCTCGACCCAATGAGCCAGAATACGCAATCCTGCCAGCGGACCCATTATAAGCTCTTCCACCTTGATTTCTCCGAGCTCTTCTCGGTACTGACGCGAACCGTACACACCATGATTACGTCGGCCAGCTCCTTTCTGGCGATTAATGCATTGATTCTCCGTTCCAACCCGTGCCACCTAGCCAAGAAGAAGACAAAACCACCGTCGTGCAGCGGCATCGGCCAGGGGTACTCGTCCTCGATGATGTGCTTGAAACCCTCGCCATTCTTGAGGACACCATAGGCATACCGGATACCCTGGCAAATGGCAATAATATCGAGGTCATTGTTAAAGCAATTCAGATTGACATTAGCTTGCTGCGGGGCATCGCTGCTGTGGAGCGTAACTTTATCGCCTTCAGAGACAGGACGGACAAGATCGACCATCACAGTGATGTAGTTACCTTTGCTGGGAGTGGGATAGTACCACTGGAAGGCTCTTCCGAAAAGACAGACAAAGTCAAGTTTGAAATGAGGCTGGCCGTATGGACAGAATAGGTCTTTGTTGTCCTTGCAGGCTTTGGCTTGACGGAATAAAGGGTCTTTTTCCAGATACTTGTCGATCCGGAGGAACCCAACCATTTCAAGGAATCCGGAGCCCAATGAGCCACTATAATTGTTCTGGTAGGTCTTGATGGCTTGATTTTTATATGGGGTTCCTTTCTGCAAGACGTAATCGTCCATACCGAAGCCATTCTTAAGACGCAGGACGAAATAAACACAAGGGTAATCCAGGAGATGCTGTCCAACATGCGGGCTATCGTTAATCACCGGAATTCCATGCTTTTTGAGCTCTGCGGAAGGCCCAATACCCCTGAGCATCAATAGCCTAGGAGTCTCGAAAACACCTTCAGAGACGATGACTTCACGGGCGGCAAATAGATTGAGCTCTTGGCCAGAGCTTAGGATAACAGTCACATCTCGGCAGGTTTTGTCCGCGACATCGATAATAAGGTTCCTCGGATGCACTTGAGGAAGGATAGTGACGTTTGGCTTATCGGCAACATAAAGAAAACTGCCAGAGCGACGACCCTTGTAAATAGTGTTGACACTATGAGTTAGGCTAGGCATTGTACCATCGAAAATATTCTCGGTCACTGGGTGACCAGCGGAATTCCATGCCTTAGTGAGGAGGCCTCTAAAAGGCTGCATCTCGGGGATGAGTTTCGAGTGAGCAATCGGGATCGGCCCTTTTTGGCAAATCTTCTTTAGCTCGGGCGAGTATGCATTTGTATCATCATGGTAGATTACGCTTTTTTCCGCAGGTAGGGAGCAAGTGGCTCCCGTGTCCACTATTTTCCACCGTACTCCTCCCACATATCAAAAGTGACCTTGGATCCAGGCGCCCAGGTGAAGGAGTTCAAGGACAAATTGCCTCCCAGGACCTTTCCACCCGTGTTAGGCTTCTCAATGCGCTCATAATCGTCTCGCTTGACCATAGTTGCTTTGAATGACCAGTCATACTCGCTATCACGAAGATCCATCGCGTTGGAAGGAACTCTGATCGCTTCAAGATCCTTGGCGTTCTCAACACCAGCTTCAACAACTAGGATTCTAGCATTAGGGTTCTCGGCAAGGCGACCGGCAAAGACGTTGCCAGCTGTGCCTTTACCGACGACAATGAAGTCGAATCTGGCATTATCCTGAACAATAGTCATGTTTAAGGGAGAAAACGTCCAAGAAACGGCAAGCAATGGAAGTGTTTAAATTAATGGAAGTGTCTGGAAAGTCTTGAAATTGAAGTGCTCTATCTTTGAGAGCGGGACTTTTAGACGCCTTTTACATCTGTATGTAGGTTAGGCTTCTCGGCATGAGACCAAATTTTCTGCAACAGCCAGCGCACGAATCCATCCTTCTGACCACTTATTTGTGGCGTCATTGATTTGAGTCGAGCAATAAACAAGCGGTCCCACAGCCCTGGGCACTGTCTCCTTCGTTTCCTATTTCTCTCATGGTCTATCTAGCATCTGCGATGCGGCAATAGCTTGCACCGTCCCGTATTAATCATGTCGAGATGTCATAGAGTCTGCATTCTAAACGTTTAAGTGGTTCCATTGGGTTGATCAAGTGTAATAAACAGAAAGGCTAGCCTATCTATCCATAGCCCCCGAGGGCTCTGGTGGGGACGTGGGGTCGGGTAGACCGACAGTAGTGTTACAGCAGAAAATGCATGGAAATACGTAGTATTCAACGAAGGTACGAAATTGAGGAAGAAACTGAGTGTTGAGCGCTGCGAGCTCAGCGAACAGTCGCTCGCTAGTCCTAATCGGGTTAGTCAGGTTCCCCCATCCAGGTCCATAGATCAGTCGTCAATCCTATGCGTCACATCCACAACATTCCTGTTTGGAATGGGTGAAGCCCGAAGTATCAGTGCATACCTATCGGAACCTGATTTCGTTCGTGTCACTCGGTAATGTCACATTAAGCGAGAAGCTCCAGTCACTTGTCACTTTGCTGTATCACCATGGCCTGTGCAGACAATACTTAAAGGCAACTCACTTTGAGGGATCGTCTATTTTGTCAAACAGACTATGACAAGTTTCGGCAGGACCATTCTATAGTTCTGAGTCGAAATTATTATGAAGCAGTGATATCTTGAAATCACGTGGCTTTTTTTTCGTTTAACGCAGGTGCTACGATTAACCAATCACTTGAGCGCGCTAGAGTTGCTACTAAATTACGGGCTGATGACATGGCTCTTGTGTCCGGCCGCAGGGAGATTGTCGTCATAGACTGCTAGGTCGGTTTCCGCTTGAGCGGCCGCAAGTCCGTCTGACGGTACCAACCCGATATAGTTAGTTCGTTATCATCATCTCCACTTGAATGCTAACTTTGCGAATAAAAACAGGCGGCTTTCCACTTCTGCCGAAAATGGACGATCGGCCTACTCATAAAAATACGCACGATGATCGGCGTTTCTGTATTAACACCAATAAAATCCTAAAAAATCGGTAATCTCCAAAAGTGACAGCTTTACGTAGTAAACAGACTGGCGGCTCGCTTACCAAATACGTTAGTCCTAGGGGACAATGCACAGAGGTAGGGAAGCAGCCGCTCGTCTTTAACGGAGTTCCACGCCATGAGAACCCCATAATTAGCCCTGGCATTATATTTACCAAGTCGAGGAGCTCAGTCTTACTCATCATGTTTTTTAAATCCATTTAATCCCTAAAGCCCAACTTACACTCGAAAATGATGAGGGAATATACGACCCCAGAGCCACTTGCGACCCTGTCTGTGATCGACCCCGAACTTAAATCCCTTATCCTAGCAACCCCTTCGAGACCAAATAGGGAATCTACCATAGAGGAAAGTCGAAATGCAATTGCCAGTTCACTTGCAAGAATCATTGGCAACGTCAATCGGAGTCAGGTACAAGAAATACTCATGCGCGACGGGCATGCCAGTGAAGTTCGGATCTACCATCCTGAGATTCTACGGCCTCGAGAGAAAACGCCGCTAATTATTCTTATTCACGGCGGGGGCTTCATTCTCGGTGACAACAAGCAGCTCAACCCGTATGCTCGCGCGATGTCCACTCTTCTTGATGCCACTGTGGTGTCATTTTCATATTGCCTCGCCCCAGAATTCAAGTTTCCTATCGCCGCGTACGATTGTTGGGATAGTCTGTGCTGGATTGCAAAACATGCGGCTGAGATGGGTGCCGATCCCACTACCGGTTTCATTCTCGGGGGTGTGTCTGCCCGTGGCAATCTTGCAGCCGTAACTGGTCCAAAAAATAATCTCGGAGAGGTTTCATCCTCCATTGACAGGCCTTTGGCTTGGCATTCCCTTTATCCTAGATGAAGTAATTGTCCCTCCAATGTAAAGATCTTTGTTTCTTCCTTGAGCTCAGAACTATGAAGCTCCGATCTTGAATGGCGACAGTATTCGAAACATGTACGATCTTGTCGGCGTTGATGTTTTGTCGCCCGACTTTTCGCCTTTCAATGTTTCTGGAACTCAAACTGGGATGCCGCCTACTTACTTCCAAGTGGCCGGCGCTGAACCTCTGAGAGATGATGGTTTAATCTATGAGCGAGTTTTGAAAGAACGTGGTGTTCCCACTCGTCTGAGAGTTTACCCGGGTGCCCCCCTCATGGACAATACTCTGAGTGGCCGGATGCAAAGATCTCGCACAAGTGGGATTTTGATGTGATTGATTCATTTGGTTGGTTTCTAGGGTACTCTGTGAATCCTTGTTCGATTTTAAATGCTCTGGATGAACGAAATTGCCCCTAGTCTCGTAGCGATAGCATGGAACGGAGGTTGTATAGCTCCTAGTAACAAAAGTGTGGTGGAGGACGACCTAGGGACAACAGAAGACGAGTGTGAGGCATTTAGGATAGGTTAGATTGTAAAGTTGCCCTGTTTATCAAATTACTTAGCTTGTCGGCCATAGCTATCTTTACATCGTGCTCTTTGAAAGTGGTTCTTGACTATGAAATGTCGCTAGTGCTTCACCCGTGACAGCGAGTTTATTATTGTCAGAAGGGCTTTGTGGCAAATGCTTTTCTATCTACGTTCATTGGAGAAAGCAAGGATTATTACACTTGACCAATTATACAATAAATAGAATTTCGTATTGTAAGGTATGTATGACAAAGGAATCTATACAGCAAGAGCCACGTTGGTGTGAAGTCTTCCAGTACTGGATGCTCTACTTAGACACCTGCCTATTACAGTAGACCCTTTTCCTTCATCTCCCTCTCTGTCCACTCCCAAAGCTTCGCCGCCATCTTCATATCATTTGCCTGGCAATTTGCAGCGGCCTTATTTGCAATAGGCGTGAAATATTGGCCCGAATCGTCGGCAGAAAATCTGTCACTGGCACTCACATACAATGAGTTGTAGGAGCACTGGTCTATACTGATGTACAAGCCAAATAGGCGAAAGATGGGCGTAACGCAATCGACGTAAGGCCCCATAATTGCAGAATTTCTGTTTAGATCCCTATTTATTAATTAGTATCCGTGGCCATGAGAAGAAAAATTAGTAGGCAAATTACGTAGGTGAGTTTCCCGGATGAACAGCCGCGACCCGGATACCCTCAGCGCCCGTGGTGCATTCACCACGCGGCCCATATCGCCGATCAATCTCCTTTGCATGTAAAATATTTCCCAATTTGCTTACCCCGTATCTTGAATATGGCGAACCAGACTTCTGGTCTAGATTAAGAAAATCAATTCCAACTGTCGGCGCGAATCTATGTCCCTGGCTGGACACGTTCACAATTCTAGCCACACCGGGTTCTCGCAATCTTTCCGCTGTCCGGCAGAGAATTGGTAGCAGGTGAAACGTAAGAAGCCAGTGGGAAAGATAGTTTGTTTGCCACTGGGACTCGTAGCCATCTTGGCTTTGTTCCCATGGGACGGCCATGATACCTGCATTATTGATTAGGCCGTGCAAGGCTGGCTCTTTGCTGATGAACCCTTTTGCGGCTGCAACGACAGACTCGAGGGACATATGATCCATGATCAAGAGTTGAATGTCCGCGCTTGGAAGCTGTTTGCGAATGGAGACTATGGCTTTATCCGCTTTTGTTTGAGAGCGGGCTCCTATATACACCTTTGCGTTATGTTGGACTAGGTGGAGGACTGTGTAGTAGCCGCGAGAGCGGACCATTATTATGGCATTCTCTTGGACTTGAATTCAATTCGATATATCTTACATTTCAGCATTGCCGCCTGTGACAATGTATACTTTGCCCGAAAGGTCGGGGAGAGAGTCAGGGTGAAAATTCGACATATTGTGTCCGAAGAAGATTGGAAGAATATTTATTTGTAGAAAGAAAGGAATATGACACGGTTGGAATCATCTAAATCAGGGGGGACCAGCCAGAATTATTAATAAGGGGCTGGGCGGCCGCATTTGCCGCAATGCTGTGAGGTCACTTGGAATTTGTGAGCCTGTAGCGGCACCTAGTCGGTTTTCTAGCTTCCGATTTTTATGCACACTAAACTTGGATCTTACGAAGATGGGTAATTCGAACGGGGTTTTGGAACGAGCCCGCGCCTCACACATAGTCGCGTGTGAGGCGCGTGTCTAGCAGTCCATTAATTCCCCCTTTTTTCTGTTTCTCGTTACACAAGGTTACTATACACTTTACTCTGGCCCGGATATATTTCTCGGAGGTTCAGTCAAGTGACAACCGATCGCTCTCTATTTCTGAGGTACTTCTAGTCAAAAATAGGAACGATACAGGCCACCAGCTCAATCTTGGCGATCATCACAAATATAACTGCCCGCGCTTCACCCGACCTAGGGAAGTCACAATTAGCGTCTCACTTATGGGTCGAGCCTATTACACGTTCACCATATGGAAGTGTGTCGCTAGTTCTATTATTAATTCCGGGACTCATGTGGTTGTGAGTATTATGGTTGGATTTGTGATTGTGAACCGCAGAAGAAATTTCAACAGAAACTTGCTAATATTGCCAAACGTTTTGCATGCAGGCCGAAATAGAGCTAGCTACGCTACACTGGAGGATGGTTATATGAATCTCAACAACGAGCTTTATTCTTAGACCGAATCTGTGTGCGGTCTTACTATCAAAAAGCGAGACTTATCCCGCTGGTCACACCACATCCACTGTAGGATCTTGCATAAATTTCCTTTCTTGGTTGAAACATTTTACTGTATGAATTATCTGTTCTATTCTGTAACCAAGACCACGGCACAGTGTTTGTTGCCGGCCGTTATAAGAGTTGTTCAGGTTACGCGAGAGCACGCCATCAGCATCTTCGACTTTAAGCAACAATCCGCCCCTTGGATCTTCCCCATCAAAGAAGTGGATTTTCAATCGTTTTTATTCAGCATCAACCGACAATTTTGAATGTATTTAATCGAATTTATTCCTTGGTGCATATTCCGGGGATTGTGTTGTGAGTGTGGTTGATTTCTTATCATACGTATTCGATGTAGATTTGATCACGTTCCTGCATTCGGGTGACGGATATCGCGAGGCGAAAAAATGGCGGGTGAAAGGCACAGAAGCGGGCAGCGGAGTCGGCGTGGAGTTCCGACGCGTGCATGGGATTTTGTGCGCGTCTCCGACGAAGAGATCGGCGCACGTTACTTGTACTTTGGTCTAGCCACCACTTTTCGCCTTGACCAAAGTCTCTCATATATTAGAAATCAAGCTCGGTTGACTCTGACAATCTAACGTGTGCAAGCTGAGCGCGCCCTTCACAGCTTTTCTGTTCTGGCTTTTTTTTTTTACAAGCGATCTACGTGATGGACGGTGCTTTAATTACAAGAGTATAGATAGTCATCCTATGTACCGCATTTTAGATTCTGAATACGAAGGACCGGTAGATGAACTCTGACTAATAAACCAGCTGGGATGGATGCAGAATTCCGTTCTTTTGAAGCTTTCCTCCTCATTGCCCTATCGCTCACCATGCTCGGCAAAATTCTAGGACGATTGGGAAATCGAAGTCCGGCGGGCAAACCCCGTGTTCTCTTCTTGTTCATTCCCCATGCTGTAATGGGCAGTTCTGGCAAAGCTACGGGGTGGTATCTGGTAACATGCTCTGTGTGACAACTGGTTTGAGGACAGGTCACTTGTAGTGAGCTAATCCCGATTGGGATACGGGGGTTTGTATTGTTGTAGTTGTTCGCTCTCTCTCTCTCTTCTCTTTCTTTCCTCAGTTAAGAACTTTTCTGAATGGCACACGAATCATCCCGTACTGGCCTGTGACAGCTATGAAGACTATTTGGAAAGCTGGTGACATATATTACACTCTTCAACTGCTAAGTAATAGCCAATATTCAGTACTATTACCGATCAAACGGCGGACCAACCGGAAGCTTCCGCTCCCATTTCCATGATAAGATTTAAACATGAGTGGGTGAAGTTGGAAGAATGAATTGTCAACCACTCATCAATGACGTAAATAAACCTTGATTTATAGGTCAAGCATCTTCACTAGTAGTAGGCGTCGTGTCCGTTATTCTCTGCTGTCCTATATTTGTTGTGTCCTTTGTTCATTTGGGGGACTAGAAAGAAAGTCAATTTTATGGAAATATCCAACTTTCTCTCACCTCTTTCTCTGATACGTATATACATGCCCAACACACGGCGAAGGCTGCTCTGATGGAAAGCTCCGCACCAAACGTACAAGCAAGATCCCCTCCACATCCGTTGCGTGAGAAGCTTGCTCAGAAGAGCCCAAAGCTCAGCGATCATCTTTCAATTACTCTGGGGGTTCCTATGATCATAGTCTTTGATCTTCTAGTCCCTTGCATAATATATTACGCTTGGTTCAAGAAAAGTCGATCTCAGTGCCTGAGCGATTGTCAAGACCACGAAAAATGCTGTTTCGCAAAAGCTGAATTCGACAAGCATATTCTGGGCTATGCGATCGTTTCTTTCGGTTTAGGGGAGCTTTACGTCTTAGCTGCCCGCGTATGTCGCCTTCTTTGGCACCAGAAGGAATGCGCCCCACTTCTGTCCCGGTCGCGATGGGACCTTGATGCCACATCCTGGGTCTACGGTATCTCCATGATTTGCGCATTAATCCCGTTTGTCATCGGCAGCAGCAAGGAAATACCGAAGCTGTATCTCTATTCTCCGGCTTTCCTTATGAGCTTTCTTGGAATACTGATGCTTGTCACGCTGGTACCGTTCAATATACCAATTGGCATTGATTCGCAAGCCCGTGGGACACCATTACGCCCATTTGTATACTACGCAGCTGAAGACTTTATCGCTGTTGATGGTCTCCAGGATCGAGAATTTCGAATACGATTGAATTTTCGTTATGACTCATCCAAACCTTTCAGGCGCATGTTTTTATTTCTCACTATTTGGTGGATTTTTGGGGTATGCGTCTATATTGGCTGTTTATCAGCTATTATATGGACTTTAGAATTCCACTTCGCGTTTGGATTGTCTTTAGGCACTCTCTTTGCCTACATCATTGTTTGGGCCGTGACTTCATATTTCTGGATACAGGCGGAGATGAAGCGGGAACAGAAGGCCTAGGTAAGATCTAGGGACTTTTTAATGAATTCAATCTTTGGAAGTCACATAACTTCCATAAGGGAGCTATCTGCTCAAATAGAATGTCTTCGTACAATGGTGATGCACAGCCCGGTGGGGCAGCGAGGTAACGCGAAGCGTACAAACCGGTACTACTTCAAAGGAATTTGTGTGACGGGTACATGTAAAGAATCCATTTTCTCGAGAGCAGTGGGTGGATGAGCGTACTGTACTGTAGTATCATGCAGCCAGATATGGTGTTTCCGTCAGAGGCCTGCTTTTAACATTTAGCTTATAGTATCAAGAACTCTTCGCTATCTGTCAGGGTCTTCCTGGCCTTGGCAGTACGAAGATGTTATTCTGCCTTACCCTGCTCCATGCGGGGTTTATACCGGCCCTGATGGCGTTCCTTATCTGATGGTCAGGCTGAGTTTGCACTTACACGCTGTGCCCACCACTAATTGTCTTATAGTCTGCCGGGTGCAGTTGGAATGTATGCACTCTCAGTTGGCGTTGGAAATCTAAGCAGGACTCTGCCCGAGCCCGTCTACGCCTTGCTGTCCGGCCTCAACGCTGCGACTGTCGGGATTGTCGCGGTCTCTGCGGTACAACTCGCGGAAAAGGCTATTCGTGACAAGATATCTCGCATCCTGATCATCTTCGGTGCCTGTGCTGGTCTCTGCTATAACGCGCTGTGGTATTTCCCGATGCTGATGCTTGGTGGCGGTTTGGTCATCGCTGTTTGGGATGGATGGCTCTATTCCCAAGTCCAGAGGGCTAAGACTGCTTGGCGCAATAGACACAATTGTCCCACGGACTCGGAGGAGGCAAACACGACCCCGGTGGAGATGGAGTCTATTCAGCCCGTAGAAGCGGAGCGGAGTGAGACGGTACTCTCGAGGAAGAAGGCCAATTCGGGTGACTCCCCAAGCAGTTTTCTTGCGAATTCAGCTGGACCGTTGAGCTCAGTACAGTCAACCGAGACTGAAGTGACCCAGTCACCCAGCTATGTGATTCGAATCGGCACTGGAGTGCCATAACGACGGTGTTCTTTAGTAATTTCTCACTCTCGGGATCATCGTGTATGGCCAAAACTAACCTTGAAAAGCCTCCTTCATCGCACTCCTCGTCGCAAGAGGCCAACTAGCCACCACCCCCTTGGTGCTGGATCTCTTCACAAGCATGTACCTCGCTGGAACGGTAATACTTGGTGGAGGCCCCGTCGTGATCCCACTTCTGCGCTCCTACGTCGTCGCTCCAGGTTGGGTCTCTGGCCGAGACTTCCTCATCGGCCTGGCCATCATCCAAGCCTTCCCGGGCCCAGATTTCAACTTCGCTGTCTTCCTGGGCGCATTGGCCCTGCAACACACGCAATTTCCCGCGGTTTTTGGCGCATTTATTGGTTGATTGGGAATCTTCGTGCCGGGCCTTGCGCTGGCAGTTGCGTTCCAGAGTTTTTGGAGCGTGCTGCGGAGGAAGAGCTATGCCATTCACATCTTGAGAGGTGTTAATGCTACTGCGATTGGTTTGGTGTTTACGGCTGTCTACCGGTTGTGGGAGATTGGTTACTTGACACCTCAGAATAGTGCTGGACAGAGTCTAACTAGAGAGCCGTGGTGGGTGGTTATCACTACTATCTCCTATGCCGGAAATGCGTGGTTTAAGGTGCCTCCTGCCGTGTCTATTGCGGTTGGTGCTATTCTGGGCTTGTGTTGGTACGGGGCTGTGGGACGGTAGATGTTCTTGCTTGGTCCTTTTTCGAAGATGGTCATTCCTCACTAGTTGTGTAACTCAGTCCCACCCACATATGGTGGAGAATTAGTCCAAGACCGTCGATAAGTTCCAGTTAAGCCCTTTTTTCTCCTGGCTTCAATTAAACCATGAGGCTAGTAAACAAGAATTCCGGTTACACAAATCAACACTCGTGAAACCACTAATATGTCATTTGCAACTGCGGTCAACAGCACTATGTCAAATTGAATCTCCTAAACGCCAAAGCGGGTTGTTGCTAAATTATTTCATAGATAGGAATTGTCTTCCTCGCGTTCTAGACTCAGCGGCGAATATCTTTTACGAACCGTTGAGCAATATCTTGCCGATGAAGAAACCGGGGTCTTGATCCGTGTAAATCTGCTCTAGGTCAAGACCATGCTCGAGCAGTCACACAATTGACGAAATGCGGCCTTGAGGGTGTCATCGGTAACATTCAAAACCTGTCATGCACTATATTCCTTGACCACTGTGACGCATAGGACTAAAGACTGATATATGGACCTGGATGGGGAACCTGACTAACCCGATTGGGACTAGCGAGCGATTATTCACTGAGCTCGCACCGCTCAACACTTAGTTTTTTCCTCAATTTCGTACCTTCATTGAATACTACATGTTTTCATGCATTTTGAGTTGTAACACTGTTAAGACAATGGGAATTTTGACAGTATTATAGCAATGCTCACAAATGTCTTGGTTGTCCAAGCATATGGAGCAACAGTTCGAATAACTGTTTCTTCATATTGATGCGAAATATCTTATTACATGAAAGGCCTGAAGGTGCAAAATTGAATCTGTATACCGCAAGTGAAAGACGAATAGGTCACCCATTACGAAGAACATGTAGCCGAGCCCACCAGACCCAAGTCTACAAACAATCAGACTTGTCGCAAACAGCATGGATCGAAATCAGTTTCACCACCTCTATTGCCTTTGATCAGATAGATCATGTTATAATTCAGACCCTCATTCGGCTTAGCTTGAAAGACCACTTTTGAGTGATCTACCGATAAGAGCAATATTCCGTAGTAGACTCATCATTCAAGACATGGCGTGTCGCAAAATGGAATTCTAGAAAGCCTCGAGGATAATAAATTGGTGAAATGATTTCGAACCATGCTGTGCAACCTTAAAGACGGTGGGTGGTGGCTTCATTGAGAGCTTCGACTAGGCATACCGTAAGCTAACGTAATTCACCACCGAGTGGGCCACACCACCGAGTGGGCCACCCAACCACTTTTTCGCGTCCTACCGCGTCAATCTGTCTTCTATCAACCACCATGCGTCCAAATCGTATCGGATCAAGCCAGGATTCTATCCAGCAAGAAGGCCGCCTCCTACTTGCTATACAAGCTATCAAAAGCAAAGAAATTGGCACCATACGGCAGGCTGCAGATCAATTTCAAGTGCCTCGTTCTACGCTCACGCGTCGACTACGCGGGACTACAAATCGCGCTGAAACTCGTCCAAATGGCCATAAACTATCGCAAATCGAGGAAGATTCTCTTATCCAGTGGATTATCTCAATAGATACCCGCGGTGCAGCCCCTAGGCACTTAATGGTGTAAGAAATGGCTAATTTATTGATCCAAAAACGCGGCACGAAGGATACTACGCCGACCGGCAAGAATTGGGTCACAAAATTTATACAACGCCATCCAGAGCTTAAATCTCGCTTTTCACGACGCTATGACTACCGGCGAGCAGAATAAGAGGATCCAAGGGTTATTCAAGAGTGGTTTAACACCGTATAAGCCATAATTCAGTAATATAGTATCTTATCGGACGATATCTATAACTTCGATGAGACTGGCTTCGCGATAGGCCTCTACGCGACGCAAAAAGTGATTACCCGGTCAGAATACTATGGCCGGAGATCAGTCTTATAGCCAGGAAACCGCGAGTGGGTAACTGCGATCGAATCAATCAATGCTTCGGGGTGGGCGCTTCCACCGACGCTTATCTTTAAAGGTAAGCAATAAAATTAAGCGTGGTTTAAAGACCTTTCACCCGACTGGCGCTTCGAAGTTAGCGCAAATAGGTGGACATCTAACGCGATAGGCCTTCGCTGGCTTCAAAAGCAATTTATCCCGTCGATAAATAGTCGTACGCATAGAAGATATCGACTTCTTATTCTCGACGGTCACAGAAGCTATCTGACACCAGAATTTAATTAACTCTGCCAAGATCACGATATTATACCAATCTATATGCTAGCGTATTCCTCGCATCTTCTACAGCCGCTTAATATTGGGTGTTTCGCGGTTTTAAAGCGCTCGTACAGTAGCTTGGTCAGCCAGAATATACGGCTTAGGATCAACTATATCGATAAGCTTGATTTCCTTATAGCATATCCACAAGCTCGCGCTAACGTATTTAAACCAAATACGATTCAAAATAGCTTCTAAGTAGCAGGATTAGTACTATTCAATCCTCAGCCAGTGCTATCAAAGCTCAATATTCAACTTCGGACGCCGACACCACCTACAAGCCGCGGTAGTGAATCAAGCGCTTTTTACCTATATACGCCGGCGAACGTCGACGAGCTTCTAAAGCAAGCATCGTCTATTAAAGCTTTCTTAAAGAGACGCTCCAAAAGTCCGCTATCGCCGTCCCAGGCCGCGTTAAACCAGCTTATCAAAGGCTATCAAATTACAATGCAAAACGGTATATTTCTCGAGCAAGAAAATAGGCAGCTACGCGCTATAAACGCTACGCAAAGGCAAAAACGCGCTCGTGTGAGTAGATGGATAGCCCACGATGACGGTCTATCAGTACGAGAAGCATTAGAGCTTGAGGAAGCTCATGATTCGTTCTTTCAGCCAAGAATAGGCCCAAGGGTAGCACCGGCGCAAGCTACGCAAGCACCAAGAGCGCGGCGTCTACCTAAATGTGGTAATTGTAGCGATATAGGGCATAAAAAGAATGCCTGTCCAAGAAGAGATTAATAAATATAAAGGCGTTGTGGTTGATTTATATCAATAAAAGTGTAGAAAGGGTGGTTGGGTGGCCCACTCGGTGGTGAATTACGTTACTGACCTTATTTTTTGTTAGGCTGCCCTTGTGGTGCGCGACTTTGAAGTAGTTATAACGCCTATGCAAACGCCAATATAGCTTTTGCACCGTCTTGGCTCGAAGGACGTTTTCTGGTGTACGTCTCCTCTTAGGAGCCTCCCGACCTACTAAACACGCTATTCAATGCGCCTCCAATTTTCTCCTGTAGCTTCTGTCGCAGGTTCTGTATATATGTTGACAATTCCATTGATGCCTGCACTCCCGCACTCATGAAACGTGCTACTATCAGGCAAATTGCCTTCCATATAGATGCGGCTATTGGTAACCTGGCCAATATCAATGTAATGTATTCAGGGGAATTTCTGTTGGTCCAAAGATAGCTCACTACGATTCGTGCAACTTCTTGCCGGAGAAATCCGTTGACCTGAAGCCTAATCAGGAAGATGCTGTTTTCTCTTTCGAGGATCTGCAGGCTGCGTTCGATCATTTGTTCGAGGCTAAGCATATGGGTAAGGGTGTGGTTCAGATTCAAAGCCCCTTTGTGTTCCATTCTATCAAAGAGAGAAGATTCCACGACCCTATGGCTGATTATATTCAGGGTTCTTCTACTCCCGAAGTTTCATTGAAGTGATCTCACAATCATCGACATTCAAATAAATTCCCCTTTCAAAGAAGCTACCTTGTACAAATGCAGTATTGAACATTCTGAATTACCAAGCACAGCCAATTCGCTACTTAGTAGGGAAAGTTAAACGGCTGCGCCTTCGGGCCCAGAATAGGCACAAACTCCTCACCCTCACAGATTTTCATAGCCTTCTGATAAGCAGGACGATCACCAACTCGCTTCAGATATGCGAGAATATTCTTATGCTTCTGGATATCGAACTCGATAGGACAGAACCCTCTCATAGTTGTCAAAGTGCACACAGCCATGATATCCGCCGCGGTGACGTCATTCCCGGCGAGATAAGATCCGGTTTCACCGAGCCGCGCCTCAACCATCTCAAGCGCACGCTCCAGCTTGGCAGCGCCAACCTTTACGTGAACGGCCTCAGGGTCATTGCTCAAACGGCGCGTCATGAGGACACGGAAAAGGGCGGGCTGAAGTGATGCATTGGCCCAGTGGTACCATTCCAGGAAGTGGACGTACTCGTCGCCGTCCTTTGGGGTGCGTCCGAGGCAGCCTTCTCCGTAGGCGGCGATGATGTAGTCGATGATGGCGCCGGACTCAGCGAGCACAACCTTGTTCTTTGTGAAGGGGGAGGAGCTATCTTCGATTACTGGGGCGGTGCCGGCGGGATGCAGGTCTTTGATTGATTGCGGGGAGAAGATGGGGTCGCGCTTGTGAAAGACAAAGTCATATTTGACGCCAAGCTCTTCGGCGAGCCAGACGATGCGCTCGGATTGGGAGCGGCCCAGGTGATGGATTGTCAATGGCATTTCGGTGGGTGTAGAGGTAAAGAGGAAGAGCGGGTGGGTGTGGGGCTGTTATGGGGGCTCGGTAACTTCAGTCAGGTGGCTGAAGGAGAGATCGGACGGGATGGAGGGATTTCAGAGCAGGGTTCGGTCGAGGTCGAGGGTCCAAACCTCAAATGACTTCGCACGGGACATGCAAGACTCAACGGATATCTTCATCAAATGGATCAAGGTGATAGCGATCTGTGCATGTGTGGCACTGAGCGAGAAACCGTACATCATTTCCTATTTCAGTGCACACGGGGTGAGTGAACAGCGTTGCATGCTTCTTGAAATGAGCCTTTGAGGACCCCCACCTGCTAGGCGATTTACAGCTTGCTTACCTCCGGCCCCAGGTCGGTTCCTGCCAGATGTATGGTCATTGCCTGTGTGGGTCCGGCGATGGTGATCAAACTCGACGACTGAAGACAGTAAGTGGATGTGTTGTGACCGTCAGCTGGAGTGGGAATGATACACGCCAGAGAACGCCTTCTGGCAGCCGACGTGATCACAGACACGGGGATTTCTCGCCTGTGAAAATTCACGAATGCACGGTTAAGGCGCTGAGTCGGATAAGAGCTCTTATTGCAATCCTTGATGGTGCAGAGATAGGGTCGCTCATTGGTGTGTATGCGATAATGGTGGCAGAGATCCGACTTGCGATTGAAAGACGGTTGCGGGTATGCGACATGGAGAAAAGCAAGTTGGCAAGTGGAGAGGGAAACAGCTCAGCGTACGACACACGCAAGCCAGGAGCCATGGATGTCAAGGAGGCGTATTTAATTCGTTGTTGGCTTCATGCCCGCCACGAGGGAAACAGAAGGTGATCACTCTAGATATGAAAAACTCATTCAATGAGCATAACAAAACAAGTCTGAAGACCATCCGGGAATTACCGGTCAAGATGGGTGAAGAACTGGATTATCTGCGACTCTCATCGTATAAATCAAACTTGTGTCCTGGACGCCTCAGGGTATAACATTTTACCAAGCTGCCGCATGAGAAAAAGCCATTCAAGTAACCGTTATGCACTCTCAGCTGCCGAGCCATATATCCTGCTCTTCTCCATATCCGTACGGAATCCACGAATCATTAAAGTACCTCTGCAAGACAGTCTGTGGGTAGGTCATATCGTCGACACAGTATCCACCCCCTGTGGGTCCAATATGAGCACAATGGATACCGGGTCGGTAGTGCACCATATGCTCATGGACCTCACGGCATAGCAATGTATTTTTGCCTAGCTCATAGCTCTTTCCGAATCGCACGTCCTTGGTCAAAAACTCATAACATGCCGCCGTGTCTGTATATTGCTGGTTTGAGCCCGTGCAATACTGCTCGTGCGTAGCACAGATGGTCTTAGCTAACAAGTCGGAGACATAGGCGACGGCCTGGTCAGATGAGGTTGCGTTGATCTTTGTCGCAACATCTCCGATCAAAAAGTCTACTAAGTAGTCGAACAACCGGAAGACTGCGTCATACTGAATGATCTTGCCACCCGCGTCCCACTCGATCCACGTGTCGATGGTGACAGGTATTTGGATGCCGAATGTGGTCGCGTTAAAGGTGACAACGGTTGTTGCGGATGCAATATTGTCATTGGCAGCGAACTGGGTGATATTGTATGCGATTGGAACACCAACGAGACTGACGTGTACCGGGTCCGAAAAGAGGCCGAAGATATATTCACGATTTAGCTCGTCACCGTCGAAGGTACGGGTGATGTCGACACGGCCTTGGACCTACGTTTTGTCCATGTCAGTATGCGCTGCTCACAAAACCGTATTACGGTAAGCGTTCTTCCTACATTTGTGTTGAATATTGACGACTCATTTCCCTGTGTCTGTTTCACGTTGGCAGGGTAAAGAAACGAATCCCAGAAGGTCTTTTCAAGTTCCCAGAGTTGATCGAAAGTGAACGTTGATTTCGGATACTTTGTTTGAGAATCCCTTGCGCACTCGACGGAAGAAAATAAACAGTGAAAGGCAATTGTGAGCAAGAAGCCCCACGAAATTGACAGGATTTTCATGTCGATTTTTTGGGAAACAGCTTCAGCTATCTTTAGACAATGGGCAGAAGTAGTGGTAGATGGGGAAGTATAGGACACTGAGAGCGGCCTGATCTGTGTTATTTGTTATTCGAGGCATACCAGAGCGGGCCTTACTAAGAACGCGGTAAGAATGTGCTCCCCCTTGTTCTTCAGACCACATAAACAACCTATGTTTTGGTTTTGATCGACTTCCACATTGAGTGTCTGGGTCTTCAGACCGCCATCTTGGTTTAAAAATAACTAATAGTCGAAGCCTGATCAAGCGACCTCAACGGTTTTGTCATCACCTTTTCTCGCCTGAATGGTATGGATGTGATTAGCAGCATCTAATACTCCGGGAACACTTATCACCCGTTTGAATTGCTAACTATTGATGTCAACCGTTGTTTGCTTACCTGAGGTTGTGGTCGATATTCTTCCCGGTGCTAACATAACTGAAAGATGCCGATTTGTCAATTGCGGGGTCCATGCGTACTCAAATGGACGGAACTTGAGCGTCAAATTCTCCAAATAAAGCCAATGCAATAGTCAGAGGTTAAACCCTCCGGGAAATCTCCATTCAGCTTCTCGTGCAAAACAAGCTGTACAGAGCAGTGCCAAACTAGCTTCACCGATTTGCACTCTCCCATTCTTTTTGAGCCCCACCGCCATGACGCTAGCTTAAGGAACGGATAAGTCTCAATGGACTTTTATACATTACGTAATGAGCACTCTGCTTCACGTGGGCATAGCATTATAAATGCGAGAAACTCACTGGAGGCAAACCAGACGAATCATACTTCTGATTCTCAGCCAGAGTCTCCTGGCAAAAAGAATTGAGATTTTACCGGTCTCTTGGCTTAGAAAACTTTGTGGAACGGAGAACGTCTCACGGCTCATCCTTGATCAATTGTAACCAACAGCTTACTCCATCCAGCAACATATAACCCCAATTTTCATCATTCTCAATTTCAACATTCGCATGTCCGAAATGAACTTGTGCACTTTCTCCTCAAGCCCCACGACTTCCAGGCTCCATTCAAGGAAACATTTGAAACCTTAGTTTGCGTGGAGTTGCCAATTGCGTCTGACAAATGCTTTAAGCTCTGCAAAGAACTTCTCAATCGGGCTTAGATCAGGAGAGTAGGGTGGTAAGTACAAGAACTTGGCACCAGCATTTGAGCATAGCTCTCTTATCCGATCAGAATGGTGAGATGCGTTATCCATGAGCAACAGCCTATCGCCATCAATGAATCGTCAACCAGCATCAACGGCCTCGACACCGAGTATTGATCATCATCAGCACTTACCGAAGGAAACGCCAACGCATCGAAGGACGACGTGGCACAAAAGGCTTTTGGGAAGGAGAACGACTCACCAATTCTGCACTGGCCGGCCGCAGTCGGCCCGAAGCGCAAGCACGGTACAGATACTCCAATCGGCGAAGGCACTGTGTCAACAAGCTTCAGCAACCATTCTTCGTTAAAGGAGAATAGGAAGAGAGGAAAAAAATCTAAATCAACCAATAAATAGGCCCCCCCGTTCATCTCGCAATAAATAAGGAGCTGAACATCATTCAATACAATACGGACCGGTCGAAAGACGTCGTGATGGCTCAATTGATGCGTGACACCACGGTGCTTTCGGCGGGCATCATTGCCATCCAAGAACCGCGGGCCAACTCATATCAAGAGACGACGCACCACCCGACCAAGCAGAGCCATAACTGCTTTACCCCAGGTGGGTGAGACAAAAGGACTGCGGACGAGGGTGTGTATGTTCGTGTCGAAGCGGATGGAAGGATGGACGCATGTAGTACACTCCAGGGATTGCCACGAGCACCGGATACGGCACCGGAGTGAGGTGAGGGAGCTGCGCATATTCAACGTATATGATAAACGAGGAAACGGAGAAGATACGGTGCAACTGCTTACGAAGCTGATTACACCGGCAAGGGAAGAGAAGGTAGAGATTGCGTACCAAGTCGTGGGGGGCTTCAACCTCCACCACCCCTAATGGGGGTGGGCATAGCGTCCAACAGGATGAGGCTGCGGACGAGTGGCTGGATGTTAGGGCACTGGATCTCTGGCTGAAACCGAGTTCCATCACGCGGATGCAGGCCGGCAGCCAGTCGACTCTCGACCAAGTGTTCGCATCCGAAAGCCTTGTTGGGAGGATGATTGATTGCTGGGCGATGGAGGGTATTCATGTGGATTTCGACCACTTACTAGTAGATCCGCACAATCCTCGACTTTGAAACTGCGGAGCCAGCCGAGGCGCCGAAACGCCGAAAATGGAAGGACATAGATGAAGGTAAGTTCCCCGCCATTGTCAATATCAACATAGAAGACAAGCCATGGCTGCATCTCCGAGGGGATATCGTGCAGCTACGACAGGTGGATGATGCGGTCGGATACCTGATGGAAGTTGTCCCACGCGGTGTGCAAGAGTCGACGCCTTGGGCACGCGATTCGTCATGGGAAAACCACAGCTTCACCCCTGAGTGCCGCGAGGCAATCAAGGTGATATGGCAGCTTCGCAGACAGTTCACGACATCACAGGACAACGGTGATTGGCAGGAATACACCAGTGCGCGCAATCGCAAGGGCAAGGCCATTCATTTTGGGTTGTAACATCACCAACATGCTGTCAAATGGCCGGGGCAGCACAACATAGTGAACAGACGTTCAAAAGTATTCGCAGGAACTTGCGACGATTCGGAAGCGTCCATGCCTCCACCCCGTCGGAGACGAAGTATAACGCCACCCGCGCTAGAAGCGCCCTGCGATCATCTGCTCGGCAATCCCGGTCTCTATCTAGATAAAGTGCCCTTTTTTAGGTATTAAGTTCAAATATTAGCGACGAGCTCAAGTATCAGAAGGGCCCTCGTGTTAACGTCCATCATGGGCTTATTCTGAAACTACTTTGAAATATCAGCAGAGTGCACGAATTTAATCCTAACTCCTGGGTTTTCCATCTGCTGTCTTCAAAGGGTAGTCCGACGAACACCGAGAAAACAAAAAAAATAAAAAACGATCGACAAGAATGCGCCACCCGGCATGATGGTACGACTGTATCACTTGGCAGCAATGCGAGAAGGATGCATCGCCCCCGTGTTTACCGATTTACCGACCAGTAAGTCGAAAAGAAAACCATGGATCCGAAAACTCTCTGACATTTTGCGAGACGAAGAAATTTATGAAGATGTATCACCTGGCGGTCATCGGTTCTATCTTGTCTTTAGCCATCCCAACACTAGGCCTCTGCCGCTGTCGACCACATGAGAGTTGCTGGTCCTCATTTCAGGATTGGTTGGCCTTGAACAATTCAATTCAAGGCCAGCTTGTCTCGGTCCGTCCCGTTGCCGCTGTATGTCATGGAGCAGATTTCGATGAGCAGATTTCGATGAGCAGATTTCGATGAGCAGATTTCGATGAGCAGAAATGCAGCAACGTCTCCGCATCATGGCCAGACCCATTCTGGCGCGCGGCGGAACCAAGCGCCGTGCAGTGGGAGAACTGGGAAGCTTGGCCAGAGAGAAATCAGACCTGTTACATTGAAGACCGCCAGAACACAACTTGCGGACAAGGCCGCGTCTCACTTTACCCTGCAAAGGTGGAATCGACATCTCAGATCCAAGAAACAGTTGCGTTTGTGAAAAGACACAACCTAAGGCTGGTTATCAAAAATTCGGGCCATGATTTTTTAGGCCGCCCCTCGGCTCCTGAATCTCTGCAGATTTCTACTCATGCGACGAAAGATATTGAAAATTTCGACAAATTTATGCCAACGGGTGCACCTAAGGATGGAGTCGGAGAAGGACCGGCCATCACGATCGCTGCCGGTGTGAGCATAACAGAGCTTTATGCAGCGGTGTCTAGACATAATCGCTCAGTCATCGCGGGAGCATCGGGCAGCATTGGCGCTGGCGGAGGCTACTTCCAAGGGGGAGGCCATTCAGTCTTTGGTGTCTGGCGAGGATTGGCTTCGGATAATGCGCTGGAATCCCGGGTCGTCCTCGCTGAAGCAAGTCATCAAGCTGTACTTTAGAGTTATAAAATGACAAACCAGCTAACCTTTTCACCAGGGCCATCTCGTTTACGCAAATACGTTCCAAAATACAGACTTATTCTGGGCGCTGCGAGGCGGAGGTGGAGGTTCATTCGGAATAGTCACCAGCGTCACATTGCGCACACATCCCGAGGTCCCTGTTGTGGTGACAAATCTTAACATCACGACTGCTGGCGGGGATCCCCATTTCTGGAAAGCTTCACCGAGTTCCATAGGGCGCCGCCAGCACTGAATGATGCTGGCGGCGGTGGTTACTATCTCGCCGCGCCAGATTACCCTTTGAATGAGACCGTCAATGTTTCTGTGATGTCGAGTGTGTTGATCTTTGCAAATGCTACGAACACCACCCATATAGACAGCTTCTATAATCCGCTACAGTCTAAGTTGAGCCAAGTTACCGGAACTACGGCCAATTAGAAATCTTTCGTTCTTCCAAGCATCAGCTCAACGATGTCGACTCTGTTCTTGAAAGGTGCATGGCCTACTGGTGATGCCACGCTTTTAGCATCCGGACTTTACTCTAGAGACCTAATGATTTCTCAAGATAGCCCCGAAAGATTGACAAACGCGTGGAAGAGCCTTCGGTATGACCCAAGGCAAGCACTGGCGGGTTGTGTGGTCGCAGGGGGTGCCGTGACAACGAATGGTGATATCATCTCCAGTGCTGTCAATCCTGCTTGGAGAAAAACTATTTCGCATATGATACTTTAAAGAAGCTGGAGTGCCAGTGCAACTCTCAACGAGCAGCATGCAGTTGTCAAAAACATCACCGAAGTGGAACTGCCGATCATTTCGAGGGCACGGACCAGATGGGCGCGTACGTAAATGAGGCATTTGCATACGAGCCCGATATTCAAACTTCGCTGTGGGGTAACGGGTACAGCCGCTTATATCGGATCAAACAAGTAGTGGACCCGACCGGCCTGTTTATTGTACGTCGAGGCGTTGGGAGCGAGGATTAGGACGAAGAAGGGTTTTGTCGTCTTACCCATTCTCCAAAGGAATGAGCAATTCCGGTCTCGGGGAAGCAGCAGTCACTGACATCCTGATTGTTGTCGGCGAAGTGACGTTTCTGTATAGTTCGCAGCCTAGTGCATGCTTGTTCTGTTGTGATTTACAGCAAGTATTGTACTTGCTTTTAATGCAGCATGAAGGCCAAATTGATTTTACAATTAGCTAGGTTCTTCGTATAGACAGGTCTGGAAAATTTCGACGTTGCGGCTTAGTTCCTGATCTTCATATATCACAATAGACAGGACTGCTCCAATGATAATAACATCACCATACAGTTTACATATAGTTCTATGCTGTACAGCAGCAGGAGTAGTAGTAGCAGTATTAATTTAACCTAACCCCTCGTGAGTTGAAGCCCTGAACTGAGATACAAGTGCTGATGGTATTAAATGTATAAGGTAAGATCTAGCCATTTGTAGTCGTCATGAGGGCTACGCTTACGCATTCGGGTGGTTTGACGACGTCTACGTTGTGGTGACTTCGACATCCTACGCCCACAATATCGAGATCCTGGAACAGTCATTTGGCAAAGCAGCGATCTGGGCGAAGCAACACTCGGCCAGTTTCACCCCAGACAAATTCGAACTAATCCACCTCAACAACCCACGACAACCAGCGCCCTTAGTGTGGACACCACGGCCACCACGGGACAATTCCGAGTTCCACGTGCAGGAGGGGGAGGTGACCAGATGTCATTGCAACTATCAAAAAAACTATTACACCTTCGCCACACGCCAAATACCTTAGGGTGTGGCTGGATAAGGACCTTAACGTCTCGACACACCGCAGGAAGGTCTTTGCGAAGGCTAATAGCAGCTTGAAAGCCTTCCGCGGCATCACTGGATCCACGTGGGGGACATCACTGCCCGCAATGCGCAAGATCTACAGGGTTGTGGTCATTCAACAGCTTTTCTGGGGTCTTGTGGCTTGGTTCAGCCCTACGACGAAGCTACCTGTAGAACGGTCCCACATCATCAGGGGATTTATAAGAATCCGGAAGCGTGCGGCTTTGATGATCAGTGGTGCACTTAAGAGTTTATCAGCCGCGAAATTCGACATTGAGCTTTTCCTGACGTTAATTAATCTACTGATGCAACAGACTGTCGAAGAGACCGCCATCCAGACCCATTATAACATTGAATTGGACGCCATACTCGCCGACGGAGTGATCCAGCGCATCTTCACTGGTGGCAGTGGATACGCCAGGACTCGAGGGTGCATTCGCGGTAGATCCGATGAACACGGACTGGATGAGGCGACACCTTGAAACACTGGACCAATCCAATGTATACTTTGCAGAACTCACAGGCCTTGAAATGTCACTGAATCAATTGCCAAATGGACCGAATCAACGAAGCGAGGACAAAATCAGAGAATCGGTAATCTTCTCTGACAGCCAAGGTGTGATTTAAGTCATTGCAGAATCCGAAGCTGCCGTCCGGTATTTATAATCACATATAGGCCATCCGGTCGCGGAGAACAACCACATCGATCACACTCTGGTGAGTCCCAGCAGATGTGAGTGTTCCTGACAATGAACTTACAGACGAGGCTGCAAAGTCCGCCACACCGTGGGACGCGGGGATTCACTGGAAAGCAGCGGAACGTGCACGAGAGCAGAGAAACACTTTGTCCGGCTTGCCTCGCCTCCTCGGCGAAGCGATGCGTCCACCACCGTATCAAGAAATGGTGGAAGAGACAATGGGAGAGGGAGAAGACGGCCAAATCGACCAAACGGCCGATCAAGGCGCCTACGCTGAAGGCCCTGGAGCTATACGAGGCGCTATCCAAGCCCTACGCTTCGATTCTCATCCAAAAGAGGTCAATGCGCATTGGTTCAGGGCACTTATTATACAGTATCAAAGAAACGGAATCAGATTGTTTTACCTGCGATCAGGGATGTCAAACACAGAGACATGTCCTGCTCCAGTGCCCGCTGTAAAATGATCTGCGGCGAACCATGATCGACAAGATCGCTCACACCGATCTTGGAGACACTACGGACTACGAGGCAATCGTGTCCCACCCACGCGCGGCCCGCTACGCCGCTGCAATGATGCATCAAACTGGTCTCCTCGGTCAGTTCCGGCACGTGGAAGCGGAACCGGACACTGACGATGACCACGAAGAGATCGGTCTTGCGGCCATGGGATGGGTTGTGAAAACGCTGCGTATACACCACCAACCACCAAGACCGACCACCGAGAATAGTCGACACTCAACAATTACCGATTCACCATGCACCACAATCAATTGAGAACTGAAGCACTTGGAGAGTGGACGGGTGAAAGAGAGGCGGGAGAATACACGGGGACCGACACAGAAGGAGTGGAATACTGTGGGCATTATACTTTAGTGCCTGATTTTATATGGGTTTTCTATGCGTGAGACTTGGATTTGGTACAGTCTTTTCTGTGCCGGCCTCCTGCGGAAGGCCGGTTTTCCTTTGTATTACTGTTTATTGCAAGCCGCGAGGCTGGGTTTAAGGACACCAAGTTCTGCTTCGGATTTCGACGAAGCGCCTGCTTAGCCTCAAAAAATCTAGTTATTCTCGATCAGGTTAATAGAACTTTGATTGATTGATTGATTCACTTGGCAAATGGGTCACCAATCGGGGCTTTGAAGGGTCATCCCAGGAGTACTGGAGCCTTTGGCTAAGCCGCTTTCGAAACTCTAATAATCATCATATCTATTGTGCGATTTCTCCTACAGCGCTCATCTCGTCACTAGAATGGTAAATTCACGGAACCGACGGGTTCTTCTCGTGATCTGGTCGGCCTGTTGACCTTGGCTGATCTCGGAGCATTGTTTCCGGACTGATACTCGTCCCTCGAGCACGTAGCGCGAGCATCCTATTCAGGAAACATCAATAGCATTCTAAAATCGCAACAAGTACAAAATTGCACCGTTGGCGCAGGAATTTCGCGTTTGCTGCCAGCAGCTAAAAGGACGCGTTCACGGTCGCCAACACAATTTGGTCTTTAGACCTTCAATTCTTTGCAGTGCTATGATATCTCACTTACAATTTATACAACAGTAAATCAGTTCGCGCTAGGCTCCAACGATGCTCTAACTCCATTTTTGGAAGTGGTAAACTCCAACTTTACACATGAGGATATACTGCGAATTTGCTATTCACACATTCTCCAGAGCTCTCTCCAGCTTTTTTGACTTCTTGTTCCTCTTGTCTGCCCTCCATTGTGGGCCCCATATAATCACTGCCCACCAGCATAAGCTCATGACCCCCCAGATCAGCGCAATCAGAGTCGCTGTCCAGCCTCTTCCGAGTGCGTTGAACAGCGGGTTGACAATGGCCACCCCACCAGCTCCCAGCAAGCACCGTACCAGATTATTGGCGGCACTGGCAGCAGCGGAGCTTTTTGTGTTTAAGTCAATGACCACGGCACTTAAAGGCTGAAAAGCTGCGGAAACACTGAGACCCATGAAAAATAGGAGCACAAGAATTGCTGGAAGAGGTGGGTGCTCCATACCAATCACCCATCCATATGGAATGATTGCAATACATGCGAAGTATGTGAAACCGAGAGAAATCTCCAGCCGTACCCTCTCGATCGGAAAATCGTCAATATTATGTTGTACTTCCTGATCGATTTCAACTCCCAGTCTTTGCGCATGACGACGGAAATTTGCGTCCATTATTCTACCGACGAATGGCCTGATAAGCAATGGACCGGCACCGATAGGTATATAGCAGAGACCAACTTGGATGGAGTTGTAGTTGTAGGTCAATGAAAGTTGCGCTGGAAGACCAGTGATGATAATGTAAAATCCAGCGTAGAATATTCCACCAAAGAAAAGCATCAATAAGTTTTCTTTCTCTAGGAGGATTGGGATGGATGAAAGAATACCAGGTCGCATTTTTCGTACAATTGTTTCACGCGAGAGATTGGCGCTGTCCTTGCCTAGCCTTCGCTGCCGGAAGACTGCTATCAAGGGCCTGTTCCATCGCTGCGGCGGAACAGAGCCGTTTCCGACGATGTTGCGACATGTTTCCGGAATAAAGATGAGGTATATGAAGAGCATAACTCCACCGTAAATGGCCAAAAACCCAAAAAATTGCTCTCCACCCGAGGAAATGGTTTAATAGACCTCCAATTAAAGGACCGAGAGCGGGCCCGAGTGACGAGCCTAGCGCGGCAAGGCCAACATAGCTGCCTCGCTGCTGCCTCGTTGCAACATCTGAGACCACCCCGTTGGATAGAGCGGTGGTACCACTACTACCAGCACTTTGAACGCAACGAAGTACCAAAAGTGCGGCATAGTTTGTCTGCAAAGCGAGACCAATATTCGCTGCAATATAAACAACAAAACAGAGTAGGTAGGCCGGCCTTCGGCCATACCGGTCTGAAAGGCCACCCACAATGGTTGGCGAGATGCCTTGGAATACCTGTTTCATTAAAATTGTCAGCGAGCTTCATACAGGGCTGGAGATCCATGAATTACGTACCATATAAGTAGTGATCGTCAAACTGATGTTGGTAAGAGATGTGTTTAGATCCTTAGCTAATGTGGTCATGGCCGGATAGTAAATGCTGGAAGAAACCGGAGACGCAAACGCGGCTAACGAAGCGATGTAAACATAAGCCCCTTTCTCAAGTCTTGAAAAAATAGAATGTGGCGGTGAAGTCGCGTTTCCGACGTCACTTTTGACCCGACCATCATTCAAATGCCTTCCTTGACTCATGCCCTCTCGTTCACTTCTTGCCCAAGTTAAATATAGGGAATGAAAAAGAGTGACAAAATAGATAGACGGGTGAACGAACACTGGTGATGCAGTACATGTTCTTGAATAGCTAACCCCACCTTTCAGGCCTGTACAGGCCCGATACCGGCTTCGGAAGAAGCCGTTCACCCACAAGAAAACAAAGGAGCTAACGTTGCATGTAATTTCTCCGTTTCATTATAATTGCAGTGCTAGGCTGGCATTATAGGACTATAATTGGTCAGATCTGCCCATTGTGTCCATTTCAAACCTACTTGACCTGTAGACAATCAATATTGGCCTTTACGTGCCATACCAGTCCAATCCCGGAATCGCTTTTCTAGTCCATGGATATCCACAATAATTGGCGAAAACTTGCCGGTACAGGTATAAGTATGACGGCCCGAGCGTCGCTACCCCCTTTCAACGGATTTGACGTGGGTGGCGATGGAAAAGAGCTATTAAGCCATTTTCAAAATATGCGCCACTTTTTTTGTGTGCCACAGATTTTGTGGTGTGATCCGTAGCTCATGAATACCACACAATAATCCGTGAAAAATTCTACGATGATATTGCCCCTGCTATGCCGCATCCTTTGATCTTGCAAGCGACGCGTTTGGCCGCCCTTTCTTTTGAGTTGATATACTCGCTGACTCTTCATTCGCTTTGATAATTGCTGAAAGCATGACAATCTCTTTTGCCAGTATTGAGTTCCAATCTTCGTCAGAGATGACCTTTGAGGCAAGGAAAACACGCGATCTGGTGAAGAAACCCAGTGAGCTAGTTATTGGAAGAACAGACAACTTGAAGTTTATATGCAATGCGTAGATTCATATCACAATATCTATAGTATCTTCCAATACTTGTCGCCTTTTGCTCAGAAGCTGAGATTGTATGTCCACGAAAGGCACCAAAGGGATACCAAGCCGACCCGTACAGAGAGTCGTTGATGAGCGGACTTATCCATTCGTTGAAAGCCTCCTGACATCTTGCACAGGCTTCTTGGTTGGTCCAGATTGCGGTCTTCATGACTGAGCTTGCATGAGCCTGACTGGTCAAGAGCCGATGCAAAGGTCCCTAATGCTTCATTGATGGACGATAGCCGATGTGAGAGCCCTTTGACAGCTTCGGATGTCTCGTCTTAACTCTCCCTTTTATTGATAACCCCATGAAGTCCTTCGGGTGTTCGTTACGGACACAACTCATTCACGGCCCTCTCTTCCTACCCTTGCGTGCTTTACCTTGACCTTGTCAATCTCGTTAGGCTGCCGCTATCTGACGTCCTCACTCTGTCAGCTGCCTTCACTCTGTCAGCTCATCAAGCAGCTGGGTGGGGGTTTCCCCAGCCCCGTTAGATTGTTCCATCAAGCCTCCAGCGTCCACCAAGATTTTAATTAATTCCTCTCTTGCTCTATAAGGAGCAACGTGGAGCTGCGAGGGATCAGGCATTCTGTCTCCATCTGCCCTCCTGTTCAATTTCTCTCCCATTATCTCATGAAGAGGTGTATTCCCTTTGTGATTGACTACGTTAACGCGCTCCTCGGCCGATCAGATGGCGCGCAGCATCAATTTGGCCCATATACCGAACTAGATAGTGAATCGCTGTACATCCAGCAGTATCGGTGTCGTAAATATCACTTAGCTCTAGTAGGCGGTCTATCATCTCAAGTGGATTTAGAAGAAGAAGTGTAGATTAGATTACTGATATTCGGCCAGTCCAAAATCCTGCTTATATCAGCATTGGCGCAGTGTGGTATTATTCACCGCGGTAGACGTGGCTGTCTTGGCAAGGATCATCACTTCCTTCCCCACCTTTCCACCTCTTCGTGTGACAAGAGCCTTAGTCTTGAGGTTCGCCGTCAGTCTTCCCTTTGGCATAAATTTTTGTTGTTCCTTATCAACTTTATTTACGAATACTCATACTCTTTCTGCGAGTGCCGCCAAGATGGCTAGCAGGCGGGGGATAAGGATGCAACAAACAAATCAAGTCTCTATTGACAAGTACCGCCGGAATCGCAAGATGCAGTCCTGTGAACCATGTCGAAAGTCGAAAGTAGCGTGCGATCACCGCATCCCTTGCGGTAGATGCGTAAGGAGACGGTGTGTTGACAAATGCTACTATCACCCAAACCCTCTTACGCGTGTAAGCATTTAACGTTTCATCCTTACCTTGACGTGAAAGGTACGGCTGCCCATAAGTCCCGCTAACATAAAATTTCCCACTAGAACCAACAGGAAACCATCATGATAGAGGCAGTAACCAAAGGCGTCCTAAGACCACCGGGTCTGAGCAGTGCTGTTTCTAGCTCCTCAATTGAGCAACCTCACACAGGCGATGTATCCGTGGCTGTCATCGCTTTGCAAGGGTACAATTAAAGGGCTGGTTTAGCACCGCCATTAGCTAGCCAGTCAGAGACATCGCCAGGAAAGCACGGTTTCCTCGGCTTTACCTCACGCACATCAATCATGACAGAGGACTTGATGCAAATCGGTGTGACATCTACCGGCCTAGAGCAAACTACAGCTGTCCACAGGGAACCTATTTTAAACGAAAGGTTCGCTAGCGGTTGCCATATTCTTTCCTTCTTGCAGAACAGGGAGATGATAGATCGTGGCATCGACTTGTTTTTCGAGTCTATTGAGTGTATTCATATTCACTGTGGCGAGTTCATAATGAGGCAATGGCTCTTGCAACTGTGGTCTGCTCATGGTGACACATTGGCAAGTCAGAATCCAGAGCAGATACAGCAGCTATGTCAGTTGCTCTGTGAGAACACGGCGACACCGCTGGTATTTGATGGCAGCACCACGGCAAGGCAATGGATTTGCTCTGCCACTGGCAATCACATACGCTGGGGAGTAATCGCTATGATCGCCAATTATGTGGGGACATATGCAATGGTAACGAAATCATCGGATCCATTTTTTCAGGATTATAACGTGGAGCGCAAATCATTGTTGAACCATATGGTCAAGGTTTCAGGTGTATGTATCGGATTTTGCCGAGAATGCGACACTTTGGATGATGCGTTCATCTGGGCCCTGTTTGAGCACTACAACATTACCGAATATACAAAGGGAGAAGCGTGCTATGCAACGTACTGTATTGGCGCCGAAGTAAATAGTGTCCTTATTGCGATGGGCCTTCACCAGGAGGCCAAGGCTAATGGCCAAATTCCTTTTTTCCTCGCTGAGCTACGCAAACGACTTCGAGTAATGGTTTACACAGCAGAAATCAGCATAGCCACGTTCCTAGGCCGCTCACCACGACTTTCGCATCGTTATATGAATTTACATCTGCCGCTAGACCTGACGGACTCGCAGCTATTCTCGGAAGATCCACAAGAGCTAGCTGTCGCTATTGCTAAGCTGGATGAGCAGGGTTACAATCAAGACGGAGAGATCCGCCACGTCTCTTGGATAAGGTCTTCTATCAGCTTCACGAAAAGGAGAGAGGAGGTCCTAGAGCTGTCACTCGGGAACTACACTCCAGACGAGGTACGGCAAATTGCAGACGTTATACAGCAAAAAACCGAAGAACACTGGGCAACTCTTCCGCACATTATGTCGAGCTTAAGAGAAGGTGTATTTGGGCTTGAAACACAGGAGGTCATCGACCTACACTTTCGAAATGTCTTTCGTCAAGGTCCGCAGGCCAACTCACTTCTACTGCACCGCGTACTTATGCGGAAAGCCGGCACTGGTCCGGCAGAATTAATACATGCGGCACAAGCAATCCTAAGTGACGTGATGCGACTGTACAAGCGTGTCGAAACGTCGGCAGCAACGTCTTTCATCTATTTTCTGGCAGTACATGGACTGCGCAGCGCGGTTATACTGGCGGTAGAACTCTTAAAGCAGGAGCAGCTCCCGGTGTACCCAAACGAACCGCTTCTGCCTCGGAGTAGGACAATCCAAGATTTATGTATCTTCACAGCCAACATTAGCGATTTGGATCCAATGTTTGGAGACAAAGATCTTTGCGAGAAGGGCCGAAAAGTGATATCTCGAGTCCTTGATAAAATCCCAAGTCCTCCGAAGACCGCAGATCGACATTGCCATCTCTATCCGATGCAAACACAGCAGCTAGCTACTAACACATGTACCAACGATACGTTTCAGAACACACATATGCTAGAGAGATACGTGGTGATGGATGACCTGGATTATGATATGACGACGCCGATTTATGGTCCAGATCACGCATTTAGGCTGTGGATGGAAAACATCAATGGACAGAACTGAAGCCTGTAGTATAGAGGCTCATGGGATGTGTTATTCCGACAAGATCTTCCGTTTTATCACGGTTAGCTCACTACCGCTGACAGGAGCCATCAATTAATCAATGAATCAATCAAAGTTCAATTAACCTGATGGAGCCAACTAGTTGCGCTGAGGCTATGCAGGCGCTTCGTCCAAATCGAGACACAATTTGGTCTTTCGAACTCTAGACTTGTGGCTTGCAATGCACAGTAATATAGATGGAGAACCGGCCTTCCGTAGGAGGCCGGCACGGAAAAGAGTATATCAAATCCAAAGCCCACGCATAATAAACCCCATACAAAATCAGACCCAAAAGAACAAGGGCCATTATTTTACCCCTCATGATTCCTATCGTCCTCGCAATATGCTCCCGCGTCTCGTACGTCCGTCATTTCTCCAAGCGTTTTGGCTCTCAATTGATTGCGATACGTGGTGGATAGGCTATGGACCCGACCGTTCTCGGTGGCCATGATTTTAATGCTCAGTGGTGAATGCGTAGCGTTTTCACAACCTCCACATGGCCGCATGGCCGATTTATCCGTAGTCATCTTTGTCGGTAGGAGGAGTAGTAGTAGATTGTTTCAACCCGATAAAGCTCGCTTTGAATATCATCGTTGTCGGTATCAGTCTCCGACTCCGACTCCGCTTCCACGTGCTAGAACTGACCAAGGCGGCCAGTTTGGTGCATCATGGCAGCGGCGTAGCGGGCCCCGAACTGGAATACTATCGCATCTTATTCCGTCGTGTCTCTAAGCTCGGCACGAGCAATCTCGTCGAGTATGGTACTCCGCAGATCGGTGTACAGCGTACACTAGAGTAGGATATGTCTCGTTATGTGAGACCCCTGATCGCAGCAAAAATGATCTAACTCTCTTTCCCTGACTTTTCATAAATAATGACCTAAATCCATGCACATTGACCTCATTTCAATGAGTGTCGATGCATATTGCCTGGAAAATCCCTCAAACAAGGCCAAGGCCTTGCGACTCGGCGCCTTGATTAAGCGTCTGATCCATACGACCCGCTCTTAATTTGAACTACTGCTTATACTCTTTTTACGACTAATCGATCCTGTTCGAGTGGAATGCCATGCCTTTGTCTTTTAATGAAGAGTTTATTGTTAAATCTATCTACCAAACTTGCAAATTATATACAATGCTTAAGCTTAGCATACACTCCATAAAGCCATATCAGGACTTCAATGTTGACAAGCACCTTTTGGAGACATGGATGTCTTTTCTATCACGCATGAAAATGCCTCGAGCACGATCACCGAAAAGTCTAATCTTACCGGCCAATATGAAACGGTACATCTGAGATTCATACAACTGGAGCGGTACAGAATGGTCTTTGCACAGTCTTTAGCAAACGATGATGTTATCAAAAAGGGATAGAATCGAAACTTAAGATTCTCTAGAGTATTGCATATTTATTCCGACCCACTGCATATTTATTCCGACCTACTGCATATTTATTCCGACCTACTGCATATCTATTCCGACCTGCATATCTATTTCGGTTAACGACAACACCAACTCCGATATTCTGCATAACAATGGACTGTATATCCATTCCGATGCGCTATCTCATACGAGGTCGAGTATATTAAAAACCGGCAGTGACGTGCTCATAGCCCTCAATGGTGTAGATTCGGCGCTGTCAGAAAACAATTACGTTTAGCATACAACGGTTTAATCATATGATATCACGAAAAGGTAGATACAGATACATATCCCGCCAACCACCCTCTATGTCAAAGAAACTGGTGTTTTGCTCCTTTTAAGATTACCTTCCTTCTTCTCGAGCGTCCACTGAGCAACTATTACTTCACATACTGCGGTCAATGTCCACATGAATCATCATATAATTGAGTAGATGATATTGAGCTATCAACGCGTCCGTGAAATTTCAAAACCACGTGGGCTCCAGGCTGCACATCACTGCTTATTGAACAATTGCGACATTATGGCGAAGATCGAGGCCTGCAACAGCTCTGACCTTTCGATACATCTGGACTCAGTCAAATCCTTCCTTCCTGGTGAGAGAATTACTGGCCATGTCTCCCGAATATCGCGCTGGGTTGGTACTGAGACGAGCATCAGCATCAATTTCCACGGCAGATGCAACACGGAATTTATTAGCCGTGATTCTTACCTGTGTCGTAGCAGCCTGGATCTGTTCGGGAAGGATGGAGTTCGAAAGGAGCTTTTCAATGGTGCCTTACATATTCAAACATCTTGTCCGTACGATAATAAGTGGCATTTTGCAATCGAAGTCCCCAGGCACCCGAACCCAAGCTTTTTGAGGTCGCACCCATTTGGAAGGGCATCATACCTGCCTTTGCTGTACGCCGACCAGCATGCTCTTCCGCCTTCATTTGATCTGGGCATTAGGGCTGCTGTTTCTCGTCGCGATTTCGCAATTGTTGAGTACTATTTAGAGGCCATCATGATGACGCCTAGCTCCCCCAAGCCCGTCATCGCTCGGGTGCCAGTTCAACTTCGATGCGAATCATCAAAATCAATACAGCCTAACTAGTAGTGCTGAGGCTATGCAGGCGCTTCGGCCAAATTGAAGTAGAACTTGGTCTCCTTGACTCCAGACTCGCGGCTTGCATTGCACAATAACAAAAAAGAAAAACCGGCCTTCCAGGAATTTTTCGTAGTCGTCTTCATCCGATTCTGGCTGCTGCGTGTCATAACTGAATGAGTGCTGCTAAGATCGGTGCGAGCGGTTTTGTCAAGCATGGTTCGCCGCAGATTGTTGTATAGCGGGCACTGGAGCAAGATATGTCTCAGTGTTGGAAATCCCTGATCGTACCCACAACGATCTGATTCCTTTTCTTTGACCTTATATGATAAAAGGCCCTAAAATGCGCATTGAGCTCGTTTGGATAGGTATCGATGCATATGTTTCTCCGCTCCCGCACTCACCCCGCTGCCCTCCAGTGAAACCTCCATGCCCCATAGCACGGCGGACATTGCAGCCTCATCTGCAAGTTCATTGCCAGGAACTCCCACGTGCTGGAATCCATCGAAGGGTAATAAATGTTGGTGTTTTCCGTGACCGGATGGCCCGTACGTTGTTATAAATGCATTTTAGCACGTATTGGCCTGATGGTCTTTTTGTGGTCTGCGATGACTTACCCGCAGCTATGGTGTCAGAGAAGATACCAGAGAGCAAGCTATTAGAAGGAACTTCCCCTACGAAAGCTGTGATTATAATACCGAAAATGATAGCGAACAGCATAGTGACAAAATCGGTGATATAGACGGAAATTGTCCACTCTGAAACATAACGGGATCCAATAAGTAACATATTCCTATCACTCGACAATAGGGATTCAATCTCAGTGGAGAGTGAGCCAAAGACTTCAAGGTTACACGTAAAACTTGTGCTTGGGGCCGAGCAATTTATATAGAGGACGTGGGTGAGTAGATCAGCTATATAGCGACGCATGCTCCTAAAGAAAAGTCATTGTTTCAAGACTCGAGCGAAGGCGCTGCGATGGTTAGGATAGCCAATAGGTTAGTCTGACCCGGGAAAAGTATTGTTCATTATATATTTATTCTGTTTGTATCTCTATCCCTTCATAGGCTGTCCATCCAGTGATTAACGTATTTCCCAATCTTTCATCCGTCTGGTCTTCTATTGTATTATGGTTTTATGGCCTATGTATTGCCTAGAACCTTTGAATTCAAACAAGCCAGCAGATCATGTGACAGGAAGGCGTCACACAGATTTGAAGTCGCGCACTATAAGAGCACATTGACAACGTGTATGGCATACTGGGCCAGGCCTCAGCGAGGCTCTAATTTTGTTTCCAGAATTATTAAACCTAATATGGAAGTACACGGAGACATATAGTTGTGGCAACATTTGCATTGCTGCGGCGAGAGGTGGGCTAAATAAATACGCACGCACACATCACAAGAAAAGGGAACTAAGACGGGTGCAAAATCAGTTTTGTTGGTAACGTCAGTTATATTCCGACCGCGGTGTTGAACTGCTAGAGGTCTAATGTCCCTTGAGTACACCTGAAGTTTTTCTCCATATGCTGCTCAATATCATCACGAAGGTATTGTGACGAAAAAGCGGCCTTAAGTTTTGACAGGACAAGTCTGAGGGGGAAACACTTTTGATATTTCAACCAGCAGTACTTACACTAGTTCCTGAGACTCAAGAGCTTGAGTTTTCATCTGCGAAGATCAGCACAAGGCGAACGTAGATCTTACTAGTTGATGCCGCGAGCTTTGCAGGAGGTGCCATTGCATTCCTGTTGAAATTATTTACTAGAAGGGTACGCTTCTAGCACCGGCTAAAGGGGTCATCGATGTACACCGCAATTGCTCCACCATTAGGGCAACTCCGCTTGACCTCGGTGTTGTCATCAGAAGGGGCAGCCGTAGAGAAGGAGAGGCTAGCCACCAAGGCGATCATGAGACAAGGAAAATGCATAATGAGATTTGAAAAAGGACACTTCAAGAACTTCATATTGGTGATTCTGTGCAATAAATAAGACTTGGAACGAGAGGAATGACCTTCTTTATAGGCAAAATGGATGAGGTTCTCAACGGGTCTCAAAAATGGAGGGAGGATAGCCGTGCTAATGCCTTCCTGCTACAGAAACCAAACCGCCAGCCGTCTTTTTATACCATGCTACAGGTTGATCCATAATTTGAGCTACATTTTGAGCCACAAGGAGACTTTCCCGACTATATCCGTTGATCACTTGCCCTATATAGAACTTATAAAGCCTGATAAGGGGCCATGCTAGGGGCCGAACCAGGGCGGCATCTTGAAGGCGGTATATTCTCTATTAGAAGCTCCACACGGCCAGTTATCCCCATATGTCACACAGAAATCTTGGAGACGTTGAGGCTGAAAAGTGGCCCTTCGAAAATAAAATATGTGGCTAACCGGTAAATGAAAATGCGCAAGGCTCGCAGCAAAAACATGCAAGAGCAAGGCACAAGCCAAGAAAGATAAAAATGACCCACCACCTTTATCGTGGCTTAGTGATTGCTCGATTAATAGCTATTTTTGTTCCTCCAATAAGTCCTCTTCCTTAATTCTTTGAACACAGTTTCGGTCAGTCTATGTCGAACATCCAATAAACTATTGAATCGGTTCGAGAGCTCGGCCAAGCACTTCCTCACTGAATAACGGCCCCATTGATACGTACAAAGATATTATGAGCTCCTACACATTAGCGTCATAGCGCATGGGCAGTGTACTGTATGTCCCCAATATGGACACATCGTAAGCCGATCTAGAGCCCAAATTTGGGAGCTAATCTAGGTACCCAAGACGACACCAGTTGAAGGTGCATTTATGTCAATTGTCACAGGCCAGTACTGGATAATTCGTGTGTCATTCAGAAAAGTTCTAAACCGAGGAAAGAAAGAGAAGAGAGAGAGAGAGAAAGGGAACAACTACAAAACAATACCACCCAGTATCCCAATCGGGACTAGCGCACTACACGTGACCTGTCCTCGAATCATGCGTCACATCAAGCTTAAATTATTAATAGCTCGCTACAATCAGCGGCTTCGGCCATCTACGATGTATTTAGTGTTTCGGTGAACATGGAAAGCGTTAAGAGGCTTCGTTATCTGAATAGTGGAGCTGAGAGGCTTTGCTTACTTATTTCAGATTATCTAGGCGCATGTATCACTGCCAGAAACAAAGGTACCATCCGAGTTCTCACAGCCACACTTCCCAGTCTCGGGATCCTTGATACAGGTGGTACCATACCCACCCTCTTCGCCGTCATCGCTCCAATAGAAGATCCAGTAGTCGGAAGCCTTCATCAATGTACCACTGGTTGGAGGATCGCAGATAAAAGCTCTGCATGTTCCGTAAGGAGCACCGTTGTTCGAGTCATATTGGTGATCGGTTTCGAAAACGGCGAATGTCTGGGTCTCCGAAGTACGTGTGTTATGGGAGCACTCGGCAGCTTGAATGGCAGTGGACACCGCGGCCGCTATGTAAAACGGTAAATCAGTGAGGTTCAATGACTTGACTGCCAACTTTGAATCCTACTCACCAGTGCAGTTGAGATTGCTGGGCCTGTATCCCTTAGTGTTCGACGAAGCTGGGTAGAGAGAGGCCACTACGGCAACTGGAGCAACCAGAAAGCCGAGGTACTGGATGGCGTGCATATAGAATTGGCAGGTCTTGAGGTAGTGGGCTTGAACAATGGTTCCATCGGGGTTGATTTTGGAAAGCTGAGTAGCTGCTATATAAAGCTTCGAACTACCTTAAGCTCAACTCCGCAACTTACGGTCCAGAAGGTGTATGTGGCTACCTGAAACATAAAACAATGGATCTATAGCTCTTTATGGGCCTAGACTGACAATATAATCAGATTAAAACAATCAGGTTAGTGAATTCCAGGAGAGGACCCACTTTTCAGGTTGGAAACCACAGCTAAACATTATACGTTTCAGGTATGTCTGTGTGAAGGCAGAAAGAAATTTGATCTTCTATCCCCTGTAAGTAAAGAAATCAGGACTGCCACTGCCTCCAACAAGAATTCGGGCACATATGGCGCGGGATTAGTACGACCGCGGCGTGTTCGTTTAGAAGTACATCACCCAGGAGCGATCATTTGCATATGAGCCCTCTGCTCGAGACTGGCACTTTCGTTTAATTGGGAAAGGAAATTCCTAGTCGGCAACTTGTCTCATTTGGGAATATTTTTGAAACAGTTCGCCATGTCTTCGAGCTTTCTGAGTTATTCGTTCAAAGAGAAACCCAGCCATTACAGGATGGATCGAAATCAGTTTCACCACTTACTCACAGAGATTCTTTCTCGAACCATCTTTTGAAACCCACTTTACCTATTACAGTTACTCTACCCCTGACCCCGAGTGTACAGCTGGTATCCGCTAGTTGAATCGGTTGGTCTCTACAGTTGGCGCATTTAAGCTAAACCATTTTAGGAACCAACTGTCGAGGTCAGGTAATTAGGAAAGGGGTCCTCCAACTCTGGTCTCAGCTTTCTCAATTGTCGGGCTCAGCTGCATCCTGCCTGGCCCTTTTCTTGGCAGTATTCTAGTACAGCTGTAAATAACATTATAACAATAGCGTCCGTGTTAAGCTAGTATTCTCTTAAGGGCTTCTAGAACGTTGATCCTGCAATCAAGGCAAACAGAAGGGAAATTTGCCTGGCTAGGCAGCCAGACTGGCCGGAAGGCCAGAATTCGAGATCTCTCCCTCTATACACCTCGCTCTTCCACAGTGATCACTCCTGTGGAAGATGAGTAGTTGACAGAGACAGTATTGGTGAGGTGAACAATTTCCTATACGATGTGTAACAATGCTGGTTAGGGACCAGTATCCGCTGGACTCTGCATGTGCGAAATTGTGCTGACATTAAAACGATTAAAACAGGGGCGATGACTATTGATTCGTATTGCAACGGCAATGAATTTCAATCCTCATGTGAGCTGGATCCCTTGGTCCAAGATTCGCAATATGCCCCCACTCCAGGATACTTCGGTCGTACGCCTGCGTCAAGATGCGGGTTTAGTCCTTCACCCGACTATGAGACCCAAGACGGTCTCAAAGAATTATTCCAACACCATCAAGAAAATTCCAGACTACTCCAGCGAGCCGAGTGGGTCAAGGAATTGCCAAATGATGAGCTTCCGTCAAGCTTCATCCGGTATATGAGGGTTAAAGGTTTCGGTGAATAAACGTAGCGCTGACTCCGAGTGCTTACTAGTCGGTGATCTTGAGGGGTAATTGTTACAGCTCAAAATGCATGGAAATACGTAGTATTCAACGGAGATACGAAACTGAGGAAGAAACTAAGTGTTGAGCGCTGCGAGCTCAGCGAACAGTCGCTCGCTAGTCCCAATCGGATTAGTCAGGTTCCCCATCCAGGTCCATAGATCAGTCGTCAGTCCTATGCGTCACAAACAAGGCCCATCATCATCCTTTCCTACTTTGTTTCTGACAAAGTCAACTATTACCTCCTCGAGGTGATGGCCTATTGTATAGTGATTTTTTTCAAGCTCGTGGAAGACAGGTTGTGGAAGCCGCTTGACCATATAGCGCACCATATCAACCGGCGCATTGGCATCTTTCGTGCCATGCCAAATCCGCATACCGCTATAAGGCACATCCTGAAACCGGAACCCCCAATCTTGAGACAGCAAACGTGCTTCCTGTATAGCTGCGCCAAATCCTTGTACGAAGACTCCGAGAAACGTGCTTAGCATGCGCTTTCTAGCCTCTTCTGTCGACAACCTCTCCTCTTTTGCGTCTTGCTGTTCATGTGCCTTCTTCTCTTTCTCACGCTTCATGCCATCAATCCAATTATTTAGCCACCTTGTCACTGGGCCCGACTCCGCAATCCATCGAAGGGCGAGGAAAAGTGGATTTGATACCATTTCTAGCGTTCCTGGGCAATAGATCGCCGCGCGAGATAGAAGTTTTCTGCTAACAGTCACGTCCTCTATCCCCGCTACCCATGGAGGCGCCCCCGCCACGACTGCCACTGCCGATAGAATACATGCAGGTAGCAGGTAAGCGCATGCAATAGCATATGGACCACCTCCGGAATAGCCTAAGATCGCAAATTGTGACAGACCCAAATGTGACACGAGAGCTTGCACATCAGCTGGCCAGTCCAGAATCTGACGGTTGGGCTGATAGCTGAAAAGTCCGAACCCCGGCCGATCTGGGACAATGAGACGGAATCCATGGCATTCGGGCCATTTACCAAACCCCCAGCCCTCTGAGCGTGAAGATGGATAGCCTTGAAAGTAGAGGAGGGGGTAATCGGTGGGGTTGCCGTATTCTGCGTACCCAAGGATTCGGCCATCGTTAAGAATCAACTTTTGGTGGAAGCGAGCTGTCATTGAAAAAAAATTGAGATGAACCGCCACTTGTGTTGTTAGATGAGGAGCGAAAGCGTAGCCTCGGTGAAACAGGGGGTCTCATTTCGCAGGTAGCAAACAGACAAAGAGTGGGTTTGAATCCTTTAAAGGATGCTGAATCTTCTGGCTTTCTGTCAAGAATTAGTCGGATATTTATATTCCAAGTGGCATGGCTGGCGTATGCTAGAAGCATTTTGGAGGCGAGGCTCGTGTTCGTAAAACACGATCACGAGTCCAGCCAATGGCGATCAACCTTTCCGCTGGAAGGGTTGCCCCACCACTGATGATAGAAAAAAAGAAATACCTCTTTATACTTGATCTCACAATAATCTCTTCTCTATTGTTGCTTCCGATCATGGGCCATTATCTAAATCACTTCCTGGATCTGTAGGATTATATTCCGTGTTGATAGATCTGTGGTCGTAGAGAAATGTTCTTTTGAGAGCTCGTCCACCAACGAGATGCCAAATTCCTGGGCCCACCAGACATCGTGCCCGAGTCTTTGAACAAGAACACCCCAAACATCAATACTAGCAGCGAAATATGATCTTTCGTTTTAAGAGCTTGGATACATCCTTCGCCGGCCATGTTCAGCCACCCAAGTGCATACAACAGCTTTTATAAGTACTGGTGCTCCACCGGTGCATGAGCTGAAGATCCAGGTGGCGATTATTGGCAGGAAAGGATGGGCAGGCTGTGTGGGCATCACGTGTTGATTCATTTGTTCGATCTGCTCCCGGTGTATCATGGACTGGCAGGATTTTTGGACGGACGGGCGGTGATGTTCGCATATTCACAGGCTGCATCCCTGGTCTCACAGCGCTTGCAAGGTGGGCCTGTTTCATCACATTTGACATGACGACGCTTGCAAGTTATGCAGCCGGTATGGGATTTTTGATGATAGCGACGAGGGGGCATAGCTGATGAAAGTGTCTAAATTGGTATCAGATCATTCGAATATATCCAATTCCACTCGTATCAATAAAGCCTGGGTGCCTTTTTGGAGTAGATAAGGTATTCTGACCACTCTAGCAAAGGAGGCTCGTGTGGATTTCGACTTGAATCTAAGCCACGTGACCGTAATGATTCGACGGTTTTTAGACCGCAACCACAATGGCGGGTTTGGATCGCATGTTACTTACCACAAACGCAACCCCCATTTTGCAGTCAATACTAAATTTATTTGTTGCTAGTCGCACTAGCATAAGTAATTGCTGGTTTACGCTTCTAATTGATGAGACCTAAGACACACGAGTAACAGCGGTGCGATACAATACTGAGAGTAATCGCAGAAGATCGATCATCCGTTGATAATCCAATATGATTTAGTGTGTCATGACTCGTGGGGCTAAGAAACAATCGAAGAGTGAAGTCGGTGAACCAGTCTTGAGACATACTGTACCCCCTGTATTATCACGTGAGGAGGTCCACATCAGGAAGGGAATCCACGCCCAATGGGAGAGTTAATGGAGAGAGTCACGGGATAGCGGCGACCTTCGCAAGATCGACAGCGCATTACCGACCAAATACACGAGGTAGCTTGACGAATCCCTGTCAAGAAATCGAGCGTACCTACTGACGCAACTGCGAACGGGACAATGCTGGTTATCGACATATGCAAAGGCCTTCCGCTTCCGTGATGACGACCTGCCACCGTCTGCGGTGAGCAGGAAAGTATCACACATGTTCTGCTAGATTGTTCTACGCTCAGAGACCTGCGGCAAGAGCTTTGGAAAAAGTTCGGCGAAGCCTTTAATAGCATACCAACCCTGCTGGGAGGTCCTGGAAACAGGGGTTCTAACCAACAGCCGATGGGAGGGAGGCTCACGGTGACCACAGGCTCAGGCACGGTGTGGAAGTCAGAGCCGGCCACGCATACAAAAGTTTTCTTGCCGCCATTTCCATATGAGACCTAACCCAGCAGTGACCAGTCATATTTGGGGCCATAGTAATTTTAAAATGTGTTCAAAATGTATTATCTTGGAGACGAGCAACCCAGACTCGGTGGAGCTCTCATAAGAAACTCAGGGTATTGAGTGATATCGAAACACAGGCGAGAGGCGGTGTTTGCCCAAATAGCAGCTCAGGTAGCAAATCCAGTCGAGGAGGAGAAATCAGTACCAAGCATAGTTGCCAGATAATTGGGGGGGGATGGGGGGAAGCTGCCGTTATTAAATTCAAATGAAGCTTTCAATGAGGGCAACAGCGTCGAGAATTTTGCGAAATGCTCCCTCTGGTAATGTTCCACATTGATAGATACGTCGCCCCAGTAATGAATCATGTCCAATATCTCTTTCAGTATCTTGCACTTCACAATGAGTACTAGTCGCACCACTTCACATATATATGGCTCATGTCCACCCAAGCACTTACGAAAACATCTACAGGAAATTTTGGGTGTTTACACAGCACATTTAGTTCAGTCAGTGCGGTAAGTATACTAGTTATGCATCCATATGGCTAGGACAAAAGGCTGTTATTCAACTTTCAATGTATCCTCAGTTGCTCGTTAGAAGCCGGAACCAATCGAGGAGTGAGATCTGGCAGTTCAGAAATGTCCTGATCAAAAGGCCACATAGGGCGGCGGATGCGTCGGTGCCCAAGGCGGGGAAGATCCTGATCAACACCCCCAGGTGTCAGAGCAAGCATCCAATCGGCTGCCATGTTAAACAATTCGGGCTCCAAGTATCCGATCTTGACTATCACGATATCCGCAGATCGGGGCTCAAGATTGAGCTCGGTGAAATCTCCCTCAAGATGATAAGGCTTGCGTAGTTTAGTCAAGATAACAAACACACTTCCGACCTGAACAACTGCCTCTGTGATGGCATTTCGATCACCATTTCTGATTGCGTGAATGCGGCCTGTTATAGTGACCGGCCCTCCGTGGTTGTTGTCAACCTGAGCGCCAGCCGTGACTGTCACAGTAGCTCCCACACCAGCCCGAACAATTAACTCAATTGCCTCTGGTCCTGGAATACTGGCGTAGATGGCGCGAGGGCCTGACTCGTGCTGAAACTCAGGCCGAGAGAGCACCCTTGCAAGACTCCATGTCACATCGCCAGCACCCCCAGCCGTTGGGTTGTCACCCGAGTCTGAGATAAAAAACGGTCGCAATTTTGACTGCAGGGCAGTGTCAATGCACTCTTCCAGAGAACCGGTTGGCGCCACAAAGCGAAACTCCTTGCGGGAGTCCCAGAAGTGATTTGCAAGCTTCCGAGCGCTTTCAGTCACGACATCTGCATCCCATCCTGTCACCATCACAACCGCGTGGTTACGTGGCTCATCCGCCCAGGCATAGCCAACCCAGATAGCAGCATCAAGCACTCCCGCAATTGATTCGACTTCAGGTATAAGTGCATAGAGTCCCTTCGCGGGCTCCAGTCGTGTCGAAGTCTGCTCCCCTGGCAGTAAGATGGGGATTGGAACCCTGGCCTTCAATGGCCGATTTGGAAATGAACCCTCGGCCAATAACTCGACGAGATTTCGACAGGCACGTTCTTTCGTATCTATTTCATCTTCGTGCGGAGCCATCCGGTAGCATGTAATTAGATCCGTTTGGTGTGCCAGTTCCTCTGAAACATTGCCATGAAGGTCCATTGATGCTGATACGATGACTTGGGAGCCGATGACATTTCGGACTCGACGAAGAAGTTCGGCCTCGGCATCATCTACATCCTGAACACACATCGCTCCATGGATATCAAACCAGAGACCATGGACCGGGGTGGACTTGCAAATATCTTTGAGGCGAGTCAAGATCTCCCCCACAAGCTCTTCAAATGCTGCTCTGGTAACGATTCCTCCGGGGAGGGCGTGGCCGATGAGTGTACCGCGCCAATCTGCTGCGTCTCCAAGTGGCGTTCCACGGTGGATAAAATGATATTTCTCAATTATCTCGGTATCACGAAGAGGGTGAAATGCTGCTGCGGGGGTCCGGGCTGGAGAGAACCCAGATGTTTCACAGGCAAGCCCCGCAATAACAACGACTGGATTTTTCGCCATGGCGTGAAACTATGACTTGCTATTCACTGTGTGAAAGTCGTAGGACACCGGTTTGCAACTTGACGAGAAACGACCTCTGTGTCATCATCACAGTGTGGCCAAAAGTCTCAGGTCAAGGTCCTAACGAAGCTTTCCCTTGCCGCCGCTTGGTGCGCCCAGTTCCATGCAACGTCGCTTCGAGCCGCCAGCCATTTCGACCCCGCTTATCTTCTGCTCGGAACCTATTTAAAAGAACTTTAAAATAATTCTTTCCCCAAGCATTCTTCATGCGGTATTTTAATAGCAAGGAGAAAAGTTTCATTCAAGTTCAGATTCAATGTGGCTCACGGTCAAAATATGCATCATCAGACCTTACGTCTTCGATCTGCATCTCAAGTGCAATTGATACTCAGGTAAGGGAGGTGGGGGGCGGGTAGTTCCCCGATAAGACGGGTCGCTCCGAGTGCTGGAATTTCTGACAGGAAGAAGATTAGATAGCCCCTATTCTCGAGAGCGCAACTCCGCTGATCGACCAAATGGTGATGGAACACTACTATCGGCATATCATCGGATCCCACCTCACTCACTACCCCACGACTAACAATCAAATATGCGGAGTAACCTACTCAAGGCATAGATACGGCCCTATATAGCTGGGTATTCTGTGCCCACATAGAAGACCAACGGTATATTTTCCAACTCTCGAGGTTTCCAGGGCTATCCCTTCCCTAATATATTATCCCCCTCAATGCTAAGAAAGACTGCAACGGGGACATGGATGCCCGCGTGGGTTCCTGGGTCCACTTTCACTGTTTCAATACTGTTATTGGTTTGTTCTATTGTTCAGTCTGCTGTAAGTCCGTTCACCAGTCGACCCTTTTTCACTGGAGCCTCCAAGGTGAGCTGACATTAATAAGACCGGTGGCTATGACGGGTCAATGTTAAATGGTCTCAATATCTTGTCCTCATACACGGACTATTTCAAGCTCAATAACGCCACAACTGGGCTCAATACTGCCTCCGTTTTCATTGGTGGCTTCTTGGGGCCTTTAGTATCAGGAGTCATTGCAGATCGGTTGGGCCGTCGTCCGGCAATATTCTGGGGGTCATGTCTGACCATTGTTGGCATCATCATCCAAACCGCTTCACAGAATATTGGCATGTTCGTCGCCGCCAGAATAATACTCGGATTTGGAAGTGCAATTACCGGGGTTGCCGGCGGCGTTTATTTATCAGAAGCTTTCCCAAGTCGTTGGCGTGCATGGGGCGTTGGACTCTTGAATGATTTCTACTAGTCAGTCTACTCACCTCAACTGGAGTCCATCACTAAGGGAACTATAGTGTTGGGGCTCTCATTGCTGCCGGTGTAACTCTCGGCACGGGACAGTGGCAATCGACATGGGCCTGGAGAGCCCCTTCGCTTTTCCAGGCCATTTTCTCTATGCTTTGCATATTGACTCTACCATTCATGTAATTTCACGAGCTCCTGCTCTGTAAGAGCTATACTAACCAACAAAAGTCCTGAATCTCCACGTTGGCTCGCTCACCAGGGCCACTTTGAAGAGGCCCGGCTTTCGGTTGCACAGACAAACTCAAATGGGGTACTCTCCGATCCAGTAGTTCTCACAATTTTCAAAGAAATTGTGGATACTTTGAAGTGGGAAAAAGAGAACGTGCACGACATGAGCCCCATCGAGATTCTTAGAACTCCTTCAGCGAGAAAACGCCTCCTTGTTGGGATATCACCGGGGCCATTTTCCTGCATTGCTGGTAACATAATTGCGTCCTATTACTTCGGCTCAGAACTTGATACGGCTGGCATTACGGAAAAGAACGAGCAGCTGAAAGCAGTAAGTTCATTACACCTGAGCATGTGCATCGCCATCAGATCAACTTACCTTACAGAATGTGGTTCTCAACATTTGGTGTCTTGTATGTTGTCTCGTCGGAACGCATCTTGCAGCAAAATGGGGACGTAAGCCAACTGCCATTCTTTCTCAAGGCCTTCTGAGTGCTTGCTTGTTCATTATAGGAGGACTCTCCAAAATATATGCCGCAAATCCGAAAGGCGCATCCGGCTCACTTGTTTACGGAAATGTAGCCGTTATGTTCCTCTTCCAAGGCTTTTACTCTATCGGATGGACACCACTCTTATATCTTTACCCATCAGAGGTCATGAATTACTCTATTCGGGCCAATGGGGTAGCTCTCTCATCATTTGTGCTGAATGCATTTGCGTAAGTCAGCCGCATGTCGGAATAATTCTATGCTGACTGTACACAGCCTGGTTTTCACTTTCATCATGCCGATCGGCCTGGGCAACATTGGATGGAAGATGTACATGATCAATGCAAGCTGGGATATTATTATCCTAGGCCTTATTGTACGCCTCTGCCTATTATCTGTGTCTCTTTTTTCTTTAAATCTCTGTGCTAATATCCCCAGGCTTATTATTGGGTAGAGACCAAAGGAAAGACACTGGAAGAGATTGACGCGTTGTTTGACGGCGAGAAGCATTCCTCGGTTCCTGATGTTGAGAGAATTGAGAAAAACCAGAAGGACATTGATACTATTGCTATCGAGGAGCAACTGGTTGCCGAGCTGAATTCAGAGAGAGGGAAAGCGTCGTGAAGTCACGTCCACTTCTATGCAGAGATCGACTAGAGTTTATTCCGCATCACATTCTTGTCTGAGCAAACAGCCGAGGACTGGATGCCACGTCCTTGGATATATGCGATTAATGAGAAACTGAAATAATTCACAGTGATTGAACAGTAATAGTGATTGGAACAATAAATCAGTTGTCATTTACTAAGGCGGCTGAAGGCCAGGAGTAGAAGGAAATGCTCGGGCCCCACCAGCCGGTCCTGGATGATTCAGCCCCGCTCGATCACGGGCTGATACCACCTTGTGGTTACCTAAACGAGGAGTCAGTCCTGCCCGTTGCTTGAAATCCCCTCTTTACAGTTTCCACCCCTGATTTTTGCTAGGGTCAGGCACAATCGAATTCGAACAAGATATTCTTCAATAGAGGTCTATATAATCGACCTCTAAGGTCCAGCGCAGCTTTCCAATGACCCCTCTCTTGGAAATCGCCTGTTTCAATCAGGAATCTGCAATCAATGCAGCCAATGGCGGTGCTGATCGAATTGAGTAAGTCCGAGGCCCAGTGACATTTGAAAGTCACAGGAGTCTATAGTTTGCTCTGTTTTCATTCTCGATCGGGCTTTGAGGTAGTTCCTTGGCCATGTCACGCTAATATCCTTCAGGCTTTGTCGGGATTACGCATCTGGAGGACTTTCACCCGCCGCCACAACTTTGATGGAACTCAAGTCTCAGATTACTGTTCCAATATACGTTATGATTCGCCCACATTCAAATGGCTTCTGCTACGACAAGGAATCATTTGAGATCATGAAAACGACATTGTCCAATATGAGGAACCTCGGGGCAGATGGTTTTGTTTTCGGCATTCTCAACCCTCTTTCTGGAGACTCCTCGAAAAGTTTGTCTTCGTGGATTGATGTCGCCAGAAATAAGGAGCTTGTCAAGCTTGCGAAAGGAAAACCGTGCACTTTTCACCGCGCTTTTGACTGCATTCCGGAATCTCACTGGGACACAGCGCTGGATGACTTAAAAGGGTGTGGCTTTGCATCAGTTCTGACCAGTGGAGGTCCATCGAGTGACAGGGCAATTGACTGCGTTGACAGACTAGCCGACCTTACCCAACGGCTTGATCCACTCCAATCTCATTCCCAAAAAAGCTGCAACCCTCTCCAGATCATCGTTGGCGGTGCAGTGAGAGCGAATAATGTCCAAGTACTAAGGGAGACGTCCCATGCGCAGGCATTCCACTCTAGTGCCCTTATATCATCCGATGAGACCGTTGCGACGTCTGAGGTGGAAAGTCTGCGAGCCATGTTGCGGGGGAATCCACTGCAGCGAAAAAGCACCCCGTAAAAGAAAAATGAAAATAACCGGTCGCACCATTGTACCAAAAACTCTGCATGTGACTTGTGACTTGGCTTCCGAGACAAAGCGATCGAAGGAAGATGAGAAATCGAGCGCGACGTGCAGAAATCGAAGATATTGAAATTTAATTCATTGGTATTCTCGTATTCACCTACAGTAGATTTATTCTTAAATAGTTTCTAGTACACTCACAGAGGACAGTTGAACACCTTTTCTTCCTTCGAATCAACGCCGTCTTCATATTAACAAAGTTTAATTTTTGCTGAGGCCCCAAGGGGCTGACAGTGTATGACTCGGTTTTGAGTCGAATTGGACGTAGGCGAATTTTACAACGTGATGCAACTTTTTCTTCCGATTCACTCTTGAGCTTAAACTCTATATTTCATGCTGGCTTGGGTTGTCTTCAGTCAACTCGGATGATTGGTGTCTGACAGCGTATGCAGATATCTGTTGAACTACTGGAATGTGGAAATCATTGAACTTGCTTGCTTGATATGACACCCTTTGCGTGTATGATCTCACAATCGTGAGGCTCGAGGATTGTTTTTTCCGGATGAAAAATTCCTAGTAGTTACGCTTTCTTGAAGCTTTTGAAGGTTAATAGAATCCAATCTGTCTCCTTCAACGAACTATGTTCTATTTTGGCAGCATAGTAACCCCATATGCTGTTTGTGTGAGATATACGAAATTGTCAGGGAGCGAATTCCTAATACTTCTGTGAATCCTCCGTAACTTGTGCTTATTGATTTATGGTCACCGTTCAGTTCATTGGTAGGTCATATTCTTGCAGCGTCTTCTGATTTGTCTTTTATTCACCACTGTGGAATATCATTTGGTCCAGCTGGCTGTTCCTGATGGGCTGCATCTCCTAACCCCCTTGGAGCAGTCATAGCTTCGAACAACTTGTTACCAAAATGGCGAAAAGCAGATGCAACGCCTCCGCGGTCGAAAAGCTCCTGTTCCATCTGACTGAGCTGGAATTGAAAGTCTCTCTTTCCAAGATAAATAATTCTGTTGTGAATATCGATAGAAACTTCCGTTCCATCCTGAGCTGCTTCATAGAATGCGTCATTCTGCATTGTGATACCCAGCATTCCAAGATTAGGCATGTTCCGTTGGAAGATGAAAGCGAACGACCTGGCAATGACACACTGAACCCCACACCCTATGTGAAGAAATTTGAGAAACAGCAGATACTTGTGACTGGCCGCAGACTTACCTAGTAACGCCATGACTGCTTGCTCGCGGGATGAACCACATCCGAATGCTTTCCCAGCCACCACAATATTCAAGCCTTCCTTGACACGGTCGCGGAATCCTGGGTTTGTATACTGCAAGCAGTAGAGTCCGCTCATCTTATTGTCCCGCATTTCCATTAGGAAATCGGCGGGCGCAAGCTAGACAGAAGCTGTCAGCTAATTGAATTCTCTCGGTTGAAGATAACCTCCCGCTACTTACCGCATCCGTATCAATGAAATCCCCAAGGTTTTGGACTTTGCCTCTCAAAATGCGCTGCGTGTCTGAGACATTTGCGTTTAGCTGCAGTTGGCTATCCATTATATCATTTTTGTGCGAGAAAACGGCCACATCTGACGAAGTCTGAGTATCACCACTGGGCTCAACATATTCGAGCACTTTGCTTGAAGGTGTGCCTTTTTTAGAATGTACTGTCCTTTTGAGATTTTGCCACCTGCTCAGATCGATGGAGCCGATCAAATCATCGGGGTCGGTCAATCTCATTTGGAACGAGGATGCAGCGACTGTTGCGGCGGATCCGAGATGTCCAATTGATCCTGCATAAACGTATTAAGTACTGAAAAATCATTAAAACAGCTATAGCGTACCTTTTCCCATCCGATTCTCAAAATTCCGATTCTGCGAAGACAGCCATACCTCTCCAGGAGCGGCTTGGTCGGCAGACATGCCAACACAATAACTGCACCCAGGGATTCCAATTTCAAAACCCGCATCCTCGTAGATATCCGTGAGTCCCAGCTGACGCAAACGGTGAAGGATGGGCATTGACCCAGGAACGACCTTTCGTTTTCCTTTTTTGATAGGCCTTTGCCCCTTTTGCAGAGCCTTTTCTAACACCAATGCAGCAAAGATCAAATCCTCTTCGGCAGTTGTGCAGGCCCCGATAAAGCAGCCATCAAGTTCCATACCCTCATGCTCGCCGACAGGAACCACATTATCTGGTTCTGGATATTTCGCCAAGAAAGACCTAACATTTCCAAGGTTTATCTCGTGGACTTCGGCATAGTGGGCATCAGCATCAGGCCTAAAGTAAGTGGGAAGACTTTTGTGGCGAGGCAGTCGTCGCTTCTGAATGAAATCATGTGTAATTTGATCAGGAACAAAGATACCAGTCACGCCTCCAAACTCCTGAATCGTTGTCAGTGTCATTTCTTCACTCGCTGGGCTGTCATTCTTACCGTCGTCATGTTGCAAATCGCGAATCTTGCGTCTGAGGACAAATGCAAAATACCAGGGCCCGTGAACTCTACAATCCTATCAGAGGCCACTGTATTTCTTTTTAGCTGCTGCAGAATGTAAAGGATCACATCTTTTCCTCCTATGCCCGGCTTCGGAGATCCAATGAGACGGATGTTGACAGACTCGGGCACTTTGAACCATGTTTCGCCAGTCACTAGGGGCAAAGTGACATCTGCAGCTCCGAGTCCAATAGCCAAGCATCCGACTGCTCCCGATGAACACGTATGTGAATCCGACCCGATAACTACCATCCCTGGTTGCGCTCGTTCTCTGTAGAACTCCGTGTGCATGATCGTGTACTTGTACGTTCGTCAGTAAGAAGTTAAGTGTGTGCAGAAAGGAACGAATACATTCATGCCTTGGTAATCCGTCATTTTGAAGACTCGCTTGGCACGCTCACTTGCGTCAATTAGCCTTCGAACCTTGGGCAATTTATTCACCCGTGGGTGCACAACATGATCGCCTGCAAGCCAAAAACGATCATTTCGAAAGATTCCTGGTTTCCCAAGGCTATCATATGTTCTCTCCATACCCTTTTCATGTTCAAATTTAGATCGAAAAATCTCCAACTGGGTGGGTCGAGGTGACAACGTACCATCCAGGATGCCTCCGAGGCAATCACCCAGTCTACGTGAATTCGGATCAGCTCCCCTGGCACAACGAATCCCTTCTGCTCCATATCATGAATGGCAAAGATCTTCTCGCTGAGGGTCATGCCTCGGCGACCAGCGGGCCGCTGAGAGAGAGGCTTGGGCAACGATTTGGCATGGTCGGCTGAATTGAGCGCTTCCAACCATGCAGAGGTCAAGAACAGGATTTCAGACACAAGCTCCGGTGTGAGTGGGCTGCTTTCTGCAGTGCCGAGTCCTCCCAGTTCAGGGGGTTGGCGACAAATTTCGATGACATCCAAGAGTGCGTTCGATTCCCGATCATTTCCCGTTTTCTGTAAAAGCTTGATGGCAACAGTGAGCACTGCTAACACATTTTGCGACCGGTCAAGTGAAGAGACTTATCAAAGGTCAGCTGAAATTGCCAAAATTCACAAATATAGCAATCATAAATCAGCAGGCATCTACCTTCTTGGGGCCGCAGCGCAATATTTCTCGAATGGTAGAGAATGTCGAGAAGTTGGTCGAGCGATGACTTGGGCTCGGTCATATTGGTGACAGGGATGACTTTCAACTCGAGGAATTCTAACGAGTGATCTAGCTTGACTGTTTTGATCCAGTCCCGATGGTCAACCGTTATATCTTCAATTCAAATTACCGAACGAGGCCCGCTGGTACACTTCCCCGGCCCGCAAGCGGGCCGAAAGCGGCCTCGCAGCACTCGTCGGAGCGTTCACGCAACAAGGCCCAGGCGGCAAAACAGAGCATACATAAATTATACTCTTTATTATCAGAATTTCAAGATCGTAAGCAACCCCCTGAACATTGTTCCTCGATACCGTCCAGTATTGTCTGTATTTCCTGTTCCAATATTTTATAGGATGGCAAACACATCCGCAGTTTCAAGGCTTAGGCATCTACTGGCCGACGAGAGCAAGATAATTATATGCCCTGGTGTATATGATGGTCTTACCGCGAGAATTGCCCTCGGGGCGGGATTTGATGTCTTGTATATGGTGAATATGTGTTCCTTCTCGAACTCCCCAGAACCATTGCTAACAGGCTGCATTATCTCCAGACAGGAGCCGGGACCACCGCATCAAGGCTTGGACAACCAGACCTTGGTATTATAACACTCAATGAAATGCGGGGGAATGCGGAGATGATTGCTGGACTTGATCGATCCAGGCCCCTCATTTCTGATGCGGACACAGGGTTTGGTGGTTCCCTAATGGTTCATCGCACCGTCACCGAATATATCCGTGCAGGAGTGGCGGCGCTTCACTTGGAGGATCAGCCAACGTCAAAGCGATGTGGCCATCTTCCCAACAAGCAGCTGGTCAGCAAGGATGAGTATATGTCGCGCATTCAAGCTGCAGTTAACGCTCGTAAGATATCGGGAGGTGATATTGTTATCATCGCGCGGACCGATGCGCTGGCCACCTTAGGGTACGATGAAGCCATCTCACGATTGAGAAGAGCCATCGAACTCGGAGCAGACGTTGCATTCATGGAGGCAATCACATCAGAAGAACAGGGCAGACGCGTTTGTGGAGATCTTTACCCAACGCCTGTACTCTTCAACGCCGTTTCAGGGGGGTTATCGCCCAATATGTCGGCCCCGCAGGCACAGGAATTGGGCTTTCGACTGATCATCTTCCCGGGATTCGCGTTGGGTCCTGTCTATTCCGCTGTTCAACAAGCAGCGAAGCACCTCAAAGAGACGGGGGCTCCGGTCGCATCCGGGGTAGGGAGTCCTAAGGATTTATTCAATGTGGTTGGCTTGAAGGAAGCGCTCGCAATTGACCTGGCATCTGGTGAAGGTCTGTTCCAGCAAGGTGTATGATATTTTCCTGGAAGATAAACGCCAGGGTAGAGTCAACATAGTTGAGAAAGTCATTATTGATGGTCCACCTAGATCTGCGCTCGGCCAGTTAAGACTGTTTAGAGTAAAGAAGGTCGTAAAAGATCCACTAGCGGGCCTATCACAGAAGCGTATCTCCTTGTGGCTGGTGCTCCAGTCGCATCTTGTTGTTTTCAGCAATTTCATGCATCGAAAAATTCCAGTTGAGCCTAAGTGTGCGACTCGACCTTCTAATATAGTCACGTGAGAGGCTTGAGCCCCGCCTTCGGAGATGAGCTTCTTCCCTTTTCTATCTATCTATACATTCTCGAACATTTGGAGTCTCATTGACCCCAAGACATGATGGGGCGACAGAATTGCAGTTTACCACAGGAATCAAATCATCGAGGTCGGCGTATTGCATGCCGGCAATGCCGACAGGCAAAGGTGAGCCGTCCTTCGACGAGCGTCATGAAGCAATAGCTAGAACACTGCGCAGATTCGATGTGAGGTATCCACAGGGGGAACGGCTCCTTGTTCACGCTGTCAACGTGTCGGTCTGGATTGTGAAGTGGATACTGAGTTCAAAAGAGTCAACAAGCGCGCGCAAGTACCCGACGTCATCCCTGTCAACTAGCACTAAAATGGTCACTAGAAGACTTGAAGAACTCGAGGATGAAGTTCGGGAACTAAGATCGTCCGTTTCTGGCTTCCCGTCACATTCCAAACCAACTTTTGAAAAGTCTTTCTTGGGCCAAGCTTCTAAACCCTGCCTCACGGGCTTATCGGACCAAGCGACCGAACCGAGCAGCGGCGGCCTTCTCTTGGATGATTCCCAAATAACTCGCCATCAAAAAGCCAATGCGCCCCAAGATTCTCTACGTCCCACAATTCCGAGATCTATCGGCCATCTCCGCTTACAAGCTCAGCAGATCAACTCTTTATTTCATCTGTACGCGTCATGAGCCGCGACTCAATAGTGGTCATTGGAGTTGCTAATACGAGTTAGGTTCTTCACTAAATACCACCCATTCATGCAGCTTCTAGATCCATCTCTCGCTCCAAATATATATTTTGATCGGAGTCCAGTTCTGTTCTGGGCCATCATCTATATAGCCTCTCGTCAGTACCCTGATGAACCAAGCCTACTAACCACGTTGGGCTCTCTGGTAAAAATGCTACTTTGGGAAACAATATCCAACCCTCCACACAATTGGTACATTGTGCAATCAATCTGCCTTCTATGCATGTGGCCGTGTCCTACATCTTCTCTTTCAACTGACACAACTCCCATGCTGGTCAACATCGCCCAAACTATGGCAATGCAGCTCGGTCTACATCAACCCGAGGCAATTCAAGATTTTTCTCGAACTAAACGAAAGCTGAGCTCAGCAGAGGTCTCTGAAGTGGTGAAGACCTGGTCTGTTTGCTACATCGTGTCTCAAAGGTGAGCCTCTGTTCTTTGAAGCAGTTGATGGGAGCTGACATCATTATAGTATCTCAACTACAAATGGTATGGCACTAGCCTCCTCAGACTGGATGGTGGACCGCATCTGTGACCATGGGAGTCCTTACATTCTCCCCATGGAAATGAGACACCAACTTTTGATGCACCGATTCTCTGCTCGGGTCAGCAATTACATGTCTAAATGTCTTCCAAAAGGCACAAACGGGCTTCTTTCACATGAGATACTCCCTGTCTTGGGCCTCCTTGAGCAGGAACTTACGGATCTGTCACGATCCATAAGCAACTCACTTACAGGTAAATCCGGGCTTCAAACCCTTGTCCTTCAATGTATGATCTTATAGGCTAAAATGAGAGCAGATGAGAACGAAATAATATTGAGTGGCATCGGACTGCAACTTTATGTCTTTTACTTGCTTGATTTGGAAGACTCTCTGGCTCGTAAGACGGGCTTGTTGAAAGCCTTTGAAACAGCCAAGGCTTTGATAATGAAGCTTTATCAGCTTGATACCACGTCCAACCTTATGAAATATTCACCTGCATCATATTACCGGGTAACGTCTTTGGCGGCATTATTTATTCTCCGCCTCGAAGATTCTAGCCTGGTTGGTCTTCTAGATGCAGAAGGCGGAAAGCAGTCATTCAACGCTGCACTTTCTCTCCTCCGTCGAACTTCACTAGAAGACAACGATCTTCCAGGAAGGACCTCCAAGATCCTAGCCCAACTTTGGAGTATGCAGGGGCAGTCTCAACAAAGTGGGAAAGAACCGCATTTGAAGCTACGAACGAGGCTGGCAGCTAGTCTACTTCACGATCAACTGTGGAACTGGAGAGAGAGCTTTGGTGGACAAGGTTCAGCTCCGCATACACCACCTCGCGGTATGTCTCCAACTTCTGTGAAATGGGATCCCCAATAGATTTCATTGATTCTTGACTAATACTACTCATACACCAGAGCCCAGGAATAATTCTCCAGATGAGCCGATCTTAGCAACAGGCATCAATCCTCCTATGTCATCAGAGATCGAGGTAGATCGACTGACATTCGAGGATGTGTTTGACCTGGACATGCTCTCTCTTCTCCCGTTCGACTTTGAAGAGAATACTCTTTTCGATCCTAGTCTTGCCGCTGAAGAATCTGCCGTCTTCAATGCACTGTCATGAATCTTGCTTCAGACGTACCTGGATGGCACACAACAAGCCGAGTCGTACGCAATGTGGACAACAATGGCACCTGAGCACATTCTTGATTCTTTCACTAAAATCATGCAAGCGAACGTCGATTAAATTAAATTTACGGATTGTGACAAGGAATTATCGAGACTCGGAGATTGCTCTGCATAGTAGTTCCAGCAGTAGTTAGCTCACTAAGTATTTAGGGGGCTTAGTTCGCATCTGTCGGAATGTTTTATATGCAACCAATCAACGATATCAAAAGCTCTGTCTTTGTATTACCCCTGATTCTGCCAATTTATAGGGGATTCTAGATTACATAAGTAATAAACATGAAGGATAATTGTATCTCCGGTCCACCGCAGTATTCGTATTGACATCCCCTCATTGCGTTCGGCCGGTCGGACCTCCTTCAGACTCTTTGTCTTTGCTCATTTTCTCCTTTCCGCTTCATATGCCGACGGGCTCTTGCCGTGACCGTTGAGTGTGCTCATGATTCAAATCATCTAGGCTTCTTGATCAACATGTCTTTCAAAATTGAATTTGGTGCAGTGTTACAGGCGCCTGGTCCACTAATTTATCTCTGAGGGTGTGATTCAGCATATCAGGAGGGAGGGGCAACATCCCAGCAACAACCGCCGCTGACCCTGTCGCGGGACTTCGGATGTGATATTCGAACTTAGTTAGCGTGGACGTGCTTGACCGCGCTGCGGCAGTAGTGGCGTCCAATCTAATCTCCTGCAACCCTTTCTATAGATAGAGATACAAACCTGCGATAGACCAAACCCGTTTGACTATCGTAAGCACAGGAACAACCCCGCCACCACCGTCATGGGGAAGATGAAGTTATCAAGCATAACTCGATACCGTCATTTTCGGTGCCTTGCACAACGGGGCCGCCTCGTGCTCGGCACTGTTGCTTGTCAAAAGCTTAGTGTGCGCACCAACCCGTGGCTGATAGACGAGCTCCCTAGTCTCACGCCACAGTAACATCGTATCAACATCGCTTATCGAAAATCGTTCAACAATCTAGAGCCATAATGGGCGATCCTTACCTTGTTTGCTTTGGCTCATCTGAACACGGCCAAACCCCGGTATACAATGTAATCCCGGCCTCTCTCTACTGGGTTGTGAGATGAATCTTCCTTATCGCAATGCCCAACCCCGTCGGAAATCCGCAGATTTCCCATCGCGGACTGTTAATAGGGAGAGCCGGCGCTAAAAAGCGCCCGTGGCTGACTGCGTATTTCTTGACGAATGTGGGGTGCTCACCTTGTAACTGATTATACTTGTCGGAAGCTATCTATGCCGAAATTCTGTATTTCTTGCATACAGGAAGAGACGGTTGAGAGTGACTTCTCCCAGTCCTTTGCATTGTCGTCATAGTCCGAAGGATAGCCGTCATTCTTCAAATGACCACAAGATACTTGACTATACCGCTTTGGCCCTCGAAGCAAATCCGCTTGGAGTCACCAGAAAACTCTCCGTTCATCAGATGCCACGCTGTGGATAGATCTAAGGCTAGCCATTGGTTGACTCGTGACTGTGGATCAGGCTAGTCTGATCTTGATGACTTCTCTATGTGAGCTAGATTTTCTTCATGAATCTCTGCAGGCCGGCCCAAATTGCATCTCTCAGGCTAATTCGAGGAACCCCATCGGTCTCCGACGGCGTCACATACTCAGATGCCGTATGTGCAGGGGAAACTCATGCATGCTGTTCCTAGTGGCGTGGGTCTACTGTCCATGATGTTGCATCAATATCGAGTCTCATGGTGCTTGGATCGCCGGAATACAATGGGAAGTCGGAGTAGCCCTTTTGACTTCGCGCCATCTTGGTTATCTATCACGATATTGAAGGTACATAGGTCTTAAGCAAGATATGGAGGCTATATAAAGCCTGTGCTCCCTGTGTAGCTATGGCCTTTTCTCTTCCAAGCAAGCCTACTCTCAGCCTTTCTCGCTCAACAGTTCCATTCTTCCATCACGGCCATACCTTTCAAGGCAACCCAACTTTACCTTCACGATGAAGTTCTCAACTGCTGTTATCAACGCCTCGCTTCTTGCAACTGCGGCCCTCGCAGCACCGCTGACTGCGAAGCGCCAGGCACGCAACGTGGCTCGCTCCTCGAGCGGCCGTCAAAGCAACCCTCCCTTCATCCCCGGGACCGACAGTGTTCTCCACTTGAACAAGACTTCGCACGAGGAGTACAGCTCCAACTGGGCGGGAGCAGTTCTCATCGGCACCGGGTACACTGCAGTCACTGCGGAATTTACTGTCCCTAAGCCCACCCTTCCTAGCGGGGCATCCAGCAACGAGCAGTACTGTGCTTCAGCATGGGTGGGCATCGATGGAGATACTTGCAGCACCGCAATTCTGCAGACTGGAGTCGATTTCTGTATCCAGGGCAGCACCGTTTCCTATGACGCCTGGTATGAGTGGTATCCCGACTATGCCTACGATTTCAGTGGCATTAGCATCTCCGCTGGAAATGTGATTAAGGTGACTGTGGATGCCACCTCCAAGACCGCCGGCACTGCCACTATTGAGAATGTTTCCACCGGTACCTCTGTGACCCACACCTTCACGGGTGGCGTTGATGGTGACCTTTGCGAGTACAATGCCGAGTGGATCGTCGAGGACTTCGAGGAGAACGACTCCCTCGTTCCTTTTGCCGACTTCGGTACTGTGACTTTCTCCAGCGCCGAGGCTACCGATGGAAGCTCCACCGTTGGTCCTTCTGGTGCTACCTTGATTGATATTGAGCAGAGCAACAAGGTCCTCACCTCCAGCTCTGTCACCAGTAACTCTGTTGTGGTGAAGTACGTCTAGAGTCCACCCCGGAGCACTGGGTAATATCAATGAGCCTTGAAGTGGCCAGGTACCGGGCTAGTCCATGGTCTTTTGATCGTAAACGAGGAGCCATGGGGTCAATTTTCCATATTGTTGAACCGTCTTATATTCGGCAGTCTCAATCATGTTCCTAATACAGTATCAATGCAGATCAAACCTTCTTGCTTTATTTTCAGTATGCCGCCCTCCTAGACACGATGATAAGGAATCCTTTTTATCGAAATGCATTGGTATAAGGCTACTAATGCGTTTTTAAAACCAAACCAATACATTTATCAGGTTACTGCCCATAAAATTCGACTCTGGAGGGAATTTATGAAATTGTTAATCCCAACTCGGGAAGTACAATGCTTCCTCTCTTCCCTGTAATGTATTCTCGCTTTTCGAGGTTATATTGGGATTTTACTCTGAAATATTTCACTGGTCGTAAAGGTGCTATGATTGCGGTGTACCAAAACCTCATGAGAACAGCCTGACTCTCTCTCTTTCTCTTTCTCTCTCTCTCTCTCTCTCTCTCTCTCTCTCTCTCTCTCTCTCTCCCTCTCCCTCTGTGTGTGTACTTGTCGACATATCGGCCTTCACGGAGACTATTCCAGCTTAATTGAGTTCAGAGGATAGCATCAATTGCTCTATTTCGCACTTCTGGAAGAGATGGAACCGGGCTTGAACCAAAGGCAATAAACAAGATGTGACTGAAGTTTGTGCACGAATCTAAACAACACCTTCTACCTGCCATGCTAGTTATCAATAATCTGCTACTCATCAGATCCGCAATAACCAGGTCTCTACTACCCTTGGTGTTTCAAGGTAACTCCTTAATTTTCATGTCACAGCTTAAACCCTTAGAAACAACTAGATCCTTTAGCAAAGCAGAATTGCAAAAGCGCGTCCTTCACCTCCTTGTAGCAGGCCCCATGTCTAAGGAGCTTCGGGTGACTGAACTCTATCGTCATTGATGGAGGGCGAGGATTCTGAATTTCTGTCACCCGTAGTCAATGATGACATCCGCAATACTTCTTTGATCACGGGCTCGATTTCTTTCGCGGTGACATGTGCCCCCATTCCAGTCATATTGGCAGAGGAGCCAAAGAGAGGCAGCTGGGCGTCCATTGCTAGCCTGAACAGCTCCTCCGGAAGATTGCCTTCATTGAAGAAGAGATACGGTGAAGCACGCCTGGGTCAATCGCCACTACGCCGTAGCCGATATTGGCTTGGATTAATTGCAACTCCTCCAGATCGAAGAGTATCAAATACTCTCTTTGCGTTTTGCGGATCGATCAACCGTCGCGTAGTCATTGTGTTATTTTGAGCAGGGGCGCTTCTGTTAGTACAGTCGGAGTTTTAAAAAGCTTTTCAGATCGGAGGTACAGGAACAACTATATTTCGGTATGGCTTGGCCGGAAGTGCACACAAAGTTGGTTTATTAATGAGCAGTTTGGCTCAGTACGTTCCAATAACTCAACCCAGTAACAGGGAAAGCTCATTGTCGTGCATGGATGACACTGATCTTACCCGATGACCGATCACAAGAAGGATGGCGTTGCCGGAAATGGGGTGTCTGATTCCTGCAGGGCGATTTACTTGAAATTCATTCGGTTAGGGGTACAAGTCGACACTCTTTTCGTGCAACTTAAGGCGGCTAATCATAAGATAAACCGGTCATTGAGGTTTTTGATGGAGGCGATCGTTGACCGAACTTCTCCGCAATTTTCCTTTCCTGTTATGGTTAGTTTGGATACAGTCTCATCCGACGGTGATCTTTCCTGGAGATGGAGGACGTTGTCGGTGGAGGTGCAGCAAATGCGAATTCTACTGTATTAAGTCGATATGAGGTCGGCAATGAGCGAGCTTCGTTGAAAATGGCTTTCGGGCGAAATCTACCGCTGTACAAGATCGAATGGGTCGTACCATTCAGGCTTGCCAGGAGGGGAATATCCAAACTCCCTACAACGGTGCCTACCCGCTAATACTTGCAATAATTCTATATAACGTGTTATCGTGTAGCTGCAGGTCCAGCTCCACGCGGGACCAAAAGCCTGCAGGAAAGGGGTAGACCTGGAATCGAGATTCGTTCTTGGATCCACGCCGCTGGAACGTGTCATGCGGCCGGTTAGTTGCCGCCATCAACACCATTCCGCGAGAGAACGACGTTATTTGCGGTCCATAACATAGATCCAGTGGAAAACCTCCGGGGTGTAGGCCGTGGAGGAGACGTCGCCGGGGGTCGCTTTCAGCGGCGTTCGCGAGCGCAATGACCAGTACTTGGCAAGAAAAGGAAGACTGTCAAATCGCAGGGTCGAGTATGAAAGCGCGATCCATGTGGTGTTCGTTTGTGTCAATGGCACAAGGTGCAAAGCGAGCGCCTCGACCGGAGACAAGGTGACGGTGGGCTCGCTGGAGAGGAACGGTCGCACAGTGGGACAGATGCATGACAGATCATCTTCAGACGAAATCTTCCGGTCGCTGAAGGTGGCAATCGCATCGCTCGTGCTTTTGTCCAAGATTACATCAAAGGGCGCAAAGGGAATAAGGGTGGAAACATGTTCCCAGGAAAGCAGGTCGGCACGCAGCCAGTGCATGGCCTTGTGAGGAGCTTGGTGTCGTTCGGCTTCTTGGCCCAGTCGAACGGCCTCGGCGGAAAAATCTACATTCTGCAGGAACATGGGTGAGAAGTGTTTCAAGCGCGACGGTGAGCATCTCATGTATCAGACCCGACTTACGACAATGCCATTTCCCATCCATTGCCGCTCCATACAAGCATCTCGGAGCTTCATTCCCAGTTGTGAGACGCCGGGGCCCAAGTGCAAGACGCGCGGTGTATCTTGGAAGCCGGGACGACGCTCCAAGTCTGACAGAACCACGTCCAGGAGGGCCTCGCCCGAATTGAGCCATTCGCCGACATCGCGACCGGTCGCAAATCGAAAATCCCAAAAATTGGGGTCGTCGTAGTCCGGGGCACCCACGAGTTTGGTGTGTGTTCTCCCCGGCTCTGCCATGGCTTTGTGGTGCGAAGATCGAATGTGAAGCCGCTAAAATTCGTCTCTCTGTCACGTGACCAATATCTATAAAAGTGCCACTTGATGTCGAATTTACAGGTTTGAGGTCTTCCAATTTCGAACGGGTATATCCTTCCAGATGCCCAAATTCACAGTATTACATTTTAGAGATTTCATGGGTTCAAGGCTTCGACGGTGCGCCTGGATTTCTTCCCTTGGTGGTAACCGTCAAGATTATGATGAGGCTGAATATATATATATATTCTTGACTTTCTCCCTTTACAAACTTCAGGAGATGTCTCCCTATGTAACTATGGCTCGATTGATCTGCAAACACCAGTTGACCTGATTGAAAGGCGTTTGCCAGGATTCTCGTCAAGCATAGTACCTCGTTGACAACTTTCCAGCCATTCTATGCTTTAAGCCACCCATTTAGTTAATGCTCGAATGGAAATGCGATGATGTACCCTCCCAGGATGCAAGACGGGATGGGGATCAAAGATTGCAAAGATAGAAAGGGATCCACCTCATTCACACACACTTCTTCACGTGTGTCAAGGGTCTCTAAGAATCTCTCTTGAAACGGAGTTTCCAAAGTCACCCGATACCTAGTCTGTACTAGTGCGCGATTCTACTCTCAATATACTCGACTGGAGTGCCGGGAGATGACGAATCCCAGCAGATTGACCCCTGCGCAGTCGGCATCACTGACGCCCCAATATATACTGGCACAAGGTATTATGGTACCAATGTACCAATTCTCCATGTGATATATCCATCTCAAGCTGACCAAGCTGGGATTTATCAGACCCTCTGTTCTTTCGACGAGCGTTTTTAGCGAGACACGTTCCCCTGGGAGCAAGGACGAGAGGCAATTCCGAAATTTAACCGGGTGGAGCAAAAAATTTAGTGATCATTTCTTGTCTCGGGGTTGCCCTATTAGAACCCTGACCATCACGGACCATCACAGACCGGCCGTTAGATGTTGATAGGTTCCACAGTCTTCTATGCTCACGCTTCTTCACTCTGCTCCTCTCTTGCCCCTGGCGTCTATATGGAAATTGACCGGAGATTGATTTCGGGAGGCGTATAGGTGGAGAAGCCGCGTCGACGGGGCTCCGAGCTCTAAGTATGCCAGCTTCTCATAGCTTATACATTACTATAAAAAGGGTTGAGATCCGTCCACGGTGATGGTTTCATTCAACTATTCATTCCTTAATACTTTTCTGTTGATCAGAATCGATTCCATTCCTTGAAAGTTTTCCTTCCATTCTTTTGGATTCACCGTTCTGCTGAGCAGAACAATAGGCCATCATGCCCTCGTACCTTTCGCATATGCTCTGCGCCGGTCTGGCTGCCAGTCTTGTTGCTGCAGCCCCGGCGCCTTCGCGCGTCTCCGAATTGGTCAAAAAGTCCTCTTCCACCTGCACCTTCACCGAAGCGGCGAGTGCGTCGGCGAGCAAGAGCTCCTGCTCCACCATCGTGCTCAGTGACATCGAAGTCCCCGCTGGAGAGACCCTGGACCTGACCGACTTGAATGACGGTACCAAAGTAAGTCGTGTCTTCACCGTTCGAGAAGCGTATCTGACGATTCCTGCAAGGTCATTTTTGAGGGAACCACCACCTTCGGCTACGAGGAATGGGACGGCCCGCTGATCAAAATCTCTGGCTCGGGCATCACCGTTGAGGTGGCCGACGGTGCCGAGATCGACGGCGATGGGTCTCGCTGGTGGGACGGCGAGGGCACCAACGGAGGCAAGACGAAGCCCAAGTTTTTCTATGCCCACTCCCTCGATGACTCGACCATTACGGGTCTCTCCATCAAGAACACTCCCGTTCAGGTGTTCAGTATCGAGTCGGACAATCTCGTGATCGACAGTGTGACGATCGACAACTCGGATGGCGATGACAACGGCGGCCACAACACCGACGGCTTCGATATTGGCGAGTCCACCTACATCACCATCAAGGACGCGGTGGTGAAGAACCAGGATGACTGTGTCGCCATCAACTCCGGTGAGGTATGAATGATGATCTCCCCCCTGAACATTGATGGAGTCGGGTTAACCATTCGCCGTAGAACATCTATTTCACCGGAGGCACCTGCTCTGGAGGTCATGGCCTGTCCATCGGCTCGGTGGGAGGCCGTGACGACAACACCGTCAAGAACGTGACCTTCACCGATTCTACCGTCACCGATTCGGCCAACGGCGTCCGCATCAAGACAGTCTACGATGCGACCGGCTCCGTTTCCGATATCACCTTCTCCAACCTCGTTTTGTCCGGCATTACCGACTACGGCATCGTGATTGAGCAGGACTACGAGAACGGATCCCCGACCGGCACTCCTACCGATGGCGTTCCCATCACCGACTTGACTGTGGACGGCATCAGCGGCTCCCTGGAAGACGATGCGGTCCAAGTCTACATTCTGTGCGGCGATGACAGCTGCAGTGACTGGACATGGGAGGATGTGAGCCTGACGGGCGGCGACACCAGTGATGACTGTGAGAACGTGCCGTCGGGTGCGTCGTGCTAAAGGGCCACGGGGAGTTCGTGCGTGGAGCCGGTACTTTCCTCGTGGTCGGTTCCGAAGTCCAGACCGGAAACTCGGTGGGCTTTTAGACTGTAGAAAGCTAGAACTGGATCCTGCATGTTTATTTGTTGTTGTTTTTTTTTTCATTGGGTCAAATCCCGGCATTTGATTGCTCGGAATACGCCTGCAGAGTCAGAGTTAGGTTAGTGTTGATTGTGATTCGAACTTTCCAGGTCCCGCATCTGTGGTCTCGAGTGGACCGGCACGGCTCACGTCGGTGGACCGGAGACTAATGTTGCCATACTGTTCATCATACTCTGAAAGTCAAGCCAGGTACCTAGGTAGTTACTTGATAAGGGAAGGTATGTTACTTGATGATTAGGTCCGATACGTACCGGTGTTTGCCTGGCAAAGTGCCTTCCCTGTCTCCTTCCTAAGCAGGTAGATTCGTCCTTGTTTGTGTCATGATTTCCTCAGACAGGGTGGTCCATCCCCACAGGCGCACTGTTCGGTCAATTGGCGTGGCCTTGGATTCCCCAATGATCGGCGAGGCCCCGTTGGTCCCGTTCGCCATTCTTCACACCTGGGGCCCGAACATTTTTGCCTGTGGCGAAGCCGCCGGCCGTGAATGTGACACAATCGATACGATGCACGAAGCCATTCGCAAGGCCGGGTTTGTGGATGTCCATGACAAGACCTATAAATGGCCGATTGGGCCTTGGGCACGCGATCAGCGCTACAAGGAGGCTGGTACGGCCAACTACCAACACTGGATGTCTGGAATGGAGGGCTGGTGTATGTGGTTATTGACCAAGTTCGGCGCCCCGGAGCCGTGGACCAAGGATGAAGTGCTTGTCTACGTGGCCAAGCTGCGCCAAGAGCTCAAGAACCCGCGCTTCCACATCTACCAGCGCGCGTAAGTTTTTATTCGGACATCACTGATATTAGACCCTGAACTAACCGACACACAGCCGACGCGTGTGGGCGCGCAAGCCGTTCCCAGATGAGATCGAGCGGTCAGTAGAAATGAAGGAGAGACCTGCGACCCGGTCGGATATATCTGTTGAGCAGTAAAAAAAGTAAAGAAGTAAGGAATTTGCGGATTTGCTCTCCCCAAGGACGCAAAGCATCGCATATCTGTACATATGATGCCCGTGACGTGATATGTGACCCTGTTGCTTTTGGCGGGTGGTATTTTGATAAGGGAGTCATTGTTCGTTCTGAATTTGTCTACTCCTACACCTCCATCAGGCGAGGGAAATTTACATTTGTCTTTGACCACTACATAATGCAAGAAGCGTGCTCATGCACATGCCCTGCTCCTGTGTGTCGGAGACCTGCAAGGATGACGACCGCATTCGGCCCCTGAAGAATTCAAAATAGCATCGGGATGAGGTCCCTAGTGGTCGATCATTGTCTCGTCAAATGATAAACTTGTTTTTCAGTAGATTGAGTTTTAGACTGACGGCTTTCGACTCCTGGAGGTATTCGCGGTCTTAAACCGATGATTGGCTCATCGCGACCGTGCTTGACATCACCATCAGAAACACCGTTACCATCACCACGATCGCGATCGCGATCGCGATCGTGTCCCAATCTTGGAAAATGCCAGGGGGTGCTATCCTTTATATACCGCACGGCCGAGGTATGAAATTGGTCTTTAATATCGTTCAGTGGTTACATTTTTCCCACAATGCCTGCAAGCCAACCAAGAAAAAAGGTCGCCATTATAGGGGCTGGGGCCGCTGGCATGGTGCGTAGCCCTTGAGGCAATGGACGAACTTTTCAGACTAATAATTTCCCATCGCAGTCATGCGCAGCAACATTAGCTAATCATCCAGACAAATTTGACGTGACGGTGATCGACATTGATTCCCATACCGGAGGCCAAGCAACCTCGATCACTCTCGATGAGTCCAAGTACGGTGCAAGCTGGCTCAATGACGGTGTCCAGGGTGGATCGGCCATCTTTAGACACACGTTCCGCTTCTTTCGTCACTACGGCTACGAGCCTCAGCCGGTCAAACTTCAAGTGTCCTTTGGCAAAGGCCGTGATAGTTTCTGGACCAATGTGTTCCCTAGCCCTCTGGTGGACCGCCATTCACGAGAAATCAAAAAGTTGGGTCGTGTCTTGAAATGCATCAAATATATGATGCCCCTTCTCGGCATTTTACCGGTCAAGGTTATCTTGCGACTGTTCTGTTTTAGCAAAGACTTCAGCACTAAGATGGTCTTGCCCCTCCTGGCCTTGTTTCTGGGAACAGGAAACCAAACGCCCAATGTGTCCTGCGTCCTTCTAGAACGCCTCTTCGACGATCCACAGATGAAATTGTGGGAGTATGACCCGGACACGTTACTGCCAAACCTACCCACCATGTTTACATTCCCTCAACTGGGAAGCTTCTATGAAGACTGGGCCGCAGACCTTGGTTCGAAGAACATCGATATACGGTTAAATACTTCTGTCAAAGTGCTCGAGCGAGGCAAGAATGGCGTTGTTTTGCAGACCCAAAAGCATAACAGCACCGAACCGAACACCGAGACTTTTGATGATCTCGTACTTTGCTGTCCCGCAGACGAAGCAAAGAAGCTCCTCGGAACACATGCCACATGGCGTGAGAAATACGTCCTGGGAGGTGTCAAATTCTTCAATGACATTACTATTACACATACCGACTCTGCTTATTTCCAGAAAATATTTGAGGCTCAATATGATTCCGAACTGTGTGCCCAACCCGCTACCAAAGAGCGAAAGGAACAAATTGAATTTGCCGAGCAGAAGCCCGTCTGTCAGAAAGACGGGTGGTTGGGGTACAGGCCGATGTATTACACCCATTCATTCGCCTCAGACCCGGACAAGATCGAGATGGGATTCGACTGCACGAATTATCAGCATCAATTCCGCGAGAAACTTGGCGAGGGCCAGTCGGCTCTACCTCTCAATGAGCATGTCTTCCAAACCATATTCCTGAACGACCAACAGCAAGACCTTTGGACGTGGAATGATATTGATCAGTCTAAAATCATCGGAAGAAAATGGTGGCATCAGTTCGGCCACCGATGGCAACACTATCTACGTGTTGTACCTGGGATGATGTTCATCAATGGCCATAATAAGACATTATTTGCAGGAAGTTGGACTATGGTGGTGAGTGGCTCTTCTTATGCTTCTTCTTATAGGCTCTACAATAAGCTGATTCCACTTCCAAGAACATGCACGAGATTGCCTGCATTTCCGGCATAGCAGCTGCGTATCAATTAGGGGCCCCATACGAGCCATTTGACGACTTTGCCGAAGACTTCTTTGCGAAATATTTGCTTGTTTGTCATGGGACACGGTACCGGAGAAGAAAAGCGAAAGACACCTGAGAAATAGTGACATTCGTAGAATCATAATATATAGTTTCTAAAGTACATAGCGGAAACTCTCAATCTCATGATCTGTCTTATTGGACAGCTCGTCTTGTAGCTCCTCTGCCTCGGTCAATTCCCGTGGCAATCCGTAAAGCCGGTCGCGACGGCGGTTCTCCCACACGTAAAAGCTGTACAGACAAATCAGGAAAAAGATACCAAATATCAGCCCAGACATGGCCGCCTTGATACCAGTCTATTGTATGTTAGTATGAAAATTTCTGAAACAAAATAAGATTCGAGATCACTCACGGGATAGTCCGGGTCTTCAGAAGGAATGAAGAATTGAGGTCCCACAATATTACCAATACAGTATGCGGCAAACATCATGGCACTGACTGTGCTTTTCTTGGTGAATCCAGCCACGTTTGAACTGATGATACTCAGTGATAGGGGGATATTGGCAGCAAAGACTGATCCTAAGCAAAGTCCAACCATTTTGCCTACACTGTTGTCATCGGCAAGCTTCCAGATAAGGATCATGCCAATCATCGAGGTACCTGTGTTCAAGATCATCATGAAGATGCGGGATGAAGGCACAAATGTGGCGAAGCCAGAGGTCAATAGGAGAAAGACCAGCTGAGCGGCTCCGATAGGCATCTGCATGAGAAGGGCCTTGAGCTCGCCGTAGCCGAAACCTTGGATGATGATTGACGAAAAACTGGTAATGCCGCCATTGCAAAAGTTGACGCAAAGCGTGTATAGTACCAGAAACCAAGTCTGAGGGTCCTTGATGGCCATTAAAACCTGGCTCCATTTGAAGTTCCCACTGTCCATCACACCAGTTTTATTTTTCAGCGTCCGTTGTAGGGCAATTGCTCTTTCGGTCTTGTCCAGAACGATGACATTCGCGGGCGAATTTGGCAGAAAGACGAAGAGCACAATTCCGTAGGCAGCGGTGACTGCACCGAGAATCAAAAACAGCAACTGCCAATTGTTAACAGAGCTGATGTTGATCTTGCCAACTCCATATGCAACAACTCCGCCAATAATCGTTGCAATGGAGTTACCAGCAAACCAGGCAGCTTGACGAGAAGGTTGCTCCTCGCGCTTGTAGAACATGCCCGTAATAATGGCAAAACCGGGGGCAATAGATGCCTCTCCCACGCCAAGGAAGAATCTCGCTGCCATCAATCCACCGAAATTATTGCAGGCAGCGTGACACATAAGAACCCCACCCCATATGAAAACAGCGACACTCAAATATTTTCCCAGCGGGAGTCGAACGATCAGATAGGAGCTGGGCCAGCTCCAGGCGAAATATCCAAAGTAAAATACAGCAGATGCCCAGTTGTATTCTCGATCTTTTAAGCCCTGCAGATTGAGGGGAGCATATTAGGACACAGTCTTGGTTTTCGACCGAATGAATAGAAAGAGAGACGGTACCAGGTCCTGTCGGAGGCCAAATAGAGTTGATTGACTCAAGGCCAGCTTGTCCATGTATTGTAACATATAGCAGAATCCCATTAAAGGGATGAGACTAATTTGAAGTGGTCAGAGTCGAGTATAAATGAAGTCACGGCCAGGGGCTAACTTACAAGAGGTCAAGCTTCCAGAGAACTTTCCTCTCTGCCTTCGGAGTTGCATGTGTTTCCAGCATTTGACCGAAGTCCACGTCACGAGAGTTATGGTTATGGTTGGGTTCAATTTTCAGCATGTCGAGATCGACTGTACCGCCTCCTGATGGAGGTTGTTGTTTTTCCATATTGAGATAGATGATTATACTAATCGAAAAATAGCGCGGAAGGTAATTGGAGGCTTGGGTTCCTTTGGAAAATAAAAGACTGTGTAAACGACTTGTGGCTTGATGAGTAGTTCAAGGTGTGTGCAGGACGGTGAATTATATGACCAGCGGAGACCAACGTGGTGGCAATAGGCAGATCATCAAGAACCCCAAAGCCGCCCCCAGCTGGGGAAATCAACGCCAAGTCGTGACACATACGAAGGCCATCATCGCCTATCTGCCAATCCCAAGCGATAGCATATGCCACAGGGCGATCAGATCGATGCTTTGCGTCGCGGTTGAAATAATCGGCAAATTCAGGGCAGCCACCGGCGGTCACGACTGCCGACACATGATTCCCGAAGAATGACAATTGAGTTTATTACTACTCGGCTTTCAACGTCGATAATCTTGTACCTGAACAGGGGGCTTAGATTAGGGCTCAGCGTCGGCAGTCTAGCCAATACGGGGATCCTATCGGCTATCAACCCCCGACCTCTGTCGGCAAACCCACTTCCCTATCTGCATCGAGCAAAGGAGAAGCCGGGGTCGATTGCTGACTCGACGTAATTAGCAACCATCTGCCCATCATGGGCTTGCTGTTGTTTACCCCACAGATTCAATCGCGGGGAGGTTGATCCACCAAATTGCCGAGCAGCTATCGTTTCCGAGCTCGCCAAACCGCAATCTCCTCTCCATCCTTCCGCTATCGGGAAACCCTGATCCTAGTGGATCGTCGGCAAAATTCAGGCGGGAAGGCAGCAGAAAGAATGATGGCTGTGGGAGAGATGGAAGGCCTCGGATGTGACGCAAGATAGTAGCGCCTCCCCTCTTATCCCTTCGGGCCATTAAAAGACGTCCTTTTCTCTCCAGCGCTGCGAAACCAGTGATATATCTGCCATAATTTATGTCGCATACCCTGAATCCAACAATGACTCTGTCGACAGTGGGAACGGACGACGTACGAGCGTCGGTAGATGTGGCCCTTGCAGCACTCGAGAAATCCCTCCGCGAAGTGAATCACGAGGTAAATTTCCAGAGGGAATGCTCTTGTCTTTCAAGGATTCTGGTGTAGAGACAACTGACCCACGACGTACTTGATAGATCTGGTCGCATCCTGAACTCGCCTACGAGGAGCACTACGCTCATGATACCATTTGCAATTTCCTGGAGAAGCAAGGATTCACCGTCACACGCCACGCGTATGGTCTAGATACATCATTCGAAGCATTGAGTGGCTCGGGTGGGAGACTGGTCAATTTCAATGCGGAATACGACGCACTCCCCGGCATCGGACATGCTTGCGGTCACAATCTTATCGCCACCAGCAGTATTGCCGCCTTCCTCGCCCTTTCCTTCACGTTGAAGAAATACGGTATTCCGGGACGAACACAGTTGCTGGGCACCCCAGCCGAGGAAAACGGAGGCGGAAAGGCGAAGCTTATCGACGCGGGCGCATATAAGAATGTGGATATTTCTCTCATGGCGTATGTTGGAACCCTGACTTCATATCTAAAACCTTCAGTGTAAGATGCTGATTGAACAAAGCCATGGCGGCCCCAAGAAAGTCTTCCCGGATCAGGGACCTGCTGACGGAATCGCTGGTACACTGATGAATGCTCGCATGAATATCCAGTGTCAATTCACAGGGAAAAGTGCCCACGCAGGCGGTAACCCGTGGGATGGGATCAATGCACTGGATGCGTTGGTGACATCCTATAATAACGTTGCCGTGTTACGACAACAGCTTCTACCCGAACAACGCATTCACTGCGCGTTTATGGACACCCCCAAAGTGGCCAACGTGATCCCAGAGCATACCACGGCATTCTGGCAGGTTCGGAGTCCGTCGCTCAAGGGCCTGAAACTCCTCGTGACCAAAGTACGCAACTGTATTGAGGCTGGTGCACTGGCGACGGGCTGTCAAGTGGCCATTCAGGAGTAGGTTGCCTTCGCTTTTTTGTTACTCTCCCAGGGCTGTTCCTGACGCGATACATTTTCTAGGGAGGAGCTCTACACCGATGTGCGACTGAACGATACTCTTTGCGATCGGTATCAAGTCCACATGGGCGAATATGGCCGAAAGGTATTGAAGCGCCACGACAAGGTGTTGACGGCCTCGTCAGATATCGGTATGTGATGCCAAATTGATTGTTATCCCAGCAGAATTGACATTTGCGCCTGTAGGAAATGTCAGCTATATCACACCCACACTGCATACGATGTTTGGAATTCCGACTCCTGACAATACCTTCCCGCATCATCCCGACTTTGCTGCCTCGGCTGGAACAGATGAGGCACATACAGAGGCTGTTACTGTAGGCAAGTCGCTCGCGCTGACCGGGTGGGACATGATCATGAACGATGAATTGTATGAGATGGCACACCGTCAATGGCAGGAGGAAATCGCAAGAGATTAGACGTTAAATGCAATGTATAGTTTAATGTTCCAGTCAATTATGTTCCTAGTCCTAGATAGATGTGACGAGGATGGTGATGTCAGATTCGGCTTTTGCGTGACATCGGCAGTTGATGCGGAGCCTCAGGCCGTCACCCCGCGTTATCTCTTATCTGGGTTCTCGCTCTTCTTTCCTTTCCATGAAACCTACCCTCCCAGGGCTCCTCTACTTTAATCTCCGATGCCACACTGGCCATAACCTCCAGAGAGTGTGGTGGGGGATTATCTTCATGTCCGGACGTAACGCGCCGCGCTCGAAGAATGGTCCGTCCTCTCTCCCCTTCAAATCCACTTTCAAACTGACCCGATTTCGGCCTTGACTCAGGCTGCAGTACCTGCCGCCGACGCAAAGTGAAATGCGGGGAAGAGCGCCCAACCTGCAGCCGATGTTCGAATCTTCGTCTGAGCTGCGAATGGGGTGTGCCGGTCCAGCGTGATCGCGGTGTGCAGGTCCGACATCTCCAGCCGGCCCCCAGTGCTACGGACCAGCTCATCTGGTCCGCGCCCCAGGCCGGTGATGTTGTGGACATCCCAGATGCGTTACTCGCCAGTCTATCTCCAGTCTCCTGGCCGGACGACGCGGTACTTCTCGAGCCCCCGCAACTCGTGCCTTTCTACCCGCCTGTTGCACCGACCCAAATCCCGACCCCTCTCTACCCACCGTTGAGCGCTGATATTGCGTGCGCGAACTCCCTCACGCTCACGGAGCATGACCAAAAGTACTTCCAATACTTTCCCTCCTCGTCGATCGTCTATTACTACATGAAAGGGTGGCAATGGAGCAGCTTCTGCTATCTCTACCAGGGTCCCGCCGCCACCAACAAAGTGATCATGCGGATGATCCTAGCTCTGTCTGCCTGTGACATGCATCGCCACGGGTTGGTGGTGCGATCTCCGGGCCGACCCACGGCCGAAGATCATGGAAGGTACCATTACAGTTTAGCAGTGAAGGAGTTTCGGCAGCTACTAGAGACCCCCCGGCGGCACGTCTCCGTAGAAGAGCTGGAGATCATCTTTGCTACCATGTTCTTGATGGTCACCTACGAGTGGCAATTTGGCCATTCCGTGCGACATCTCCAGCTTCATTTGCATGGAGTGCGGTCACTTCTGGAGTCACATCCACAACTTTTTCGATTCAAGGATGTCAATGACGTGTTTCTGTCTGCCGAGAGTACCAACGACAATTCACCCACAGACGAGAGGTCTATCTCCAAGGTTTCCTTCATTCCGGAACAGTTCCTCTTATGGATATTGTGAGAATCTTTTTGAAGTTACGACTATTTATTCATTACTAACATGGCCTAGATACATCGACGGCAGTTGTCGGCCAATGGGTCTGACAGAGTCCTTGAATGACTACGTCATGCAGTCGAAGAACCCAGCGCTGAAACCAGATCACTTACACCGATGTGCTCGCCTCTGGGGCCGTTGTTTCTGGGGTGAGCAGTATCCAGATCAGGAGGTGCTGGATGACATCGAAAACTATCGAGCACTAGAGCTATTACATAGTGGTTTCACTATGCGCTATCGGACTTGGAAGGTGCTCGTGGATTCTGGGGCTGGAACCGAATCTGGGGAGACACTCTTTCGTGATATCATGGCTACTCGTGAAGTACGTGTTCCTTGCGTAATCCCTTGATATAGTTTTGCTTGCTGACTTGGGTTTAGAAGTACTCCGATCTCTTCATCACTGCGAAGTTTGCCGGCACTGTCTCTGCACGTCGTACGCTCCACACCATTTACATGGCCGTCTGTACCTTTTACGCACAGATCATTCTCCACCGCCGACTGCTCTGCGTGGACAGCCTGCCGTCAGCTATCCACCGGCAAGCCACGGCTGGTATCGTGGACATTGCCAGAAAACAATTTGCATCTGATCCAAGACTGCTGCGCCGTTTGCACTGGCCTCTTTTAATGGCCATCATCGAAACGGACGATCCCAGCCACCAGGCGTGGTGCCGCCAACGCCTGTTTGAATTCCGTGATTTCCATTCGGAGTACATCTGGGCCAACGAACTGGCTGATCAGATTGTGGTCCAACAAGACGTGAGTCAGGGCGTCTACGTAAATCTTGCCGAGCTGCTGCTCCAGCGATTGCAGGTGTAATATTGCGTCTTCGGAGGATTTGTATATATAGCTTTAATGTCTATAGACCCATTTTAATGACGCTGGGCATCAATTACCCAGGTACCATACGGATGTCTCCCTCAGGGGCAATTTTCTAGGTAATACGCATCGTACGCAACCTCCCCTTGGGCTCGGGTAGCCCGCCCAACGATGACCCGATCGTTCATCCATTTGTACTTCTCGTGGCCCGTTTCAATCTTGACGTGAAGATGAAACCAGTATTGGCTGGGGTCAACAGGTCCGCCTTCCATCAAGGCTTTCAGGACCTCAGGAGGTCCTGCCCGAGTGCCTTCGGTACTAGCAATGCCCGTCAGCGTGAGACTCGCTTCGGAGAGGTTCCTTGTCTTACCGAATGTAGATGTATGCCCCATCGTTACTCTTGATCACATAGTTGGTATTAACGTGAGTCGTCTGGTCTTCTTCCACCAACCTTTAACATGTGAGACGCTTTCTGGGGAGCCTTTTGCTGAACCTACATGAAATCTGCACCTCCAGGCACAACTTCCCCGTTAAAGTGGGGCCCACGTACGGAACCCGACTTGATCGGCACGCAACGTCGACGACCATAAGGACCATGGCCTATCTCCATAGGCGGATCAACTGCACAACGGAGAGTAAAGAGGTGGCTCAATTTTGGTGGGGGTGCGATGGTCTCCATGGTTGTCTAAAGGTTGAAAGTAAAGAAAGGTGAGGGGTTGAGAACGTGGGACTTCTCCACTCAGTTTCTTGCGGGGGGATAGCCCTATGCACCTAGATGGGTATTGTTAGTGTCTTCAAGCATACTATGTAAACTTGGTATAATTGGAAACAGTACCTGAGAGTATAAACCTTGAAAAAAGAGCAATGAAGGGTTCCATAGGTATCTTTTATGATTGCTTTCAAAGTGGGTATGCAGGTTCCAATAGATTTCCGGAAACAGCGGCACAACACTGAAGTGGAGTGGCAACGAAACCATGTGGATGATGTCAGAGCTCCTCGGCAATTCCCCCGGATCGTCGGCATTGACTTTTATTTGATTATGAGCTACCTACAGTAACCTAATTAGTTGATTTCTCATTCGGTAAACCCCATCCCGGTGACATGAACTGCCCTGTGTGATGAAACGCCCACCAGGTACCTGCACATTTGAGCACTCTCACTCCAATCCACGTGTTGAACATTGCCTGGAGCAGCAGGAACAATTATTATTTGGTTTATTACTCAATTGCTTTTTTAAACAAGAATTACAAAGTGCTAGAGCGGCGGATGACAGGATGGCACGTACTACAGGAAAATCTTCTGTTTACTATTATGACGCCAAGATCATCCACAAAAACGTCTGAGATGGATAGGAAGGATAATTTTGATTTATTTCACCTACCTAGTTACCTATATTGGTTTTAGACATCATCAAAAATATCTTACCTGAGAATATACCAGTTTTGGTGGAATTCTTGGCAGCAGAAAGGAACATAAGACAGAAGTACTGAAAGGTGAATACACGGAAAAGGGACAATCATGTAACTTGGTGTATGAAAAATACCACCGCCGCCCAACGGAACAGCCGCCCCATAACCCTGCCCGCAAGGAGATGGCCCGCTCTAAGGAAACCCAGCTCTAGTAGAGGTACTTCGGGACCACATCGAACTATGAGGGTATACAGTGCTACAAAACGAATCACCAAACATAGATGTTATATCTCCATGTATGCTGCCCTTACTGTAATTGCTATAGATACAAGTGGGGCATTATGAGGCCTCACCAGGTTTGCGGTGTTGATCTAGGAAGTCTAAAGAATATCGAAAGTAGTGACTATTTCGGGATGTTCACGCCCAGACACCTCTACATGTCAATCTAGTGCCCGTCGATACATCGCTTCTGCCTCCTCATATTTCCCTCTCCTGGAGAGCACCAAGCCAAGGTTATTGACACTGGTGAGCGTGTTAGGATGCTGACGTCCAAGCACCCCTTCATATCCTTCCAACGCCCGTTGATGCATCGCTTCCGCCTCTTCATATTTTCCTTGCCCGGAGAGCAATAAGCCAAGGTTATTGACACTAGTGACCGTGTGCGGATGCTCGCGTCCAAGCACTTTCTCTCTCTGAGCGCCCTCATTGAAGCGGCGGCATCTAGAATAGGGAAGCCCCGTCTGACAGAGTAGACAATGAATGGTACGTCTAGTAGCCTCTGTACCTTGGGCCACCCGCTGTAGCAGCAAGTGCTACTGGAGTTCAATTGAGGAACTACACTATTTGCGCAGTCAGAGATAGATATAGAATCAATTGGGTTATTTGGCCTGGAACCTATATATTTTCGTCCTTAATTTTCCCAAATCTCTATATATATCTTTGAAACAAAGAGATACCAAAACAGAATCGCTGTGCAGGCGAACGCGAAGTTTGGGCACGTATGCAGACCGAGATTCGATTATATTTAGTTGAACACAACAGTCTTGTGTCCATTGAGCAGAACCCGCCGCTCGGAAACATACTTCACAGCCGTGGCGAGCACATTGCTTTCAACGTTGCTACCGGCGTGAGTCAGCTCCTTGGGGCTCAAGCCGTGGTTGACCCGAGTGACGTTCTGCTCGATGATAGGGCCCTCGTCAAGATCACTGGTGACGAAATGGGCGGTGGCACCAATGATCTTCACGCCGCGATCATGGGCCTGGTGGTAGGGCTTGGCGCCCTTGAAGGAAGGCAGGAAGCTGTGGTGGATGTTGATGATGCGCCCGGACATGGCCTCGCACAGCTTAGGAGACAGGACCTGCATGTAGCGAGCCAGCACAACCAGATCAATGTTGTGCTCACGTACCAACTCCAGCACCTTGGTCTCCTGCTGGGCCTTGGTATCGGCAGTGACGGGGAGGTGGAGGAAGGGGATGTTGTAGGTGGCCGCGAGAGTCGCAAAGTCAGGGTGGTTGGAGATGATGAGAGGCACCTCAATGTTCAGCTGACCATTAGACTGGCGGAAGAGGAGGTCGTTGAGACAGTGGCCGATTTTGGAGACCATGATGAGCACGCGAGGCTTCTGGGTGGTGGGGTGGATCTCAAAGTCCATCGAGAAGGACTGGGCAGTAGGCTCAAAGGCGGCCTGCAGCTTCTCAAGCTCAGGCACTTCTTCGCTGCTAGTAGCGGGCGCAAACTGCATGCGCATGAAGAAGCGCTGAGAGGTGGAATCGCCGAACTGCGAGGAATCAATGATGTTGAGGTTGTGCTGGACGAGGAAGGCCGTCACGGCGTGAACGATGCCGGGGCGATCGGGGCCCGAAAGGGTGAGAATGAAGCTGGGAGCCATGTTGAAATTGAGCAGAGAGTGGGTGTTGAATCCCTAGAACAATTGACAATTCACAATTCACAATGGACCATGGACGGAACCGAAAATCCCATCCCACCATCCCGCCGATCGCGGCGATGACTCATCCAACCAAGCCCCACTCAGCACGTTGTTTTCGAGCTTAAGTGGTTTAAGCATACTATGCTCCTTTCCTTCTCGATACTTCAAGTCCAGTCGTGCTTGTTGAAAAGCTTTTCAAAAACTTTGCGAAAAGTATTTTTTCCTTTGTTTTTTTTGTCCATCGTCTGGTCGGCCACCCCTGAAGAAACCAGGAACTCTTGATCGGCCCCTTTCCCCCTTTAACCGCATCACCTGCCACGCTAATGCGGTAATCCTGCAAGTCAAATTACTAGGGTGCAATTACCGATGACAGCCTGCGGGAACCGGGTATTTGACGATCTTGGCACGGATCATGCAGGATCGCCCGATCCGGTATATATCATCGGATCCCTCACGAATTAGGCTGGAATCATGAAACCCATTTAGCCGCCGACTAAGGTCAATGCAGGGCAATGTTCACCCTAGTGCGGTGCCTCATTTACCTGCAAAGGGTTGCAATTGAGCACAGACCCCAGCGCCAGCTCTCTTTGAAGTATGAGGGGCCGAGTTGCAGCGCAGAAAGTGATCGCATCTCGTCTGGGAGTATGTCCGTGGGATCTGGGGATTGCCTCCGTGTCCGCGGAGTGTTCAATGCCTTTCTGAGTTGGGAATAACTACCTACTCGAGTATCACGGGGCTACGGACCGTGAATCCGTGCAGTATGAGCTCTGTCTTCGGTTTCAGATGTCTGCTTCGTCTTGGGATGGATATAAGAGGGGTTCCGCCGTTGACAACCAATGTCTCTCAACAATCGTTCCAAGTACCAAAACATTGCAAGGTCAAGTTCGACTTGAACAGTACTCGATAAAAATGGCTGCTGCTCTCTCTTACCGAGTCTACAAGAATGCTCTTCTTTTTTCTGCCTTCCTGGCTGCTGCTCAGGCCCAACAGGTGGGCACTCAACTTGCTGAGACACACCCATCCTTGACTTGGTCCAAGTGCACCAGCGATGGAAGCTGCTCTACTGTGTCCGGTCAAGTCGTCGTCGACGCGAACTGGCGTTGGGTCCATACTGTTAGCGGCTATACCAACTGCTACACGGGCAATGAATGGGACACTTCGATCTGTCCAGACGATGTGACCTGTGCTGCTGCCTGTGCTGTAGATGGCGCGAATTACGAAGACACTTACGGTGTAACCACCAGTGGTGACGAGCTGCGTGTGAACTTTGTCACCTCCGGATCCAGCAAGAATATTGGCTCCCGTCTGTACATGATGGAAGATGATAGTACCTATCAGATGTTTGATCTGCTTGGTCAAGAATTCACTTTTGATGTGGATGTCTCCAACCTCCCATGTGGTCTCAACGGCGCCCTTTACTTCGTGTCAATGGATGCCGATGGTGGTATGGCCCGGTTCCCCACGAACAAGGCTGGTGCCAAATACGGAACCGGATACTGCGACTCTCAGTGCCCGCGAGACCTGAAGTTCATCGACGGTCAGGCTAATGTGGAGGGATGGGAGCCATCTACCAACGATGCCAATTCAGGCATTGGTAACCATGGCTCTTGTTGCGCAGAGATGGATATCTGGGAAGCCAATTCGATCTCGAATGCTCTTACTCCTCACCCCTGTGATACTCCTACTCAGGTCATGTGTGAAGGAAATACTTGCGGCGGTACATACAGCACTGATCGCTATGGCGGTACTTGTGATCCCGATGGGTGTGATTTCAACCCCTACCGTATGGGTAATCACTCGTTCTTTGGTCCGAGTGAGATTGTTGATACTACTTCTCCCTTCACTGTGGTGACTCAGTTCATTACGGAGGATGGTACTAGTACGGGCACCCTGAGTGAAATCAAACGCTTCTATGTCCAGAATGGAAAAGTGATTCCACAGTCTCAGTCCACTATCAGTGGTGTGAGTGGCAACTCGATCACTACGGACTTCTGTAACGCTCAGAAGACTGCATTTGGGGATGAAGATGTGTTCACTACTCATGGAGGCTTGGAAGGCATGGGCGCTGCGCTTGCAGATGGTATGGTTCTGGTCATGAGTCTCTGGGATGATCATAACTCCAACATGCTCTGGCTGGACAGCACCTACCCGACCACCGATTCCTCGACCACGCCCGGAGCTGCACGCGGCACTTGTGATATCTCCTCTGGTGCCCCTACAGATGTGGAGACCAACGACGCGAATGCGTATGTCATTTATTCGAATATCAAGGTTGGCCCCCTGGGCTCTACCTTCAACTCGGGCAGTTCCGGCTCCAGCTCTAGCACAGCTAAGACCACAACCACGACAAGCACAAAGACGTCGGGCACTACCACTACGACATCCAAGACGACAAGCACCACCACCTCAACCGGATCAAGCAGCACCGGTGCCGCTCATTACGCACAGTGTGGCGGTATGAGCTGGACTGGCGCAACCACTTGTGTCAGCCCGTACACCTGCACTGAGCAGAGTGCTTATTACTCACAGTGCCTGTAAATGATCATTTCAGACAGAGTGGGTATGAGAGAAGACAAATTGGAAGCTGATGTTTTGAACGGATTAAAGTTTGTTACTGCCCGCGAATCTAAAGGGTACTCTAGTTGAAGATTAGTCTGTCGTTTTAGTTAATCAATTTTAAATGTTCTTCTCGCTACGGACTTCCCTTCGAGCCCAATCGCTTCTAGTATCGATTAGACTTTCTACTTCATTTCGGAAATGGGCATCCTTGTATCGGACATATTGTGTATTGTCTAGGTACCTGGAACCAAGAAACTTAATTGACAGTTGGAGCCGTCGACAGGTTAAATACAAGTTCTGTTTCTTCGTCATTGAAGTCAACTGCAGCGTCTTAATCTTCATCGGACCATACCACAAGCCACAGGCAGTGCCAGGGCGCCAAATATGCCTAGGTGGGTGCTGTCCTCACATGGGATACTCCGGATCGAACAGACGCCCGTGGCGTATCCCTGCATCCGCCTGCAATGTCTTGCCGAGTGTGTGGAGTCATGCAGGGGACGCCACGCGGAGGAACCTCCGCCGACGTAAGCCATCAACCGTTCCGAGCTACATGAAGAAATTTTCATTTTTTTTCTCATGGATGGGAGGACCCGGTCGGCATTTAACGTGGCCTCGAACTCTTCTTTGATAGGTATAGAGTAGGTCCTACGCAATCCTTCGAACGTGATGCTATGTCTTTCCCCGCAAGTATCTATTCTTCCAGATACATCTTTCACTGGGCCTGGAAAAATAACCGGAGACCAGAACTACCTGTCCATATCCACTTGCATCTCTTTGATCCTCCTACGAGTGTCTCCGCCATTTAATTAGATCCCCTTTGGGGCAAGTGGGCTTTGGCTGGATAATGAGCTCCGCATTTTTGTAGGACTATGCTCGGAAAATGATGCCGAGCGCCCAAGGCCTCAAATGAGGGGGCAAGCTCGGCTTACCTGGGGTGTTCGAGTCATTTCTTGCCTTGACCGGGTCGGGGCAGTTACATCGTCCTGCAGGTACCCTCATAACCGACAGTCTCAACTCCAGCCAAAGTCCGTGTCTGGTTTGATCTGTCGGTGGTAGTGTCCAGCTGCTAAGACTTCCGCCGGATAAACCGGGTATATCTTTTGTAAAGATTCTGGGGCGTCATGAATCATGTGGTGGAAATTTTTAAGCACGAACAGCACTCCACTATGTGTAGCCGTGGCCTGCTAAGCTCAAAGAGGATATGTACATCAATTCTCCTTCGACCCGGCAACTCACGGGTGTCCTTGTAGTTCCACTACTGCAAGGCAGCGACCAATTCTTCGACGCTCTTCATTTCGCGCTCATTGTTCTCGCCCACATCCAGGGCGACCAGGAAACGGCTCACACAATTGTATCCGGCAATACCGGTCGTGAGCTCGACAATCTCACGGTCGTTGAAACCAACGGTCTGAAGCTGTGCAAAGACATCGTCCTGGACTTTGACAGAAACGGTCATTTGATCGGTGTAACGCAGGACCGCACGCTGCTGCGGTGTGAGTGCACTGCTCTCTAGTTGGGCGAGGTCTCCTTCGGTTGTCGAGGGCAAGGTCCGAGCAACCTGAAGTTCTTCGGGCTTGATTCCCCCCTTCAAGGCCAGCGGCGCATGAGCGTTCCACTCATATACAGCGTGATTGAGCACGGCCACGCGACAAACCGCCAGTTCTAGAATTCCGATATCGACGATCGTGCGGGTGCGGATCGCCCCGAGGAAGCTGTTCCAGCCGTCTGCCACCGGTGGGCTGTGCAACAGAGACAAATCGAGGGGAATCAAGGGACGTGGGTTTCGACGCGCCGCGATGCGGGTATAGATGTCCGCGGTGTCGGCAGGCGCATCGGCCGGCGGGGTGGAGGGAGCGTAAGGTAGACGCATGGTGCGGGTTTGGATTTTGCTTAAGGATGAGATCGTAGAAGGTGGGAATCTAATGAGTCTGCGTGCAGCATACATCAAGGAAGATCTCGTGCTACCCCACGGCTACGGCGTGGGGATGGTACGAACCGAGCGGTTGTCGCTGCCGGAGAAGCTGCCCGAGCGGATAAGGCATCTGCCGTGCAGTCCAGCAACAGCACATTCCCCCGGGAACTAGAACTTCATTAAAGGTCCTCAATGCCGACGCGCTCTATGTTTCGCCGAGTCCACCGTTCGTCTCTATATTGAGTCAACCCAGATCGGTTGTGCGCCTGGTTGAACATATCCTGCGCGTGCCATCTTTCGATGTCGAAGCTACGCTCTCCCCGCACCTGATCGAGACATCTGTATAGCAACAAGGACACTCTGACTTTCCCCTTACACAGCTGGCAGTCGAGTCCTTGGTGATGACCAAGAATGGCGTCGACAACTTGTATTGCTTGAAGGGCAGCACCGACCGTGCAGCTCCTGTGGTGGTGGTTAGCAACTCTGGGATCGCTTTGTCGACTCCCTCCTCCCTCGCCAGGAGAACCAGGGCTATCGCCTCGAGCGATAGCTGTGGTTCCTGGCCGTCGCTTGCCGAGCGGTGAGTAGATTAATGTGGTCGTGCTGGCCTCTGATCTGGTCTCCTCCTTTCCACTTCTCTTCTCTTCTCTTCTTTCCCCGGTCGCGAGGATCATCGCCTGCGACACTAACTCGCCCCAGAATCGAATCGCAGAGCCTAGACTGATCAGCGCACACAGTGAGCTCTCTGTGTATACTACATCCGCGACTGCTTTGTTTATGGGCGCAAACGACGGTCGGTTTTGGGCGATGCAGAAGGTGGCAGTTGAACTGCGTGCTGCTGAGCCGAGGGTCGTCTACCACGCCGGCCCAATGTTCATAATAGAGCAGTCGGAGCCTTGTGTGGATATTATCGTTATCACAGAGTTCCTGAGCATGAGGGTCAAATGTGTACCTAGGCACCTAGGCACGCTACGGGATTTAGAAGATTGAACACAGCACATAGCGCAACGCGATGTTGGATGGCCATAGATCACAAAGATGTAAGATCACAGAAAGATCGAAAGACCAGAAGATCAGAGGATCAGAGGATCAGAAGTTCGACTAAAGGGATCCAAGTAAATGTGACTTCAATTATCTGCAAATGTCGCCCCGTGCGGCGTCCGAGTCCCGCCAAGGGTGCAAGTTCCCCGCCCTCTTTCTCCGTTCTCTTCTCACCTTTTTCCCCTTCCCCAATTACTCGCCATGACCGACAGCAAGGTCCCTCAGCCGGGACCCGCCAAGTTGAAGCGCAATGCCGGCCCTGATGAGTGGCTCGAGGCTGCCAAGGACTGCAAATATCTGTCCGAGGCCCACATGAAGCAGCTCTGTGAGATGGTCAAGGAGTATATGATGGAGGGTAAGCTGGCCTCGCGACGGCTTTCCTGCTGGTACTGACTGCATGTGCTAGAATCGAACATTCAACCCGTCTCCACCCCCGTGACCATCTGTGGTGATATCCACGGCCAGTTCTACGACCTTCTCGAGCTCTTTCGCGTTTCTGGTGGGATGCCCGATGGCTCGCAACCCGACGCCCCGAAAACCTCCCCCTCCGTCATCTCCTCGACCGATATCGAACCCCCATCTACCATCACAGACCCTAAGATCCGGAAGAAGTTAAGAGGACCCAACGGTGCCAACGAGGACGAGGACGGGGACGAGGAGGAGACTCAGCCCAGCCAGGCATCGGAGGCTCATGTGAACCGCAACTTTGTTTTCCTGGGTGATTACGTGGATCGGGGATATTTCAGTTTGGAGACCTTGACATTATTGCTCTGTCTCAAGGCGAAGTGAGTGCCGGATCCCACAGGTACATCGACCGAGACTGACATCACCCCTTCTTAGGTATCCTGATCGGGTCACGTTAGTCCGTGGCAACCACGAATCCCGCCAGATCACACAAGTCTATGGTTTCTACGAGGAATGCTTCCAAAAATACGGCAGTGCTTCGGTATGGAAGGCATGCTGCCAGGTTTTCGATTTCATGACCCTGGGCGCCATCATTGATGGCAAGGTCCTTTGTGTCCATGGTGGACTGAGCCCGGAGATCCGGACTCTGGACCAGGTCCGCGTGGTTGCTCGTGCACAAGAAATCCCGCACGAGGGTGCATTCTGCGATCTGGTGTGGTCCGATCCCGATGACGTGGAAACGTGGGCAGTCAGCCCTCGCGGAGCAGGTAAGACGATCCGTGCGATCTATGTCGAAACTCCAGACTGACATGAAATCTCACAGGATGGCTCTTCGGCGATCGTGTCGCAGACGAGTTCTGCCATGTCAACGACCTCTCATTGATTGCTCGCGCTCATCAGCTGGTGAACGAGGGCTATAAATATCACTTTTCTAACCAAAACGTCGTCACTGTGTGGAGTGCGCCTAACTACTGCTACAGATGTGGTAATTTGGCCTCGGTCTGCGAAATCGGTGATGACCTCAAGCCGACCTTCAAGCTATTCAGTGCTGTCAGTGACGATCAACGACATGTGCCCACCTCGCGGCCAGGTCGCAGCGAGTACTTTTTGTAAGATGGTTCGCAAGCTTTGCACGGGCGCCGGCGTTTTGGTTCTGGGAAATGATGAGCATTACATAATGAATTTTAGACACGAAATGATGGGATGTCGATACTTGATGTGAATATGTAGATGTAGATGTAGAAGTTGACGTAGAAAAGACCACGGCCCAGCCACAATCCCATCTTGACTCCATCTTCCGGCTCTCCGAGGTTAGGAGGCCCCGGACCCGAACATCCGAAGGCCCACTGCCAAAATTCACTCGACAAGGCATTCAGACTGTTCCGACTCTGGGGTATCTCGCTGCCGACAGACTGCCGTGGTGGCGGATCCGCGCCCGGAGCTGATCCCGAACTGTGCTCGGGTTGCATCCCGAGCTTCCATAAAAGATGCCCCCCGCGGGGAATCGGCGCACGGACAGAGTTCAGATATTTCTTCTCATCGCAGAAATGGAAAAAGTCGATGTTCTCATCTGTGGCAGCGGCTCAGCCGGTCTTTGCGCGGCCACTTGGCTGGCTCGTTATGGTATTCGATGCAAGGTGCTGGAACGGCGCGACGGTCCTATGAAGATGGGACAGGCAGATGGCGTGCAATGCCGTACTGTTGAGATTTTCGAGAGTTTCGGCGTTGGTGAGGAGCTTTTACGAGAAGCCTATCACGTCCTCGAGGTGAACTTTTGGGCGGATGATGGCACTGGCGCCATCAAGCGTACAGGACGCACAGCGGATACACAGCCAGGTCTATCACACCAGCCACACGTCATCTTAAACCAGGCTCGCATCAATGGGCTTCTCATTGAGCTCATGCAAAAGTACAACGACCAACAGATCAACTATGGATACAATGTTACCGATGTCGAAGTCGACAGCGCCTCTGCCTCGGACCCGGATGCTTATCCAGTCAAGGTAACTGCAGAGAAAGACGGAAAGGTTGAAACCTTTGCCGCAAAATATGCTCTTGTATGTGACATTGAAAGATAACTCTTGAATGTATACTTACACGTTATATAGGCGTGCGATGGTGCCCACAGCGTTGTCCGCAAGGCGCTGGGTTATAAAATGATCGGTGATAGCAGCGACGCCGTCTGGGGTGTAATGGATATGGTTCCCCGAACAAACTTCCCAGATATTCGCAAAAAGTCCACTCTTCGCTCAAAGGCTGGGAATATCCTGATCATCCCCCGCGAGGGTGAGAACATAAACTTGACGCGCTTCTATATCGAACTTGCACCGGGAACCAATCCTAAGGATGTGACCTTGGAGAGCCTACAAGAACAAGCGCAGGCTATCTTCCATCCATACAAGGTTGACTTCGCCGAGACCGTATGGTGGTCAGCGTACTCCATCGGTCAGCGTCAGGCTGACTGCTTCCACAGAGATCATCGAGTCTTCCTGGCTGGCGATGCCTGCCATACCCATTCCCCCAAGGCTGGTCAAGGAATGAATGTCAGCTTGCAGGACGGGTACAACATTGGCTGGAAGTTGGGCGAGGTTTTGACTGGCCTGGCCACTCCATCTCTTCTAGAAACCTATGTCCTAGAGAGACAAAAGGTAGCCAGTGATCTAATTGATTTCGACCGGTATTTCTCTAAGCTCTTTTCTTCCGGGGCCAAAACTACCCCTGCCGAGTTCCAACGGGGTTTCATTCAGTCCGGCAAATACACTGCCGGTCTGACAGCCAAATATGAAGTCTCACTAATCACAGCATCCATGGAGTCTACTCAGCTTGCGAATGTCGTTGTTGGCATGAGACTACCCAGCGCACAAGTTGTCCGATTCTGCGACTCCAAGCCTCAGCAACTCATGAAGTCCCTCAAATCCGATGGCCGATGGCGCATCATGGTTTTTGCGGGAGATTTGACCATCGCAGATAATCGGAGCAAATTGAACTCTGTAAGTTGTACTCTCTTCAAATGGGTCAGATAATTTCTAATAAATCTTATAGCTCGGAGAATATCTTTCCTCGCCGCAGGGACCAATCCACACCTTCACGCCAAGCTCTCGAGATGTCGACAGCTTGATCGAAACGATTGTTGTGGGACATGGAACACGTCACGATGTTGAACTGGAACAGATCCCGGAACATTTCTATCCAGTGACCGGCCAAAACCAGACGAGAGGTCAGTCTTCTTGTCTCGATGAACTTTGGATATATTCTAACCTGCATCAGACTTGCACAAAATCTACTACGACGACAAGAGCTACAACGAGGGCCACGGTCATGCTTATCAATTCTTGGGCATTGATCCACTACAAGGCGCCCTTATCATCGTCCGTCCCGACCAATGTGAGTGGCTCTCTTCAACATCCGGTTCCATGATTCATACTAACTCCCTGCCACAGACGTCTCCGCTGTGGTGAGTATCAATGACTACCCTCAAATTGGCAAATTCTTCGGAGGATTCCTCAAGTCACAGCTGTAGGTTGGTCACCCCTCGGCAAGAATGACAGGCAGCTTGGGCATCGTCTGAAAGTACAGGTGGTAGCTATCGGCCTGCCAGTCCTTTTGCAAATAAAATCTAGCAGGACGGCCATCGTCCGCATTGTATCATTGAAGTGAACGGATTTACCGCTATTTTGTTTGATCTGTACAACGGCTTTGTTCAGTAACATCATTATATAAGCATGCCATGGATTAAGCAAATATAGAAATGATGTTCTTTGGGTGGGCCAAAGGCATCCCTTGCGCCAACAGTAGCATCAGGTCAATTAGACTCACATGTCAAAGTAACCATTGTTGATTATGATTCTCTGGACTCTCTTACCTCCGCACTTGGTGGTCAGGATGCTTTGGTCAGAAGAAAGACTACAAGTGATCAAAAGATGGTTGTTCCTTAGAATGTGATTCATTGGATAGCAATATCGAGCTTTTTGGAAGGACTAGAAATACTCTTCAGCCACAGACGACTCGTTCCCGCCAATAAAAGTGCTGCTCATCTTCTCAGACTCTTCATATCTCTCCACCAGCAGCATAGCGACAAGATCCTCGCGTTCCTTACCCATCGCCTCAGTAGGGAGGCTTGTCCAAGCGTTCTTGAGCAAGATAGAAGCCGCTCTATCCAAGGCCTGCAGAGATCTATAACATTTCTGTTGGTCTAGAACATATTAGCGATAAAAGGAGCATCAAGGGAATTTGTAGACAATACCGAGATCGTTCACATTGTCCGGGGTGAGGCCATACAGAGTACGGAAATATTGCCATTCGGTGCTGCTTTTCTTGTAGCGCTCAATGACTACCATGGCATCAGAACGCACATCGCCGCCGTGGATAATGTCCTTGTTCAGTCGGCGGATGTCCTCCTTCCGGCGTTCTGTGTCTTTGCTAAGCGCATCTCGCACCCATGTGGAAATGGCCCTTTGACGGATGTCCAGATGGCCCTGGCGATGAGATTCGAGTCTATTGATCTTGTCGTTCATTTCACGGAGTTCCGCAAGAAGGCCGAAGCCGCCTTCGTTAGCGGCTATTCTCTGCTCAGCATCGTAGCGCAGCGACGGCGCCTCCCTGACCATTTTGTTCACACAGGCGTCAAGAGGGTTTTCCTTATCCTCAACTGAACTGTGGTAAGCGATCTGGGTGTCACGCTGTAGTACAAGTGAATTAGTTAAATCTTTCATGCGAAGGGAGGGAGGTGCGAAATGGACTCTACCATTTCTTGTGGGTTGGTGTTCGGATTAGTCATTGGCTTTTTCTGAATCCCGCCGGCCTGCTCAAGAGCTGGTCTTTTCTTGCCCTCGATCAAGTTCACATTTCCGGATGACATGGTTAGTGTGTGTGTTTGCAGCCGCCCGTCCTGGTGATGGCCGAGATGGGGATAGCGAGGATGGAAACGAGAAAAGACACTATCTGCGGCAAGTTTACAGGAGGGAGCAGGCAGTTGCCCAAAGAGAAGGAGCGACTGCCTGCTATCAATCCTCGAGGACCAAAAGCTAACAAATGTAGAACTCTATACTTCTTTAGTGCCAAACTACTCCGCTGGAGGATCAGGCATGTTCAAATCTTTTATTTTGGCGTCATCTCGCTCCATCGACTGTTCTAGTTGGGCCGGGGTTAGGGATGGAAAAGAAGTATAGAACACCTCAAGAAAATGAAGGTCATTAGGCCATCCAAAAGTACTTCATATTGAAGTGGGGATGGCTCGATGGCTGTCTGACAATGCAGACCGGACAACAACAACCAACGGACCACACACACAACCAGCACGTAGCAGAGGTCGTCCTAACGGAGATCGCAAATGTCCCGGGTGAGACGGCGAGGCCGTACGGGCAATCCTGAATGCAACAATCCTAAATGAGGCCGTACAGTTTTCCCAACTAAGGCCGTATGGACTGTACTTAATACGGCATTATGAATCAAGGAGTATAGTGACAACTGGAATGAATTGGGTAGATGATTTCCCATGTCTATCCTTATGTAGAAGCTGTTGCTTACGCCTAAGGTATTCTGTCCGTATGAATACTGCGGTGGAACGGAGATACAATTATCCGTCATGTTTATTACATGTGTAATCTAGAATGCCCTAACTATAAATGGCCAGACTCAGGTGTAATACAAAAACAGAGCTTCAGACATCGTTGATTGGTTGTATACTATTCGCAGCGAATGAGATTCTGCCCCTCTTCACCGCATCCTTGCCTCAGCCTCCATGATAGATCTAGTTCCATAGCTTCCATCTCTAGAATCTACATCTCTCTCTTTTCCTCCTTCCTTCTTCATAGGTTATGAGCTCTCTGCTCTGTTGAGGCTGTTTAACTATAGTCCAACACTCCTCACCAGTGCTTTCACCTCGCCGTCGCCGACCTCGCCGCCGCGAGTGTCGAGTGAGGGCTTTCGTCAACAAACGACCTCAATCAGAGGCATTTTTTTCATCCATTTTCCATCCAAGTCCTTTATTCAGGTATCTTCATCCGATCCCTCTTGCATCTCTCTGTGGCAAAAATGGCTACTGACGACTACGGCAAGATCGCTGACCGCGTGGGCAAGCTTTAGGGCTCCCAAAACTACTCAAACTGGCTGTTCAAGCTCAAGCGAGCACTCAAGTCTCGCAGCGTACGCCACTGGGAGATTCTCATCGGTGAGCATCGTCCTGAATTCACTTCCCATCGTCCTACCCCACGCGAGCGCACCATGCGTGATCATATCGCTAGGGAAAACAACAAAAGGGTATTGCGTGAGCATCGGCGTCAACCACGTACCACATATTTGGGCACGAGCCCTCGCACTCATGACACAGACGGTGATGAGCCTGCTACCATACTGCCTAATTCTATCACCGAGGACGAGCTTCTTGAGTTCGTTCGAGTCCATTTTGATGAACCCAACAAGGAACTTGAAGAGTGGGAAGCTCTCATGTACACTGTGCTGGACATCTTTATCTCCTGTCTCGACTATGACCCCATTCAGCATTTCAAACAGACTGAAGACGCATACGAAGCCTTTAGGATCATTGAATAGCTGTACGGTCGTCCCACACAGCAGACCATCGCCACCAAGTGGGCCAAACTCGAGTCTACCGTCTACAAAGCAGGTCACCAAAGCGCTCAGTTCATTGCTAACTGGCAGCGAGCCTACGTGGAAGTAGACGAAGCCCTAGGCGAAGAGTCTCTTTCTATAGCCATCCAATACTCCATGTTCGTCCGGGCTGTGGGTAACCACCCTGATACTATTGTATGGCTTCAGGGCGTCCACAAATTCGACCTGAAGGATGACAGACTTATGGAGAACGTCTTTGCTGACTTTGGCACCGCGGAAGACCAGCGCTATAACAATATCAAGCAGCACCCTACCCTTTCTTCCAATATTACTAAGAAGGGGCGGCCAACAGGGTGGCCAGCAGCAGCAGCAGCAGCAGCAGTCCCAGTCCTCTCAGCAGTCCTCCCAGCAGTCCAGTGGCCGACAGAAACAACAAATTAACCAATCTGGTCGCCAGCAAGGTCAACAAGCTCAGCAGGATCAACAAACGAACAATCAGGGGGGTGGTGGACGAAGCAAATAGTTCTGCACTTACCGTGATAGAAAGTCGGCACATTCTTCTGAGCACTGCTTCCTCAATCCCGCAAATGCTGGCAAGTCCTTCAATAAGGGAACCAGTACGGCAAATACGACCGCAGAGCTTCCACAAAGCCCTGAGGATATTTTCATCAACACTGCGACCGTACGGGTCGATTCTATCGTGTCAATGGAGGACATCATGGCATTTAACAAGCTGTTGGACAAACCGACTCCTCCACAGGCCAATACGCTAGAGATCGACATCTCCACCCTTTCAACCGCGAATGCAAGCATCAACCCACTTCGCTGGATGCTTGATTCGGGCGCTTCATACCATATGATGCCCAATTATCACGTTTTTGTCGAGTATTCACCTTGCAGAGTCCCTGTGAAGGCTGCCAACGGCAAGCGCTTCTACACACAAGGCCTTGGCACCACCCGACTTACCACGATCGGAAAGGACGATCAGGTCATTTGTCCTATCATTCTGAAGAACGTCTGGCACGCTGAATACCTCGACAGCTCCCTTATCTCGTGTCGTACCATGTTCCGCGACGATGGCATCACATGTACGCTATCGGATCATGCAATCCTAACCTCACCGGCCGGATAGGCCGTTGGCTATGGAGACGCCGACAACGATCTCTACTGGTTGTGAACTGATTCAAAACATCAACTAGAGACTTTCTACGCTTCCGCAGCTTTCACAACCTCCGCCACGGCTTCAGTGGTCCGCGCTATGCCTAAGGAGGTGAAACCTATCTCTATGGACCTCGCACATCGTCGTTTCTGCCACGCAGGTGAGCAACGCGTTCGCCGCATGCCTGGCTTCGCGGAGGGCATCAAGTTGATCAAGGGATCTGCTCTCAAGTCTCCCTGTCCCCCATGCCTTGCTGGCAAGGGTCATCAACTTCCGTACGTTACCAACAAATCCATCCGCGTGCGACCAATCGACTCTCTGCACATTGACGTCTGGGGACCCATCTCCATTGTCAGCAAGGAAGGCCAGACATACTTTATGTCTATCACCGACGAGGCGTCTCGTTTCTGCTGGATCTTCCTTATGAAGGCCCATACGGACGTCGTCAAGTGCTACCAGGTCGTGGAAAGCTATCTACTCACCCAGATTGGCTACCAAGTCAAGTCTATGCATGGTGATTAGGCTAAAGAATTCAATGGTCCATTGCAATCCTACCTTAAATCAAAGGGGACGACCTGGGATGCCTCACCGCCGTAGGCTCACCAATTGAATGGCATCTCCGAGATCAAGAACTGCTGGCTCGTCAAACCACTTGTTGCGGTGCTCACCGAGCACCAGCTGCCACGGTATCTGTGAGGTGAACTCATTCACGGCGTCAACTACACACTTAACCGTCTGTGGCATTCGAAGATAGAAATGACACCATACGAAGCATTGCATGGCCGTCAACACAACGTTTCTAACCTTCGTGCTCTAGGCTGCTAGGCCTGGTATCTCATCCCTGCACAACGCCGGGAGACCAAGGGGTTTACAAGGATCCAGAAGCGCGTTGCGCTGATGATCAGCGGGGCTTTCAAAAGCACGTCGGCTGCAGCCCTCGAAATTGAGTTATTCCTCACACCAATCAACCTACTGATGCAACAAACTATTGAGGAAATAGCAATCAGAAGCCAAACGACAGTGCCCTAGGCCGTACCCGAAGGGATTATTGCTAAAATGAGAACGGAAACCAAAGAATATGCGCCTTGGAGGCTTGACACCGCTGGAGGCTATGAAGTAGAAGAAGGACGGCCCATTGGCACCGTTGATGGGACGGGATGTGCCCTGGGAATCAAGGACATCATTCGCCCCCCTGTGGGAGACACGCATCAAATGTGTCATGGAGGATGCAGAAACCGCCATCCAGACCCATGACAGCAATGAATTGGACGCCGCACTTGCCGACGGAGCGATCCAGCGTATCTTCACTGATGGCAGTGGATACGCAGGACTCGTGGGTGCATCCGCGGTGGATCAAATGTGAATGTGGCCGAGCTCACGGGCATTGAGATGGCATTGGGGCAACTGGCAGACCGACGGAATCAGGCAAATGAGGACAAATTCAGGGAAATGGTGATCTTCTCTGACGGCCCAGCTACAATCAAGTCATTGCAGAACCCGAAGCGACCATCTGGTACGTGCTCGCTTGCATTTGTGACCACGTACCGGTCCTTCGGTCGCGGGGAACACCTTCGATGGATTCCAGCCCATGTGGGTGTTCCTGGCAATGAACTTGCAAACGAGGCTGCAAAATCCGCCGCATTGTCGGGCGCGGGGGGATTCACTTGAGGGTGCGAGTGCGGGCTCGAAGAAATAGTTTGTCCGGCTGGCCTCCGCGGCGAAACCATGCGGCCGCCAGCGTATCAAAGAACGGTGGAAGAGACAATAGGAGAGGGAGAAGACGGCCAAACCGACCAAGCGCCTGATAAAATCGCCCATGCGAAAGGCCTTGGAGCTATATGAGGGGCTGTCCAAGCCGTACGCTTCGATTCTCATCCAAATGAGGTCAATGCGTATTGGTTTAGGGCACTTCCTGTATAAGATCGAGGAAAGAGAATCGTATCATCGTAGCTGTGAGCAGGGATCTCAAACACCGAGACAAGTCCTGCTCCAGTGTCCGCTGTACAACGATCTGCGGCGAACTATGCTCTACAAGGTCGCTCGCACCAATCTTGGAGACACTACGGACTACGATGCAATCATATCTCACCCGCGCGCGGCCCGCTATGCCGCTGCGATGATGCATCAAACTGGCCTCCTTGGTCAATTACGGCACGTGGAAGTGGAGTCGGACACTGACGAACAGATTGGCCTTGCGACCATAGGATAGGTTGTGAAGACGCTGTGCATACACCACCGAGCATCAAGACCGACCACCGAGAATGGTCAGGACACTCAACAATTATCGATTCAACACGCCAACATCATCAATTGAGAACCGAAGCTCTTGGAGAGGACTGAAGAACGAGAGGCAGGAGCATGCCACGGGGACGAGGGGATGCAGAAGGAGTGGAATATTGTGTGCTTTGTACTTTTGGGTCTGACTTTATATGGGGATTTCTATACTGATGATGATGATGAATTCATTTGCCCGATGTAGCTCGCTCTAAATATATGCTGCTATGCAGGGGTGCTGTCAGGCCTGCCGACAGCTGGAAAGTGGTTGCCAGCCCACTGAGCGACCGTCTCAGGAGGCTCGCAAGGCGAGTTCCTGGTCGGACGTCCTCGAACATAGAAATTGTAAACTAAAAACAGTAAGTGCATGGATGCAAACATGCTAAACACAAAGGAAAGCCAAAATGAACGTCATTTACCCCTTGTCGCACTTTCGACCAGGGGTCCCGCTTCACCACGGACACACCATTCCCACGACCTCTTTCCATCAATCTTCCAGTCTGTCGGTTGCCGCTCCTGTGCTCGCTTGGATCAAGGGATTACAGTGGACCTGGCACTGGACTCCTACTGGGCGCCATCTTTCTTCTTCCGTCACACTGTCCTAGGGGATCATTATCTCCGCTCCTTTGTCATCCCCTTCCTCCACGCCTAGAGCCGTTGGATCGACTGTTTGGAATTGGCCTAGAAGGCCAGTGCTGACCATGAATTCGGTCGCAATATTGCGAGCCTCCAGCCTTGTCAGGAGTTCGTCTCGACAGAGAGCGATTCCCTGATCGGAGAGAGCGCTTCTCATCCTGTCGCGCTCATCCTGGTGCAACGGGCACTCGAGCAAGACGTGAGCCACTGTTTGGTTGCCGAGGTTGCAACCACACCGCGCCGACTCACGTCGGTTGATGCGGCTCAGATAAGCACTCAGGCTAATTCGTCCCGTGCGTAGCTGCATCAAAATCGACACCGTTGCTTTGCGTAGGCCTGGCCAGTATTCCAACGTCTTTTTTGTCGGTGTTTCGATCAAGCGTCTCGTCGGCCGGCTGGTTGTCTCCTTCGCCCACGTTCTCTCCCACTCAAGCTTCGCTTCATTGCGGATCCGGCGCTTGGCTGCGGCCGCGAGATAGATATATCGATTGTCGGGTTTCAGTGGTCCATCGGGTTTCTGGGCGGCTTCTTTGGCTTGTTGATCAACGATCTCATTACCGATCACTCCTTGGTGAGCAGGAATCCACCTGAGCTCGGTACGAATGCCTTTATCAGCGAGCTGGCGAATAAGTTCAAGGCATCCTGCCAAATAGACCTGCCCCGACGGCATACGCGGTCGGCCGAGTGCCTTCAGTGCCGCTTGGCTGTCTGCAAAGATGATTAGCCTGTTCTTTGCTTGTTCAGCCCACGGCTCTGTGCTTTCCAGAACCAATGCGAGCGCCATCTCGATTGCACGAAGCTCTGCTGCGTACACAGTAGACGTATTCTCGTCGCCCATCTGGCTATGAGCATGTTGGTCCTCGAGATCCACGATCGCCGCCGCTCCGATCCTTCCCTCAATACCGCTCCCGTCGGTGTACAGAATCACGGGTCTTTCCCTCCAGCCTATCGCTAGGATCTGATCATGACGTTTCACGGCGACCTCTCTGTCTTCGATGATCACCTCTGGTGGTGCTTGCCATGGTGCCTGGACGAATGCTTTCCGACTCTCCCAGTGCCTCGTCAAAGTTCCCGGGGGAGCCGTAAGACATCCGCCCGTCTTCCACGCTTGCGCTTCCATTGGTGTCCATCCTGCCCAGTACCTCTCGTCATTAGGCTGACGCCGTAGCATCGTTGGTGGGACTGCGAATGCTGACCCTGTGCGTAGTCGTAGAGCGGTTTCTTTCACTAGCCGATCCATATGGATCGCCGCTGGTGGTAGGTACAGTTCTGTGTTCAACGCCTCTGCTGCCGTCGTTCTGAATGCTCCGCTAATCAGGCACGCAGCCCGCTTCTGGATGCCCGCGAACGGTTGGCTAATTGTGCGAGCTTTCGTTTTGCTAATTAGCATAGGTTGGTACCATGCTGAGACCAAAGAGCATTTACGGGATAACCACGGCTTGATAGATCCTGCGCATAGCCGAAAGGGAGCCCCCCCATGTTGAACCGGCCAAGCTTCTCAACGCTTGGAGAGACACGCCTGCTTTCGCCACTGCCTTTTCGCGGTGGTGATGGAATTCCAGTCCAGGGTCTAGCCAGTAGCCCAGATAGCGCTCGGCCGTTCTCGTCGCTGGTACGGTATACCCCTGTATAGATAGCGGTGTGTATTGAGGGTCAATTTCTCGGGTGTTCACGAAGTGCACGAGTGCGTACTTTTTTGGGTCAAAGACTGAGGCATGTGTTCTGGCCCATTGATCGGCTTTTCGACGTGCCATTCTGAGTTTCTTCGTGGTCTCGCGTTCGCTATCTCCCTTGGCCATGAAACAGACATCGTCCACCCAGCCGTTGCTGGTTACGCCGTTCCCGCAGTTCTCAATGAGGTCTGCATTGTAAATGAGATATAGGATCGGCGAGATCGGTGACCCCTGGGGGATGCCTGTCGGCGTCGAAATTTGATCGGACATGCCCTCGGGCATACGAATTCTCGTGCTCTGATTAGAGAGGAAGGTCTTCACCCAGGGGGCGAGTTGTCCCAGGCGTCGTTTTCTGAGGTTATGGAGTAAGCGATCGTGGGAAACATTATCGTATGCTCCTGATACATCCTGCATCAGCAGTGACACCACCGGTTTGCCCTTTCCCCAGGCCATTTTGATTCTGTCAATCATGTTGTGAATCGCGTGGTCCGTGGAGATCCCCCGTCGACCGCCGAGATGGGTCTTTGGGAGCAATCCCATGGTTTCCACCGCGTAGCTGATCCGCCGTGCGACCACTGCCTCTAGGAACTTGCCAAGGGTATTAAGCCAAGCTACAGGCCGGTAGGACTTTGCGAGTTGATAATAGCTTTTGGCTCGCTTTCTAAGGACAACCGTGATTGAGCGTTGGAAGTTTGTTGGGTTGTAGCCAGTGCGTACACACGCATCAAATAATTGTCCGAGTACTTGCAGGATGACCGGTACTTCGATCAGCTTGTGCCAGAGGGAGTTTGGAATGCCGTCTTCTCCTGGAGCTTTCCCTGCCTTTGCCGTTCTTACTGCTTCTTGTATCTCTTGTGCAGTAATTGGTGGAAACTCGATGGGCTGCGGGTATTGAAATGACACAGTGTCTGAGAGATCTGCTGGCGGTGGCTGTGGGAAAAAAGCTGCCCGGAAGGCGTTTGCTTTCTGCTCGACCGTCTCCGCCAGCTGTCCTGGTGATTGAAGACCTTGAATCTTTAAAGAAGGGGTGAGGCCTTTTTCGTAGGCTCCGTTGCGATTCCTCGCCCACTTAGCGAGGCGCCATATGCCCTGGGGGCCATCTTCGATGACCTGCTGGACTCGACGGCGGTGCGCTCTCGATAGTGCCCTTTTGACTAGACGTGTTTTCTTGTTGCGTGCCTCAGAGTAACGCATCCAATCGTACGGATCCTTTGTTCTCGTATGCCTGCGTCGTAGACGACGAACTTCCTTAACGGCCGCCTTGCACTCGTTATCGAAGTCAGGATTCGACCATATTGACGGTTTTGCCCACAGAGTTGAAGCCTCAATTGCTGATTGGACGGTGTCTAGCAGTTTCTGACACTAGGCCTCGATTTGCGGTGGGCCCGCTTATGACAGGTCCTTTGCTTTTGAATCTTCCTTAATCTTCTGAATGAGTTTATTATCGTCAGTCGCATTCCAGTTTCTCCGCTTCTGTTGTATTAGCACCGGGGTTTCAATGTTAAGTACTGTTCTGATCGGGAAATGGTCGGATGAATGCTCAATGTCATCTGCCCGCTCGTAGTTGACGAGCTGATTGAAGAGACTTAAACTGATGAAGGTCAGGTTAATCACGGACGACTGGTCGTTTTGAGACCAGGTCGCCCTTCCTGTCTCGGTAATCAGTTCGAGACCTCGCTCATCCGTGATTTCTAGCAGTTGCTCAGCTTTATTGTTAGCTATAATCCTTATTCCTCCCTATGTGATATGATGTGCGTTCATGTATCCCAGTACAATGTGTTCTGCAAGAGGGCGTCTCGCTAGTTCACCTCTTAGCTGGGCTAAAGTGTTGCTGCTTGGCCTATTGTACACATTGTGCACAAATAAGTCCGTCCAGTGCTTGCCTGGCTGGGCCCTTCTGAGCTTCAACAACTGGTAATCCTGCGAGATGAGCTAGCACGACTAGGAGCCTGGGTCGATCTTTCTCGATACGAAGAGGCATACCCCCGGTTGGTGACGATCTGGATCCTGTTCCTGGTCTCCATTTTGGTCCATCTCACGCGGGGTTTCCTTTGCTGGGTATACTAGCTGGAATGCGGCAGTCGCTGGTTGGTGGGTTGTATGTTGCTGTTCGTTTCTCCACGGCTCCTGCACTATGACGATGTCCGCCGCTAAGACCTTCCTGTCCCTGAGGAACGTAGCCATCACTGACCACGACTTGTGCGCGTTGTACTGAAGTATTCCAAAGGATTTCATTGGTGAATAAATTCATTATCACTACGCTCGCTGGCCTCGTGCCACACGTCATCAGTTGGGTCTTCGATTGTGGGTGCATCGGTTGTGATTGCGGGAGGAGAGGATCTGACTGGTACCGCTTGCATTCGGTTATATTTGAGGGTGATGAGTTTTTGATACTCTGGGCTTTCTGGGTCTAGATCCTCGAGGCGAGGTTCTGGCGTATTGTTGGTGTCGTTGATCGTTGTGACATCGTTGGTGAATTGAGTGAGCTCTTCTTCAAGGGTATCCTGCCGGAGGTTGCCCTGAAGGAGGTCGGCCTGAGAGAGTTGGATATCGCACCAGTTGCCGTGGTCTGGCTGTTCGTCCATAACGTCCTCCGGCTCGCCCATGCGGCGCTTTTTCGAGATGGTGTGCTCCTGCGCAGCCGTCTGAGATGCCGCGTGGGACCTCGTCGATCGCTGGATTGTCGAAATTATAGTGTTGGTTTGCCCCGGAGGTGGTCGCGCTTGGTCTTTGGGCCTGGTTCTCGAGCCCTTTGGGCGACCAGGGCCTTTTCTGGGCTTGGAGGATTTGATGAGCTCCTCAAGTGACGTCCCTGTCTCAGTTGATTCTGGTTCCAGGTCGATTATAACCTGCTGAGTGCGCTGAGAGATTCTCGCCCCCTGCGGTGCTCCCGGAGCATGCATAGATAGATCCAGGTCTACTACTTCGGCCGGATCTGGCCTTTTCGGGGGCGTCAATGTGTTACCGTTTGTGGTATTTCGGAAGTGCAGTGGGATGCGGTGATATATGGGGCAGTCGGCCAGTGCCTGCTTTGCCTCATTCATTGCCGTAATCTTCACCGGGCAGTCCCGACTGACTGGGCGGTGCCCTACGCCGCAATTGGCGCATTTGACTGGTATCGTCTGCCCCCGTGCCGACGGGCACTCCCAGGTCGGGTGCTCGCCGGCACAGTGGCCACACTTGAAGACGTTGGAACAGTGTGACTGGATATGCCCCGGTTTTGAGCACTTTCTGCACAGCTTCATCCGCCCTTCGCGGCAGAAACGCGAGGCATTGTGGATTTGCTTACCCCATACGACACCAGTGATGATAGCACGGTTGGCCACGACTGGACTGGTGAACTCTATCAGGACCGAGCTCTCAGCTCGTATACCCGCTCGCGTCAGCCAGCCAAGATACTGAATCTTATCGCCTTCGCCCCAGTTGTTCTGTCTAAGCAGATCGGCTGAGACGTCGGCCATCGTCTCCGGGGTTATTTTGATCGATTTCACGGGGATGTGATATGCCACTACCCCCTATGACGGCTCTTGGATCACCGAGCCAGGCCCGAATGCCCTCAGCCACTCAGGGTGCTTGCGAAGGAGCTCTGCCCCCGCGGCACTGTTGGCCAACATCACGACATCGCCTGGTGGCAGTTTTCGAGCTGCGACAAAGGCAGCTCCTCCAGCCAGAGCTGCAGAATCCTTCTGTCGAGCACTGGCCGTCTTTTGACGTTCTGCTCGTTCGACCAGCTCTCTTAGCGATAGTCCGCGAATATGTTCACGGTTTGGTCCGATCTTCACAATTACCTCTCGGTCCTCGCGAAGCTCAATCTCAGGTACTCCTGGAGACGACGTGCCGATGCTGCGGATATTCGGTGTAGCAGCCTTGGCCAAGCCGCACTGCCAGTCTCTGGCTCGGAAGTCGCGCCACGCCGCTGCAGAACTCGCCGCGGAGGTAGACACGTTGGTTGATAAGATGCTCGTTGTCTTTTCAATGTTATCAATTCGCTGGTTCAGACGTTCGGTGTCGGCATTAATCTTGTTCAACGCTTCCAGTACCTTGGCCATCCCCTGGCCGTCTCCGCGTTGGACGTTGAGTGCGAACTGGCGGACCGCACGGATATATCTGGTGATGTATCTATCCTCGGAGCCATTATTCTCGATGTAGTTGAGCACGCGGCGGGCTCCCTCTGCGATGTCTTCCATCCACCGAGGTGGGTCACCTGATGTTGTAGGTTTTGGTGTTCCTTTCCTTTCAGGGGGTAATCTCTGCGCGTTCGCACCAGTCGCAACTATCGCTACCATCTCCCCTACCAAAAGGGTATCAGACGGTAGCACTTGAAATTACGACTAAAATGAACCAATTAACAAGGCCGTAGGACCTCTGATTGGCTAGATATAACAAGAAACCGTTTTTGCCAAGAAAGAGTTGCTTTTTTGGGATTTCTATACTTACCTTTTGGATTTAGTACACTCTTTTCTGTGCCTGCCTTTGCGGAAGGCCGATTTTCCATTTTGTTACTGTTTATTGCAAGCCGCGAGTCTGGAGTTAAGGACACCAAGTTCTGCTACAGATTTGGATGAACCGCCTCCATAGCCTCGACGCATCTAGTTAGGCTTTATCAGGTTAATAGAACTGTGATTGATTGATTGATTGATCAAATTATCGGGGTACGTATCATAAAGAAAACTGAAAATTCCTTGAGGACCCGATCTTAAGATATTTCTTTGAGTCCACCCTTTTGTTGTGTCATGTTCTAACCCGGCTGAAGGAGGGTGGCCGCGCGCCCGACCTCGGGTAACTAGAAAAAAAAGAAGTGTACCTGGTTTGCTAAATTATGATCTGGTTTTTATGATGCTCAGTATTTAAGGCAGGTCTTCCACGAATGAAGGAATTCGAATGAAGGAATTTTTTTCTTTCTATAATTGCGCCATGTATAAGCTAGATCACCGACAAAAAGTAGACTGAAGATAGCAGCAAACTATGTGCTATCTCTAAAACACGTCTAGTGTCTTCCTGAGAAATACCATCCATTAAGTAGGCAATGTATATTTCCATCCAACGATTCATGGTGCAGCATTAAAGGGTAATACCCAATGCCTCATTCAGAACCGACTAACATCTATCTCCCCCGGGTGCTAGACGTGGTTTTGTGTGTTCTCCTACATAAATGGTGTTGTCCAGTCTGTCTTGTCAAACAGCCATCGAGCCATGTCCATTTCAATGCTTATATTTGCACGTGTCTAACTTCTAATAGCTCCGAAATATGTCCTTCGCCTGATTGTCATCGTGGATGCTTTTGGCGTAGCCAAAGCCGCCCACTTCCTGGGCTACGCAACAAAGAGTTCCTTGAGGCTATAGAATGAAATTGTTGATGAAGTCAATTCGTTGATTGTCTGCCAGTATCCTCTCTCTAGGATATATGTTCCTTCTTGACATGATGCAGGAAAAGGATGCACTGTTTACAAGAAGTTATTCCCCCTGCTACCTATCTTCATATCAAATTCATCGGACCTTCAAGGCTTTCGTCCAACCTTTAGCATTTGAAGTTGATGTAAGAGACTTTGCTCTTGTTTCTTCAAATTCTCTTTGTATTCCTCAATACCGCTCAATCGGTCGAATTCTTGTCGATGTGTCGACGTCCCACGCGTCTCATTGCTCCCAGCTTCGATTTTCAGTGGGGTTGCTTGGGACCGACTACACATTTCTCCGGTCGTATGAGGTTCAAGCTCATAATCTGGCTCAAAGTTTACAATCTGATAAGCGGAATCACGGTACCAGAGTGCTTTCACCAACCTTTGAGCATTCTGAACTGGCAGAAAAGTATTTTAAGAAGCCCCCGATTATATCGGAACTGTTCCACGCTCGTGTTGTAGATTGGAAACTACAAACATCAAATATATGGTTTGACCTGTAGTGAGAGCGTGGATTTTATCAGAAAATTCTAGGGCCTTGCTAATCCTGTTCCTCGTGACTAATACCACTGCCCGCTTTTTCATATTGGCTAAAGTCCAATTCCCAAAGTAGTTGAACTATTGCACCAATTAAAATGTTTGAAAATTAATCATGCTCGGAGTGTGAGACCCATGTCTCGAGTGAAAAAGCAGGCCATGTTTGCCGTTGCGAAATAATACGATATGTTGGCGGCCTCTCGTTGCACCAAGCTGGCCCACCCTTGTCAGGTAAGAATTATAATTTGAGAGATCATTACAATGACTACTGACTAACTTACCGTGGACCCCGAGTAGACTCGTACATTTCTGTACCACGTGCATGACTGTTCCAGGTGCATGTATCATTTGGCGTATTTATTTACTCACAACAATTTTTTCTGTAGACAAACTTAAAATCACTTCACTCCCCATTTGTACCTTTGTTTAACCAGACCTAGCCGGCATAATGGGCCTTTACTCCATCTTTAGTCGGCTAGAATGAACTTCAAAGAAGCAAATGCAAAGCCAGTAAAGTAAATAGCTTTTTTTAAGGATACGAACGATTATAATCGTTATTCTCGCCAGTAAATATTTACTAAAACCCGCTTTATCGCCAGTTGCCGGAGCCAGAGCAAATGTTTGACTTTTTACCCCACTTTCCCAATTCCTTTCTTGCATGTTCAAAGTATGTGAAATACAAAATTTTTTTTCTGCTTCTTTGCCTCGAGAGTGATTCTGACCATATTCAATATCATCGCGCCCAAAAGCGCAAAATCTATTGTGGCAACCCCATCTTGACCACGTTATGTCGAGAGAGTGTGTTAGCGACAAAGGTTGAAAATGCAGTTTTGACCCCGACCATCGCTTAGCAACAAAGCGTGGATGAGAGTTGACAAATGTGCAATGAAATCGCCAAAACTCGATTTCATGAGATGAGAGTGCGATTTAATTTCAATTTCCATTTTTTTGATTAATAAATCATCTCTTCATCCAGCCTAAATCCTGCTATCAGTGGCCCATGTAGGTAATAGTAAAGACGCGCTCTTATTGGGTAAGTACTTCTACCGCTTCGGTAATGATCAGCAACAAGCGCCAAGCCAATTTGTACAATGATGACACCAGCAGTACGTATAATTAAGCCAATATTTATTCCATATTTTGTCTCATCTGTGCAAGGAAGAAAGCCTGTTTCTCTCACAGAATGTTTCGGATGAGGCAGATGATGAGAAGCCAGGCGTATAATTAGCACGTTTAAGCTCGCCCCGGCCCAAAACGTGTAGTTATTGGTGACCTAATGCACTCAAGAGGGACAAGGAAAGTATAGTTGGCCGTAACGGGTCACCTGTCGATACTATTCTAAACAGCAGCATCCGATAGGGCCCAAATGACCCGGGCCAAATTAGGATGGTGGAGGGGACGGTGGTGGACCGGCGAGCCTGTCTAGAACTGGTGGTTGGCCTCATACAGAACCAATGCGTTCATCGTAAAATGCACCCTGAATAACTCCAAAATCAATCTATCTAGCACCTGAATCTTGTGGTCGAGTATCCCGCCATTGTACGTATGCTGAGCCGCGCTTTTTCAATGGCTTCGGCCCTTACTGACTATATTCCAAGCGCTCTCAGCTTGTTAGATAAGGCCTACAGGAAGGATGTTACGACTGAAAGGTCTTCTGTAGAGGGAGAATAACGTGGTGTCTGGCCTTCTGGGATCGAGGAGTCGCAGTTTCTGAAGCGTGTCAGCCGTATATACATCGTCCCCTGTCTTTATAAAAATGGATCTGTACTCCTTCTTAGCGGTGGCTCGTCTTGCTATGATTAAGTATGAGCTATGCGTAGTCTAACGAGAATGAGAATCTGACGCTAGTGCGTGATATCCTTGTGGCCGAGAAGATATATTGTGTGCGGAGGTCTTCTCACTTGTAGGTGAACTTTCCGAGGGAGAGGAACCTAGCAGATGCTACTGGGTACATGGCTAGGAGGATCAAGTAGGCTCAAAGATTCGCAGTCACATCCAAGGGCTATGACGTGAGTTTGGCTAGTCGCGGGCAGTTTCGTAATAACGTTGCGCGAAATCGATGCCCTAACCCGTACTTTTGTGATGAAGAGGAATCTTCGCGTCGTCTATAAGACGCCGAAAATACTTGTTATCAAAGCTTATATTTAAGGAAGTGATCGATGTAGTAGGCTTGAAGAGCGTCTAGGTCAGCGAATGTGGTTTCGGGCTTGATCGAAGATCAGTATCATTGCGTTAGGCTGGGACACATTCTACTTTCTATGATGGCCTTTTAGTTCAAACGACTAAGAAATCGTGTGTAGCTATGAAGCCAGGGATAGTTTCGAAGCTAGCTATGCGGATATTGCTCATATAGCGTAGGCTTTTTTTTTCTCTTTTTTTCATAATAGCGCTGAACTGAGAGTAAAAGGACCTTATGTAAGAGCATAGTCCGTTCTAAGCAATTTTGGGTCTCCTGCGTTGAGCCAAGGAGTTTGTGAAGAAATACACGCGGCGTTGTGTGCAAAATTACCCTCATTTTAATTCCGTCACGGGCTAATTCTATGAGATAGACGATCTTGATTCTTTATTGCGGGTTGAAGATGCAACCGTGGTCCATGAAAAGGTCGTTTGTTCAACGAGGTTTTGCTCCGAGGCCCATAATATGCAACTCTACTTTGCGCGGCATTTTGGCTGCTTCAACATCAAAATGGGTAGCTATTGGCAATAAGTATTCGCAAATTTGATCTTTTCGTTTTCTAAAAAATCAAGACCTACTTTAAAATGATATCGGCTTAGGCCAAGGGTTGGCAGCTTGCAGAATCGGGTGGATACATGTTCTCTGTGCAAGCAAATCCGGAACAACACTCGTCCCCATTCGGATTCGTTGCATCGCAGTTGCTGCCACTTGGGATACAACCAACCGCAATCCCAGCCAAGGCAAGAAAGACACAGAGGAGGCGCATGATAAAGTTCACTCGTAATAATTAAAAGCGATCACTGAGGCGAAATTCAGTCAATATGAAAGTTGAAGACAGGAGGAAGCAGTTTTGGTTTAATACCAGTTGAGAAATATATCGAAAATTGCTAGCGCAGTAGTTAGGCTCTTCTTCGATGGCGTTGACGAAGGAGAGGGCTATATATGAATTATTGCTCAAGAATTAACGCCACCTTGCATTTTATGAGCACCTTACTTCGTTACAAGTTTCTGCAGTACCAGACGAATATAACAACGCGCTAGTATGATCGATTGTCTCTCCCAAAATAGCGGTCAGAAAGCAAGGAGTTATAAATGTGGTAGGTGGATTGTAGAGATCTACATTGTTCGTACATCGGAGACATTTGGAGCAAGCAAGGAACTCATAACCTCGAAGCGCGTAAAAACCTCCATCGGGAATCTTTCATTGCGAATAGGCCTCAAGAGTAAGGGATAGGCATTGCCTTAGTACGAACCGTTCCTTCCATTGCACCCGAAGATCAGACAGACACCTGAACCCTAGATTACTTGCTCTTAGTATTTGCGCCTCGTAATAGCGCCCTCACCGCCAGGTGGGTGGCCGCTATTTGGTATGTTTGCACCATTATCGATGGTTCTAGACTGCAGATCCCGGACGGCCCGCTGTCCTTTGTCGTGGATTGGCCAGAACGCTGCGTGTCAACCAAGGATATGAGATGAGCTCAGATCAGAAGAGTTTGGGCACAGAAATGGAGTCACAGACTATTTCCTATCGGTGTCGGCGATAAGCTCCAATTTCTGGATCTGGCTAAGAGGAGAATCTATGGGCTCAGTTGCCGATGTTCTTGGCTTCTCGGCATTTTTGGTGAAGTCGACTATGACACTGTCCGGACACAATGTATCTCGGCAACGGCGTAGGAGAGTCGATATATGCAGTGTGCTGTTACTAACGATGTTTAGTTTATATCTCATGAAATAACCTTTACTATACTTGATTTGCGTCGAATACTCGAGTCATCGCTGTCGTTATAGTTCAATGGTGAGCATCCAAACACCAACATCAATACACAAAATGAATGGGGCGGATATCCTGCAAATTATGGCGCAATACGAGGCTTCGGCGCGTAAAGAGTACTCATTGGGTTCTCCAAGAGTCGATCAACTCTTGACTTAGAGACAGTTCAATGTTATCCGAGCATTGGTTGATACAGTGTGTGTGGGTGTGTATAATTCATGCTGCCCTCATGGCGCGCGACTTTGAAACCGTTGCGATGCTTCAGCGAAGTCCAAGACAGCCTCTACTATCTTGGTCCGTGAAGTGCTGCCAATCTTACCTCTTCCTTCTTCTCCTGGTCCCCCCAGAAGTGTCGAGATGCCGTTGAACGCGTCATCAACCTTTCCTCGGAGCTCTCTCCTTAATATTCCCAGTCTTGGACAATCCAACAACATATGTTGACAACCAGCAATGTCCAGTCCGCATCTGCGTGAGTAAGTACGTTCAATTTCTCGGCAGAGAGCTGTAGAGCCGTCTGGTGTGCTTGGCCGGCAGTGTGTTGTCGATCTGGCGCAGATGGGCGCCGGTGTTTGACTCGTTCCATTCTTTCTTCCATTGGGTGTAGATCCCTTGCCTGATGTGTGCTCTCTCTCGTGACAGCAAAAAGCAGAACGGGGGTGTTTTTCCCGGTATGGCTGCCTCTTTGGCTAGCAAATCGAAAGTGTCGTTCCCGGGGATTTCGCAATGTCCGGGTATCCACTGTAGTCAAATCGATGTGCCGTGAGTCCTGGTGTTCCTGGCTGCTTGTAGGACGGCATGGACGATCTGTTGTCCCGACTTGTTCCCGGGATTCTGGACTACTTGCAGGGCCGACTTGCTGTCACTGAGGATAGTGGCAGATCTCACCTGCGTATGGGATATTTTTCAGTGTCGGAGTGCGACTTTTGTTGACGATGTTGATGGCGTACAGGATCCCAATCAGCTCGGCGGCGTGTTGATACAGTAACGCCTCTGTTTTAAGACTCACTATGGACTGGCTAGATGAAGACGCCATCGCCATGGTGCGCAGGTGTTTCTGAGTCTCAGATCAGCTGTTACCCCTTAAGTCTCCGTCCTACTTCATTGCAACAGCAGATTTCCCATCATCCGTGGATAGACCTTTTCCCAATGCCCCAAATGAGAGATAATCTATTACAAAACTATAGACACTTTGATGAAACTGCCCTTTGCAACGACCTTGTTGATTTCTACGTTGTGCCAAATGACAAGACTGGCTTGATTGTATGGAGCAGCCCATGGCTCCCGTCAAGGTGGGAAGTTAGTGAGACTTCCTTCAGCAAATGGACCTGGGTCGTCAAGGGAAGTAACGACCTTGCTGAATCCACCAATTATTGGCGCGGAATATGTGGAAAAGAACCTTTAGTGTTCAGCACACTACCCCATCTTTGTTGAAGTCTGGTCACGGTTTTCGGTTCTACTTACTTGCAACTGTAAGCAGATAGATACGGATTTAACAGTTCGTGAGTTAGCCGCTTCATAATGAAGATCTATGTCATAGTAAAAAGCTTGTCTGAAGATTTTGTTTACAGGTAATCGCGCGATATCGTTGCTAAAGCAGGTTGAAATATCCTCTACACAAACCTCGAGAGGTAAACACTCCCCGCTGGTCAACCGCTCTTTGCAAATCAATCAACTTTTGTTGTATTTACTATATCTAGAGAACGGATCTTTGTGAGAAGCGCCCTCTATAGCCAGGTTACCAATTCTATCAATAGGCACTGTACTCAACTCGTACGGAATCGTCTCAAAGTGGGTGAATGGAGGTGGGTGGGGATGCGTGACACTAACGGAAAAGTTATCGGATGCCTGATCAGGGATTAATGCTCGGGATCAATGGATTGAGGATAGTCAATGGCTATCTTTACTACAACAATAGGCTTACAGATAATGTGGTCACTGGGGCCTTCCTTAATGGATCACACAATGCTATAGCGGGTTCAAGAGATTCGTCAAATTTGATGACTGCGACATTGGCTGCTTTTGGCAAGCTTGTGAATGGGCAGAACATCATTTATGTCACTGCAGGAGGGGAGTCAGAGCACCCCGTGAACACTACGGATACTAGATGAGGAAAGGTCATGGCCCTGGCCATTGATCTGGAAGGTTAAAAAGGATGAAGGAGTAGTATAATGAGTTGAAGCTGAAGTAGATTGAAATCAAAAGTTGATATGTTTGTTGCACAATGACAACATATGCGGCCCTTAGAAATATGTCTGGTCAGCTCTAATCGCATGATGGAGGGGCCGTAGCCCTTTAATTATTCTAAACTATTGGCAAGATAATTTCATTTAACATATATTTTCTCAGCCCGCATTCGAATGAGAGGTCTACTCATGAACTAGATGCCACTTGTCTTGAACTGTAACCTCACGTCACAGGCATGATATAATAACGTAATAACTGAGCAATAGACATTATATCAGTTTAGATACAGAATTTAGGTGGAGTGGGAGGCCTTTCTGATCCAACCAGCTACAAAGTGCCAAACTTTTGCGGAATAGTGATGGTACCTTGGGTCGTGCTGCTCAATTTCCGATTTGCGCAGGCGTGCTCCACGTAAGTGATAGAAAGTCTCTCGGCAGATTGGACAACTTGCATCTCGTGATGTTATCCACAAATCGATACATGGCTTGTGGAATATGTGGTTGCAGGGTAATTGCCGAAATATAGAACTATGTTCCATGTCTTCAAAGCAGAAATCACATGTACTCGGTAGGGAGCAGCCTGTTCAAGAGCATCAGTTCTGGTTCACATCTGATATATTATGGTAATGAAAATACCGGTAGCTCGAGTATCACACTTCACGTAACAAGGCATCCCTGCCACCGTAATATCCTTTGCGCTGAGTGGTACCCGTCCCATTTTTGAGAGAGATTGAGGTTGTTGGCGTGAGCATGGGATGAATTAAAAATACGTACAAATGAGGCATGAATCTATGAAGATGATCACACATCAGCTTTCCAAATCATATTTAGATGTTGATATGACTTGTTACGAATATATCTCTGCCCACTTACCATGACGTCAACATTGCGCCCCCGACGGCCTACCAGAGTTGAGACTAAGCTGCAAGAACCTTAAAACTTCTTTTGGAAATAGTATACGACGAAACAGATCTGCTAATTCTTTTTCGTGTTCCCTTTATCTCTGGAAAAAAATTGACTTTTAGGCAAAAGGTCTCTGTAAATTACCTTGGACACTACAATTCAAATTAGGCTGTGTTAAGATCAGTATATCTTCACTTGTCGCGGCTTGGTTTCCAACCAATGTACCTATTGTAGTGGTGGAATGCATGCCATGATGAATGTAGTTGCAGCCTGAGGTGTGATGAATGCTTCAGTATGTTTCTTCATGAGATACATAGTATAGACATCTACCCAATTCATTCCAGTTACGCCACATTGTTTGTACCATGTTGCAGCATTGAAGGGTATTACGCAGTCCCTCAATCAGAGCAGACTTCTATCCATCTCCCTCAACAAGTTTGGTAATGCTACATCCGTTGAGTCATCATCCAAACAAAGTAATCCCTCACCTGCCGAAAGTTAAAGATAAAATGAAAAGCTGCCCGGGATCCAATTCGTAAAAGTTGAAGATTGCCTAATTCTGGAATCTGCTGTATGAAAAATTGCAGTTGGTTAATTTGACATTTTGTTTAAGATAAAAGGCAAGCCAACAGCTGATCAATTACCATCAGTAAAATGTAACAGGGCGATGAATCCAGCTGGAACGCAATCAGGCTTTTACCTACTCCATCCTTAAGCACCAACTCATTAGTCTCTATAAGAACAAAACCTCATCCTTTGCTAAGAAATCGATCAAGAGCAAAATAGTGGTCGAATATACTCCATTAGCACGTAAATGCTATCATGCCATTGCCACCTCCCCTGCGGTACTCTGAGTATCGAAGTGTGTGCTCCAAACTGACGAAAATTGGGGGGTGCGATCTAACTTTCCTTATCTCAGAATGGATGATAGAGTCCAAGCAGATTAGATCTCGAGTTTTTACTCGTTCCTTTTATGGCGATAGTACAGCGATATATTAATTCATCTAGCCGCTTTTGGAATTACTACCCGATATACCATCGAAGGTTCCGGAATTCTCGCTTTCTGGCCACTAAATTCAAAATTCAAATACAAATCTGTAAATTGAAAGTCATCCAAATCTGCATCAAGGAACCGGACTGCCGGGCACAATATCACTATGGTTAAGTCATGACGATGCATAAACTTGACCGCAGCTAGCCCTTATTGTAGACGCTATATATTCCATATTTCAATTATGAGGGTCATCGAGTAGTACTTTGGGCTTAATGTGAAGTTCAGTGAACCGGTTTGTTGACCTCCCCAGCCTTTGATGACATGACAAATTGCGGCGGGTGTTCCCGCTATGGGTCGAACAGAACAAAGAATGGATTGAGAGTATGTTTAATTCTACCAAGAAATCCTGTTTTATTTCTCTGGGTTTTATCTTCGTAATGGGCAACTGGACTTTCAACTTCCTTTCAAACCTTGTGTTCTGCGTTCCATGAATAAATGACAGAAGTAGCCATCAATAAACTTTCCTCGCCTGGAATCGAGCGGATATATTACGAATGACTTAGCTTTATCGAGGTGGCAGAGTTCATTTTTCTTACTACCGAATGTGTTTTTCGTGATTGTCTACTTGCAATTATAGGCCAATTTTGCCCTATCTAGTCTTTCTCTACGTGTCCCTACGTGTCCATAGGACGTAATTAAGTTTGACCCAAACAGTCAAGAGACTTGTGATTTTCACGTTAACTTGTCATAAGGGGTCCTCTATGCAGTATGGGATAGACTTCTTTCCACAATTCCCAAGTTCTTCGAGGATCCATAGACATCATTGACTCGCGAATATTACATCACGATTCGAAACAGCATCTAACCACGTTCAAGAAATTCGATATATCTAGAATATATAAAAGGCTTGTCACCTCCCATTTGGTCAGAACATCAGCACTTCAGGCTAGCACTTTTCGCTCGACTATCGCTCGAAGAACTTACATGCTTTCTCATTCAGATTGGTGAACACAATGTCTTCCACTATTCCATTTCTCACGGAGGGTCAACTGCGCTTTTTCCTTATTTGCAATCGGGTTATTCAGTGGCTGAGTTCCGTTGTTGTTCTTGGGATCACTTCCTATTTCATTAATACCGGCCCTCGTGGGCTTACCATAGTTTATGTGGAGGTCATAGTAAGTAAAATTAGCCTCATGCACGAAACCAGTGCTTACCTATGGAATAGGCTGCTGTCTCTGTTGTGGCTTTCCTCCCTTCTTTTGTGTCACCATTTATGGCGACACCAGCTAAGGACTTTGTCCTGTTCATTGACGTTATATTCTCTTATCTGTTGGTTATCCCCAGGTATTGGCTTTATATCATCACTTGCTAATAATACTAGATGGCTTGCCGCTTTTATATTCTCTGCGGTTGACTACAATCAACACAATTGCCATGCAAATGCGCCACCGGGTGTCTCATGCTCGAAGAAATGGGCCAACGAAGCATTCGTCTTCTTGACTTTGTATGTCTATAAGCTGTCCCTACAACAAAATATCCTATTCTTCTATCTAACATCGCAGTTCAGCATTTTTACATTTTTCGCCCTCTTCATCGAAGCCTGGTCCCTTTGGCTCGCCTGTAGGGATAACACACATTCTTCTTCACTGCATGAAAAGAGTTTTCGATCTGCATCGGAGCCTAATTCGGCCGTTCATGCGACACAAGCTCCCGCCGAAGAGCCCATGGCCACGCCTGCACAAGTCGTGTGAGAAACAGCTAACAAATGAAAACATATTTGGACCAGTGGTGCTATGCAATGCTACGGTAAAAGGATATTAATCCCATCTGAGTCTGCCTGACTGTCCTAATCATGTCAATAATGAGTTATTAACCTTCTTCATTTTTTTGTGCTTATTTTTGTGTTTCCATCGCTCTATGGAGGGCATATTCATACTAGAACTCAGTTTTTAGTTTGTGGTGATAATTTTCGTTTATTGAAAAACCCGGTTGAATATCTCTAAAGTCTTGTAGGCTCATAGACGATAAGCAGCTGGTAAGAATATGCTCTCAGTAGAATCGTCATTGTGATTGAAATCCCGAATTAGCCAAGAAGGTCCAACTGTATTCATGGTTTATCGATGAATTGCGAGGTTCTGTCGTGAATTAGGTTTGCTACGGACGGGTGTCGTACTTCTTCCCCTTCCGGTAACAGTAATTTCCAATGACGGACCTTATCCCTCTTACACGTCCTATTAATTATAACTACCAGAACAACATATCAATTAGTTTACAAATGCATCACATTTCAAAGGGCCGCCACATGATGAGGAACACCTCCAACTTTTCCAGTCCAACCAGACTCTTGAAGAAATTATTAGGGACAAGCAATCTAGTCAAGACTAGGGATATAACCTTGACAGTGATAAAAACTTAGCTATTTAGCGGTGCTGTTCTGTCACCGATTAAAGCAAGAGATAATTTCTGATCTTCTCAAAGCTTCGAGAGGATAGTTGGTTCCAAATTCGTAAGCAACCTAGCCTCTTAGCTGTTCACTACGGCCTACATGCCGCGCAGCAAGGAGAGACAAGTGAGGAGATAGGCCTGAGTGCTCCATCATGAGACTTGCGTTTCGAGGCTTGCCAGCGTTGCAGCTCAGAAGGGTCTCGACGAGTTTGGACACTACTCAGTAGATCTAGGGTCCTGGGGATCTACAGATCGGCATTCTATAGAAATGGTTCTGGTTGGCTAAAAGGTACTACTAGATCGGGAACGCAGATCAGTATTCATTACGTCATTGAAGCAACCCCGCAGTGTTATACACCGCAGCATAGGGGTATATAGAATGCGGACGACAATTCCCTAGCAACGTCTGCAAAAATCTCTCAAACTCCAGTGATATATTTTCTTTTGCAAAATCCAGGTCTAGACTACACCATATAGCAATCCGTCTCCAGACTCCCTATTTGATTACAATGCCTCAAGGTACGCAACGCCACGGGTTCATGCTTCCATTTTTCTTTCCATTTTCTAATCAAAGCATTCGATGAGAACAGACACCCAGCAACCGACAGAGCACAAGGAAGGCATTTTCAAAAAGATTTTCGACCACCACCACAAAGATGAAGACAAGGACCAGGATTCCAAGGATAAGCCGCAAGGCGGTGAGGGTGGAATCCGTTCCGATCTAAAGAAGGATGAAGCCGGCCTCAAGGAATACCTAAAGGAGGATGAGAAGCTCGAGCAAGAGGGCCAGACCTATGGAGGGCTGATGTGATTCTACTATACAGCACGTCAGGGCAATGTTTCTTTCTGATTTTTCGCTTTGATCATGGTATGCGTCTACGTACACATCACCAGGTAAACTGGGCACTTCTCGGTGATCCTGCTGATATAAGTTTTGTCCGATCCTTTGATTTGTTTCCTTAATTAATGACCAATTCATAAATATATGCAAACCTACATAACTAAGCTCCGCCACTTCCGCAAGAAATGGGAGATTTATCCTCTCCGCTTCGCTAGCTTGCGGATCTGAAGGGCATAATACCATCCGCAAATCCATGCGGAACGGATGAAGATGTAAGACAACCTCCGCGCAATAATCTGGGAGCTCCGCGGATATTTCAACACTCAAGTATGCCTGGACCTAGCCTTTCTCGGCGAAAAATAGTATACATGACTCTACCTAACACCAAATAGAGCATACCCCTCGCTTTTCACCAAGGAGAGTATTAACTCGCATAGCAAAAAGTTCGAAAGGTCATTAAAGAATGATTTAACAGCGCCTAAGCTATGACCCGATGGCACGGTATCCTACCGGGCGTTGTTTACAACTTTGATGCGAGTGTTTTCGCGTTGGGCCTCTATGCGGCACGTGAATTGACATCCTGATCGGAATACTTCGGTCGGAGAATAGGTTTACAGCTAAAAATCGCGCGTGGGTCACCGTGAGTGTTGGTGGGGAATGCAAGGGCGAGTGAGGTTCACGAATAATTTACGAGTGGTCAAATTGTAGGTGTGACTTGGCCAATGCCTGTTAGTAGTGCTTCGGGTGCATCTTGTGTAGGGGTGAGTCAAATCCATTGATTCCATTTACCGGCCTACTACATCGATATGGTCTTATTATTTCTCATATCTCATTCAAATCCGAACCATGTAAATCAAGCCAGTCCTTTGAATCATATTGCCTTCAAGATTCAGTACTGTTTACGGATGAGTTATTCCGTAATAGCTAGTAGTGCCAAGCCGTATAGAGTAGCGAACTTCTACGCAGTCTCGATCGCTGCTTCTGTACGCTGCTGCAACTTGGACCCGAGGCCCTTATTGACACGGCTAAAGAGACCTAGGTTCATTGTTAGTCTCACTCTCTAGTGCTCGGGTATGGCTTAAAGGCAAAACTTACTATAGACAGCCTTTCGCAGTTCAGGGTACTTGACACCCTTGACACTACCGACGAGGTTCTCGATGACTCTATCCTGGTGACCAGGCTGGCGACCAATCACCTCCCATAATGCTGCAGGCTGGACGAAATCATCGTCGGTGATCTCACTGGTATAGGCGGAGACCTCTCCCGCCCACTTTTCGTGCTCGGTGTGTAGGGCTAGAGCTGAAGCGCTGATTCCCTTCACGTCTTGGTAGTACTTGATGGGCTTTATCGAGGAGCCAACATAGTTGGGGTCACCGCCGTAATTGCCGTCAAATCGCATGGCTCCGTCACGCTGGAAGGGGCAGTAGACTTGTACCTTTGCAGCGTTCGTAGGGAGTTGCTGATAGTTGACGCCGAGGCGGTAGCGGGCTGCATCGGGATAGGCGAAGAGTCTTGCTTGCAGCACTGGGGGAAGGTTACTCAAGGTGATCCTTAAGGCGAAAAATTATTTGTCTTTCGAACTTACCTGGATCTGCGGACGCAGCGAATCCAGGAACCATGGTCGAGGGCGAGAACGCAGCTTGCTCGATATCGGCAAAGTAGTTTTCCGGCTATTTTAGTTCAGCGAATGCAAAATAGAATGAGTAAATAATGAAGACTTACGTTGCGGTTCATAGTAAGACGACCAATCTGCTGCAGAGGGAAGTCTTTGTGCGCCCAAACCTTGGTCATGTCAAAGATGTTCCACTTATACTTCTCGGCCTCTTCGGGGCTCATCAGCTGGACATAGACGTTCCAGACAGGATAATCACCCCTCTCGATAGCCTCGAACATGTCACGGATCATAAAGTCAGGGTCCTCTCCGGCGATCTTGGTAGCTTCCTGGGAAGAGAAGTTCTCCACGCCTTGCTGTGTTTTGACGTGGATTTTAGCGTATTTAAACGAGCCATCCTAAGCATGCCATTAGTTGACATTCTAGCATCTGGTAATGGTCATCGCCTACAGGCTTAGTGAACTTGTACGTATGTCCACTGTACGAGTTCATGTAGCGGACCGACTTTGGAGTACCACGGTCACTGAACAGAACCAGAAGTTGGTGGATACCCTCAGGGTTGCCGACGTGGAAACTATAAGATTAGTCTAATTCAACAATTGGAGCTGAAGGAAATCACATACTCCCAGAACTGCCATTTGATTAGTTTTTCAATCTCAAATCGCCGGGCAAAACAGGTGGACTTACCATGTTTGCGTCGGGAAGATGGGTTCGAGGGTGTCGCTTGTGAGAGCGGTTCATAGACGGGAACTTGATTGGGTCACGAATGAAGAAGACCGGCTGAATCAACGAATATTAGACACAAAGAGCCCAGAGAATTTTCCATAAAATCCAAACAAGGCACAGCATACCGTGTTATTAAAAACGAAATCTTGGTTTCCCTCGTCGGTGTAGAACTTCATGGCCCATCCGTGCACATCGCGGGAAGTATCGGCAGATCCGGACTCGGGCCCGACCGTTGACACGCGCTGAAGCACGGGCGTCTTCTTTCCCACCTTAGAGAGGAAGCTGGCGCTGGTGAAGTCGGAACAATCGCGGGTGGCTTCGAATTCTCCGTAGCACCTATAACTGTCAATCGGATGATTCTGCGGGAGATTGTGAATGGCTTACCCAACAGCTTTGGCGTGAACGACACTAATAATGATCTCCATGTCAGTGTACCATGAAATCTGGGATTGAAGGGTCAGTCGGGTAATAAACCAACCGTTCTGGAATTCTCTCGCGGGAGAAGTGAGCAAGCGTCTCAATGAGCTGGGTGTCCTGAAGCAATCCGAGGCCGCCGCCCTGGCTGCCCCGCATCAGAACAGCCGTCTTGTCGTTTGCGAAGGGGCATCCTGTCAGAGTCAGTTCAAAACGCAAGTCCCCCAAAGTGAAGAGGTGCTGTACCTTCGGACAAAGTGTAGTATCTATCATCGCCCATCCTGGATGACAATTCAATTGATCGTAATAAGTGAGGTAAATTAGAAAAAAAAAGAAAATAAATATGTTCGATCGAGTTGGAAATCACCCGAGGAATGTGACTTAAATATTCGCCAATCTGGAGACAATTTAACGCCGTGGTGGTTGCCTTTAGATGGCATTTGCATTGTATCTTAGTATTACGCTTACACTCATTGGCGCTCTGTGCTTTACCGCCAAAGGGTCCACCGAGCATTTCCCTTAACCACTGTATTGATCCTCCGAGGATGCGGGAGTGTCCTTGGGGTGACCGAGTGAGCCGTGAGACAACAACAGCATCATGGACGCAAGGGAGCCCCACCCTAATCAACACGGTACTCAAGGGGCAGCTCTGTGATTGGGCCAATACCATTGCCTAATCTGGTCGATGCGGTGGAAATGAAATCCGACCCATCGCCGAAAGCCGAAAGCTTAAACCCTCCATGACTACGACGATCGCGCACATTACCACTATTCAGTAGCATATTCTGCCACCTTCACGTATCACACACGTCTCTACCAGAGCCCAATTCTGGCCAAATGACGTTTCCAGGATAATTTGACGAGCTCACAAGCAGTCGGAATGTCTATTTCTGAACTGCACCTCAATGCTCAATCTCAGCATTTCAGCTTGACCTCGGCCCCACACCCAAAGCCAGCCACGTTCTGCTCAGCTCGGGCTTGATTAGGTTGGTTGGAGTTCTTGCTAGCTCTTTCGGAACCGGCCCATCATCCGAAGCCATGACTTGCCATCTAGTCTCCGCGTTTGTCAATGGCACGGGCCTATGCCGGGAAATTTGTTCCACTCATGACGCAGTCGGTATTTAATGCTGATTAGGCTGCAGGCATGATACACAGCACATCCATGTCTCACCGAGGCTTTCAAACGGACCCATTGGTGGGGTTGCGCTCTCTGTTGGGACGACCTGCTCCGGTGTTCCACTCTGTAAAGAGGGGTCTGCGTGAAACCCGAAAGCCCAACGGAAAAAGCCGTCCAGAATGTAATGGCCAACACCATGGGATTGGTCGTGTCACCGTCCAAGACGGTCGCACGTTGGATAGATCTTGGATCTACAAAGCCCTGACCAAATTTGCAAAGCCCTATATCGTGTGGCGGGCTACCCCAAAGCACAGCACTTGCCCCCCCCCCCACTTTCCTGATACGGAGCTACTACGTGATCTGTCATTTGCTTTGGCATAAAACCCCCTATTCTTGGATCAACATGTTATACAAACACCATGGGTGCTCCTCAGAGAAAATAAGCTGTGCTCTTACTGCACTGGGATAATCTCCTGTGCGAAATGAGCCAAACTCTCAATTAGCTGAGTACCTTGAAGCAGACCCGGCCCACCGCACACTCTGTCAGGCAACAAAACCGCTGTGTCATTGCTTGCACAGCGATACTTTTTCAGTATTAACAAGAACCAGTGTGAATGATAGACCCGGATATATTGCTTGCCTTCGGTAAGTGTGTAGTATTTTCCCATTTCGACAAAAGATTCAATGTACATTGTGTGGCCAAAGGTCAAGAGGAATTTTGATTGAAAGCTAATCTGCACAGTGTTAGTTACAAAATTATATGTTTAGAAGAGAAGCTTTCTGTGTGTACATGAAATGTGTCATGGTACTGATAACTTCCCTCAAATATTTTCTCAGTAAGCTATCATGTCATTAAGACTAGGTATACGACGATAATAATTGGGCCATGGTCATTTCCCAAGCGGTACTCATTGTTATTATCTCGTCCATTGAGTTCACTTGACGATTGATGTTCATATCTCGCTGTAATACGTCATTATTCCCTATAAGGAACGATCAAGCCGGGATGAGCAAAGATCTAGGCCAAGTGACCAGTCTATGCTAAAAGGTATTCTCAGAGTTCCAAGCCAGTAAGAGACGTTTGATGATCCACATGATATATATTTCCAAAGGAATGGGTAGCTTTTGTTTAAAAATCAATTCTCGGCGGGCGATCATGTCCTGCTAAAGGAAGCTGAACTTCCCGCAGCTATTAGTGCAGTGGCCAGCGGTTTAAAGAGTGCACTAGTATTACCCGACTCGTGTTAATATGTACCCCACTTCATTGAGATATCATATTCCATTAAGTGGGCTTTCTGGCGTTTGCTGGTAGGATGTCGTGCAGTGGTGGGGTTGAGACATTTGATAGCAAGTCAAAGGAGGTAAATGGAACGAGCGACACCCCACCTCCCAATTAGTCCACATGCATTACCCCTCGGAGGCGTTCATTCTATACGTCTCTGAAAGTAACAATAAATACTAATTATGATGATAAATTCCCCTGAATACCATGAAAGTGATTCCTCATTGGTCAAATAGGTATGCCATATTCAGCTTCGTGAGAAACAGAATTGAGTATCATATGGCAGGACCCGGCTCATGAACCCCACCACGAACCCACAAGAGCTCTGTGCATCGACATAATGAATCATCACCTTCTCAAGAAGCGACATGCCTTCAAATATAAAAGAAGGTAGATGTCACCCGTCTCACCCAGTATATCTTCTTCCAATTTCACTCGATTATATCTCTATCAACCTTCTTCCAATCTCACTCAGTCACATCTCCAGCTCTCAGCATGGCTGTCCAGGACGGTGCTCACTTTGACTTCATTGTCGTTGGCGGTGGCACGGCAGGCAACATTGTTGCCTGCCGCCTCGCCGAAAACCCCAATGCCAGAATTCTGGTCCTTGAAGCCGGTATTGGCAGCTCTGAGGACAACGAAGAGATCCGAACACCCGGATTGGCAATGGATATCCGAGGTAGCCAGTACGACTGGGCCTACAAGACCACCATGGTCAAGCGCCCCGACTACGAGCGCATTGAGAAGCCTAACACCCGTGGAAAGGCTCTCGGTGGTAGTTCGTCCCTGAACTATTTCTCCTGGGTGCCTGGTTCGAAAGGCACTTTCGATATGTGGGAGGAATATGGCGGAAAGGAATGGACCTGGGACCCTCTTGTTCCTTACCTTCGCAAGAGCGTGACCTATCACGACGACGCTGGCTTATACCCGCCGGAACTCAAGAAAATTGGCGCCGGGGGTCCGATCCCAATCGCTCATGCCGAACTTATGCCAGAGATGAAAGGCTTCCGTGAGCTCCTTTCTCGGGCTTGGAAATCTACTGGCGAGCCTCTCACAGAGAACATCTTTGATGGAACGATGCGTGGCCTGGTACACAGTGTCAACACTATCTACAAAGGTCGGCGCTCGGGCAGTTTCCTTGCGGTGGCCGACAAGCGGAATATTACTATTCTGCCTGAAGTGCACTCCAAGCGCCTTATTATTGACGATGCCGATCGCACGGCTAAGGGTGTGACAGTCATCACGGGATCTGGACAAGAGCTTAGTTTCTATGCCGACCGTGAAGTTATTGTTTCTCAAGGTGTCTTTGAATCCCCGAAGCTCTTGATGCTCAGCGGTATTGGACCGGCTCCTGAGCTAAACAAGCACGGAATTCCCGTGATCGTCGATTCGCGCCACGTTGGCCAGCATCTTCAAGATCACCCGGGTGTTCCTTTCGTCCTTCGTCTGAAGGATGAATTCTCAATGGATAGTCACGTTTTGCGAAAGGGCCCTCTCCAGGACAAAGTCTTATCAACTTACGCTAATGGCCATGCTGGTCCTATGGCATCGCCCTTCCTTGAGATGATCGGTTTCCCTCGTATTGATAAGTACTTGGAGAAATCGCCTGAGTACCGTGAGGCAAAGGCTGCTAATGGTGGCCAAGACCCCTTCTGTCCGTATGGCCAGCCTCATTTCGAGCTTGACTTCATCCCATTGTTTGGTAGTGCCTTCCAGTGGCACTTCCCCCACCCCAATAAGGGCAGTTATATGACGGTTATGGTAGATCTTGTTCGTCCCGTCTCCGAAGGTGGCGAGGTTACGCTTAACAGCGCGGATCCCCTGCAGCAAGCCAACATCAACTTGAACTACTTCAGCAATGACCTCGACATTATTGCCATTCGTGAAGGTATCAGATACGCCTATGATGTTCTCAAGAATGGTGAAGGGTTCAAGGAAATTGTCGAGGACGAATACCCTTGGGACATGCCGCTGGACGACGATGAGGCAATGAAGCGAACCGTGTTGGATCGTTCTCAGACCTCTTTCCACCCTTGCGGTACCGCTCGTCTGTCGAAGGATATCCAACAGGGTGTGGTCGATGCTAATCTGAAGGTGCACGGAATTAAGAACCTCCGTGTTATTGACGCCTCTGTCATCCCTGTTATTCCGGACTGCCGCATCCAGAATTCGGTTTACATGATCGCTGAGAAAGGTGCTGACGCTATCAAGCGTGATCACGCAGACTTTTACAACTAAGATGGGCTTATGGCCTAATTTTCATGCGAGGGCGCTTGAACCTGTCGGATAAAGCCTTTCCGTTAGACACAATAGCCATTGACTCCCACTTGGCCAATAGGCTTTTCAGCTTACCTCCATGAACTTTATCTACTGCGTATGCCCAATAAATTTCACTCAACTCTGCGCAATTCTTCTTTTCTTCATGTAATAATCCAGAAGGTTTTCTTGGAGTTTCAAGTAAATAAAAGTTGCTCATGTGACTGACATTGAGAAGCTATGCTTCGACATGAGGAAATAGTCGTTTAGTCAGTCACCTTTCATTGTAACATATACCATATCGCCCCTCTCAGGTAGAAACGCCATAGTAAATGCGATAAACTACAATCCATATCTCATCAACAATAAGTTGTTTAGAAGATAGTACAGTTAACATACTTTGTTGTGATATTCAAGATAAATAGAAAAGCGGTGGATTGGTGTTACGCCAACCATGCAATGAGGTGTAGGGAATGCGGACAAGGTGCCTATGCACCACCAGAGCCACCTGTTGATGCATCACCTCGCTTATTTGCTTGCATAAGCATGCAGGCATCCTCTCAAAAGCAGGGGCTTGATCCTCAAAGGATGACCAGCGATTAGTCTGATTATCATCATATCCGTATCAGGCACATCTTACAATATGCACTCGTATCCATATTGCACCAGGACGCTATTAAGGGATTGCCCTGGCAGGCTTAGACATTTGACAATCGAAAAAGCACTGAATGATTGACTTGGGGGACACAGTAACTGCTAATCAATCTTCGCAGTTCTGGAATTGACTATGACTCATTTTCATCGGTAAGGTGATTTTTCAACGGTAATGAATGCATTCCAATTAATGCAAAACCCTATCGCGGCGGGAAATCTCAGTATATATTGCTGCAAGATTCGATTGAATGGTTAATACGACTATAAAGCAAGTACAACTGGGCGAGTTGAAATGTTAGTGAACCCATAGTAAGTTAAATTATGTCATAATAAATAGGTTCATTGATTATCCCGGTAAAGCCTGGCTTAGTAGGCCTCAGCATAGCACCGCGCAGAACCGGAACCGCACCGTAATTTCCCGTTTTGGACCAGCGGTTCCCCGAGCAGGACAAACATAGGATTTTTAGGTATTTCATACACCAAACTAGCCGGCTTTAGGGTAATACCTTTAGTATAAAAAGATATTGTCCACTCGGAACCGGAAATTCTTGTCAAAATAGGTTCTAAGCGGCTCGAACCGCGGCGCGGCGCGGTATTAAAGGGTTGGAGCCGCGAAGATGTGAGGTGCGGTGAGCGATTCTAGGTGTTGGAATCGGAACTCCACCACGCCAAGGCCTAGCCCTAGCCGATCCTCGGGTTTCACAAACTCAATCGTCGAAATGCTTCAACCCACATCCCGAATCTGTCCCATGGCTGCACTAGACATAATCATTGATGGCCAGACTGTGAGAAGGTAGACTGATGTGATCTCAATTTCCCCTGTTGGAATTCTCCATACCACCTCGGCGATGCCCGCTTTTCTTTAATTACGAGACACCAGGAAAGGATGGTAACAATTCAACGAGTAATGCTGAAAACACCAGGTTTGAGTATAGCGACACCACAGGACCTTCAGCTTAGATTCAAGTAGCCAAAGACAATCGACAAGGGGAATAGCCGAAGAGGATATTAACCTGATCGACCACGAATCATCAAGATTATGTCCTCTTTTACAACCCTAGCGACCATAACTAAACCATAGCGGACTATTTGTACAATGGGATATGTTCTAAATCATTGGACTTTGTCCAGGATTGCTCGCTGAAGGCGTAACTATTGAGGGACGACAAAGGAATTATCATCTGGTCTTGAACGTACGACACTATATGAAGAGCCACCGGACTCTATTGAATGCACTTCATTGCACGCATCCTATGGAATGCGTTCCCTATGGGAGGCCGAGACCATTGCAAGGCACCCTTATGAAAATAGTATCCCTCATTGAGGGTCTCTTGGCGGTGGAGGGGCCGGATAGATCCTCAGGCCAGGTCTAGTACAGGCTCCATTTTCTCACAGGAGATAGTTACATATGCTGAGAGTAAAGCTGAAAGACATGTTACGAATGAAATAAAGTAAACCCATCTACCGTATGCAAGCTTGCATAGCACATTTCTCGCCACAGGATACATTGCAATAGAACATTGTGAAGAGCTACCCGACCAAATAAGTAAAAAGCGGAGGGCAATTCCAAAATGCTAAAATTGCGTGTTGCGGCCGAGGCTCATCGCACTGAGGCATCTAATTGGCCTTGAGACAAAGCCCCTTTTATCTTTGCGGCTTGGTGGCATTTGAAAGCCCCGCTCTGGTATAAGGAAATAGTATCAACCAATCAAATCCAATGTTTAGATATATGTTTTTACAGATAGTCTTTCCTATAATGGAATAGTATGAAATATAAAGCGATGATTTACTCAATCTTATGTACGTATCATCTCGACTGAAACCCCACTTGAGTTATATTGTAGAATTGCCAAAACATCAACAGTGAATATGTTGATTTGGTAAAATAATCTTATCAGCTCAAGTTCTATCAGCTCACATTGCGAGGGAGGGATTGTCCTGGATTTATACTATTTCTGCATTGAGAGTTCAGATCAAGTCAACGGAGGCAGCGTGGTGGGGTACCGCAGATCGTTACGGGAGATAATGCACATGTAATACGAAGACTTTATTAAACCAGATGGATTGGTCTCTAATTTTACGTTAAAGAATTAAGAGGTCAAAGGACTGTGGAGGGGTTGAAAAGTACTTTGCTCCGGGCCGATGAACCATGCCTGCACCATGAGACTCGATCCCAACTAGGGAACCTGCTGCTGCTACTGCTATCTTCTACGGCTGGAGAATAATGGATTCACAAAATGAAGAGAGCAAGTCTTTCTGCGACCATTCTGACGACAATTTGGTTGAACCTGGTGTCTTTTCTGAGACAATATTGGAACCCGAGCGGCCTAAATTCAAATTTGTCGAAGGAACTGGAAATCCTACTACCCGCAGCCACGCAATGAAGTCGTATTGGAGACAAAAGAAAAATGAACGTCGACGTCAGGAAGAAGTCAAGTCTAATAAGCCAGCTTTGCGACCGTTACTTTCCAGCGAAACGCGAAGAGAAAATGAATTTGACTCCGCCACTCAGTCCGAGAGAACCCAGGACCCTCATTTCGACCCCCAGATCTTCTCATCTTCAAATCAGAGCAAACAAACACCGGGGATTCCTGATCAGCTTTTTGCTAGCATGAGTTTTGCCTTGGCCTCAGCTTTAGGCCAAAGAGCTGAAGCAAACTCTTATCAAGTTTTAGCACACCACCATCGTTTTTTCTATCATTGTCAGTTCAATCACAACACATCATCACACCATAGCAACATCACAAACTGACAGCTTCATTCTTTCCTTTAGGGCTTAGCATGCATGCTTGTGTTATTCATTCGGGTGTTCAGGAACGCACCTTTACGCCGTTCAGAGACATTTGGGTCCCCTTGGATTTATCTAACGCAGCATCTTTCAATGGAATCTTAGCTCATGCAGCTGCGGACTTCTTTGGTTCAAGAGGAGATGTGAATAGCTCTGAGATTTTAAAGTTCAAGACAGAAGCCATCGGGATTATCAATAAATGGCTTGGTACTGCCGTCACTGCTACGAACGACGAGGTTTTCGCGGGTGTCGTGCGGCTTCTCACATTCGAGGTACGTCCTATGTCACAGCAAAAATAATTTGAAGTTCAGAGTAACGTACATGAAGTGCTGCTTTAATTCGATACCCTCTGGATGAAATGTGATGAGACTAAGATTATCACTACAAACAGAGATACTGGGGCTCTCGTGAACGATTTGACCTTCACAAACACGGGCTGCGACACATGGTAAAAGCCAGGGGAGGGTATCAAGCTTTCGAGCCAAATTGGAGACTCCAGCTTGTTCTTTCGTTGTAAGTTCATAGTTCTATGGCGAATGCAGTTTCGATCACATTCTTACTAAAGCTTCAGACTCTCTGTGGGTGAAGTACCAGAGCAGCCACTATCTGTGGCCTACTTGACTGAACAATACGAGAATTTTATTTACGAGATATTAGGTCTTTCCTATTTGCCTCATCAAGCCTCGAAACAGTTTGAAGACCTCAGTCAACTTCGCAACTTTGCATCATTAGCAAAGGCAATCAAGCTTTTGAAACATCAAAGGGCAACGGAGGACATAATGTCTGGGGACACCTTACCTGACCGGAAAACATCTCTAAAGTGTCTGCAATCTTTGCTCTTCATATGGGCTACTTTCCAAGAGAGTGACAAGAGCGGAGTCAAACATCCTTCAAAGGATGATGATAATGCTTTATATGTACTCAATAGTTTTCTTCAGGGTTCGCAAGACATCTGGGCCAACTCCGAAAATGAGGTATTTTCTCTCATCTGGGAAGATTTGGCCAAACGAAGGGAAAATTTCCAGATAACATCGTTCGTTACAATGGTGACTGAGTCACTTCGAGAAATTGGCCCCAAAGCCCTGCGGGGGTTGAACTGTGCCTTTTGAGCTATTGGAATGAACCTGGTGTTTGAGAACCCAATGAGGCAATGAGCGTGCTGATAATGGTAATGCAACAAGAATATTGTAGAGATATGAAGTCCGCCAAGCCCAGCCCCTTCCCCCCCAAAGCTCTACCAGATTTTGATGTGGGATAGATTCTGGTGACGGGTTATTTCTAAGGCCTCAATTAACTGGCCGCACCCGGAGACGCAATGTCAGAAGTAAATTTACGCAGATTTTTTGTTGCCAGCCCATAGTAGGATATCCTGTAGATAGCCCAGTATCTCAGAATTAGACGGAAGCTCAGGTGCAGACCCATGACCCATGTTTGAAAAAGTGAAGATTAATTTGGCCCATTTTGTTCGATCGTTGGGTTCCGGTGTTTGCATTATTCCACCCAACGAAGTGTTCCAGCATCCATTAACACAGACTTAATATTGTTGCACGTACATTTGCTGATGGCTATTAATGTCCAAAGAAACGGACGAATTCAGATTAGATTCAATCGGGGGAAGATCTGCACCGAATCGGGTTGAAGGAGTGGTGAAGGAGGGTGGTGAAGGAGGGTGGTGAAGGAGGGTGGTGAATGATCATTTTGTTGATACTTGATGAACGGACTCCGAAGGTGTTTCGGTGCTATTTAAATATCAGCTCATTTCCATCCTTCTTGTCACTGGACACAATATCCACTATGGCTGAGCTCCCACAAGACGTTCAGCATTGAAATCACTCTACTGGTTTTACTGTTCTACTCGAGTTAAATAAGAAATTTCTCCGAGGTGAAATTTCATCGTCTCCTTATCATTACGGCTCCATTGAGGAGGAGACACATAGCCTTGTTCCTTTCTTATTGAAGCTTCATGAACAGCAAAATCTTACGTGATCCAGTCAACCATATTTACGTGAATGCAAGAGGGGAGACAGACGCAAATTTTACGACCACCGACAACGACCTTTCATTGCCTTTATTGTGGCCGAAAAAGAAAACCCGCGGAGACTCTTTCAAGAATTAAAAAAAGAAAAGATATCAAAGTTCACGCACGAAAGTTTTCCTCGCCCAAAGCCAGATTACAGTACGTCCCGAAAATAGTGCAACCGCCTACACTCTTCGAGTGATTCTCTAGCCCCACCGCCCAAGATAAAATAGACCAAATTAAGAATAGAACCGGAATATCAATATTCATGTGTCAGTCTCGATACCGTGTTTTACTTTAGTTAGAATACGGTGCCTCGTCTCGTAACTATATCTAAGCCCTCGTATTGCAATAACTCAAACTTATTTAAATCCTCGCAGGGCGGTACTAGAATCAGCCGCACCAGTATGATAGGTCGTGGTTGTAAGTGAATAAGATTAGATCAAAAGCCCTGTGCGTCCATAAGCTGAAGGGATGAAGGGCTGAAGGGGTGCGACACACGGCTTCCACCGCTACTGTTAGCTTCCTTTTAGTCGATCAATTTCGATTCCTTACCAAGCCTGAAGCCATACCCTCGAGCCCCAGCCAGTGTATAGCCTCCTCTCACAGAAAGCTGCCCAACGAGGCTACGCCACGAGTTAGAGAAATAAGCGATGATCCTTGAACGAGAACGAGAAGACGTCTAAGGTTTGAAGATAAGTTGTACCATTGGGGGCTCAGGTAGAACCGCACATCGAAATCCACACGAAGTCAGTACATAATACGAGATAGGGCAGTGCACTATTCAAAAACGCCCTGTACAGCTAGATTTGAAGGGGCATTAGACTTGACGATCGAATTGGGGCTCCTTATTTATAACCCGCTCGTGATAAAAGTGTTGACCCCCCAATCTCGCGATCGAATTAAAATCTCGCCCCCTCGCTTTGCGCAGTGTTTTCAAGACCTACTCTTTGTTACAACCCTGTGACACCACGGATTACTCGAGCAAACACTCATCATGGCCGAGCATAACCAGGCTAATAACCAGAACAGCGAAGGTCAGTCCCCATAATTCTCCGAGTGTTCGAATGACTATCTCTAACTCAAGCCTAGGTCTCACTCCTCTCACAGCACCTCCGTACTCGGGCACCAGCCCCGTGAGCCCCATCATCGGCTCAAAAAGTATCCAGCCAGCTCCCTCCGAAGCTACAGGCGCTTACTCCGAGAAGCCTCCGCTGCACGGTGACTATAATGCACCCACTCCTATCCACACGGATGAATATACCAGGGCATACCAGGAACAGCCGTACCCCGATCAGATCAATGGACCCAGTGTTGGCCAGTATTTGGTGAACTTGCCGTCGGATATCAAGGCGTACCCTGGTCAACCAACTCCCCAGATTCAACAACAGCCGGGCGCGTACTACACACCGCATGGCCAGCCGACTGGCCATGCCACGGCTACACCTTTGCACGCGCTTTTATCAGCACCGTGTCCGGTGGATTGTCCATGCTTCGGAAAATGCGAAATGACGCGAATTGAGGCGGTTAGTGGAACGAAGACACAGTGAGTTGAAGCCCTGATTTTAATACAAAGCCGACCCACCAAATGTGATGGACGATGTTAACGTCTTAAATAGTGGATGGGCTGCTGTCCTCTGCTGCTGCTGCTGTCTCGGATGCATTCCTTACTTGATGTCCTCGCTCAAGGATGTCAACCACTACTGCGGCCAGTGTAGTGCTAAACTAGCGATTTGGCATAACAGCGGGCTTGTCGAGGTGCTGCAGACCGGTCAAAGGAAATAATTGCGTCGTCAGGTGTTGGGGTTGGGGGGAGGGGGGGGGGTTTACTTTCGCCTTTCTCTGCCTTTCTGCCACAGTGCTTTGAAGTGATACCACTTGGTTTTATGATCACGGTGTAATATTTCTGCTCCTGGAGTGGTTTGTGCCCATGCCTAATTCCAACTTTTGTTTACATAGTCAAACTACGATCTATGACTTAAAATTAATAAAAGTGTTATTACGTGATGGTTTTCTAAAGAACGGAAGATACCTGGTATGATTGAACTCGAAGCAGCAAAAGATGCCAAGATCACCCTCGTATTTGGGTTTGGCTACAGGTCCGATGAGGCGGTCATTCACCCGCCCGATTATATCCGACCGCGACTTCCCACACCTCCCAATATTAGAGTCGAACCTACGAATACCACAATTGAAATTGAGAGCGGGAATAGAAGCCCTTATTAATGACCACTAAAGCTAAAGTCTGGATGTCCTGCTAATACAGACGCCCCTAACTACCGTATACCGAACACTCATTAACTATAGCAGTACCGACCAACCGTTAAAAGTAATATAATGCGCCCTTATAGCCTAATTTATATTGACCGATGAGTCCCGAGCTCTTCCCACTAGTAGCCCTGTTATGATTATCCAGACCTTATAGTAACTAAGATCTGGACTGCCGACTCGCTACTGCTTCTCTTCTCAGTCTAAATTCTACTTATACTGATACATATATACCTAACGAAGAGATGGCGGAGCTAAAATTTGTAGCTATTTAGGATATAATCATAACTACCCTCTAGGACAAATTATTAGTGTAGAAATATCTACGGAAGCACCGTAGGCCACTTTTTACTATAATTTTCATCGCATCTATTAATATACGGTACCACCCTAAACTATGGCGAAGTGCAATGATCGTAATGCATCGGAAAATGAGGATGAGGATACCACATAAATTTATAGCCAGAGACTACCGACGAAAACGAGCCCTCGCTAGGGGCTAGCACACCGCCTCCTAAAAGGCGTTGAAGAAGAAGACATAAAATATTATATACCGATATACTTGCACAATTGAAATACAATGGCTAATTATCACCTTCTTAGTTTTTCCGTTTTCCAAGGTGTTACGGCTATTGGTCATACTTTATATGTTCTCATTGGTCAACGGTCATTTGCACTATGAAGTGTCCGTGAAGCAAAGCAACGTCCCTTTTCCTGACTACCTCGTCCTTGTCCTTCATTTTTATCATTTTAGGGCTGCAGTGTACGTAGCGCGCGTCACAGGTATCGTTGCTACAGCCTGTATATCGCTTTGGGAGTTGGACCCTAGGTCACATGGTTTATATAGACCTATATCTGCTAGGTAACAGGAAGATTAGCTCCTGCAACTACAATAGCTGGATCTTTCCATATTGATCAAATCACGCTTGTACCTGAATCCAGGGTTCAACTTTGTGAGGGGTCGCGGATTAATGAAATCTACTACTACTACTACTACTGCCTGTATTACCGTTATGTCCTATGGAAGCACGTAGGATCGCTTGGTAATTCTGATGATTTGACAAAGATTGCCCGCTTGTTTTCACCCTTTCCCTTGACGGTCGCATTTTGCTCTTTCGTTTTATACCCACTAGTCATAATACAGAAGGCTGTACCTATGCGGTAGAGAGTAAAACTTGGTATCACAAGATGGTGTTGTTTTTCTATGGCTTCTGCCAATTGTGATTACTTTACAGGGATGGCTTAGAGCCCTATTGTCAATGATGTCAACAGAACACACCACAACTTGAAATGCTCCAGCTAGCCCCCTGGATCCTATGGCAGCTAGCCATCCAACAACATCATGTCAACCCTTTCCTAATTAGAGCACGAAAAGACCGGCAATGAATGCGGCACCGCACAGCACTACATCTTGAGCTGTGGCAATCGGCATGGCCGCATTGGTGGTGGCAGCTGCAGAACCTGAGCTTGTAGGAGTCACCTCGTTGGTAGCAGGAGTTGTGGTAGCACCTGCCACATACTGCGATGACGCAGAAGAGACCTGCTGCGAATAATCGCTCGCGGTGAAGGGAATCTGTGCGAAGCACAGGCTGGAACTACTGCTGCTTGTCACACTCCTTGGTAAATCGTTTCTGGCTTTGAATAAACCCTTGGACCCAACACAGCAAAATTTGGTGGGGCCATCAGACAACGGAGTGCCATAGCAGCATTGGCCGTCCGTAGCTTTCGAGCTGTTCCAGTCCTGTGGGCAAGAGTCTGCCGTTGTAGTGGCCACGAGGGAGAGGGCTATGAGCAGAAGACTCTTGAAGGATGGCATTGCAAGTTTCAAGTGAACCAGGTAAGAGTAATTACGAATGATTGATTGAGTGCGTTGAGTGCTTACCTTTTATAGACGATATGGATGCTAAGGAGCTTGCTGGGGCTGAAAAGCCCTACGCACGGAGCTGCGATAACTTTGATGACTTCCTTCTTGATTGGTGTAAACCCCGAATGCTTAGCAAAGAACTAAGGACGAGGCTTGTCTATACGACCTATTCGGGGCTGGGGCTGGGGCTCGGGCCTGGGGGGCCTGAAAGGAGAATTGTGTTTACCAGATATTATTAGCTATTGATCTCCACCCGTCTTAATGTCCGTGCACTTCCTAATACTCGCGACCCCCAATCCTAGCAGCAATGTTTTTCTCTACCCTGTTTAATCAAAGATATTCTGGGCTGAATTCTAGTGACGTATTTATTAGAACTTTCTACTATATTTCCTGCTTAGTGTGCCTAGGCCGCTACCGTTCGGGGCCACTCCCCCCGTTTGAAACCCTGTACCAGCACCACTTAGTATGTCCAACCCGTTCGGTGAACTTTACGATAATTAAATAGGTGCCAAGCCCCCTACGAACTGGATTTCCTTTACCACTTCTTGGCGTTCCCCTTCTGTGTTAGTGCTCAGACCTCGCCGCTTTTTGCTCACTGAGCAGAACTGAGTAATAAATCAAAGCATTAAAGAGAAAGGATGAGCGACAGAGGTTGGCGCTGCTTACACATTGGAGGGGACGTGAATAAGATCGCCCCTTTGACTTAGTAACAGAAGGAAAGACTACAAGTGATCAAAAGATGGTTGTTTCTTAAAATGTGATTCATTGGATAGCAATATCGAGCTTTTTGGAAGGACTAGAAATACTCTTCAGCCACAGACGACTCGTTCCCGCCAATAAAAGTGCTGCTCATCTTCTCAGACTCTTCATATCTCTCCTCCAGCAGCATAGCGACAAGATCCTCGCGTTCCTTACCCATCGCCTCAGTAGGGAGGCTTGTCCAAGCGTTCTTGAGCAAGATAGAAGCCGCTCTATCCAAGGCCTGCAGAGATCTATAACATTTCTGTTGGTCTAGAACATATTAGCGATGAAAGGAGCATCAAGGGAATTTGTAGACAATACCGAGATCGTTCACATTGTCCGGGGTGAGGCCATACAGAGTACGGAAATATTGCCATTCGGTGCTGCTTTTCTTGTAGCGCTCAGTGACTACCATAGCATCGGAACGCACATCGCCGCCGTGGATAATATCCTTGTTCAGTCGGCGGATTTCCTCCTTCCCGCGCTCTGTGTCTTTGTTAAGCGCATCTCGTACCCATGTGGAAATGGCCTTTTGACGGATGTCCAGATGGCTCTGGCGATGAGATTCGAGTTTCTGGAAATGAGATTCGAGTTTATTGATCTTGTGGTTCATTTCACGTAGTTCCGCAAGAAGGCCGAAGCCGCATTCGTTAGCGGCTATTCTCTGCTCGGGATCGTATTGCAGCAACGGCGCCTCGCTGTCCATTTTGTTCACACAGGCGTCAAGAGGGTTTTCCTTACCCTCAACTGAACTGTGGTAGGCGATCTGGGTGTCACGCTGTAGTACAAGTGAATTAGTTAAATCTTTCATGCGAAGGGAGGGAGGTGCGAAATGGACTCTACCATTTCTTGTGGGTTGGTGTTCGGATTAGTCATTGGCTTTTTCTGAATCCCGCCGGCCTGCTCAAGAGCTGGTCTTTTCTTGCCCTCGATCAAGTTCACATTTCCGGATGACATGGTTAGTGTGTGTGTTTGCAGCCGCTCGTACTGGTGGTGGCCGAGATGGGGATAGCGAGGATGGAAGCGAGAAAAGACACTATCTGCAGCAAGTTTACAGGAGGGAGCAGGCAGTTGCCCAAAGAGAAGGAGCGACTGCCTGCTGTAAATTCTCGAGGACCAAGGGCTAACAAATGTAAAACTCTGTACTTTTTTAGTGCCAGACTGCTCTGCTGGAGGATCAGACATTTTCATTTCTTTCGTTTTGGCGTCGTCTCGCTCCATCGCCTGTTCTAGGTGGGCCCAAAAAAGCCAGCCTTCTCCATATGAATGCACATTTGATATAGACAAACGGAAGACCAATGACCCGGAGGTTGTCGGACGGCAGGGCCGATGGAGGCTTCTGGTCTGCCACGCAAAGTGCGAAAGTTCGAGAAGCAGAGCCGACCATTGATGCACGGACTGTTAAGACGTCTGCCATAATGAACGTCGCACTCTTTTCGGATCTATCTTGAGTTCGCGTTCCTCTAGGAGATCCCGATCTTTCGTCTCTCAGTCCATCATCGCTTCTTACTCATAGCTGTCCACGCCCACCCACAGCGTCCTTTCATGTATTAGCGATATCACGCAATGCAGAAAATCCTGCATTTTTCACTCCTGCAAAAAACTGCGTCTTGATTTTTTGAATTTTGAATTCGACTCTTCTTCAGTAGAATCCAAATCGGAACCCGTGTCACGTGATGGACATACGGCGACGACGCTCCCAGCAATCTTCAGTGCATCGGGAAGGCGAAGATGCCACCAATGAGTACCGAAATCATCAAAAGCTTGGAATTGCGCCCCTCTCCTCTTCGGGCTGCTCCAGCACGACCGGGATCCCTTCGATATGTTTGAAGACGGAGCGATTTTTGATTGAGACAGCACGGGGGAAAGGCACCCAGCGTCTTGCCAGTATTGCAAGATTATTCGTAAGGATGACAGATCTGACCATGGCACGTATATGCCTTCATTTCTTGGAATTTCAGAAGCCCCTCGGAACCTCGAGCGGTTGACCGTAGCCTGCCGGGAGCCACACTCCCAGAAGTCGGCTTTGCACGCCTGTGTCGGCTCAGAGATGCATAAATCGAATACGCTAATTGGACTGCATGTCCTCCCGTCGGATGCTGGCCTGGTTTTGCGTCCACACTGGGGCCTATTGGACCTGTCGCGCTTGTATCTCTTGGAGCGACAGCCGTCGCATGCCTCGGAGGCACGTGTCGTTTAGGTTTGACGAGTATCATGGGGCGCATTGAACTTGGTATATCCATCGAAGTCGGTTCATGGGTTTGACATCTGCACTGGGACTTCAGCGAGACTCGACGCTCGGCTTGCTTCGATCGCGGATCTTTTGACAAAGCGCAGGGACAGGGATCCGATGCCGTGGATATCCATTGCCATTGCGAAGACCGCACGGGTGATGGACGATAGGTGAAATCAACATGGCGGGGAAGCGAAGAAAGACTCCCGCAGAGAGGACTGCCCGGCTGAGTTCACTAGGTATAGGTCGCTCAGCAGATAGGGTTCGTTTCGCGGGGAAGAAGCTGGACGCTTGCGAGGGGTGAGCCGCTTGTCATGATGCAAAGATGTCATATGGTGTCGACGCTGACTGCCTGCGCATCACGGTTAATCGATTGAAAGATCGAGTGATGTTTCCGAGGACGCCCAGGTCGGGATTGGCGGCAAATCATCGTGAGGGGGAAAACTCGTCTCCGACGGTTCACAACCCACAAGCATGCTGTTATCGGCTGAAAAGCGAATGAGGGATGCCGGATCTCGAGCGTGACGTGCTCACTCAACACTGGTGGGCAGACCGATCGCGTCGCGCGGCAAAGGCGGTGAGGGTGTGCAAGACGCGTGCTGTACACGGCCAATGGCATCGCATATTAGGGCGTTAAGGCCGAGGAGAGACAATCCCATTCTCATGGCAGGTACACAGAGCTCCGATAATGGTAATAGGCAGGGCGTGGATGGGGGGTCCGATACGGGTAGATGGTCTGCTAGTGAAGTATATGGCTTTTCCGACTCGAGAAAGTTTTACTTGTTCGACGAACATCATAATCATGGCACGCGGTAACAATTGTCCCGAGATCCGTTTCATCCCATAGTTGGTTTTCCTCGATATGACCTGCAAGATGTGTTCTCAATTAACCTGGAACATCATGAACTGCTACGACAACTCATGTAATCGGGTCATCTTGCAGAGTGAGCATGTCAGAATCAGTCATTCTATTGGTTGAATCATATAAGCGCAGATATTTTCCTGGTCAGCTGTTTTTTCTCAAGTTACATCATCATGGCCGGGTATCACAGAAACAATATAGTCGTTTGTATTCGCTGAGACCTCATCTGGCATCAAAAAGATCGCATTAATAGCTGGCTGAGAAGAAATTACGAGGTTAGTACAAAGTCAGAAGCAAAGATGCAGCATCAGAAATTGTTCTTTGCACTCTCCAAGGGGAAACTACATCTCACCGGGTCCGCGGGTCAGGTTTCGACCATAATCTCGAAGCTGGCCTGAACGGACCTGGCGACTAAGCCAATCCGAAGGTGAAGGAATGAGACTTGGGACTGAATTGTACCAGTGGGCTAACAACGATTATATTCGTCCTAAAAACTAAGTCCTCAAGCCCATGTAGATTGAACTCAAGGGGCATCTTGGACCATCACTCGACCCTAGTGATGGCCCTCCATAAACACATCAAACAGAAGAAAAAAAGAGGCTCCAAACAGGCCAACAAATTTTGCGAATCTGGTCAATGTTGAGACACCACAGAATGCATCAACCTAAGCCTTTGTGCGGGCTGGTCGATCGCACCCTCCACGACAAAACAGCAGCTATATTCTGCTTAGTGCCAGCATCCTATGGGGGCCCGGTGTGTAAATGGTCACTCAGGCTGCCGGACTCATGATCCTCATGCCAGCACAGCTGTTAGATAGGGTAATGAGTAAATATAAGGTCTCCTAGTTGTGTCTCCATCTCGGAGTTTAAACATGTCATCTCCAAGAAGTCACTGTTGTCGATCATACTCTTCATATTCATCTCGTGTGTTTCACTGATTCAACTACTAGATTCTATTATACATTTCTCAATACCAAAGTATTTATTGTAACAGAGCTACCAAGACAGTATGTAAAAAATTGCCCGATGAAAAGAAGAAAGACCGTAACCAGCAAACCTTCGCCGGTGTTTTTACCTCTATATCAGACCCTCCACTCTCCGTGGGGCGGTATCGGTGGAGGGTCCGGAGGGTCACGCGCGTGGTGAGCGCTAGTTCTATATGAGGCAGCCTCATGTTGTATTGTTCCGTAGCAAATAGCGGCGGAGAATTCAATCTTTGAAACAATATTCACTGGCCAAAATTGGTAAAATTTTCAAATAACTTGTTAATTTATTTAGTCTTAAAAGGAGATTTTTAGCAGAATCAATATATTTCTGGTTCTAAAGTTTTAGAGCCGCGAAATTTGAGGTGCGGTGCGCGGTTCCAGGTGTTGGAACTAGAACCGCACCACGCTGAGGGATATCGGTCCCCTTGCTGCTAGCCTCTACAGTAGCCTTTCTTCGCTCAACCGAAAAGCTTCTGCGTCATGACCTTCGTGAATGACTGCATGATGTATCTTTTGTGCACAAACGGCTGTCCATTCAACCGTGCCAGCACATTCTCCCAGACCTGTTTCAGATCCGGGCGGTCCTTAGCCCCCCCAAGGTTCATCATCCCAGGCACAATAGCCCAATCGAATAGCACTGTCCCATCATTTTTCATTACTAGAATGGCCGGCTGTGCCATGCCATGTTCGTATCCTGACTTCGGCGAGATGGCAACATTGAGATTTACACGTTGTTTCATCTCCGCTGCGATCTTGTTCATCGGGTCGACGATTACCTCACCAGTGTAGCCCGAAGCGTTGATCGTGTCCGGAAGATGCTGCTCGGGCTCAGCCGTAACAGCGATGGCTTTGCCCCCGGCGGCATTGATGTGAGGAAGAATTGATTGCAGGGTTTTCAAATAGGAGATACAGAAAGGACACCAGTGGCCACGGTAAACTGAAAAACATCGTTAATCTGAGTCCATATTTGAGAGGACCACCAAGACGTACAGACGACGAAGACGAAGTTATTTTCCTTGATATGCACCTCATACCGTGAAAGAGGGTCTGACATGTTGTTTAGCATTATCGGATGTTTGGGTAGGAGGAGTAATTAATTGTAGGCAAGCGTTGTGTTCTCTTTAGATATTTGTTTACTGGAGATATTCAAACTGTCAAGGACTTAATACCTAGATATAGTAACGACAAGGCCCCGAGCCCTCGGACGAGTTAGACCGAACTCGGATGAATTCGGACGAATCGGTCATCGAAGTCCTTGGCGCACCCCAATGCGGTTGACAATTATAAAAATAAATCAATGATTCAGATACAGTCGGACGCACTCGCACGAAATCATACGAAATGTATAACAATCCACTAGTCATATGAAAATAAAAAGTAGGGTACTCGCATTCGAACTCACCCATTAGCGAATCTAAGCTTCCAGTCCTGACAATTCGCATATTACTCGAATTTACCCTCAATCTCAGCCAAAATGAGTCACAGTACCTAACTAGGTGGCGTGTGCGAGAATTTCTACGCAAATGCGCTAAAGTCTATTGTTGATCCCATCAAGGATTCAATCTCAAGCGTCAAGGCCTTTTCTGATCCAAGTCCCTATCACCTCTCCCTTCTGATCTATGTAACTATTCGTATAGGATTAAACTTTGATGCAATCATGGTCCAGGAACCGCCATTCAAGTTGGCGCTGCCCTCCCAGAATTCATCTTGACGGACGCCCTTCTCAAGACTATCTCCAGCAAGTCTCCTCGCCACTGGGCCCATCCTCATCGCCTTCTACAGTGGCGAGTGGTGCCCCTTCTGTAACCTGTATCTCGCATCTCTCCAGAAGCATCTAGCTGAACTCAAAGCTAAGGTCGTCACCCTCGTGGACATTACAACCGAGCTACGACATTACAACCGAGCTACCCACCGAGACATGTCCACGACGGAGAAGCGAGGCCTGAAGCTCATTGTGCTCTCTGTTACAGGCAATAAGTACGCACGCAAGCTAGGTATTGTGTGGAAGATGCCTGAGATCTTGAGCCCGGTCTTTAAGACTTTAGGACACGATCTCGTTGAGAGCAATGGCGATGATTCTTTCGAGTTGCCCATGCCCGTGTCGTTGTTGGTGGATGGAAAGGGTATGGTGCGAAAGGCTTTTGTTGATCCGGATTTTACCGAAGGACTTGAACTCGAGACAGCACTAGAGTGGATAAATACTCTGTAGATCAAGGTAGCTGTGCTATACCGTGAAGCAGAGGTAATTTTTTCTAGTATTGGCTTAAAATTATCCATTCATGTCGCTGGGTGAAGAAAATATTGAGACAGAACTGCTCAGGTTTCAATTAACAGCTTTCATTTCGTCATCCGCAGCCTTTGGACGAGCTTTGGATCGTCCAAATATCATTTCCCTACATAGATGCCGCAAGTCACAAATCGACAGACCGAGCTCCAGCTGTTGAGAATATGACACTGGAAATTTGGAGGGAATGGCCTTTTGGGCATTCTGTTGAAGTACGACAACGAGGCTGGCAAGTAAAGGATTCTTGAAGAATCTCTTGTGGGGCTCCTTTAGTGTTCAGGTCGGATGCTTAAGACCTGCAATGGCGTAGTCAAGGCCCCGCAGGGATGATCCCTCCGGTCGTCATACACTTCTATTCTATCGCCCCTGAGAAATAGCTGTTTTGAAGGAATATTTTATCCAAGCAGAGCGGCAGGAAGCACCACTACCGTGTCAATTTGTAATGTCGCCGTTGAATTTGGGACTTGTATGGCGGTGCACCCCCGCATTCGTCCGAATTCGGCCGAATCACCCGAAGAGCGATTACCAACCCACGGGCGCATGTAGAGTATCCGGGCTACGACACACACAGGCGGCTATGCTTCGTGACCATTACCTAAGTATAACACTATGACGCCCTCAAAGCGCATGCGGCTCGGCACTAAAAGCTGCATGGAGTGCCGCCGAAGAAAAGTCCGCTGCATCTTCCGGACAGACGAAAACGCCTGCGAGGCATGTCTGGCCCATGAGGCCGACTGCATCGCTCAGCAGGCTGGAGGCGGTGAAGTGCCCAGCGACGAGGTTGACGCTCTGAAGCAGCGCTTACAGGACCTCGAGGCCATTGTCCGTAAGCTTTCCCCGAATGAGACGACATCGGCCCGCTCCGATTTTGCTAGAGACGATGCGTCTGTCGTGCTTGAGCGAGATGCTTGTGGCGGCCTGGCCCCCACCGAGACACTCGCACACTCACAGGCGACGACACCATCTACCGTAGGCGGGAGGCCACTGTCGGCCGCAAAGCGCGGCGGAGTCGAGCTGTCTTCAAAGGAACCGGCCATCGAAAACTCGCCATTAATGATTCTATTCAAGTGCGCCTCACTACTAGACAGAGAGAACAGGCCCGCGTCTACGACACCACCGCCATTGTGCATCTCAGCTGCATTTGGCGTGCTTCAACACCGAGATCGTTTCGTGTCCCTGCTCCCGTCGACACAAGACCTTGACCATATTCTAGAAGCCACAGAGAAGTACTGGCCGATATGGCCGCCGTACTACTATGGAGAGCCCCGGGCATCTGACGTCCTGGGACCCGGAAAGAGGCAGCTGGCGCGACAGCTAATGTTCACAGTAGCCACCAGCTCCATGGAGCCAGGGCTAATAGCAAGATCGGCTCTGTGGTTGGCGCTTTGCGTGCAACAGACGTCTAGAAGCGTCTTGTCCATTCTGAGCATTTCCTATCCCCAACAAGACCTGGTCAACTCATACATGAGAATAGCAAAGTCGCTGCTGGAGCTGGACGGGGAGTGCGGTGGAACCATCGATGGCATCGAAAGCATGAACATGCTGTACAAGCTGTACATCAATATGGGGCGGCCGCAAAACGCGTGGTACTGGTGTCGACAAGCCATCACCACGGCCGTGAGCTGCGGCCTCTCTCGCGAGGTGGACGCGCTGGATATGCGCGCCGCGTATGCGTGGTCCACGGCATGGCATGCCGAGCGGCTCATGGCCCTGATGCTAGGGCTACCGACGTCCGTTTCAGCAAACCACCCGGGAACGTTGTCCAACTCACATTCCATCTCGTTGATGAGCCGCATAATGTGGTCGGTGGCACTCATCTGCGGGAAGGCCATCGACCGCGACCAGGCGGACTACGCTGTAGTTAACTATGCGACGACTGTCGAGATCGACCAGGATATTGAAGAAGCATACCGCCTGTTCCCAGACGAGCACTGGTTCCATCTGGCACCGGATATGTCGCTCTCCGACTGCTGGAACCAGCAAGCCAGCAAGATCATCTTCTTCACGACCCTTAAGCTCGTGCACATGCCATACATGCTCAAGTCAGTGGACGAATCCAAGTTCTTTCACAGCTGGGACCGCGCCATGGAGGGCGCCCGTGGAGCGGCGAGGGCATACACCGACTTTAGGACATGGGCCGGTGGCAGCGTAGACCAATGCGAGCTAATGGACTTTCAAGCTTTCAGCGCAGCCATGGTCGTCATCATAGGGCACTTGATATCCCCTACGAGAGCTACACCACTCGTCAAAGAACAGGACTGGGCTCTCGTCCGAGACGTGTCTTTCTGTCTGAGGCATACCGTTGCCATCATGGACTGTACCGTCGCCGCGCAGGCAGCCCACATCCTCGATCTAGTTAACGCGGCACGGCACGGGGCCTACATTGCCGACGATGATTACGCCGTAGCCATCCCCTATTTTGGGAGAATGCGCATCAACAAGAAGAGAATCTCGACGGAGAACCTGAAAGGTAGCGAAAATAGCGGCACCAGCCCTCATCTTAGTCCTGTGCTGCCATTCGACTCATCAGCTACGCTTCCGGATACGCACTTCAACACCGTCGATTTTAGCACCAACATATTCACGCACGAGTACCCTTTCAAACTTGACTTTGAGACGGAGCTTTGCTCCGACTGGGCGGACCCGGCACTGCTGTGCCCAGAAACAGACTGGTCCCAAACATTTAGATGCGGCCCCTTCTACCCGTTTGACGGCTAGCCTAGGTTCGAGGAAGATATTATACATCGCTAATAGAACCGGACGTATTAGCATATTGCTGACTGGCTTCTAGTAGTAGAAAACCGGCTCAAACGATAGTCTTTAATTAACAATTTTTACTCATATTATGGTCGTTTCCCATAGCTGTATCTTGTTACGACCCATGCAGCCACCAACTGTTTGAAGGGCCGCTACTTACAGATGGGCCACCAAGAGCCAATGGAAGGCCAGCCAGGCTTCCAACTTCCAGGGACTATGACGTCCGAGGATACTCCGATGTGGCTACAAATGGTGAACGAGATCCTTTTCTTGTCAGATCTTTCAAGTATCATACGCGCATCAGGAAAATGGAGCAAGAAGATGCGAAACGATAATGGCGTCCTCCAACCGCCCCACAAGCCCAGCAACCCAGACTATCTAATCTTTGTCAACGCCTTCTTTGGGCTAGAAATCCCACACGATCTGCCTCCAACCGCTGGTCCTGTAGGTCCTCTCTTGAGTCCGACTTGCCCGCCACCAGACCAGGAGTGCCGGGCATTCTTGGCCAGGCATAAATCAGTCCTTTATATCGCCCTTGGTACTCATATTATCCTGCCACACACGGGTACTGCTAAGGTAGTGAATGCCGCAAATCATTTACAAGAGGATGGATTAATCGATGATGTGATTTGGGCTATGGGCTATGGGCAAGACGTGTAGAGCAGACCTTGACTGCAGGTAAGAACTTACCATTAATGAGAATTAATCTCTCTCCTTCACTGACAGGTGAAAATGGCTAGCGCATCCTTCCCATTTCACACCGGCGAATCGAAAGAGACTTTCCTGTAGGATCTACTTGACAACAAACATCCGAATTGCGTCTTCCTGTTTTTCGCGCCTCAATGTGTTATTATCGACAGCGAGTCCTTCAAACTCTACTTCACTCATGGTGGAGGATCTAGCGCTAAAGAGAGTCTTTATTATGGAAAGCCAATGTTATCAATGGGTATATTCTCAGACCAAACCACGAACACGGCTCGGCTCGTGGCGGGAGGTGTCGCCGAGTCACTGAGTAAGCTCGGCTTTGCTTCCGCGGAATATGGAACTTCTTCCCTCGTAAAGATTCAACGCTTCTGTCCACTTCGAATTGTTCATGGTATGCCTCCGGGAGGGCTTTCCACGGTAAATCCCGATTCTTATCTAACTAATGGAGAATATTTCTCTCTTCCAGTCTGACCAGCTCATGGCACTACGCGGGGATATGGTGCTTGATTGAAGTTGTGACGATAAGAAGGCCGGTTAGGATGTTAGCAAGAAAGTGAATGTCCTTTGAACGGGTGTAAATTGAAGCTTGAACTCTCTGTAGGTCTTAATAAAAAGCGAAATATACCAGCTGCCTCGCAAACCATTCCCTAAAGCCCAATCATAATCCATGGATCAATCCGGTGAGCTATTTCGGTGCGCCTGAATGCTGAAGGTTTGTCTCCATATTCCTCCCACCACTACAATCAATCCCTGGCTTCGAGGATCAACGAACCCTCACTTTGATGACCAGCTTCTGAAAAGCTGGTTGTTGAGATTCAACGACGTTCAATAAACACAGAAATGAGTTGCCGACCAGGCCTCAACATGCGATGCATAATGTAGTATTAACAGACTTTGGACGAAGCCCTCTCCCTTCGTAGAGATTGTACCTAGGCTCACCAGTGAGTTTCAGTGGACAAAATAAATTATATAATAGTAAAATAACAGAATTGGAATGTCTCTCGTAGATGATCGGCCTAAATTCATTTGACGGAACATTATGGGCCTTTTCGCTACGACCAAGCGCATAGCTCAGCTTCGGTCGTACAGTACGTACCCAATATCTAGAAAGATTATGCGCCATTTCCTATGAGATGCGATAGAGATGTTAAATCTCGCTAATTCAGCTCTTCTCGTGCACAAGTATGGGTGCCATCCAAAAGTTTCCCGCCCCGCGCGACGCGAAAGCTTTCGAAGTCGATTGTAGCGCACTTTATCTTTGTCATACTTCAAGAATTGAAGCCCCCGAAGTCCGTCCAGATTGACAGAAGGTGGTACCACAAAGTGCGAGTCTTCTCAAGGCGAGAATGGTTTCTCCAGTCACCAGCGGGCCAGCAACTCGGTGGCTAGCTTCGAGCAAGATGCTCCACAAGACTGGAATATGGCGAACATATTCCGAAATAAGCCGAAAGTCTCATATTATGATGATCTCCCCGGACACTGAAACATAATCGCCTTCCAATGCATCGCAGAGTGTCTGAATCTGCTCCGGGATGAATTTTTTGTGGCCTACTTGCTTACGATTATCAGACTCGAAACCCGAATGAAGTTAGTTCTACCCCCTCCGGAAAGCACGACACCGCTGATATTGTTTCAAATCTATGCTGAATTCACTGAGCAACGAAATCAATTAGAATGAATTTTTTCGCAGTGATCTGGAGATTCGCAGTCGGCTGACGGTTGTGGAGACGGCTATAGAGACGATGACCACAGATGGGCAGAAAACTACGGCAGAGGGTAAAGTGACCTGGTCAACGCGTCGTGGCCATTGACTAGTTGGGCTTGGATGTGGTTGGCTTTTCGTACGTAAGTAACATTACATCATCGATTTCCCAAGTCAGCATTTTTCCGCCTAGGCATCATATCATCGTGCTTCATCACCAAGTACAGGCAGTCTCTTGAAGTTTCTCAGAATTCTATGGCTCTGTAAGGAAAGATACCGAAATTGGTCTCCGGTGTAAAAGGTAACTCTTGCCTTGACCCCTTGCGAACCGACACGATACGATATGCCATTCAAGCTTTTCGGTGTCGGCTGATTGTTTCATTTTGACCCACTCGGTCCTCTTTATCACGCTTCATAGATCCCGAACCTTTATTTCGGATTGTCGAATTTCAGCCTGAGAATTACCGAAGCCAACTATGATTTCATAATCGAAAAGTTCCTGAGAGTAACTAGGACTTAATCAGATTTAGGTTCCGCTATTTCGGTGGCTGGGCAGGCCGTGTTTCAAATTGAACCTATTGAGGATAGGTCTAAGATGATCCACGGCACATATATGAGGGCTTTTTGCCGTGGCGGGATTTCCCAACAACTACCCATTGGGGCTCACCAAAATCTTGCCGGAGATTTGACGGAAGGTGAAACATACTTTTTATATCATAGAGTTACATTTGGCTATTTGAGAGATAGTAGCGGGCTCTATCTTAAATCCACCCTTGTCCTAATGCCTTATGCAGCATGGAACTATATCTCGAATTGCAAAGACGGTTTCAAGGTTTGAAGTCAATAAACTTCAAAACAATCCTTAATTTACCACTTGACTTTGATTGGTAGAGACTCCCAAACGTTTCACTGATAGTACTGGAGTATTGTTGTCGAAAAAAATCCTCAGGAAGTGTCAAATGATGTGTTATACATATAAAAACGGCTTACAGCTTTTCCTAATGTCACTTTACATTTTTACAGAACACACTCACCCAAATTTCTTATTTCACAATCCCAATCAAGGTTTTGTGTATTCAGTAAACTTAAGCATTATCTTTTGCCTTTGATGCTCAATTCCGAGAACCCCACAATGTTCGGCAATGTTTTGCAATTCTTGATGATGCTATCGATTAGCACGGTACTGGCTGTCTCGATCCCCGACCAGGAAATATCACCCAGTCCCGCTTTTGTGTCAAAGCGCTCTCTTAGAACTGGGCTTGGTACAAGATATGGCGATGGTTGCACGGAAGAAGACTGTTGGAAGGGCGGTGCATGTTCCTTCGTCGATTACAGCCTCCCCAGTGGCGTGGATGGCTCAACTTGTGTCTCCGAAAAAATCTGGAATGACGGTGCTCAATGCGGAGGTTGCATTTCAGTGACCTACAAGGGCAAGACAATCACTGTGATGGTAAGTCTACTTAAAACATGGTGCATGGTTATTAAAAACAAGTGATCGCTCATACATCGCGCCTAGGTCACTAACCTAACCGGAGGTGGTGCTAATCACCTTGACATGACTCCGGAGACTTGGTCAAAGCTTACCAATGGTCTAAGCACGGGAGGCGTTGAAGGGATCGAATGGGACTTTGTCACTTGTCCCATCAGCAAAACGACGCCCCTCTGGATCAAGATGCACGGGGGAGCGTCAAAATATTGGTTTTCGGCGACCGTCGAAAATGCTCGACGTCGAACCACAAAAATGGAAGTTAGCACGGACGAAGGCCATACCTGGAAGTCTACAAGCCGGAGCAAGTACAACTTTTTCGAGCTGGATGGGACATTGAGCTCGGATACTGCTTGGGTACGTGTGACAAGCCACACGGGGACCACGGTTATTGTGAAGAATGTTGCTTTGCAATCTGGCAAAGTGACCAAATCAAGCCAGAACTATGCTTGAAGTATTGGAAGCTTTTAAATCTATTGACTGCGTTCGTAGTGGGGGTCATGTGATCCACTTCCCTCGCGGCGTGTCTTTTCTAGATAGTTCTCTATAGCTGAATATTATCATTATCGTCATTCCGACTCTCTTCCCACCACACAGACTGGAAAATTGAATGCCACATAGTATTATTTGAGTTCACAGTAAAGTTTAGCTCGAACCTTTCTAAGGCAATCTAATATCTTCCGGATCTTTATAGTGAAGCAGTCGATACGGTCGCGTAGTGTGGATCGCGTTACCTCGTAGACGCGCGCAGCAGCAGCAAAAGAAAAGATATTCTTGTTCTGAAAAGCTTTCAATTGCAATTTCGATTCTACCCTCTCGTTGGATAGAGATTTTCTTTTCCTTTAAAATGGTGGCATGGTAGGTAATTCAATATGGTGGGGGAGAGATAGAGACGCGAAGATTGGTGGGGTGGCGGGTTTGCCGGGATGGCGGGTTTGGTGGGAAATACGTTATTGGGCGCTCTATACGAAATGTGTCAATTTTGAATCTTCTAAATGCACCAAGAAACTTCTGTGGACTCGTAGGTTCCATTCTACACTCTGTAAAACGGTGAGATCACATCCACCTGGTCAGATCTGCCGGAAGAATCTTTTTGGTCTCCGATCCATGAAGCTCTCCCGCCTTAGCATCCCATAGACTAGAATGAACCTATTGGAAACTGAGTTTTCAAACGGAAAGTTAATTTTGACTCCACACCTTCGACGTTCCAGGCCTGGGTGATTGAGTTTGTGCTCAATTCCCCGTGACTGCTTGAATACTGGGCTTGAGCTATTATAGAAAGCCGCTCACGATAATAGCTTTCCCTGGAAGATTATTGTCGTGTCTGTGTCGTTGTTTTATATACACAGAGTCGCTATCTTTTCTTGTTCTTGAGTATTTCAAACATTCTATTTATGATTTTCTGACAGGCGTGTTGATGATTTTCTGACAGGCGTGTTGATGATCCTTCGCCTTTATGCGCGGTTCTTTATCGTCAAAAATATCGGCTTTGATGATGCATTGGCCATCGTGACAATGGTGTGTCCTGATCGTTCCAACCTGGCCCGTTGTTTGCCTGAGCAAAAGAAATGTGCTACAAAGACATATGTACAAGTAGAAGAGAGCTGACCATTCGCTAAACTATAGCTGATTTACATCACATTCGTAGTTCTCTCCATCGTTCTCATCGATCTTGGAAGCGGTCGCCATATCGAATACATCCAATACGTCCTGTCCCTATAGAGCGTCCGCGAGACAGAAGTCCTCGACTTTGTCGCACACGTTCTCTACACAACAGCCCTTTTCCTTTGCCGACTATCTGGTCTCGCTTTTTACTACCGGCTCACGGCACGCACCGGCAAGCTACACATCGCCATCCTAGTTGCCACACTATTCCTCTTCATCGCCTATCTCCTGCAGCTTTTCCTTTTGATCTTTCACTGTAGACCTTTTACTGTTCTGTGGCCATATGGCTGGCAGAGTGAACCCACTACTTACAAATGTCTATCGTGGGGCTTGGTCTACTCCGTCAACTCGGGCGTCTCTCTGGCCTGTGACGTGATAATGCTCATCATCCCCTCCATCCTCATCAAGCAGCTCCATGTGTCCAGGGAAAAAAAGATCAAGCTCGCCATGGTAATGTTCCCTGGTGTACTGTAAACTCGTCTCCTTCATTTCGCAAGCCTAACTAACATTCTAAAGCGTCATCATGATTTCTGCCGTCCGCGTCTGGCTCGTGGTGGAAGGCCAATGGGCCGCCGATGGCAGCTTGGCCTACAATCCAATGCTGTGTATCGAGAGTGCCGAGATCGCAGGCACACTGATTGCCCTCTCGGTACCAGCACTCAAACCCCTCTTCGGGAAAGTTTCTCGCACCTAACAGACCGCACCTTCAGCGGCACACTATCGTGGTCTACAGCCAATCCACGCAGTCAGTCAAAGCCAGCGAGAGGATTAGGCTCAAATGTTCGAGACAGCAAGCGGTTCTTACACTTGTCCAAGCGCGACCATGATGATTACGAGATGATGCCTTCCGTGGTCTCCGTGACTCGGGATGCGAATGGGCCCATTGTTTCCTCCAAGGCGCATGGTACTGTATCAATGTGACTAATGTGATTAATATCCAGAGAGGGGACGGGAGAGCACTGTCACTGGAGAACATACCACGGCCTTCTTACCGGTCTACATAGATTTGATTTCTAAATTTGTATGATTAGAAGTATTTAACGATATGGTATCAGATAATTAGAGCATTACATGGTAATGACTTTTTTCTTCCACTCACGAGAAAAATCACCTCGAAGATCTAGTAAGCAGTAACTGGGTTCCGGTAGCACCGAAGAGTTCCCGAGGACATTCCGAGATAGAGGCGATATCGGGCCGATTTTGCATGGGCCCACTCTCAACAGCACCGGCATGCCGCGACTTTTCCAACAAGATTCTAGTTCAAATGTCTCCCAGACAAGGAGATCGAATCAACGGAACGAGCCTTGTACACCATACAAACAAGCTTAAGTACCACGAGGCCAAATCGTGGGCTACTGCGTGGGCCGTAAAAGCTGATTAAGAGCCGAGCACTCTTCCGCCCCGTTTCCTCTCTCCTTCTCTCTTATTGCGTTCTTCACTGTAAAGATCTTGAGAAATAATAAAAATTAAGCAACAAGAATAAAATAAAATGAAAATAAAATGAAAATGAAAAAAGTTAGCTTATACTCAGCTTGGATCGTTTAAATATAAGCAAATCAGAGAATATTTGTAGAGGACAATCACTTGTCACCAATGAGAGAGCCGGAATCCATTGCGGCTTATATGTCCCATTTTATTGGCTCAAAATCGTATTCGATCAGTCGACGGAACAGTGACTTACAGTGGTGCACTACAAGATCTACTGAAGATCCACTCTATTCATATTTGCATCTATTAAATTGCGTGCGCGAAACTTTGCAATCGGGTAGGGTGGATACTTGGACCCTGATTTGCCACCAGATTGAGTTCTTCCCCACTCCCCCTCTTGCCGCCATCACGAAGCGTATCCGTATCTGGTTGGGATTCAAAGGGGGACCCTACTCAAGACCCTCTTTAAACGTTGTGAACAGACCCCATACCTTTGCCCAATGACGACACCACGGCTAAGGCCTACATAGTCAGTCTGCCATTAGTGTAAGATTCGCAAGGTTTCTCCGTTCTCAATCTCACATGAGTCAAGTTGAGTTTGGGTTGCCCCGAGAAAGCCCCGGGTGTCTAATGGTTCTGAAAGCTATTTAGAACTGACTGAATGGGCACACCGGAACGCCTAGATCACTAGTACACTGTGGCTTCTCTCTCCTAAAGTTTCTTGGCGGGCACATGCCCGTTCTGCGGATTGAATCTAATGTTGCCGTCATCTACTTGCAGGACAGATTGGCTCACCGAGGTTAGCGACTTGGCCTTGCGTCTCTACATACAAATGGGTAGGCTCAAATCGCACATGGTTTCTCCTGAAAGAATTGTCATTCGTGGTGTCCCTATTTAAAGTCACGCTGACCTATAATGAGTCAAATACATGTCGAAAAGCAAGCTGCCTTTGAAGATAAACGTGATCACCAGAAACTTTCTTTGCGCCATCTCGGGTCCAATCGAGCAGTGTAATTTTGTAAGCCGCCGTAATTCAGTCAACTTGCTTATCCTCGTACAGATCTTTCTTGTATCAATCTGTCCGTCCTTATTGAGACGGCCATTCATTCATGGCCATGGAGTGGTCACATAAGGAGCTTACCATTGCTATGTATCTTCTGTCTCGGCGAATCTTACCTCAGACGGTCCGCCGCCTGCTTTTGCGTCGTGGCTTCGACCGCTCTGTGATTTCCATCCAAAACAAACTGGTCTATGTGGCTCAACGGCATCCCCAACTGAGATCGGCTGATGGCTACTGGGATTTGAATGCTGTAGACCACTGGATCATCAATCTCCATGGGGACTATGAGTCAGGAAGTGAAATAATTCGACTCACACTAGCAGACGCGGAAAACTTATTGGCCGTATGTATTTCCTGCGTTAACTCTTCTATTGTTTTTACTCAAAATCCCTTGAAAGCAGAATGAAGGAATTGACGATCTTGAATCTTTAAGACTCTCCATCCTTCTGTCTGGGGCAGCAGAAGACTATCTTCTTAGAAGGTCTCCAAATGCATAGTGCTGAGACATGGAAAATGAATGAAACGTGATGAGCGAAAAAAGGTCAGTGTTGATTTTCTGCTAAGTAATTACTGAATGCTTTTTGTTATGTTGAGGCCGACAAAGCCGCACTAGCATAAAAATTCCCCGCGCTATCTAGACGAAAAGAAAGTTTTTTGAAAATCCAGTTAGGCGTCATACTGTAAATATGGGCCCCTGTATTCTCGAAAATAAAATGAAAATTCAGCCTGTCTCTCAACTGCTTCAAGATTCTAGGCAATACATATTAGCATATTGAGAGGAAATCTGCTCTATGCCAAGTGACAGGGAGAATGGGGTGTAAAATTTGGTTTTCAGGCCATGGTTAGTTTACGCCAACTGTCGCATTGGTACAAGAATAGGCTCTTGTGGAAAAGAAGGAGGGAACGTGATAGCGTCATATGTTGCTTGTGCGTTTTCTGCACAATCAAAATTGGGTGGAACGCATGACATAATGAACACAGTTGGATACGACGCTTTGAATTTAATTACGGGTTTGATGCGACTGTATAAATCGAAATACTGTTCTAATCATAGGCGAAGATCTTATTATAGATCCCCAGAACTTGAAGAGAGTATATTTAGTATAAAGTTCTCTAGATTATTCAGTGTCCCTCTAAAGGCAGCCTTTTTGCCAGCTACGGCAACCTTTTCTCCGGCGAAGGTCAGATCTAATGCAATGTTCATCGGATAATCCGTGCTCTTGACTATATTTCGTTGAGCATCTTGGGGCCGAGGCCAAACAATGAGAATTAATTCGAATGCACCTGTTCGCAGTGAATGGGATTCTGCCCCTCTTCACCACATCCCTTGCCTCAGCCTCCATGATAGATCTAGTTCCATAGCTTCCATCTCTAAATTACATCTCTCTATTTGCGTCCTTCATTTTTCATAGCATCAAATTTTTAGAAATAGGAGAGTGGAGCTAGGAGGAAAGTTGAAATTCGACTAAATACTTCTCTTTGGAATTACAGTCTTGTGAAAAACCCACCCTCGGCTTTCCTCGCCAAATTTGAAGACTTGATGTCTGATAAAGTCCGACAACCCGAGAGAGCCATAGTAAGTTCAAACTCTGCCCTAAGGATGCTCAGAGCTTTGAAGACCCCTTCTTCCCCTCCCACCGTCAATCCCCAGAGTACTGCCCTCCCAATCATTACACCATCGGCACCTAATGCCAACGCTTTGAAGATGTCGCATCCTTTTCGAATACCTCCGTCAAACCACACCTGAAAGCTTTTATCTTTCGACTTGGCTGCTTTCACGCACTCTGATAGAGAATCTAGCGTTGATAAAGCAGAGTCCAGTTGTCTTCCGCCATGGTTCGAAACAATGACACCAGTTATATTTGCAGAAGACTGGACCGCAAGCTCAACATCCTCGGCGGTGGAAATTCCCTTGAGCCAGATTTCCATTTTTGTCAGGGATCGCAGCCACAACAGCGTTTCATCCCAGGTAATGTTGTCATCTTAGTACAAATTAGCTGGAGTAGATGTTGGCTTCGGAAATAACATACCAGTGGTATTCGGGTACTTTACATCACCGAGCTTTTCTTTACCAATATATTGGTCAAAGTTAGGTAATTGTAAATGCGAGGGTAAGCGGAAGTTGTTCCGTATCATGCTGTGTCGGTTCCCAAGCCTAGGGGTGTCGCATGTAAGAAGGATGGCTTTGTAGCCGGCAGACTCTGCACGTTTGACCAATATTTCCGTAGTGTGTCTATCTTTGAAGATATAGAGCTGTAGCATATACACGTTGTCACAAAGACAGTCCCCAGACTGCTTGATATCTTCAAGGGTTGTTGTTGCGAATGTGGAGACTCCCATGAAGACATTGGCTCTAGCTGCAGCTCTGGCGGTCGCCTTTTCGCCTTCTTCGTGGGCCATACACTGCATTGCAGTGGGGGCAATGGCAAGTGGGAAGGACATTGTAGACCCCAATGCCCGTTTCTTAGTCTCTATATTGGACACATTTCGGAGGATTCGAGGCCGAATTTTGTACTTTTCGAAGGCGGAAATATTCTCCATGAGAGCAACGCCGTCTCCAGACCCGTCATTGAAATAGTCTGCTGTTCATCAGCTACAAATCTGAACAGCAAAGACGGCATACGCACCGAGGATTGGCTGGCTTAGCATGCCTTGTGCCGCCTTCTCAAGATCATGAATGCATAGTATATCCGTTAGTGCCATCGCGAACCAAGAGATAAAATTGTTTATAGAATTGGAGAAACTGGCCAGGAAATGCAGAACATAATAAATCAGGAACATCTTATCAGGCTTGTCCATCTCTGTTCGTCTTACGAAATCGGTGTGATTTATTCAGATAACGTAGATAGAGACTTTCCTGATTCTTATTGGTACAGATGGGTCTCCTTCCGTCCTCCGCTCCCGTTTCCGCCTCTGTTTAATGGGTATCGGATGTGTTGATGATAATAACATAATTTCTATTCATATTAACATCGACTTCTAGTGGATATGGAACCGCCGCTTCAGGGGAGTTTTTTTGAAGAAACCTAACATTGTATAGAGATAAGATATAGTGAACCAAACAACCATTAGAACGTCTAAGAGTATACGAAGAGCCATCGCTGAAATGACCAGGGCGAGCCGAAGCCGAATCAGAAATAGAATACATCAACTATCATTTTTTAAAACTTTTGTCTTATGAGTAGTCCTTTGACCAACCCCAAAGGAATCTAAAAACTAAATCTCTTCTATATACTGGTAGAGAAATCTGATCATACAGGTGGCACCATATCTCCCCAGCAGCCAATTTCGAGCATAGAACAAAGGTTTTTATAGGCTTCATTGAGAGCCAAAATGCATCATTGATCTATTTGGAAATTTGTAACTAAGCGTGAAATGGCTATGACCTATATAAGTAGCACAGAATGCGTTGACCAGCCTCAATTGTAATCAACATTCGCCATCCAAAGGCCCTCCTAATTCAAAAGAGCAATTGCCAAGGCTTCCTCTGTATCCTTAAAGGGAAACCCAGTCCCTGCTATTGAAGTCACAATCATGACTGGAGCAATGAAGCTAGGTGCCAAAAGACCTTCCACAAAAGCGATCATACACATTCAGATCTGCCATAGAACTGAGCTTTAGAGCAATCTATAGGTTCCAAGTTATTCATTCGGTGTTGGTAGGCTAGAATGGAATATCAGGATCTGTTAGGCTACCAGATTCATAGGAATGTGGTGTGGGGTCATCGGATACGTGCCGGCGGTCGGCTCAACTACACCGGACCGACGGCAACCAGATGCGGCGTACAGAGCCTATCACGTCGCAGTGCTGTAATAATTTTTATCACAAGATCTGGGGGACTAAACTGACAATAAGAACACCGGCTCAGAGAAGACTAGTATATATATGAAGGGGGAAACCTTGTCGAGCCAAGAATTCATAGGTAATAAGCAACCATAGCCTGACACCGATTTCCCTTTGCGACGAAGAATGGACGCCCTCGATAAAATACAAGAAAGTGTGGTTGTCAAAAATGGAAACAGCAATACGCACTCTTCTCTTTTCTCAGATCTTCGTCCGCTCGGTCCTGAGGGGCCTTTTTCTTTGGAGACTCAGTTTATCGCCGACTCAGATTCTTGCAAAGTGAACTTAATTATAGGCGCATACCGGAACAATCAGGGACAGGCATGGCAGCCCCCTTCGTTGGTAGAGGTGAGTTTGAATGAGCTTATCTTGCTGTAACAAGATATAGCAACTTGGGGATTGACAATTAACATCTGGAGCTCCTCTTTCCCACGTAGGCAAAGAAGAGGATACACGTTGAATCTTGCCTCCATGAATACCTGCCTTTGCACGGGAGTGCCGAGTTTCTAGAGTCTTCTAAGCTGCTCGTCCTCGGTCCCGAAATTACCAACCAGGCCTATGACCGAATTGCTTCTATTCAGACCATCTCAGGAACGGGAGCCAACAGCCTTATTGCCAAATTCCTGGACAATCACACCCATCCAGCCAATATCTGGCTCCCCGATCCAACCTGGGTCAACCACGCCGATATCTGGAAAGAGAATGCACCGGGTGTTGATCTGCGCTGGTATCCCTACTATGACGAATCTTCACGCTCCTTAAGCTTCAGTGCGATGATCCAGACTCTCCAAAGAGACACCCAAGAAAACGATGCCATCCTTCTCCATGCCTGTGCCCACAACCCCACCGGTCTGGATCCGACCAAGGAGCAGTGGGAAGAGATTGCTCTTGTTTGCAAGGAGAAGAAACTGTTTGTCATCTTCGACTCTGCTTATCAAGGGTTCGCATCAGGAGACCTCGACCACGATGCGTGGGCCATTCGGCACTTCTTCACACACCCTGGGCTAGAGTTCGCCATTTGCCAGTCCTTCTCGAAGAACATGAGCCTCTACGGAGAACGCTTGGGGGCGCTCCATATTGTTGTATCTAGGAAATCCTCTTCGCCACCTACAGCCTCCGTCCATGGTCACCTTGCTGAGATCCAGCGAGCCTGTGTATCCATGGCACCCCTGTTTGGAAGCCGCGTGGCGAACGAAATATTTAAGAGCGAAGACCTCCACTTAATGTGGCAAGCGGACCTCTTACTCATGAGCAACCGCATCAAGACAATGCGCAAAGCTGTATATGATGAGCTTGTGAGGCTCCAGACGCCTGGAAACTGGGATCATGTCGTCCATCAAACAGGAATGTTTTCCTATACGGGGTTAACGGAGGAACAAGTGGGACGACTGCGGAAGGAACACCACGTCTATATGCTTCCGTCAGGCCGGGCTTCGATTTGTGGTCTCACATGTGCCAACTTCAAGTATACGGCACAGGCGATCCATAGTGTGATAACAGATACACAGAAGAGGCAGGTATGATGTTTCCTAGATGTACAATGTATTCTCTTGACTATTTAATACAGCCTACGCTGTGAATGCCACACAGCGGGGATAGGGCATCGGCAGTATCCTCCACCATATGATGATGAAACTTAAGGTTTAAAAGGAAATGTTGCTCAGCGCCTAACGACTAAGTGGCAACGGCCCGAGTCGAACCAAATATGGGGCCGGGACTTGGCTTGCGGGCATCGCTGGTCCTGAATTTTAGTAAAAAAATGGGTTGTCCCTCGCCACAGAGTGTTATAATTAAGAGATTTCGGCGTCCCGAAGGCTGTAGTATAGCCATGGAACTCAGGGTTCGACCCTCGTACTAGGTCCAGTGGTTCCAGGCCCAAGTGTGTTTTATAACATTCGAAATTGAACTCTCCCAAAGTTGTTCGCGCTGAACACGCCGGATACAACATGTCCATGTGGATTGGAAGGGCTCAAGTTAGACTGGAAGGTATGGTTGTTTGCTGCCGTCCGTGAATCATGCTTGGGGAGGCACATTGGACCCAGCCATGTCCATCATCGGTTCCCACGGATTCACATTTGGACATAAAAACGCACCAAAGAATTGTTCCGCGGGAAACAGCATGGAATCGTCCGAGATGGGAAATTGTGAAACCGTATTGGCAGGAAAGCCGAGCTGAGGGGCCGCTCCGTTGCCGTCGGTGGTAATATCGCCATGCCGAGGTTGCACATCAGATGAAGGCTCCATCACGGTTATGAGAGGTAATAACGGCAGTTGAGCACGCCTAAATAGCTCAGGGCAGGATTCATGGGTCAGAGATGGTCCGAATATGGACTCATCGGCCCCCATGGATCTCTCGGATGTGTAGAACTTGGGTAGATCAAGAATTGAGAAGAAGATGGAGACGTCGACGCAGATCTTCCCATCGTTTTTGGCAAAGTTGGACTCATATGAGCTGCTCATATGCTGCTTGAGATTATTCAATTTATTTATCTAGGAATAATTTGGATTAATTAGCTCGAGGTGTATGCAGCAGTAGTACTATCGTCCGAGATATTACTCACCACGTGCTCTAATGCTGGCCACGTGTCTGTTAATCTGGCGATGAGGTCGAGGCACGCTTGATAGCTCTGCCTTCGCCGTTGTTTGTGCTGATGTTGTTTCTCTTCTACGAAGCTCTGGTGTAGTTCAATGGTAGCCACAACGGCAGCGCAGTAAGCGAACAGTGGATCAGAGATGTAAAATTGCCGAGAGGCCATGAACTCAATGAAATGGAGCACCCATGACGTGTGGTGATTCCGCTGGAAAGTAGTCTGCTGGAGGAAGAGCTCTGATACATGGCGTCGCCCTTGTAGCTGGAACATGATGAGGATAGGATGATTGATGATGCATATGGACGTATGGTAAAGGAGGCGGCTTAGGAACCAGGGACCCCAGTAATCACGCGACTCATCAAGTTCTGAGGCGGTTACTGTGGATAGACGGATGAAACGGTACCTGTGTATGGACGGGAGCTGCTGGTCCAGCTTCATGGCCGATTCCATAGCCGCTGAGTAGGCCGAGGAGAGGGACCACGGATCCATCCCTGAGTCGGAAGAGCCTCGGTTACTGATATATTCTTGGGCCCGACACCAGACTTCGCTGAGTTTGACAACGACGTAGAGGATGCCATTTTGCTCGTCGGATTTCTGCGACTTCGCCACATCTTGCCCTTCCTCTGTGAAGACTGTCATAGACGGGAATATTGGGCTTGCTGGGATTCGAGGGACGCGTGGCCCAGAAGGCGAGGGCAGCGGCTTCCCGGAATCTTGGCCGAAAAGACGGCGCAGAAGAATGATACTCCAGTAGCAGCGACTCCGCTCTTCTATCTGCCGCTCGTCATAGGGGGAGGCCGGTTTATGGTGCAGATGGACACAATTGGCAAGCGTCATGGCCAGCGAGCTGTGGATGCACGATTGAGTCGTCTCTCCATCTAGACAACACGGGAAAGTTTAAGTCACGGCTTGGCCACGGTCATGATTTACGGGGAGAGGTGTGGGGAGAATGTGTAGCAGCCCAGGGGAGCAGTGACTTACTGCTGAACTCTATGAGCGCGAGTAGGCATAGCGTTTGCAATGTGGACAGCTCGACGCGGCCCGAGGTGATTTGGGACATGATTCTCTGATGCGCCGCATCCGAGAATTTATTGGCCTCGGGGATTGAGTTGCCGTCGGAGGACATGGTCGAAGAGTTGTCGAATCTTGAAGCCAGTGCGACGACGCTGTAGACGATTTCTAGTTCCCGGTTTGGAAAGGTGGAGACAAAACTCTCTCTGTGGAACAGCGGCAGCGGCTGGCAGTCGCAGTAGATCAGATATGTCTCGGCCATATTGACAGCGGACTCCCAGCTCAAACCATCCAGTTCATCGTCCAGAGCACCAGCCGAACGAGAGTCATTAGTATGCCCGCTTGAGATGGCGACAGGCTGAGATGCGTCTGAGACATGGCTCGGGTTCAAGCCTTCGTTCTGGGAGGCATGATGTCGAGGTGAAATTGGCGAAAGAGTAGGCAGCTGATTCGTAGCGCGATGGCCTCGCAATCGTTCAATCACTTCGGCCAACGTCGACTCCAGTGACTCAATGCGGTCCTGCTACTCGGTTAAAACACGTTCAGCTTAGCCTTTGGGGCAGCCACCAGAAGGGAAATTTGGGGTCGACGCGACACCTACCCATGGTTGCCGAGGCTCTGTGGATGTGACATTGTAATCGATCACGTTTTTGGAAAGCGATGAGGGCCCATGGTGTTGGCGGGAGACGCCGTTATCATGAGGGTAGGGCGCATACCGTAGAGGGTCAAGACGGTAGGAACATCTGGCTCCTAGTCGGTAGCACGTTGCACAGATTGGGCGCTCGCCAGAACATTTGGACTTCTTGCGGCTGCGGCGAACATATGTGTTTAGACACTATTATAGGATCCGGGCTCGGCGGGATGGGTACTGGCAACATACCGGCAAGGGTCACAAGCCTGTCGCGTGCGCTTCGGTAATCGTGTGTCACCTGCCTCGTGGATATCAGAGTCCATCTCAACTAACATATGTATCAGATACCCAAGGCAGTAGATTGGGATGTACAAGACCAGGTGCGGTGGGGTTTCTGAGGGGCAGGGCTTGGACAGGCGATAGCGGAAGGGTGGTTGACTCGGTCAGGCCACGCCTTTACCATCTGTTTCCAAGGTTATTCGAGTGTGCCTAAGGCGATTTCGTACCCTCGTCCTCAGATGAAGAGCCTAGGTATCGATCGATCGAGATATTGAATAATTCGCGCCACCTGCACTCAAACCAGGCCCAAATAGGCTCTCAAGTGGACCTTATCGCTATCGCCTTGGCCTAGGACCCTTCTAAACATCGTCAATTTACTTGGATCGATAAGACATCTTCCACGAGACAAAAATGCCCGTTACAGGCGATGGCATATTGCCAAACAGACGAAACCTGAAGTTTGGATTGACTTAAATTCTCGTCTCGACTAATTTATCATGATAACATATGCCTCACCGAATACATCAACACCTTTCAGTTCTCCATGTACAAGATGTAGTCGCGGTGGTAGATGCGAACACTTCAAATATTACGTGCCAATGCTTCAAATATTCGCCATGAGTCTCTGCTTCGGGAGGCATTTACCTTTGATATCTCCAGCTGGCAAAATAGGCATGATAGGCACGATAGGCACGATAGGCAATATAAGGCACGATAGGAGATCGGCCCCACTCGGCCCGCATCCGTCGGCTTGCGCAATCAGTACTCAACCATGATCCATCTGTAGTATCGAGATTGGGGTCTGCTGTCACTAATGCCAAAGAGACGGATTATTAGCCGTTCCACTATTGATGTCCCATTAGACATTTCTCTCCTTTATTCAACCCTAATCCCTCGGCCAAGACCCCCAAGCCCTCCAGAAGCGTATCAAACAGGGCACATGGTTATTGGTGATTGCAATTATTGGGTGACATGCTGCGTGTTGTGCCCTCGCCCTTTCGCTGCCGCCACCTCTGGCAGAGGCTTCGTCGCCATGGGTTCGACTCACAGTCTTTCCAGGTGCGCGCGTCGGTCATGCGCATGTCGACCGTATCGGGTGCTCGCACATCGCCGAAGACCGCCAATAGCTCGCCAGGCGTCCTTGGAGGGCTGACGTTAGCTGCCTTTGGGGCCGGTCTCGGTATCAGCTTGTTTTGGCCACGATCAGAGAAGTTGGTAATTCACTATGCTAGCAGACAAGGCATGCTAAAGGTAAGTGCCTTGTTGTCAATTGACCCGCCCATCTGATGCAACCCAAAATCTTACCGACATTATATCAGGCAGCTCGGGAGATTGAATCGATACTTGGGGACGAGGCAGTAAGCTACGACGACGATGATATTGAAACTCATGCCCTCTCGGACTGGTCCAGCGTCAACTCGGCAGGCCGTGCTGTGGCCGTCGTATATGTGAAAAGCACCGACGAGGTGGCGAAGGCTGTTTCCATCTGTAACAAGCATCGGGTCCCCATAGGCAAGTACCTGCTATTAGAACGGCCCGCAATAAATCCGCTGACTGGAAATCGGTGCAGTACCTTACGGAGCTGGTTCCTCGATCGAAGGAAACTTCTCGTCTCCATATGGAGGCCTAATTATCGACGTCACATACATGGACAAAATTATCGCCTTTCACCCCGAGGATATGGATATAGTAGTCCAACCTGGCGTGAACTGGGTTGATCTCAATAGAAAGATAAAGGACGAGAACCTCTTTCTACCCCTGGACCCATCGCCAACAGCAACCATCGGTGGCATGATCGGGACTAATTGTAGCGGAACCAATGCTTTCCGTTACGGGACTATGAAGGACTGGGTTATCAATGTCACTGTGGTACTCGCTGACGGTCGAATTATCAAGACTAGGCGAAGGCCTCGCAAGACATCTGCCGGTTACAACTTGACATCTCTCTTTGTTGGAGCTGAGGGTACCCTGGGCATCGTCACCGAGGCCACCCTCAAGCTTGCCGTGGTACCCACAGAAACGAGTGTCGCGGTCTTCTCCTTCCCCAATATCTCCGCTGCCGCCTCAGCAACCTCCAAACTCATTCGTTCTGGCATTCAGTTGGCCGCCATGGAGCTGATGGACGACACCCAAATGGGCATCGTCAGCAAACACGGCAGCGAAGATGTTCGGAACATGCACTGGGAGGAGACCCCGGCTCTCTTCCTCAAGTTCTCCGGTCATTCCAAGGAAAGTGTGAAGGCTGACATTTCCCGCACGAAAGATATCATTGCGACGTGTAGCCCTTCGCGATATGTTTTTGCCAAGACCAAGGACGAAGAGGTCAAGTTCTGGGCTGCTAGGAAAGAAGCGCTATGGACGATGACTTCGATCAAACCCGAAGGATACTCCATATGGTCCACCGACGTGGCTGTTCCTATCTCTAGACTCGCAGATATCATCGAGATCTCTAAACAAGAGGGAGCGGAACTGGGCGTCTTCACTAGTATAGCTGGACACGTCGGAGATGGCAATTTTCACGAGGCTTTGATTTACGATCCCAAGAATGAAACCCATCTAGCAGCTGTCAAGCAAGCGGTTCACAACATGATTACTCGCGCCTTGCAGATGGAAGGCACCGTGTCGGGCGAGCACGCTATCGGAATGGGGAAAATTGTAAGTTCGCCATGCCTTCAAGATTTTTTTCATGAGATTCTCCGTTATCTAACCCCGGTTCACAAATAGGAATGCCTCATAGATGAGCTTGGCCTCGTCACCATGCAACTTATGAAGCAGTTGAAGCACGCTGTTGACCCCATGTGAGCACAGTCATCCCTTCACGAAGTGCTATGCTACTACATCCAGAATGATATCAAATCACCTGGCTCCGTCTATGTTTCAATTCTGATGCATTTTGCAGGTGGATTATGAATCCTGGAAAGATATTCGAGCTCCCTAACGGCTCAAAAGCCACGGCTGCCCCGATACAAATCGGCCTCTAAGCTGCGTTTTCTCTTCATTTCTATATATTGTAGTGGTGGAACGCACGAGATAATGAATACAGTTGCGGCCTGAGGTATCACGAATACCTTAGGCGTAAGCAACAGCTTCTACATGAGGATAGAGATAGAAGATGCATCTACCCAATTCATTCCAGTTGTCACTAGGTTCTTTGATCCATGACTCCGTATTTAGTACATTCCATATGGCCTCAGTCGGAAAACCCCACGGTCCCACGGCCTCACGGCCTCACGGCCTCACGGTCTCACCAAGGACACTTGCGACCTCCCCCAGGACAACCTCTGCTACGTGCTGGTTGTTTGTGTGTTGTTCGTTGGTTGTTGTTGTCCAGTCTGCATTGTCAGACAGCCATCGAGCCATCCCCATATTAAGATATAAGTATATACATAACTGGCTAAGGCGATTGACTCTCTACGGGTAGACTCAAAATAGTAGAGGGATCTGTGGAATCAAATTCATACCATACTGCACAAAGGTAGTCACTTAAGCTAAGTGGGCTTCGCGCCTTTGAAATCTTGTAACCCGCTAAAATCTATGTAAATCCTGACTATGCCAATATTCCGCTCTAGAATCACTGTTACAACACTACCTAATCGGGAAATCACAAAATCACAGAGAAGAGTATATTTATATATTTACACCTGATACCTGAAATCCTTATTCTGTCTCTCGGTCATATCTTCTAGGCCATGGCTACTTCCAGGAAGTCCATACTCGTTATCCCTTCTTATATTATCACGTTGCAGCATGAAACGGGTACCTTCGCTGACGATAATGGCAACGGCAAAACAAACCATGATTCCCGTGAAGGACTGGCTGTAGCGCGGTGCAAATTTTCTAGATAAAAGTCAGATGTTTCATCTCAGTGACACCAAATTGAACATGTGATTAACAGAGCAAGAAAGGGAAGAGTGCTGGACGTATACTCACGAATCGAAAAGCAGCGGGCCTATTATGTTACCCAAGCAGTACGCCATGAATACTCCAGCAGCAAATACCGACTTCTTGGTATAACCGGCAACGTTACTGGTACCGAAGGCAATGACCTGGACGTAGCATGAACCGAAGAAGGTAACAAGGTAGACACCAGCGATTCTGCCACCAGTATTGGAACTCGGCAGCTTCCATAGGAGACAGCACCCGAGAATGACAGGCAGACAGGCGGCGCTATAGATATGATGACGAGCGTTGGGAATCTTGCGTCCCAGATATCCGGAGCCTACAATGGTGAGGATTGCCATGGCTCCTAGGGGGATATTGAGCATGAGAGTCACGAAGGTGCTGAAGCCCATGCCTTTGAAGACGATCGAGGCAAACGTGTTGGAAGCGCCGCTGGCAACGCTGCTTAGCATGGACATAACGAAGACAGCCCAGAAATACCAGTCAGTCAGAGCCTCGAGAATCTGAGAGGGCACCAAATGCGTGCTATCAACACCCGTGTTGTTTTTGCGCAGCCGACGGATAGCCATGGCGCGCTCGTACTCGGTAAACCCGCGCGCTGTGGCAGGGCCATCCGGGAAATAGGTCCAAATGACAAAAGACCAGCAAAATGTGAGGACTCCAGCGAAGAGATACATGATGCGCCAGCCTGCCAAGGGGCTTGGGATACTACCCAGGCCGTAGTTGAGAAGAGGTGAGATGAGGTTGACGCCGCCACTGCACGAGTACCACAGACCAGACCGGAGAACCTGCTCCTGGTTGGTGTACCATTTGGACGTGATCAGCATGAAGGCTGGGGATATACCGGACTCAACAACGCCCAGGAAGAACCGATTGACAATGAAGCCGCCGTATGAGGTGCACGCCGGAGTTGTCAGGACGATAGCGCCCCAGGCCATACAGAGAGCTGCGCAGACCTTGGCCGTTGGAAGCCTCTGAGCAAGTACCGATAGCTGTTATCATAGCTTCACCATCAGTTACAATAATTTTGTCTCATCATCTCCCTTTCCTAGAGGGCTGCGTTGTTGTGAGGAAGCAAGCTTACTGGATAGCAACCAAGGAGAAAGCCACAGTAGAAGACCATTGTCGTGTTCGAGTACTGCAGACCTTTCGTCAAATTGAGATCGGTCTTCAGCCCGAAGACAGCGGCATGTCCGATAATGGCTTTGTCGTAGTACTGTAGAGCGTAGGTAGCGCACATCTACGCACAAGTACTGATCAGCTCCTTATATACTTTCTCAATGCAGCTCACTGTCGCTGCTGACAGTATTAAAGAGCATCACAAACTCACCAATGGCATTACTGCCCAATCTATCTTCCTCAACAGCGTCTTTTCGGCACGAGAGTCCAGCTCCTCCCCTTCGGACTCGGCGGCCAGCCTCAAGGCGATATCGTGAATATTAGACTTATCGAAATCGCCCTCTTGGATACTCATCTGATCCGGAGGTGGAAGGCTCTTCCTGTCCTCCTGTTTCCCCTGCGATGTCATTTCGTCACCGGTGGAGTTCGCTCGTGATACCAATTAGCGAAATATAGGGCCAAGTAAAAGTGAGAGACAACGGTATCAGTGGTGCGATTCAGATCTAATCACAGTTGAAGGAGAACAGACTCTCTTTAAACGGCATCCCCATTACTCAAATGTCGTTGTCGTATTATATACAGTGTGAAGGCGGAGCGGTCCCAACCTTTCTCTTATCTCCGACGGTACCGGCTCCGCTTCCGTGTGCTTTCCGTGGGGCCTATCTTTCCCTTGACTCTACCGGTGTATCTTATCTATATTTTATTGTTCTCATCATTGCTTAGTGTTGCGGTCTTAATTTTGGCATGGAAACCAGATGCGATAGTTCGGCATCTTGGTGCCAGTGCTAGATGTTGTCGTGGGGTTGTAGGACACCTCCAGAGAAGAAGGCTGGACCATCTTTGGCTATCATATTACCGTTGACTTATCTTCTTGAATTTTTGAAAATCGTAAGTTTGATTTCCAAATTTCAATAATTCTCACCCGTAGCCCTCGCCCTCACTCACAGATGGCACTCGGGGATGAATTTCCACCCTCAAAAATTATACTAGAGGGTAAGTACTTACTCAGCTGCGGAGGGTAGATACCCAGTGATGCCGCACTTTAGAAAGAGCGGCTAACTACTGTCCCGTAGTTATGTGTCGGTCAAAGTGGGGGAGAAATCTTACTAAGTATAAGAAGGATGGAATAATAAGAAAGATGCGGTGCTTGCTACACAAATCTATTCAATTTTCAAGTTCATGTTGATGATGTTGCTCCAATCATGATGCGACTCGGCAATTTCAGGCCGACGGGCAATCCACAGATAAATTGGCTTGCGAAGGAAATCGCCGCAATTCAATATGAACTTCCCCTTGACGTCTCTATGTATCTTATTTGCAATTAATGTCAGTGCATAAGCACAATGTTGGAAGATAGCATAAAGGAGGGAGGACCTAACGCATTTATTTCTTAAATCATTAGGAACTCCTCGAGGTCTTTGACTTTCTAAGTGGCGATGTCTTGTTGACCGAGAAGCCTGCAATATGTTAATTATACGAATCGACTACAGAGCACGGGTGGCCCACCAATTTCGCTCGTTGATGTTGTTCGCTGCTTTAACTGCGGCGGCCTGCACTCAAATGACCCAAGGAAGGAGACCTGTTTCGTATTCTGCAAGAGACTGTGCGATATCGCCATAATACCGATATATAAGATATAGTGCGTTTTAGAGAGGTAGGGGTTCAACCAAGGTTGAACCCTTAGGTAATAGTGTATAATTAAGGTACAAGTTTACACAAAATCGTGGATAAGCGCTGACCGGGACCCAGGATTAGTCATGATTCTCTGGGTCGCGGTCAACTTTTTCTGGGTCCCGCTCAGCTGGAACCCGCGCGGTACTCGCCAAGGGATCTTCAAGTAGCTCGATAACTGGGGCTATCAGTCTAGACTTCTATTGTAAGAATAGTCTGATCTGTACGCATCACAGAAAGAGCCTCTATTTGGGCTTGAGCTTCGTGCATCTTATGAAATAGCCCCCACGAATACAGAACCCCACATCACTGCCGTCTCGCTTCCTCTCTTGTTTCTATCCAACTTGACCGCCAAACCTAATCAAAGGTCTTTTTCATCACAATGGCAGCGATCAATGACTCGGACGCGGAGCGCTACCAGAAGTGGTACGATCCAGACCTTGAAGAAGTCAACCCGCAGATCAGACACCTGCTGGAGACGTATTCGAATATCCGGCCAGCAGATGTAGTGAGCCATGTCAACAAAATTGTACGCTGCACTCTCCGCCAGACTAATTCTGCTAACCTACCGTTTAGCGTGCGCGAGGCTTCGCTGCCAACCCCTATCCGTGCATCGGCAACTATCGTTTCCTGAATCTCACTCTGCTCACTCATCCACTCTACAAGTCGATTATCTCGAAGTTGCAATCCAACTCATTCGCAATCTATTTAGATCTGGGCTGCTGTTTTGGTCAGGATTTGCGCCAGCTCGTTCTCGACGGAGTGCCCTCATCACAGCTTGTCGGGCTTGACATTGAAGGCCCATTGATGGACTTGGGTTACGAACTGTTTCGTGATCGTGGAACTGTAGAGAGCAAGTTCGTGGTTGTCGACATCTTTCAGGGGGAGGCACAGGGGGAACCCTGGACAGAATTGGTCGCCAAGGGAGCCGATGTAGTGCACTGCTCTGCATTCTTCCATCTCTTTCCACTTGCACTACAAGTTGATGCCGCGAAGGTCATTTCACGAGTAGTCAGGAAAGGCGGTATCATTGTGGGAAGACAGAGTGGCAGTGTCAAGCCCGCAGAAGTCCCAGCTATCAAAGCCGGGACTACAAGCTTCAGGCATGATCTGAACACTCTGGCTGAGATGTGGGAGAACGTTGGGATGGAAACAGGCACCAAATGGAAGGTAGACGGCTCTCTGGATGAGGTTGGACTTCAAACCAAAATCAAGAACGCGGTCGAAGATGAGAATTCTCGGAGGTTGTTATTTACCATCACGCGCGTGGAGTGATGTATATCCCTAACTATAGGATCATGTACCCTCACGGCCAATATTTCATCTCCAATATTTCCTCCCATTATTGGGGATATCGTAAAGCCTTCCAAGGTGATTGACAAGGTTGTCTCGTATTGACATGAGTCACTGCATGGTCGGGAGTCCATGCAGTTCCCAAGACCAGGATTGGCGCACCCAATTCTTTCCAACTCTTTCCAACTCTGCAGTCATGCCGCGTCCCTACACGGTAGCTCCTCATCTCCATTATTTCGAGGTTCCTCTCGCAACATTCACGGCGGCGCGTCCCGAATTCGATAGCTTTGGCGTTGGTGGTTACATTTTCTCGGATGCATCGACCCCGCGCGTCCTGCTGCTTCAGCGCGCTCTGACCGACTCGATGCCCGGGTGCTGGGAAGGCCCCGGAGGCTCATACGAGCCCGACATGGACGGCACCCTGCTAGATGGAGTGGCTCGTGAAGTGCTCGAAGAGACCGGGCTACATGTGTCGCACATCGCCGAGCTGGTGGCGGTTGACAGTTGGACGCACACGCGCCGGAACGGCAGCAAATTCCGCATCGCCAAATATTCGTTTATGGTCGAGGTCTTCGAGTCAGTGCGACCATCTGCAGAGCAGGTCCCGAGAGAGGAGATTCCTGTTCAATTGATGGAAAGCGAGCACCAGGCATTCGACTGGGCGACCGAAGAAGATGTGCGACTTTCTCTTCAAGGGGGCGGCAAATATCAACTGCCTGGGCCGGCCACGGGCCATCAAGCACCCAACATTCTTCGATCATTTGAATTGTACAGAGAGCTACAGAGCAAGAGTTGATATTGTTAATAGGGGATATAATTGAACTGAATGAATACCTATATACGACTTCTTTGCCAAAGCGACCCAATGCTATGTAAAATTCAGTCCTCTGCGGGCAGAGCACCCGCGGCTTGCATGGCGAGGGCAACCCTGTCGACTTCCCTCCACACTCGCAGGAGATTTCCTCCGGCCACCTTGGCTGCTTCTTCATCACTCAATCCCCGGCGGAGAAGCTCGGCCATCAGAGCTGGGAACTTCGATACATCATCTAACCCCTGAGGCACCGAGGGAATACCATCAAAGTCACTTCCCAGGCCGACATGATCAAAGCCCGCGACAGTTCCAATATGGATGACATGATCCGCAACTCGCTCCAGCGTAGCGTGATCCATGTCTAGGTCAGGCAGGCCATCATCGCGATCGGCTGCCGAGCAGGAGATGAAGTCGGGCGAAAAATTCACCATCACGATCGAATTCCGTTCCCGGACCAACTCCAAGATATCGTCTGGCACGTTTCGCGGATGGGGGCACAGGGCCTGAGCCGCACTGTGACTGAAAATGACCGGGGCTCGACTGCCAGTCCATTCGTTCTTGCCGGATCCCAGCACATCGCGCATGGTGTCTTCGCTCACATGGGCCAGATCAATGATCATTCCAAGTCGGTTCATTTCGTACACCATTTTCTCGCCGGTCGGGCTCACGCCGTGCCACAGTGGATCCGCCTTCCGGATACTGCCGTCCGGCTGCTGGACCAGTGCAGCGTCGGCAAAGCGGTTATGGCAATTGTGAGTGAGAGTTGCGTAGGAGACGCCCATTTCGTAGAACATGCGAAGATGAGCGAACGAGTTGCCCACGGAATGCAGGCCCTCAATACCCAGAGGTGAGATGATCTTGCCCTCCTGAAAAGCGCTCAGGGCCGTGGTACCGTTGGGAGGCGCGGAGAAGACCTTGGGATAGGCCTGTTGGACACGCTTCATGACATCAACCTGCTCCACGGTCATACGAACGCCTGTTTCGGAATTGATTAATACACACTTCGTAACAGCAATGGACTTTGACGTACTCGCAGCATAGTTCTCATCGGAAAAGTCGGTCCAATCGGCGGGGCAGGGAACAAAGACGCTCCAAAAGGTGCCGCCTACCTGTCCCTTCTTCAGACGAGGCAGATCCACATGGCCACCCAGGGTGCCCTCGACGAAGGACTTGGTGAAATTGGACTCGTGGATGTGGTTGTGATAAGCCATCCGGATGAAGATGGGAAAGTCATCATGACCATCTGTTCGGATTATCAGGCATTTCTCCTCGAGAGCTTGGGCTTCATATTTTCTCACCGATTAGAGGAGTCTGGGTCAGGATATTGTGCACTCGCTCTTCGATGGTGAGCACGCGCCCATGGTTACAACGCGGCCCGAAGAACCAGCCACCGGCCAGCAGAGTGCAAATGATCAAGCCCAAATTGCCCCAGTTGCGTCGAGATGGCTTGGGTTTCTGGGAAGGCGCATCATTGAAGATCTGGGGGGTTTTCTCGTCCATTGCGGGGAGTGTCGAAGGTGAAGCCCGGGCGCTATCCGGCCGGCGATAACGGGGTTCCATGGATGTGTAAGATGAATCAGAGAAATAGCCGGTATTTGTAATCACTTGTTATCACTTGTAATCGCTGGATCAAATGATCGGGTGATGTCTGGAATATTTTCCAGTGAAACTGACCGTTCCATTGATTGCCAGAGGCTTGTAATACGTTGCACTCGGAGGGACGAGCACCTGCGGTTCCTACAGTTCCTGCAAGCATGAAAGCATGGACCAGTTCTGCTCCAGATTGAATCCGGGTCTAGCATTCTGTAGACAGTAGGAAGTAAGAAGCTTTTGCCTGAATTGTCTTAACCCTCTAAAAAGTGTCTAGATATAAAGTAACTTGTCAACATTGTTACCCACTCGTGAGGAATCCCGAATCCTTCCAGCTGAAGTGACTCTGCACTGTTCACTTTCTACATGAAGCACTTGACTCTTTACTCTGTACCAACATGACCAAAGCTTACGTGGGTACAATCCGCGCATCTCCCACTCTATCGTCCCTAAATCATCGTATAGTGCCACGAGATAGGACCCACATCATGCCTTGCATGCTGACTCAGCTGGTTGCCGGGTCTCAAAGGTTTCCAAGTTGGGCGCAAAGCGGGATGAATACCACTCGCTCTCTGAGAGCTATCCGTGTCGATAATTCCCTTTCGAATCGCTCGCTCTAGTATTCGCTGAACACCTACCTCATCCCTGCTTCCACATCATGACACAGCCCGGCAAACCGGCCGCCGGGGTGCTCCAGATCCCCGCGGCGGCGACCCAGAAAGCCGGCGCACCAGCAAAGAAAGCTCCGAAGCCTCCGACACCGCGCCTGAAACTGCTGATCCGTCGCTTGCCTCCGGGGCTCACGCAAGCGGAACTCGAAACCACCCTTGGGCAAGACTGGAAAGTCGGTGGAGGGAAGGTGGATTGGCTGCAGTACAAGCCTGGCAAAGTGTCGAAAGAGTATGGCTCCAGGAGGTAATTGACCTGAATTTAAGCTCACTGACTCTGGTTACAGTCCTGCCAAACCGTCCCGTCCATCCAGAGCCTACATTCACGTCACTTCCAACGAACACATCGCCCTACTGTCCGACCTGGTGCGCCAGACTTCATTCCAAGATGCTCGCAACACGACACATGATCCAGTGCTATTGGGACCTCCGTCGTTAGAGTTCTCCCCCTATGCGAAGACACCTGGAAGCCGCGTGCGCAAGGATGCTCGCCAGGGCACGATTGACCAAGATCCCGACTTCATTGCCTTCCTCGAAAGCTTGACACAGCCACTCACCAAGCCGGCCCTGGTGGATTCGGCCGACCACGATGACAAGAAGGAGACAGTGATGACCACGCCTCTTGTGCAATATATCAAGGATAAAAAAGCGAGCAAGGCAAAGGACGGCTCCTCCTCGAAGTCATCGAAACGAGCAGACAAGGAGTCCAAGCAGGAAAAGGTCCAGGCTAAGAAGCTCCTACAGCGACCTGATAAAGAAGCTGCAGCCAATTCATCCGACCGAAAGACCAAGGGCGATAAGCCGAGCAAGGAATCCAGCAAGTCCGCCAAGCAGGCTGCAGCTGCTACAAAGACCGGAAAACAAAGCGCCTCCAACGCTTCCAAGGAGGCCTCCACTTCCGCTACGGAGAGAAAAAAGGAACGAGGCAATGCCACCACCGCCACCAAAATCTTACAACGCGATCTTGGACTGTCACCTTCGCCTTCACCATCCGGAGGCCGACGACGTGGTAAGGGCGGCTCCACCGAGACAGGATCACCCAAGACCGAGGCCTCGCGGGATTCCTCAGTGATCGCAGCAGAGGGCAAGAAAGAGACTACTTCCAAGCCTCCCAAAGGTACACCAACAACATCCAACTCAAGCAAGGCAAAGGGCCCCGAGTCCAAGACATCAGATGCTGCCGTGTCGACGACCAGCAATACACTCTCAACCAAACCACCCAAAGCGGCCAAAAACAAGCCGGCGCCTCCCTCGAGACCGACCCTGGGGTCCACTCAGGCCTTCCTCAAGCACGCCAATCCTTCTCAGGGTGTGACCGAAGCACTTTTGACCGCAGCGTTCACTCCATTCGGCGCGTTGGCCAAGGTGGAAATGGACAAGAAGAAAGGATTTGGGTATTTGGACTTTGTCGAGTCCGAGAGTCTCCAGAAAGCCATGGCTGCCAGTCCGGTCGCTGTCGCGCAGAGTCAGGTTGTGGTTCTCGAGCGCAAGGCGAACCCTGGAGGCGAGAAGGCTCGGAAGGCTCGAGGCGACTCGCAGCAACCCCAGGACGGCAAGGACGGCAAGGCGAAGACTGGCGAGAGCAATGTCGCCGGATGTGGGACCGGGACCAGCACAGGGACATCGGGATCTTCTCGTGGGTCTCGTGGAGGGCGTGGAGGGCGCAAAGGCAAGGGCGAAGGAGAAAAAGGTGAAGGGCCAAAGGGTGCAGGTGCAGGGGCAGGTGCATCAGAGACGACGAGCAGTGAAGCTAAATAAGATGTAGTAGTAGCCATACTCGTAATGCGAACACGATATCCCGGACCATAGCTCAATGGTCAACGACGATGATGACAATGATGAGAGACAGTCATTAGCGAATCCTGCTTCTGCACTTAACACTCAGTTGATTATGAGTGCCCCCGCTGCCAGGACATTAGCGGATAGATTTTAATCCATGGCTATTCATAACTGAATGGCATTAATCAAACAAAATTCGACTCCATCGTCGAGTTTCTGGACTGGTACAGTAGCTGGCTAGAACATTTAGACATGGATCAGGTTCGGGAAGATATCGCTCTAAATTGTGGTGAGGAATGGGGGCCGGCCCGTCCCTCGTGAGTGGATTTATGGACACTGTATGGCAGTTGGAACAAGTACATCGCACGATGAGCCCACAATTTCCAGTTCTAGAACCAATTCATAAGTCCGGGTTAATCCAAACAAGGGCTTGTATTAAGTTAGCTCTCTGCCCGAGTAAAGCTTATATATGGTTTCTGATATGCGTATGTGAGCGCGATAATGCATCACTAGAACCCGATGATGTTGATGAATTGAGTTGAATCGATCAAAACACGGATTCCGCAAACTAAGACCTTAAGCCCATTAGACCTTTTTTTGCCAAAGGGTGAAAACGCCAGTTACCACAATGATGCATTTATGGCGCCCCTAGCGTAAGATAGAGAGCAAATCACACCCCATTAAACAACATCCATTTTTCGGGCTAGAGTCTTGAATGTGGAACCTAGAGTTAACGAGAGATTACAAATTTGTGAAGCTGGTTTTGAACCTCGTTTTAGGATGTACGAAGAAAATTGGGCATCAAGATAGGTTTAATTCATTGCAAGCGCATAGCGAGTTCAACACAGAATTAATCCACACAATCATCCCACCAAATCAATCTCCCACTTCAAGGAGGCAGTGGAAATCAGGACCTTTCAGACCTCCTCGACACCCACCAGGACCAGCCGACCGAAGTCAGACGCCGAGACCAGGTTAAGATCATCACCACTCCCTGGACCGAACACGCAGACGCTGCAAGCAGCACGCGTGCCAGTCGAGGCGGGAGTCCAAATGGCTTCACTTTAGGGCATCGAGGACATAGCAGTCATCAGCAAGGGTGGAGATTCTGTGGCTCTTTTAAAGAGCTTAATGGTGGGACGTCTACTCTAAAGTGATTCTTTGAACTGTGGCAGTTGTTAGCAATGTGTTCAGAAGCTGGAAGGGTCTCTCTTCCAATGTATAGGGGAGGGGGTACTAACGTAGAGTCGCTTAAAAAAGAGAAGAAGGATCGGAGGGCAGCGCCTTTTTATATTTGGGGCGCGCGGGCGGTGTGCGCTAGCCACTAAGCGAGGCGAGTTGGTCTGTATTTGTCCAGTTTGCAATATCTCCGTGGGGCGGTGACTTTCACAGTCGAATTAGACACATTAATTTCCCACCGCCTTAGGGATCCGCAGCAGAAAGGTTTTTTAGCTTGCTCCGCCGTTGCCATTGAGCCACGAGTTCTAACTACCATACAATACTGAAAGCGAGGTAGACAGAACAAAAGGCCTCAGAGAACAACAGAAGTTGTCTACAAAGTAGAAAAAAGCTAATTTGGGAGCTGCTTCTACTTGGATTGATCAACTGGAGAGCCTCTTGCCGCCTGACTCTACCCTCAACGGCAAAATCCTCCTCAACCCGGCTCTATGCACCAGTTCTCAGAAGCTTTCGTGGATGAGTCGCCAGAGTAACATCGTGGATACTTTCACTCCATCACTTGTACAGCTCAAGGCCACCAGTCTGAGTTCCAGGGGCGAGATTATGGTCAGGGAATCATGTATACTTGATGAGATCCCGGAGCGTGGACGAGACAATGAAAGAGGGTTGGTTCTCTTTGGCAAATACAGTAATATTCGAAATCAGATTTACATCCACACTCTTAGACTTTAATCTCCGAACCCTAGTTTGGGACACGCTAATCCAGATATGATACAGTAAGCCGGTCGATTCTCCCGGTTCCTAGAATAGAAGCTGTAGTTTATATAACGGGATGAAACCTCCACTAGTGTAATTAACACGAAAATGCTATATATTTGATGCCATCCCACCCCTCTCTACGTTACTACAACACGTTATATTGATTCGATGATTGTCATGCCGAATAAGACCGGTCTATGAATAATTCAGGTCATAATTCAAGGAAAGGGGCGGTACTATCCTAATGTTGAGTGGCCAAAGGACGTGTTGTTACCTAGGAGACCTCACTCTAAGGGTCGATAGGTGAGGGGTGGAAAGTACCGGCCCGACTCAATGCTGAACTTATGCCACGCTTAGCGCCGATGATCACCTGATGGCGAGGCTAAGAATGGGACTTCCTGATGAGGGCTCCGCATATCAACCGAGATCTCAAGACTGTTTAGGAAAGTGGGCTGCGTTACTTTACAGGGGCGCATGGCTTGCGCTAGAATGTGGCAATATCTCCGATTCACGAGAAATGGCGATCGTGTCGAGAAAACAACGAATGAAGATTTTGGGCGCGGAAGATCAAAACACACTCGATAGCACTGAGATATTAGCAGTAGCTTACCGACTCGGGGGCCGGCGGGAAGAGGCCGAGAAGCTGGAGGTGCAGGTGATAGAGACTCGCAAGACGAAGCTCGGCGCCGATCATCTATCTACGTTGACGAGTATGGCTAACCTGGCGTCGACGGTTTGGAACCAGGGCCGATGGGAGGAGGCGGAACAACTCCAGCTGCAGGTGATGGAGACTCGCAAGACGAAGCTCGGCGCCGATCATCTATCTACGTTGACGAGTATGGCTAACCTGGCGTCGACGGTTTGGAACCAGGGCCGATGGGAGGAGGCGGAACAACTCCAGCTGCAGGTGATGGAGACTCGCAAGACGAAGCTTGGTGCCGATCATCCCGACACGCTGACGAGCATGGCCAACCTAGCATCGACGTATAGGAACCAGGGCCGATGGGAGGAATCGGAGCAGCTCCAGGTACAGGTGATGGAGGCTCGCAAGACGAAGCTCGGCGCGGACCATCTCGACACGCTGTCTAGCATGAACAACCTTGCTCATACCCTAAGGTCATCGGGTCAATACACAGCCGCTTTGCAGTTGATGGCTGAATGCGTCCAACTTTTCTACCGAAAACTAGGCCCTGACCATCCGCATACTATATCTTCCAAGACTGCTTTAATCGAGTGGCGCGGGAAGGGTGACTCCGTCTTCCTAGCTCATGAGCCGCCGACCGACACCAAAGACGACTAAACCCTAGGCAGTTCCACAGAAACCTCCGAGTGGGCTTCTAGACCTGGCGGACATCGTAGGCGCACAATCCTTTTGCGCCTCTTTAGAAGAAAGTAGGACTCCCTTCTAAATTTCTCTGGAGTGGAGCTGAGCTTGGTGATAGTTAGAGAAAATATACCAACAAATCAACGAATCCTGTTATGCGAACATGAACAGCTCGTATCTAATGAAACTCATTGAATGTCAGTTTACAAGAGTAACAACCTTTGCTTTATATAGAAGTTTCTGGAGACTGATTCGACTATACGGGTTACTTACGGGGCTGTATTACGTCCCATGTTTTGTACCATACGTCAAAATTGTTCACCACAGGGATGATCTGCAGCCTAGCTTAGTCTGGCCTAGGCGGCTTCACCTTTGTATTGGCGGCGGAGTTCGAGATAGTTTCTGTGTAAAAGTTGAGAAGGCGTTGCCGTGGACGGATAGAAGTGTCGTGCAATTTTCCATCAACGTTTCAGAAGGAAGCACTGACGCCTGCAGATCAAAGCACTCACGCACGCACTCCTTGTCGGCGCATCCTTCTGCATCCTTAACCCCAAAATACTAAAGCATCCTAACAAATCATGACCAACACAAGTAGGTCTAGAATTGCTTGGCTCATCCCTTTGAATTATGTTCAATTCCGCACGCGCCAAAGCTCCTTTACTCCCAGTGCAACTTGTCAATCCGTGGATAGTAGCTGGTGTCCGTCTCTCTATCTTCCTTTGGTGTGTCGACAGCCTCGACAGCCCTCGAGCAAAATTTTAGGGTGGCTTATGCCGATGACATTAGTCAGTGGTTAGTCACATTCGTTGTCAACCCTATAGTGTTGGCAGGACCGACAGTTGCCATTTGACTGCCGTATGCAGTCCTGGTTGGAGTAATAGCCAAAATCGTAGTAGAACATATTAGCCCGCTACGTAGGTGTATTGTCCAGGTCGTAGGTCACCAACCAATCGCCGGCGGGCTTATGCTCAGGCAGTTTGAGCTCCGGGTTGCGCCTGTTCATTCCCTTTGCAAACAGTACCCTGGCATAATGGGAGTCAACACGAATGTCGTTTCGCCAGTCAAAGAGTTCTTCAATCCCGCTGTAGCTGAAACCTCGTCTATAGCGATATACTCCTTCGGGCTCGGCACAGTTGCCTTCTCAATTTGTTCCTTCACGTGCTTTGCAGTCTCAGTATTGAATCGGGTGCCGATGAAGTAAAACTTGTTTGGGCCGGCCGCTGCCACGTATGGAGTATCAGGCGCCACAACCTGGAGGCGATCTCCTGTTTTGATAACCGTTGGTACGTAGCTACCCCGATATTCTTCTTGGAAGGTTGGCGAGCCCTCGCACGGTCGGAACGGGTTCAAAAGCATGGTGTTTAATAGTAGAAGGATCATTATAGTATAGGGACAAACTGACTATGTATTCTGCTTCATATCTCTGTGTGCGCCTCCGCGTATGTCGTCCCTTTTTTGAAAAGTCTGTCGAGGACTTAGCGGTCAGAGTCATGTGATAGGATATTACTGACGGCTTACCATGCGCTAAAAGCTGACACCAACTTGACATTCAAGAACAGGAGTAACTAGCCACCGCGTTGCGACATCTGCACAGCCTTGCATGCACAGCCTTGTATGCAGGGACTCACAGGCCAACCTCGTGATTAGCCACCGCATTGCTAACACAATGCTACCACAATGCTACCGCTGCAGACCCCTGCATAAGCCTTGACATTCGGGATCCGCGGGACTGGATATAGTACCGTTAGTACCCGAGCCCTCGTATGCATGAAGCAAAATTACGTTGCCGAATACGGTGCCATACGAGGTCATTTTATGGCGTCCCTCAGTTTAACGCGGCCTGCAGCCCAGGACAAGCTTCAAACCCACACAGATTAGATAAATCAGGAAAACCAAGAACCAGGACGAAAAGAAAGCGTATCTGGATGATCTGACCCCGCATCAGCAAATCCGAGATAGGCGGTGCCTTTTCCGACGTTCTCCATTGTCGGCCCGAACACCGCCGACAAATGCAGCTCAATGCGGGGAGTCAAACTGACACGACACGCGGGCTCGGATTCTTGACATCTCCAACATGGGACGTCCTAAGGTCCATCCCGCGAATCGTCTGCGAGCCAATACGGCCTGTACGACATGTCGGGCCTCGAAGAAGCGATGCAGTGGGTCGTTTCCCTGTACCAATTGCATCCACAAGGGGCGCGGCCGCACCTGTATTCCATTCAAGTCGATACCCGATACAAGTCCTCAAAGTCGACCATCACCGACGATTCAAACTGCGATTGAGGATATTCCGGCATGGAGCGGTTCGAGTACCAGCTTACAGAGCCCGACAGCCTCGCATGTTCCCGACAGAGCGGATCATCAGCTCGAGCGGGTGATAGAGGCGGGCTCGCGATCGCCAGAGGCTACGCATCGCACACTTCCGCGCATGCTGCGAAACCTGCAGGGTGAAAGAGGTATTGAGGGCGCCCATATCCAGTGCTCTTGTCCGACTGACATCCCTTCGCAGTCTACGTTGGCAAGGCCGCTTCTCTTTCATTTCTTCAGCTCCTTCGAGATACCGTCACTCAACATATCGGACCATCGCAGTTCTCGCATAATTTCAATAGCGAGGATATGCTGGAGACCGAGGCCCGCCATGACTCGTTGAACTTTTCAGAAGGGCGCTTGGCTAATGATGAGAAGTGCCGGTTCATTCAGACCTTCCAAACAGTAGTAAGTCGGGTCCCTATCCGACATTTGGAACTATACAGTAACACTGGCAACAGACCAGCGGCTTCCTGTTTCTTGGATTCAATACAGAATCATTGCTATCCGGTGATCTGGAACCAAAGACTGACCGAGAAAAGACTCGGGCGGCTATAAGTGATCTCGTGATCGCCATCGGGGCACAGTCGTGTCCCAACGAACCCGAAACTGTTCAGATAGAGCGCTTCTTCTTTACTCGAGGCCAGCAAAGAACGTTTGCCAATTTCTTGGAAGACCCGAGTATGGATATCGTTCGTGTGTTTCTGCTCATGTCGTTTTACATGTTTGGTGCCTGTCGCCGTAATGCGGCGTTCATGTACTTGGGCGTGGCGGCTCGGTCCGCAGTTGCATTGGGCCTGCATGCAGAATCTTCCGGTTCAATAAGCCGAAGTGAGCAACAGGAGCGGTATGAGAAATCCCCCGATATATGATTTGAGTACTGACTAACTTCAACAGATTACAATTGTGGATGAGCCTCTGTGTCATCGATCTACTAGCAAGCTCGATTCTTGGACGTCCGGCCGCCACATCGTCTTTACTCCGGGAAAATAAACGGGAAGTCCATCGAATGACAGTTACACCGGCCGAAGCCGGCTTATTTGCCTCGTATCAATTATCTCTAGTGTTGGAAGAGATTATCAGTTGCCTTTACAGCGAGAAAGCGGCATCTATAGAAAAAGCAGATTCACTGCTAGCCAAGCTAAACCGCTGGAGTGACCATCTACCAGAATCGATCCGTACTTCATCTGAAAATGAAGAGCCCAGCATGGCACAAGAGCGCATTATCGGTAACATGCACGTGGCATGCTCTTATCACTTTGCTGTCATCCTTGTCACCCGCCCATTTCTAATCTCCACGCTAAGTGTCCGGCTGGCCCGGTTGCACCAGACCCTCTCGGGTGTGGCTATTGACGCGCCAGAGGAAGATCCGGCTCATTCACGGCTTGCAGCTGCTTGTACCGACTCGGCTGTGTACATGCTTCAAACCTGCATGGAAGTTCATCAGTCGGAGCTACTCTTGCGGAATATGGGAATCTTAAAGTGCGTGACTTCCCATTTCCATGGAATTTCAAACTGACGAGAATGATGCGTAGGGCATTTGTCTTCGCCGCAGCTCTAGTACTAGGATTCTCGATGTTCTCTCATCACGACGTTGATCCTGAAATTGACGGCGCATTTACCGGCGCTCTGGCCATCCTGCGTATGCTCGCTCACCAATCGGCGCAGGCCGCCCTCTACCTTGACATCTTGACTTCACTCGAGGCGGCCGTCACACAGCAACGACGGCGAATGGCCGCCCAAGCGCGACAGCGTCGCAGCCAGTATGTAAGTCGCATTTTTAGTTTAACCGACAGCCCGAGACCCGCGCGAATGCAGAGTGAAGAAGAGGGCCGAACTGCAGCGACTTCACTGATACCGGGAGGGCCGTTCTACCCGTGGGCCCCGCAGGATGACGGTCCGAGGACAGTGACCCCGCCGGTGATAGACGGAGCTTTTTTGGACTGGGAGGGCATGGAATTACCACTGTGGGACAGTTTCCCTTTTACCGAACCGGGATCGTCCGTGCTATGAGGTGCAACACCAGCAATGTGTATACCCAGAGACCTGTATATAGCCGTATTCTCCTACAATATGACCAACTCATGTAACTTTTTATCTTTTGAACAAAACAGAATCCTTATTCTTATCTACGCCACAGGATCATCACGACCGGTTCCGACGATAAGCGGGGCGCGGCCCGTGTATTGCGAACCGCCGTGCGCTATCCGATGGGCGTGAGAAACAAGATAAATGAGAGGAGATGCGCCAGTTAAGAAAAGATACAAACTCAGAAAGATTCAGACATCCCAAACAACATATCATTTAAAATGTCCTGTTGGAGACAGTTGAACATCGGTGTCGTTGGTGGCGGCATCGGCGGCATGTCCGTGGCCGTGGCTCTGCGTCGAGCAGGCCACAACGTGACGATGTATGAAAAATCCGATTTTGCCGGTGAAGTCGGTGCTTCCGTGTCTTGCGCAGCCAACGGGACTCGCTGGCTACACGAGTGGGGAGTTGATGTCGCCAAAGGTGATCCGGTCGTCTTGAAGAAGCTCATAAACCGTGATTGGAAGACCGGTGAGCCCGTCAGTGTGTATGACTTGACTGATTATGAGAAACGATGGGGATACGTCTACAATATGTTCCACCGGCAGTATATGCACGCCATGCTGAAGGACTCGGCGATGGGAGAGGGTGAAGGAATCCCGGCGAAGCTGGTTGTGAACTACCGCGTAAGTGTCTCCTGATTGTAAGGGATCGAGAACATCTACTGATCGCGAAACAGTGCTTGGACATTGACATGAGCACTAATACCATCACCTTTGAGAATGGAGCCACAGCACAACACGATCTCATTATCGGCGCAGACGGCATTGGATCCGTCGTGCGAGGCATCCTGGGCATCAAGCCCGAGAAGAAGCCCTCCGATTCGAGCTGTCTGCATGCCAACGTGGATACCGATGAAGCCGTCAAGCTAGGTCTCGTTGACTATTCCCAAGACAGTGCCTTGGAGTACTGGGGTGGCCAGGAGGGCAAATGGGACAAGATCGTGCTGTCACCTTGCAACGGCGGCAAGCTGCTCTCGTATTACTGCTTCTTCCCTCGCGAGCAGGGTGACTATACCTCACAGGCGTGGGGTGCTGAGGGTCGACCTGTTGAGGAGCTGTTAAAACCCTATCCCAACCTGGACTCCCAGGTGCTCAAGCACCTCTCCATCGCCAAGGAGATTCAGCCATGGCGTTTGTGGGTCCATGAACCATACCCGTACATCCAGAAGGGTAAAGTCTGCCTTTTGGGCGATGCCGGACACCCGATGATGCCCCACCAGAGTCAGGGAGCCTGTATGGCCATCGAGGATGCAGCTGCGCTGGGAATCCTGTTCAATAAGACGTACTTCAACGGTGACATCGCACAGTCCCTTGCAGTCTACGAGGAGATTCGTCTTCCTCGTGCCACTCGAGTGCAGGCGGCCGCAGCCAAGGCAGCGTATAACATCAACGAGCGAATTGGTGAGCCACCCATTTTCTGCAGTGGATTTCTATAGCTAACACACCCAGGCTTCTCGGTCAACAAGAACACTGCCACGTACAAGGTCGAAGATCCGAAGAAGATCTTGACGATCGAAGAGATGAACGCGTAAGTCCTTTTACATCCCCTACCTTAAATTCATTTTCTAACACTCCTGCAGATACGACATGTACAGAGACGTGGAGGAGAAGTTGGCAGCCAAACGCGGCGATCAGTTTGCTAGCAAATTCATCTGCGGATTGCCCATTGGCTTGGAGTTGCCCAGCGGCATTATCATTGGAGCATCAGCATGAACATCATGAACATCGAAATTATATAGAATTGTATTAAAGTCATTCACAAAATAGGCTCGACCAATACACACTTGATAACTCTTTCCTGACTCCACCGCCAAGGCCCTAGCGCAGGTCAATCATTGAGTGCGCCGCATTGATTTGGGAGACAAGTAAAATGCACCTGGTATAGTATCGTATCTTCCTACGAATTATTACTTGATGTGTATAAGACTTCGGTGGAATTCGATGGAGGCCCCGAGTGGGTCCTTATTTTTGGAAGATCTGCCTCGTGAAACTAGTTGTCCATTTTAGCTTGCACGATATGCAGCTTTTTTGCAGTACTGGTCCCATAAATGTGGCCGTTATCTGGAAATTCTAAATCTCCCTAGCCTATTCTGGGTCATCATTCTCAATAGGCACGAGAAAAATAAGATTTGAGATTTTGGTAATACCTTCCGCATGGCCAGGGCGAAGTGGCTTTGCCTTGAAGGTAGAAATATCATGTCCTTACTGGGAGTATATCAGAAGAAGTGGATAATATTCTATGGGGCATGTTGTATACTGTTTTCTCCTGCAATGCTTAATCTACTCAATGTCTCCATAACCAACCGTGTGCTGTTGTGATCTGGACCGAGGGCCTTCTCATAGCCTACCAGTGCTCGCTGGTACATCATCTCCGCCTCCTTCAGCTTCCCCTGATACTCGTAGAGAAAACCAAGGTTGTTGACTGTATTAAGAGTGGACGTATGATCAGTACCGAGAGCCTTCTCCTTTCCTGCCAGTGCCCGATGATACATCTCCCCTGCGTCATTCAGCTTCCCCTGATATGTGTAGAGAAGACCAAGGTTGTTGACTGTATCCAGAGTGGACATATGATCTTGACCGAGAACCTCCTCCTTGCCTGCCAGTGCTCGCTGGTACATCTCCTCTGCCTCTTCCAGCTTGCCCTGATTAGAGTAGACACCCCCAAGGTTGTTAACTGTATTGAGAGTGGACCTATGATATGGACCTAGGGCCTTCTCATAACCTGCCAGAGCTCGCTCAAACATCTCCTCTGCCTCCTTTAGCTTGCCCTGATCCTTGTAGAGAAGACCAAGGTTATGGACGGTATGGAGAGTCGACATATGATCTGGACCTAGGGCCTTCTCATGGCCTGCCAGTGCTCGCTGGTACATCTCCTCTGCGTCCTTCAGCTTGCCCTGGTTAGAGTAGAGACCCGCAAGGTTGTTGACTGCATTGAGAGTAGGTAGGTGTGTCTTATGATGCTGGCCAAGAGCCTTCTCATAACCTATGAGAGCTCGCTCGTACATCTCCTCTGCTTCATTCAGCTTGCCCTGGTCAGAGTAGAGAAGAGCAAGGTTGTGGACTGTATCAAGAGTGGAAGTATGACCTGGACCGAGAGCCTTCTCCTTGCCTGCCAGAGCTCGCTGGTACATCTCCTCTGCGTCCTTCAGCTTGCCCTGGTTAGAGTAGAGACCCGCAATGTTGTTGACTGTATTGAGAGTAGGTAGGTGTGTCTTATGGTGCTGACCAAGAGCCTTCTGATAGCCTGTTAGAGCTCGCTCAAACATCTCCTCTGCCTCCTTTAGCTTGCCCTGATCCTTGTAGAGAAGACCAAGGTTGTTAACTGTATTGAGAGTCGACATATGATCTGGACCTAGGGCCTTCTTCTTGCCTGCCAGAGCTCGCTCGAACATCTCCTCTGCCTCTTTCAGCTTGCCTTGATCTCTGTAGAGAAGGCCAAGGTTGCTAACTGTATTGAGAGTAGGTAGGTGTGTCTTATGGTGCTGGCCAAGGGCCTTCTCATAGCCTGCCAGAGCTCGCTTGAACATCTCCTCTGCTTCCTTCAGCTTGCCTTGATCTCTGTAGAGAAGAGCAAGGTTGTTAGCTGTATGGAGAGTAGGTAGATGTGTCTTATGGTACTGGCCAAGGGCCTTCTCAAAGCCTGCTAGAGCTCGCTCGTACATCTCCTCTGCTTCCTTCAGCTTCCCCTGATCTTTGTAGAGAAGGCCAAGGTTGTTAACTGTATCGAGGGTGGACGTATGATCTGGACCTAGAGCCCTCTCATAGCCTCCTAGAGCTCGCTCGTACATCTCCTCTGCCTCCTTCAGCTTGCCTTGGTCCTTGTAGAGAAGACCAAGGTTGTTAACTGTATCGAGAGTGGACGTATGATCTGGACCTAGGGCCTTCTTCTTGCCTGCCAGAGCTCGCTCGAACATCTCCTCTGCCTCCTTCAGCTTCCCCTGATCTCTGTAGAGACTCCCAAGGTTGTTGAATGTATTGAGAGTGGACGTATGATCTGGACCTAGGGCCTTCTCATAGCCTGCTAGAGCTCGGTCGTACATCGCCTCTGCCTCATTTAGCATGCCTTGAACCGTGTAAAGATTCCCCAGTCCTTGAAAAGCTCCCCATACCGAAATATCATGACCTAGGCAATTCCTATGACGTGTGTAATTTGCGTGTGGAATTAACCGTTGCTGAAGCTCTGTATAATTTTTGTCACTTGAGCTGGGCACAGCGTATCCAACAGATATCAGTGCTATTTCATCAAGCTGGATTGAATTCACATTTTCGTCTGTGCTGGCAAGGTGAAGGCACCAGTCTTGTACCACTGGATGCATAGCATAGCTCCCTTCTTGTTGTTTACTCTCAAGAAGAGAGAACCCGATCAGAGTCTTCACACCAATCTTGAACGCGAGTCCGCTTGAAATGGCCTTTTTGAGCCAAAAGGGGACATCTAAGCAATGACTACCATTTTTTACCAGCTCGTACCAGATATCTCGGTTATCAAAGCGAGCAAATAGCAGTAGCAGCGCTGCTGCATTGGGATCCCGCTTTTGTATCTCAAGATACGAGATCATCCATGTTTGTATCATGTTGCCCTGCTGGTACTGACGACCAGGGCTTGATTCTAACTGCAGTTCGGACCAAGATTCTCGGTAATACTCCAAGTACTCTGTGATGCTGGTTCCAGTCTCACGCATAAAAGCCCCAGCGAGGACAATTGCCAAAGGCAATCCATCTAGACGACTCGCAAGCGTAAATAAGCCTATCCTTGTTAGCATGATCTGTAACATAAATTGATGAAGCGGCTGCGTACCTGGATCGCTTTCAAGCTTTCTTGCAGTGTTCTTTGCTGACAGACCACTACTTTGCAAGAGTAGTCGAATTGTGTGATGAGTGTTAAGTTTGGGGACTGGAAAAGGCTCTCCTAGCTCAGTCAACCCTTGAAGTCGAGAGGTGATGAGGATGGAGCCATGGTCTGCTGCGGGGAAGAATTCTCCAATATCATACCCATCACCAACCGCGCTGCCCAAGGGAGAGTATTGATCAATGTTGTCCAAAATGATTAGCCAGCGCGAGTTGCCCTCCAACCCCAGCCACCGTAGCATATGCCTAGCTCGTTGCTCCACTTCTCTGTCATCGGTCGACCCGCTATCCCAAAGCTGTCCAGGCACTCGATTCAAGGCAAAGCTAAACGATCGCAAGAGCGCATCCCGGTCCTTGCCACTCAGCCAAAAGATAGCCGTAAAATCATCTTTGTGATCTCGCGCGAAGCGAATCGCTAGCTGCGTCTTTCCCATTCCGCCAAGCCCATGGAGAATTGCAACTTTCCGTGACGGCGAACTTGTCGGTCGTAGATACTGCCATAGGCTATCCAGCTCGTCTTGTCGCCCAACAAAGTTCTCAATTACAGGAACTGTGGTAAGGTCTAGGGGGACATTGAAATGGTGAACTACACACGAAAAATTTTATTTAGTCATCGATTCGAACTAGGTATGGAGTACCACGGGTTGGATTTTAGAACCTCTTACCAGAGTCTGCTAGAGTGTCTCGAGCTGTTGGAGTAGTTTCAATCTGGTCGATCGGAACCACTAAGAGAAGCTCTTTCGCATAAGCCGCCGCCACAGCTGCCGCATAGCCCTGCCATTCTTTATTCTTATGTGAGTCGGCGTAGTCACAGATGCCCCGAATGACCAGACATGGGAAGTCATTTGTGAGTCCCGCCGCTTCCATCTCCAAACAGTATACCCCCAAGTCCCGAGCCAGTTGATCTCGCCACCTACCATCTTTCACCACCTGATTTGCAGATCCAATCAGCCCATAGTGTACGATCGGTTCCTCATGATCTCGTGAAGGTCGCGGAGAGAGTTTGGAGCGATCGCAATTCATACACGTATTAGAACCGATATGATCATATTCCGCTTGAAATAAGCAATCCTCTTGGGTTGGTCGCGCGAATGTGGTTGCCTTGCGAGGCGGCATTTTGGCTTGGATATTGGAAATGAACTCCACCACTCGACTGTCTTCTGTGAGGTGATAGGCTTGGAGGGTAGCGAGAGCGGTTAACAGAACCTTTGGTGGCCGATTAAGCATCCCTGTCCGCTGGAGTTGACCGCCACTCAACGCTTTGCCAAGATCGTATTGGATCACGCCCCCAGAAGTATCCGTTGGCCGGCTCACTACAATATCACCTAGTCGAATATCTAGATTGCTGCTCGGTACTCCCCCGCCGATACCGACCATGAAACCGATCCGGATGGAGTGGAAACTGGATAATAACTGCATTCCAACGGTTGCAGCTGATGTGTTGCCATATACGCCACTCGGTAAACTAGCAATAACGACATTATGTTCACCGATACTTCCAAGGATATAGGTATTTTGATCCATCGGCAGACGAGGTAAAGGAGGGTGTATCTCGTCCAACATCAATTTCGCAGCTGCCGTCTCTACGGGTAAGGCGCATATCCATCCGACCGTGTAATCGCCGTAGGATAGAGGGGCTCTGACTTCCATAATGGGTTAAGTGACAACCAGGTACTTGGACATAGAGTGGCTGAACTGTCAATCTAAAGAGTAACGAGGAAAAGATCTCATAGAGCGCAGCGTGGAGGAATAAATGCAGAGTTCAGCTCGGAGAGTGCGGGTTGAGAGGGGGCCTGGACATAAGCCTCCAGGCAGATCTTCCACAAACAGCGTATTAGGTCAAATCTGCAGAGATCCGCTATAGGGTTCCATGCGATTCCACGGAAATTTATAGTGGGCCTGCACCAACAAGAGGATCGCCTAGCGAGCTAGTCCCGATTGGGACTCGGGGGTGGTATTGTTTTGTAGTTCTTCGCTCTCTCTCTCTCTTCTTTTTCTTTCCTCAGTTTAGAACTTTTCTGAATGGCACAGAAAATATCCTGTACTGGCCTGTGACAGGTTATCGGTTGATCTCATCAATGCCCACTATTCAGTCGTCTTTGATACATTTCTGTATCAGTTCCATAGTAATAGACGTAAGCACTTTCATGTAAACTCTCTGTGCCTGATTTGGCAGACGCTCTATATAGAGCTCCATACTAGCTATTGGATGTCAGCTAGATAATCATAAGGCTGTAACTATCACCTACCAACAGTAAATAACACCGTCTAAACCGAGAAAAAAAAGTTCGGCCTGTCAGCGATTAGTGCTCTAAATAACCCGATTTAGGTGGCATATTTCCTTAAGGATCTACGGTTTTTAGCATATCTATGTATAACATACGTGAAGAATAACATACCTACACACTATGGAAGCTAGTAGTTCCTTGTAAGGTAAAGAGCTCTACATCCCTAAAGATACTCTAAGTAAGTAGAAGATCGTCGGTAGAGCGTAGAAACACTAACTATCAATAAACCATTCACGAGCAGCTAATAGATTAGCATAAGCAAGTTTCTCATAGCGCCATAACATTTTATCTCTATCTCTCTTAGTATATTCACGAATAGCGACAACATGAGATAGTTAGGAACGGCGAGCTACAATGAGCACATCACCTACTAGCTTATAGTAGTAGCCTCGACGATATGTATCCTAAGTTAATCTATATCTCACAATCATTATACGGGCTACCTCCTCTGATTTTTTGATTTAGGGTAGGCCAAAGCTCTTTGGGCTTCCGCAAATGACTCGACGCTTGAAGACGCATTATGAGCTGATCGGGGTACAGAAGCACCGAAGATGGCCCTCGAACAACGCCAGTCCGACATCCACCTAGTCGAAATCGGAGTCCCTATTTAAGTCTTAGCGTCATGTCCTCATTGGCATCGTCAAACATGTGAGACATACTCGGTACCGTCAATGGTAAGTTCAAAGCGACGGAAGAGGTTTGTGAAAATGAGATACAATTCACAACATGCCAGGCTATCAAAAGGCACAGTAGCCCGCAACATGATTACTACGTCCGTAGAAACAGAATATTCATACGTGATTCCCAGGCAGCTGCGAGGCCCTTTGGAGAAAGGGACGAAATACTTATCGAGCTCCTTGGCGTCGTCGCTTAACCACCGGTCGGGATAATACATGTGAGCATCGGTGAAGGCATGTTCGTGCTGCATCGGGAATAGAACTCCCATGCTCACGATTGTCTGTCTCATCTTAGGATTTGTGAAATGAGTAACACTGCTTAGATACTTACCCCGCCGGGGATATGTTTTCCTCCAATTGTCGCCCCTTGCGCCGGGACCACCCTCGAATTTTCCGAAGTCGTCGTGGGAGCCATTCGAAGAGCCTCGTTGATAACAGCAGTCTGTGTGCTTGCTGTTAGTACCTGTCATTTCAATGTTCGAAGATGACCTACCAAGTAAGGAAGCTTTTCCAAATCGCCCGCGTTGGGTCGCTGCTCGAGATTCGGCCACGTCTCCAAGAGCTCAGCCTTGAGCTTGGCGTAGATTTCTGGTTTGCGTAGAATCTGATAGGTACCTATAGTGAGGGTTGAACCGGTCGTATCCGTTCCCGCAATGACCAATGCAACAGCCTCCTCAAGCAGATTGGCCCGAGACGGGATGGGAGTGTCCTGCTTTTCCGGGCGGATTAAGGCACGATAGACAATGGGATGGGCATGCTGATTTGGCTTGTCAATAACCATAATTATCTCGTCGATCTGATCTGAGAAAATCTGCGCATCGCAATTAGTATTGGGCGAAGTTTTCTTTGGTCAAGTCCACTTACCTTTCTCATTTGAGCAAAGGCAAGGGCTTAGGAAATAAGGCCAATCCAACCCACTCTGGGATGCTCAAGATAGTTCGTCTGAACAGTTCAAAATGTTTGAACACCATGAACCAGGCCACAATTGACTCCATTGCCTCAAAAATAGGACTGGCAAATCCTTCATACTCAAAGCACGAGGCGGATTTCCGAAAGCACGTTGCCGTAATGGTCTCGAGGCCCAGGCAGCGGAATCCCAGTGTCATATCAGACGACACTCCACGTTCATTGTGCTTGTCAGGATGACCACATAAACTTTCAATCTACGAAGTGAATTAGCACGTGGAACATAAAAGGGCTCTCTCTTCTTACGTTTTCCTGAATCAGCCATTGGACATTGTACACGGAGCTCTTCCCAAAGAAAGTATGCAATATGTCCTTTCTGCGCTTGTTGTCTTCGTACTTGACGAATGTCACAGTGGCACCATCTCCACCCAGCAAGGCATACATGAAGGGATCTTTATCCCACCGACGACGATAAATCTCATCGTACATAGTTGGGTGGTTGAAATGAAGCTATACGCTGATCAGACGGCGTTGCCGGTGCAAAATAGAGGAGATAACGTACCCTGTTAGGACCAATTCTGACAATGTCACCTGGTAAGCTGTTAGCCACTGCTACCAAAACTCGAGCTCCCAAGATCTTGTACCATATTTTTCATGGAGGCTCATGCAAATGTGATGCATGGATCGTCCGCGAATGGCCTGCTGGTACGCAGACCACCAGGTCGTTGCAACTGCCAACTTGGGCCCCGGAACTTCGGACAGCAGGCTGAAGAACGCATTGACAATGGAGTCGCTAATGAAACGCACAATATAGATAGCACAGGAAAGTCCAACAAGCCCTAACGTAAAGACAGGAAGTGGCAACTCGAAGAGGTGTTGAATCGCCATGGCGAAATTGGGTAATGGTGACAATAAGGGATTAATGAGATAGCTCTATACGACAGATCTCTTTGATTTTCAATTATGCATCATGCACAGCCTTAGTCACGACGCTCCTTTGTACGCCTTATCGCCGACATTGCAGTGCAACTGATCTAATTCGACATATATGTGATTATGTCGCCAAGCAGGTACAGATACTACATGGTAGGGATTTTCGTTACGAGAAGCGATGTTCGCCCAAATCGGAACCATCATGCTAATGCAAAAGTACAATAGATCATACTCTACGTGCAGGACCGCGGAGACCAACCGCCGCGCGGTAGTAATCAATGAAACGTACTAACGTATTCCATAGGCGAATGGGTGAGTGGGCCACGGTAGAACACTTAAGTAAAAACCACTCTTCTATTCATCCACATCTTAGTAACTAGGCATTTCTCTGACTTGAATTCTGCCAACTCATGAAATAAAGTAGATACTACGTTACAATGTCTGAATTATACTACATTACTACAATAAATATTGACTGACGGTAAGTATGAAGTATATAGTATACCTAAGTATTGAATTAATTCAAGATTCTTGGAAAATTATTGTTGCGTAGAGTACAGGCTGTGATTTGTCGCAGTCCGTACAATGTTCCGCGATGATCCACTCGCTTACAATATGCGTAAGTGCTTATTATATGCATAAGTGCTTATTATATGCATATGGTGATCTTTGACGCTTTGGACCTTGGTAATTCCGTGAAGGCGATAATACGAAGTATTATAGCGAGAGCCCCGTCTAAGCGGGAAATACTACGTAATACAGAGAATTGGGTCCGCTGGGGTGGGGGTGAGAATTTAGCGCCGCACGAACCATCAGGCCTCCGATTGGTTGAAACCCCTAGTAAAGAGGACTTTGGCAGTTGCGGGCTTATCTTGCTATGGGATTGCTCTGTCTCGTGGAGTCAGATGTGTGAGACCCACCTGATCGTACGCATGAAACTACGGTTTGGCGGTGAGTTGCGATGGAGCATTAGGCAGAGAGGAGAAAAAACAAACCAGGTCAAAATGTAGGGAAATTGTCGATCGAGTCTTCTCACAAGTCAATTACCCTAATTCGTGCGAAGTAGTATGGCATTCCCAACGAAAAGTGGCATCAATACGGAGATCCCTTACGACCAAAAATATGGGATCTGGAGGTGCAAGAAAAGAACAAAGTTGAAGATCCATCGGATCCAGAGACATGGCCGAGTGTAAGTCCAGTATCATCAAGATCCTTCAGCAAATAGTCCTAACTATGTCTCTAGAGGAAGAAGATCTTCGTGGTCTTTGTTGGCCTTCTCACGTTGTTTAACAGCGTCTTCGATTCAACCATCCCGAGTGGTGGGATTGAGTTCATTCCCAGGGCCCTGAACGTCAAAAGCGAGACTCAACAGGTGCTACCAACCTCTGTCTACCTGATCGGGTATGTGACAGGACCTCTGGCTTTTGGTCCCTTAAGCGAGCTGTACGGTGGAAGGCCAGTGATGGTGGGAACTTTTGTTCTTTTTACTATCTTTACCCTCGCATATGCTGTTGCGCCCGACTGGCTGGCACTCATTATTTTTCGAGTTATCTGTGGCATCTGCGCGTCTAGTCCGATTGCTATCACCGGAGGGCTTTTCGCCGATGTATATCGCTCTCCTCCTGCTCGGGGACGAACCATGGCGTTGTCAATGGCAGTCACCACCGCTGGTCCGCATTTTGCACCACTGGTTGCGGGATTCATTGCACCGGTTGTGTGGAGGTGGATCTTTTGATTGTCGCTAATCCTCGACGGTGTCACCTTGGCCCCGGTGCTATTTCTCCCCGAAACATTCAAACCTGCCCTCTCTCGTCAGCCACGAAAGCGCGGAGAAGGCATCGAAAACCTTTACTCGACCGCTGTACATGATATTTTATGAGTCAATCATAACGTTCACTTGTCTTTACTTGTCCTTCGCAAGTGCAATCTTCTGTGAGTAGCCCATCTCCCGGACATCGGTCTGGTAAACTAATGTGAGAAGTTATGTATTTTGAGGCGTACACCTTGATCTTTCAAGGTGTATATGGAATGAGTGATGGTATCGCTGGACTAGCGTTTCTTCCAAGTATGCATTGACGTCGCCAAAAGGATACAAAATCTTGAGCTAACTCGATGTTAACCCAATCTAGTTGCTGTGGGAGCCTGTATCGGGATGGCTATATTCTTAGCATATGACTCGTTTCTCCAGCGCGCAAAACTGCGAAAGGCCACGTGGTCCATATTTGAGGAGTATCAGCGACTTCCGTTGGCATGTTTAGGGGGGCCACTCTTTGTATTGGCCCTGTTTTGGCTAGGCTGGACTTCACCCGTGGGGATTCATTGGATAGTCCCCATGCTGGCAGGAATACCATTTTGAATGGGCTTCAGGCGCTAACAAAAATTTTGACCAAGAGCCCTATATTGGAACCATCACATCGCCACGCTCGAGAAAAGTTTTCACATCTTTCTTCACGTGTTGTCGGCCCTCAAACAACGCCGGATCCAAATTCATATCGTAGTCGCAATCCCAACGAGGAAGCTCGGTATACTCCAGCGGAGGCTAACATACTGCCATCCTTCTCGACGTTCGTGAAAGACGTTGGGAATCAAAAGAATAGTCAGTTCTCCTCGTCAGGGCATAGCGTCAACTCACGTTCTTCCCTTGTCTATGTTCCCCATCCTGGTACTGCTGTTGTAACAAGCAAGTCTTTGTGCCCGCCAGAAATGATCTGTCGGCTTCCGACGTCTAATTGCTTTTCGTTTCGGCCACACTCTGCCGAGTACACACACAAAATTTTGTGCCACCAACAATCGGGTAAAGGTTCAGAAGCTGTCGAAAGAGTTAATCGGCTCGAAAATAGTGAATCCTCTCAAACTGTCCAAGCATACTATAGCAAAGACAATCAATACGAATGCGGTTTCAGTTTATGCAACAAGCGCTTTTCAGGCCCTCTACTCTTTACACCTATTTGCATTCACACATAGGTGAGCAGCCTTTTCATTGTCCTCATTCTGGATGTGACGAGGCATTCTCTGTGTCAAGCAATATGAAGCGCCATGCACGTGACTGCAAAACGGCTATCAAGCTCCGAGAGCACAAAGACAAAGCCGCCATGGCCTCCTCGAAGATTCATTTGGACAAATCGGTCTGTTCTATTGCCAGCCTTTTGAATCAAAGTTAGGGCGACCCTAAAAAGCCCAATTTTTCATTGATGCGACTTTATGACACAACAACATCACGCAATCCAAGCCACTTATATTACAGTGAGAAGGGCTCGACTGCCTCTATGGACCTGAGAATTAGTGCAAATGGCCTACATGGCGTTCAGGCTAAAGGGCCTCTGTTTCATTGTTTTAGGCCCAACGTACGGAGCTCAGGATCCGAATTGGCCAGTAATCACATATCGCAGGCTTGGGGGCACTAGGCTAGAGATGGCCACTGTTCTTGAGCTTACGCCAAATGGTCATGGGTAGAAGGAGGTGGCACGAAAGACAAAGGCCGAAATCGAGGGATTGTGAGCGGAGCACGCCAGTCGGTCACGCTTTAGCCCAGCTGGCCCACGATCCGCGGATTGTGGGCCAGCTGGGCTAAAGCGCCGTCAACTGGCGACATGGCTGGCCTACCAACCCGACAAGCTAAGCAACAGGCGCCTACGGTCCCGATTCAATCACAATCCATGTGTTTTGAAATAGAAAGAATCTATTATGAAAGACCATCATCGCAGAATACTGCATCAAGACCCGCGTGACCATAAGAATTGATTCACGTCAATCATCCCTTGAATCTGGATGGAATCAGAAAAAAAGTTGAAGCCACTCGCTCACTGGTGGAAAGAGTTTGTGAATGGCCTCTCACCACCTTCATCTTCTAATCATAATGATTTGGTCCCCGTTTGTAGTTTGGACAGGAGGATCACGGGGGCTGCAGCAACGCGAGCGCCTTCGTGAAGAAGTATTCCGATAGCAAGTACCACAAGTCTGACTGTGACCTTGGACGTGCCCATGGTCACTAGGCGATCGACCATCACGTCCGCGTGACCCTGTGGGCCCTTTGCTACCATCACGTCCGTCTCGCCCAGCCGAACCTGGTGGCCCAATAGCACCGGATGGTCCGGGGGACCCTTTCTGCCCATCACGCCCATCGCGTCCGTCGCGACCATGCCACCCTTGAATGCCCGCTAACCCCTGGGCGCCTGGACCGCCCGGCGGGCCACGTGCTCCATCTTGGCCTCTCTCACCCATTGGTCCGGATGGCCCTGTCTCTCCTCTTGCTCCGTCTGGCCCCTGGTGACCTTGGGGACCCATTAAGCCGGGCTGTCCTTGCGCTCCCGGAATACCAGGTGGGCCCCGTGCTCCATCCCGGCCTCTTTCTCCAGTATCACCAGCGGGACCCTGGTTTCCTTGATCGCCTTGAACTCCCCTTGGCCCCGAAGGACCTGTATCACCTCGAGGCCCAACGGCTCCGTCCTTGCCAGGCTTCCCCTTTTCCCCTCGAGGTCCCCGCACACATTGCCTGCAGCACGTACACCACCCGACTATGATCGCGAGGCCAATCACAACCCCGACGCAAGCTCCTATTATGGCAGCATGATCATGATGACCTGAGTTCTCTACTTTCTGAGAAGCGGAATTTGTGTTTGTCACTGTAGTAGATGTCTCCTCTGGCGATGGGATAGTCCCAAGTGTTATCATCGTCGTGTAAGTGGCATGGTCCCTTGTAATAGGTAGAGTAATGACCTTGAATGCTCTCGCAGTAATATTCATCCTTGTAGAGTAAATCTCATAGGGTTACATGAATTTCTGCCAGGTGCTTTGTGTTTGTTAATATACAATATTGCCTCCTGGTTACTCAGTATGATAGTGCTCGCGCTTATTTGACTTAAAATCGATAAGACTACGGTTTAGGAGGCGGCGAAGGCATTATGCTTGCTGGGGATCTGATTCATGCACAGCATGCCACGTCATGCATTATGCGCTATGCAAAAGCAAGTGATCTGGCACGACGCACGCATTGAATGCATGAACCTATGCAGACCTTTGATCTATTAGAGCTGTGCAGCGAGAATCCAGTTGTCTTTCGTAATATTGTCAGGATTATGTTTTATCATCACAACATAAGGGCGCATATGTACCACTCCTTTACAATACCATAAAGGTGTATGTCTTTGATTGCAAGATCGGTAAGCTCCACGGGTTTTCTATGTGCTCCGGGGGCACTTCGTGTATTGGGTGCAAACAGGGGATAGTTGAATGCTTGGGTATCTATACAGTTATCGCGCTACTTCACCCCCGGCACTATCAGAACGACGAATCTCATCAGGCGTAGCATGTTGAATGACGTATACGAGATATTCTGGAATGATAAGCCACGGGAAGTCCTGTTTTGCTTTCAAATTCAGGGCAATCTCGCGGATGGGGGAATTTGAGCCTCAAAGTCTCTGAGCCCCCACTCTGGGCTGGAATGAATCCGTGCCAGTAGTTTCTTGTACACGTGCCGAACCAGTCTCTTCATATCGTCTACGTGGCAGATGGTCCTAGCACAACACCTGAAATGCATCTTCTGCGACCTTGATGCTTATGTTGGAGGACCTGTCTAAAGTTTTTAACCCATTAAATGCAGGTATGGATATAAGAACGGCCCGTCTTTCACCAGGACATTATTGCATATGAAATATGGCATCTCCACGTTAAGTTATGTCGGAGCGCCGTGTATGACTATTGATTGCTGCCCTTTGCCATCCGCCACGTGAATCAGTGAATTAGGCGCTAAGCAAAGTCACCGAACGAACAATGGGCCTGAGGGGCATCTGGTGTCAAAGTACGGGGTTCCCGCTTCACCCGGAAGTGAAGTCTAAAAAGTTCGGACGATCGACCAGTAACCTCCGTGATTTCAGCCCCACTCACGGACCGTGCGCCAGGTGGTGCGCTGTAAGCGGCTCTTAGGTGTGTTGCGCTGCACGCGATTTGCTACTTTCGAGTCCAGACCCTCAGCCCAAAGAAAAACAACTAGCGCCTTTACCAGGCACTGCAACGTAATCTGGGGTCTTGATTGCACCAGATCAGCAGGCCTCATTTCGCGTTACCCCCTGACGCCACGCCCAGCGCTAAACAAGGTTGTTTTTGTCATGTTCCCCTCTCCCTCACACAAAGCTCTTCGAGGCAGGCGTCAACTTGCCGCTGGTAATTTCGGCATTGATAGCTGTGAAAGTGCCGTAGATTTTAATATTGTTGCTAGTCACCGTACGTTCAAAGTCGTCTAGAATTAAATTAAAGTCCTATGTACTCCAGTTCTCCTTGTTTAGTCACGAATCGTGCTACTAGCTAAGGCTGACGGTGCTTACGAAGGATCCGCACGCCCTAGAGCGCAGATTCCCATGTGAAATTCATGTCGCAGGAGTAGTTCCGCCTCTCCGCCGGTTTGTCGCATCCAGCCTCCTGGCATTGGCATATAGACTTTGTACCCGGTATCACTCTCCTGCCTTCTGGGCGAGGAGGCTTAAGCGTTACTCGGCACCCGCCTCATGGATCGGACGTCCAGCATCCATCTCGCCCCTCACCGTAGAAGAATCAGCCTCTGCAGCGAGGTTTCGGTGGTCTCCTTGTAAGGAAGAGTAAAAGTTGTTTGACCAGGGAGGCCTATAGCTGTGCTTCGTAATTGGTGATGGCGGGGAGAGATGCGAAGTCTCGGTCCAATCTCCTCTCCTAAGAACATCTCCTATGTATGAGAATAATCTTGTTACCGATATTGACATATGAATAGATGCGATGTGTGATGATCCTCTGAGGCCCTCTGTGCAGTTATGAATATTCTCCTGTGATAGGTACAGCGATGAATAAATGAGATGTCAACAGCTGTGGATAGGTTGTGTTAAAGATCACCGCCCTTGTTGTCTATGCGCTTGTCAAACATGAGGAAATTTTCTGAACGTTATGTTCGAGGAATTGAATTAGATTTATAATTGTATTACCGCTGGATTGATCACCACTTTAGCAGCAAAGGGAGGAGGGTGTTTATCAGATGTTATTGGGTCATTTGTCTCCCCTTGACTGTGTCCGTGCATTTCCTGATACTCCCGCCACCCCCCAGGTCTACCGCACAATTCCTTCTTCACCCGGCTCATACAAAGATTTTCTGGGCCGCTAATGACGTAACTGTCTGCCACGTTACCCAGGTAAACAACACTCAGTTCATAGTTGCCACTTCGCAGAAAATGTCGGATTGACAGATACTGGTATGTGCTAGTATTGAGGTGTCCCATTGAGATGCATATATTTTGTGTTCTATCTGGATCTTGCTATTGAAGTAAAAGCCATCGTCTAGTTCCCAAAAGGCACATCTACCGAGTCAATACTTGATGCACAGGCAGAGTGACCTAGTCTCAGCATTCAAGTACTGGTTAAACTGGCGACTTGTTCGGCTAGGATGCACACATCCTGCAGTGTGTCTGGTTTCACCGAGCGATTCTCTATCACCACGGCTGCATATTCCCTGGGTGCGCATGAGACCGCCGTCTTGGTCCCTTTTCATATGTTGAGAGTTTGCGCCAACCAGTCCTCCTTTAGCTAGATATTTCCACAGCTTGGCCAAGAACCGAACCTGCGGGAATGGTCAACTTCAACGACGGCCAACGCTCACTTGCTGTCGTCAGAACCATGAAATTCATCCTCAACGTCAAATGTTCGAACTTGCATCAAAATTCTCCCTACAAGCTCATCAAACCACTGTTTATACATCACAACCCGATTAGATCTATTTCTTTTGACAAATCTCAAGTTCTTTGTTATATCTTCACCGCGTTACAAGAATCCATGACCGTCGTCATAGTTAGAAAACGAAAAACTCGATCAAAATGGCGAAACCTATCGGAGCACACATTATTGAAGAACTGTCTTAATCCACGGACATGGACTTATTATGAGCTATAATTTCGATGCGGGCTGACCAAGTACACTTCAACCATCCGATTCTCCAACTGTTCCTCGGAAATAATGTAATGACATCTCGTTGTACAAGTAAGAACAGTGCAGTTCTTGTCTTCTTCGAATAACCTTGGAATGCTCGAATACTAGTCTCTAGCGCCACGGAGACGTGCCTGCGCATTGATAAAGTGGCCTTTCCACGCAGCTTTTCCCATGCTAAGCACACTTATTGACGCAGAGCTTATTGTGTGAAGCACATATTACAGTCACAGGGCTTGTCGGCTGTGCCGAAGGTTTTCAGGTTACTCGAATTTGGGTATGGCATGTATCGCATTAAGAAAAGTCTGGCCACGCAGTGCGAAGAACTTTGTGTTTGCTGATACCCTTGGCCTCTTCCAAATTTTCCCACGGTACTAAGTCCTTCGCTTGAGAAATTTTCAAATGTACATGGAACAACTCACACACAGTCATTGGCCTGCCATCAATCCACGGTCCACAGCGAACAACACCTCCATTCATGCTATAGTACTCAACTGCGAAGAGTAGGTCGGGATTTCTAACAGTATTGTGATTGTACATCGTGCCCAAAAAGCGACGGAAGTTTTTCACCTTCAACAAAAGGGCGATGTCTAGAGATTGAGTACCTAGAAAAGTTTACCCTAAGTAATAACTTCCACCAACGTGCCTTGTCTGGCTCTCTGTTGATGGAAGACAACTTCTCGAAGACCTTCTAGCCATGTTAAATGTTGTCTTTGTCTGCTTTGTCGATAAAGTGTAATACTTGAATGCTGGTTGGAGATTTGGGAGATATAGGGAGAAGCTCAATGGTGCCATGGATCGCGTCAGCGCTTCACCAAGAAGAACACCTTGACATTTGTTTCATTGGAGAATGGTAAGCAACAATCGTTTCAATTGAGCTTAAAACTCACCACTGGCTTATTCAACTAGACTGGTAGAGTCTGCCGCTTCTTTCAGTGGTACTCATGAGTTGGTTTTTATAGCTGGGCAGATTCGGATAAGAGACCGAGAAACAAGGGGAAACGCCATGCTGGCTAGGCACTAAGCTATGTGGGCCGTGTGGGTAGATCAATCGAGTTAGAAGCGAAAGCCTAGGCCCAGGCTAAAGGATCTACCCGCCGCAAAGACTCAATTGGAAGTAAATCCAAGTCTGCCAGCCGTGATCGATTAAGCCACAAGAAATGCCGGACCATTACGGACGACACCGACGCGATGGAGGAAGACCTCCGTGCCCAGGTGGGCGCCAAGGATCAACCCGTCGATGCAGTCAATGACGTCCAGGTCCAGATTGACCTCACCGAGCGACGTACACCCATAAATACCCAACAAGTCTCTGCCGTAATTACCGCAGAAAAGTTGCAAGAGGCTCCTAAGCAACGCCGCGGCAGAAGCCGCCGTGTTGAAAACGAGTCTGAAGACGAACTCAGCGCAGAACTTAATGCCCGCAAAGATCAATGTTAGATACGACCACACTACGAGTACTACAGGCAAACTGTTGGAGATCGATGGATAAGGTAATGATGCATCTTTTCGCAGAAAAAGAGGTACAGGAGATAGAGATTTTAGCGGTCCAGGAACCACAAGTGTACGCATTTGGGGAGGTTGGGACAACAATGGCAACCTATTCGCAGGCCCTTGCGGGTCGGTTCCATGTCTTACTTCGACTAACTATCATCCGAGATGGTAGGGAGGATAGCTGCAGGCCGAGGGTCTGCTTCTACATCAACAAGAAAATCAATCCAAAGGCATGGTCGGTGCAGCATTACTCGCGGGACGTCAGCACATTATCAGTCAAGACAGCACTCGGGGTCGCCCACATACATAACGTGTACGTCCAGAGTAAGGTAGGCAGCCCTGAAGAAAGGGATCGTGCGACGGGGATCGCACAGGCAGCCCTTACGGTGCTCCACAGAGCTATGCAGCGTGGAAGAAGCGATCACCATATAGTCGTGGGGGACTTTAACCTCCATCACCCACTCTGGTCGAAACCCCGCCAGGCACAGATGCGGGATGACGACGCCAACGAACTAGTTAATCTGATGGGCGACTATGGTCTGGAGTTGCTGACGGAGCGAGGCATGACCACAGTCGACGGCGCTGTCTACGGCAGCGAAGTGCAATCCACGCTGGACCTAACGTGGGCATCTACGCCCCTCGCTGACCGCTGTGCCCGCTGCCAAGACCAGCCCCAATGGCTATTCATCGCGGACCATATACCAGTGCTTACGGAGCTAGATCTCTGATGGGAGAAGGCACCCGCGCGGGAGCGTATGAAGTGGAAGGAAGCTGACTGGGAGGCATGGGAGGCTGCATTAGCCGAGGCTATCTCTGAGACGCAGCCCGCCACGCTTGTCACCAGCACCGACGATATCGACAAGGTAACACTCCAACTCATTGACGCCCTCGCGGCAGCGGCATAGGACACCGCCCCGGTTTCCCGCGTCTCCCAATACTCTATCTATGCGTATTCCGAAGAACTCGCAGACCTCAAACGACGCGCATCCCAAGCAAGACGATGGGCAAAGGTGTCCGGTGACGAAGCGGATACTGAACTATTTAATCGGCTGAGACACGAACTAGGCAGGGCGGCAGCCAAAGCGGCCCGTGCTGCTCATCGACACCGGGTCGAGGGGGCAAGCGAGGATATCAACGGGTTCTGGCGTCTCGCGAATTGGGCAAGGAGCCGGGGCACACCCCGTTCCATGCATACGCCGACTCTTCTTGCAGAAGGCCGGGAATGCACTTCGATATAAGATAAAACAGCCGCGCTCAAAGCGGCCCTCTTCCCCCAATCCCAGAGGCAAAGGACACTGATGACATCCGCGTATACGAATACCTACAGCCACTCCAAGCACCAGCGATAACCACCCACGAGGTAGCCAACGCGATCCACAGAGCAGCACCTTTTAACGCCCCGGGACCGGACGGCATCCCGAGTGCCGCGCTCAAACATGCTATCAAGGTTCCTCGAGTACTGACGATCATCACCATCCTATTCAACGAAAGCCTATACCACGGATACTGCCCGCAACACTTCCGTGAGTCTACCACCGCCGTGGTGGATACCCACCGAGATACGCATCGCGCCGGACAAGCAAACTGCCATCAAGGAGCATGATGAGGCCATCAGAGCATTACGCGGGCCGAACAGGGCTATCGCCTATACAGATAGGAGTGGCACCGAGATCGGTGTCGGCGCAGCGGCAACAACGTCGAGGGGTAACTCAGTGGCTGTCATTAGCAATCTACAGACACACACTGTCTACGCAGCAGAGCTTGAAGGCGCCAGGTTGGCACTATAGGTATTCTTATATTACGATAAACAGAACGGGATCAGCACCCACCGCGTGGCCTCGATATTCACTAACAACTAGGCTGTTATCCAGGCCTACTGCCGGCCAGGACGTAGCTCAGGACAGCATATAGTTTACGCTATTGCCGATCTCATCCAGCAGCTTAGGGAAATTGGATACCATATCCGCATCCGATGGGTACCAGGGAACGAGCGGGCTGACAAGCTCGCTAATACTGCGGCAAATTCCACATCAACCGCACGATCAGCGCTACCGGCGGCGACAGTCCTCGTATCAAGCTACCGCACTATCCTCCACGAACACGCCTTCGAACAATGGAAAAGACAGTGGGCCTCGAGCCCGCATGGCTCATATACCCGCGCTTTCTTCCCTAACCCCACCAAGGCCATCTTCGATATACACCAATCATTAAAACGCCCGGCAAGCTCGGCCCTCGTGCAAATGCAGACTGGCAAAATTGGACTACGAGCCTATCTCAATACCATTAAACAATGGCGCGAGGAACAGCTCGGAGCTAAATCCTTAAGGAACCCTAAAAGGTGCAACGCCTGTGACCTTGGGAATCAGGACACGCAACACGTGCTGCTGACCTACCCCCGTTTCGCAGAACTACGGCTTCAAGTCCTCGGCCTATCGAGGGAGATAGATTGGAAAGACTGGCTCACACAGCCAGATGCGGCATCTAAAGCGGCTACATTCATACTAAAAACAACCCTACTTGGCCAGTTCCGAGCATTACCGAACACCTTCCAGGCCACCCGCGCGGGGGCCTGTGATTATGGGCAGTGTCATGCCCTGCTTGCGCTTTCGGGCCAAAATTACTACAGAAGACTAGCGCCTATATCTCCTCGAGGATGTGGGAATGAAAGATGGTCGCGAGAAGCGGCCGACGATCTAAACAAGGAGCGGGAGTGTCTGGGCAATTGATTTTCCTGGAGTGAGCGTCAGTTCCTTCGCAGCTTCGGCACTACCGGATTTCAGCTGCTAGCGTCAGCGGTACGGTGAGTGAGGTGAGTTGCACGAATGGGTCTGAGCCGATAAGTTGTTGCGAAGGAGGGAGCATTGCGGATGCGCTGAAGGGTGGATTGAAGTTGCGGGAGTGGTTGGAAGCGGGAGGAGAGCGCTGGGAATCATTTGTCTTGGCACAATCATGTGATGTAGCTTACCCGGCTGCCCTATAGAGGTCTGCCGCCAAATCGGCCTTACGGCTGACAGATGCGTGAATGAAATTACAATTACAATTACAATTGCCAACTCTGATTCGTCAATGTGGACAACTGCAATCTCTGCCTCAGGCAGTTAACCCTTGTCGGAATGTTGTGCATATAGGTCATCGCACACATGATGTAAGTTCATCGCACACATCACGTGATTCTTTTTTCACTTTGCCTCTCTTTTCCGGAAAAACATAAACCCTTCCACATCTCTTACATTACCATACCTTCACTTCACATCTACTTCCATACTAATTCTACCATCCCCCTCAAATCCAAATTCTACTTTTAAACTACTTTCAATACTTCAAATCACCATGGCAAGCCTCAAAGATCAAGTAAGTGATGATACAAGGATCAGAAGTGATGGAAAAGTGATAAAGAAGCGATACAGAAGTGATAAAACTGACGCCGAATAGGATGCCTACAAATTCTACTTAGGCAAGACCAAGACTGATCTCTCTGGCGTGTCTGGCGATATGACTAAGGATGTAAGTATTAACCCGATCAAAAAACTAGTTCTAAACTAGTTCTAACCTACTTCTAGTCTGATGGGAAATGGATTGTCTTCCCTGGCGAGCTTTAGTGCCGCTTTCCAGGTTGTCTTCATCCTGTAAGTATTAACAAACGATTTTCGAACTAGTTTCTAACTACTTTAGGTTCTCTTTCAAACTACCAACAAGCTCAAGCACCACATCATCAAAAAACATTTCGAAGAGGGAGACTTGATGCTTGGAGGAAAGGGTGGGCGGACCTCTGCTACGGCGGCCATTAAAGCCATCAGTAAGTCTTTCTACTTCTAAACTAGTTCGAAATTAATTTATCAAATCTTAGAAGACTTCTACCAGCCCCTTCAAACTCGTTACGAGGCGGAGCATGCCGATGATATCGTCCACCGTCCTAAGCTTCCCCTTAAGCGTGATAATACAGTGAGTCCTTTGTGAACTAGTATAGAACTAGTTTCTAATATGGATAATAGGTCAATATGACTCAAATGCGCGAACTACTCAAAAACATTGGCAAAACTGGCGCATGTGAATGCTGTAAGGCAGAGAAGGCCGCGAAATGTAAGTTCTTACTCTCTTTCTCTTAAATACTAGTTTCAAACTAATTCTTTAATACTATTTTGCGGTCATGAATCTCGCCGTTCTAAGTGTGATTTCTTTGATTTGTTTTCTGAGACTGAAGAAGAGGGTGAAGATGAGGCTTAAAGAGCAGGAGACTACTACGGCCGAGTAAAAGAACCAGTTTCGAACTAGTTCCGGCAAAGCGAGTATTTAGGTAGTGGATATCAAGGAAAGAACTAGTCTCAAACTAGTTCTACAGTGGTTAATTCGTCCAATTTAGGGTCTAAACGCGATAATTAGATTAAAGCATATAAAAAGTAATTCCAAACTAGTTCCCTCTCTTTATCTGCTCTAATTGCGCCGCAACAAGCTGCCTTTCTAGTTCCATCTTCGCAACCCTCAGTTCTTGTTCTTTAGTCTCAAGCTCTAACTGCCGGCGCTTTATTCGTCTTTCTTCTTGAGCATCTTCTATCTCCTGGCGTTTCTGCTGAATTTCGAGCTCTCGAAGATCGCTTAAATGATCACGATTCTGCGACTTAATCGTTGCTGTACGACGAAGACTAGAGCTTAAAGACACACTATAGAAGTAGTTAGTAATTACTTCTTAAACTAGTTTCAAACTAGTTTAATACATACCGAGACTGGCTACGTGTAACCCCTCTAGAGCTTGATCGCCGTGGTGTGGCTGATCTTGATCTTGACCGTGGTGTAGCTGACCTTGACTGACGTTCAATATCAAATATAAAGCCAGAAGATGACGCCCCGGGGAGGGTTTGATCGTCAATATCAAACCGCATCTGTTCATCTCTATATTGACTGGCTTTCTGTTCAGCTCTCTCTCTTTTTTTAGCCTCGCGCTGAAGATTTCTTCCAACCCGGGCCTCAATATCATCAGCTTGATAGCGGTGATGAATACCGAAAGCATCTCGATTCTCTAATTGATCAAGATCCTGTTGATCGAGGTATAACGACCTATAAATAGTTAGTAACTAGTTATAAATTAGTTCGCACCTGATTCTTACTTTGTCACAGCACCTAACAATGAATCATAAGTTCCTAGTGCATAGGACTTATTATGGCTTTGCTCAACTGTATTCGTATGAGGCCGGAATCTTGAGAAGAATTCGGGGCGAACACCTGAGCATGCTTTACAAAGCCCTGCTGCAATTACTGGGTGTCTCTTATGTCGAACCCAGTATTTAAGGTTTGGATCTTGCTCTAAAACTAGTTAGCATTCAATTAGTAACTAGATTAGAACTAGTTATTTACCTTCAATAAGGTCTAGTAGCCTATAATAATCATCTTCGGTTTGACATGAAAGTAGCCCATTTAGACGCTCGCGACGCTCTATATGGGAGTTATCTGGTCGATTTGGGTAGATCTTTGATACTGTTCGCATAAAATGGATAGCACAAAAGATCATAATCCGTACGAGGTGCCAGGTTGGAGAACGTTGATTCTGCTCGGTATCTTGGTCCTGAAGGAATGCACCTAAGCCTTTATACCGATTAGTAACTAATTAGTAACTAGTTTCTAATTAGTTCACTTACCAAAGATCTGCTTTGGGCCCATATCACCAACAATTGCCTTAATACCTTCCCTATGAAGGTAGTGAAACCTAATAGGTCTCCCTATAGACCTTGACATAAGTTCAAAAACCATCTGGAAGATGAATTTGTATCCCGCGGCGCTCTCTTGGTCAGTAAAGACACGACAGAGCGTTATGACTAACCCAGAAGTAGTAAGTAACTAGTTATTAATTACTTAATAGCATCCTTACTTACTTTTACCATGGTCTGTGAGCATTGTAGCGAATATTACCTCGTTAATGTCTCCTTTCACCCGCTTATAAGACATATCAACCTCGATAGCATCGCGCGTTGCTAGAAATTGAAGCTGCTTAGCGAAAGCGCAGAAGACAAAATTCCCTTCTGAAGTTTCATAGATCTCTTGAACATATTCCTAAAGAAATAATTAGTTCGTAACTAGTTAAGAACTAGTTTTTAACTAGATAGATTACCTTTAGATCAGGTTTGGCCTCTAAATGATGGCGTAGGCCAGCTATACCTTTACCGAGTGGGTAGTTCAGCGCTCGTTGTTTCCAAAGTAATGCCGAAACCTTATCAATCTTAGCAAAGCTAGAATGGATCTGTGATAGCGTTTTGCATTTATATTGCTTGCAGAATTCACGAAGCGCAGGGCTACGTAGGAATGTGCCTATAAGTAGTTAGTAATTAGTTCAAAAGTAGTTTAAAAGTAGCTAAATATATAAACATACTTAGCTTAAGGTCTGGGTCTAGATTTTTGCAAATTAGATCAAGGACCTCGCTAGCGATTATCCATGGAGCTTTTGTAGGCGGCGGTGGTGGATGAGAATGCCTTCCACGAGAGTAGAATATTGCGTATGGGTATCTCTCAGGGAGTAGCGGGATAAAGGTCTGGAATATGACGTTACAAGCGCCATGGCTCTGGATTTTACCCTGACCCTGAGGATGAATAACGCCTAAATCTAGTTAGTAACTAGATCTTAACTAGTTTAGAACTGATTCATACCGCATAATGGCCTCCTTGAGGCCGCCGGTTCAATCACTCCGCAAGTCAGTGGTCTAGGCTGACAGGTAGAGGCTAGAAGCTTCTGTAGAAGTTCTACATCAAGTGATCTCTCTTTTGGGATTAGAGAAGTGTAGAAGTGATCTTGACGGTTTTCTCGTGATGAATTCGCGCAGCTTATATAATAGCTATGCACGCCAGATAGGTTCTAATAACTAGTTAGTAACTAATTATTTACTAGTAGTTATAGGACTTACATCGTGATAGTGCTGGCGAAATATAGGTTCACAACCTTGACGAGAGAATTTACACGCGACACCCCGAAGAAACTTCTTCTTGATAGCGTTATATAGCCTAAATAAAGGTTAGTTTAGTTTAGAACTAATTCGAAATTAGTTTACATACCCAATACTATTACGCTGTAGCTCTCCATTACCCTCTGTAAGCGAGGAATCCGCGATCTCTTGGCGTATGCTTGTAATCAGGGTCCATAGATCTTTATCCGCTTTTGTATGGGCTAGATATGAGAGTCTAGGATCAAGAAACTCGCAGCTCTTTATACCGCTACATTTAAAGCGCTTTCGCTCTGTTTGGCAGCCAAGGTATGCAGAGTGTATGTTCTTTGTGTCCCCAAAGCCACCCATAGCATATTGTGTCTAATAATTTATTAGTAACTGTTTATAACTAGTTATAAGCTAGTTTATAACTTACTGATTTCATAATACGTCGTAGCTCCTCGGGTTTATATTTGTCGATACTCACGATATACGCAAACCCGTCATCATGAGTTTCGGGATACTCTGGGAGCAAAGGTACGTACTCAATCACAGCAGCTGATATAGCGTGAGTTGGGTGAAAGGTTAAGGGAGTCGGAATATTAGGTGCCTTTGAAAATAGTTAATAATTAATTCTAAACTAGTTCGGAATTAAATGTGGTGAATATATATTTACCTCGTCCGGGTCAGGAATTGCGGTTTCAAATTCTTGCCCGCTGTCAAACGGGTCGACATAATCGCCTATATCCTCTGTATCGGGCGTAGAATCAAACTGTAGAAGCTCAGAGAGTGTACGATCCTCATAAGCCCTCCAGGTATAATCTGTAGCGCGTTCCATGGTAGATAGGTTGATAATTAAAAGAGACTGAAAGAAAGAAGTTGGGTGTGTGGATAGATTACCAGGTTACAAGGGTTTACCCTAGAAATTTACGGGGTTGCGATGAGCACGGGCCATGATTATTGGAAATATCACGTGATGTATTCGATGACCTCTCGGTCGGTGTGCGATGACCTGGTTCCTCATGTTTGATATGCAACCAATCAACTATATCAAAAGCTCTGTTTCTGTACTACCCCTGATTCTGGCAATTTATAGGGGGATTCTAGATTACATAAGTAATAAACATGAAGGATAAATGTATCTCTGATCCACCGCGGTATTCGTATTGACAACCCTGAACCTGCTTCGTGACCAAATTACGAGCCTGTGCAACTCCTCAAGAGAACCAACCAATCACGTCGATCTTACTGACTAGCTTTCCTTGGTATAGAGCATGTGCATTCAAAATAACGTATAGATGACGGCATAGAACACCTGAATCTGGTTTGTTACCTCTCCGCCTTGTCTATGAACACAGTATACATGTACAGTGAATGAAAATCACTTTCTGTATCATGCCTGTGTGATCTCAGGAATAAGAACTGACAAATTGAAGAGATCGAGGGTTGCGAGGCCTGGTTAAGTGTCATCATTTTATCGTACCGAGGACCAACGGCTTTGAAAATGAGGTATCAATGAACACTTTATTTCACTGTATTCAACGGAGAGATGAAGTAATTAGTCATTTCATGTCTCATTTCGACCATTCTATAGACTCGTTCTTTTAAGAAGACCAAATACTTGCTCAAAGACTTGCTACATTTTTTGAGTGTCCCTTGATCTTGAAGCTTTTTTGAATCTTACATGCTCTCTGGCAATGACCATGTAGTCCAAATGACAAGAGCAATGATATTGGTAACATGACACTTGGTATGCATCTGCGTCTGCTCACAACACGTGACCAATACTTATCCACGCCATAGAATATTGACAGAGTTACAAGACGCTCAGAATAACGGCATTCGAAATATTGGTCTTTGCCTAGAGGACCCCTGCCGTGCAATCACCAATCAACGAAGAATTGGCGTGGCTGTGTGCAAATGCCAAGAGACAAATCTTTCAGAGCTAGCAATTATCTCCAATCATATATTGCCATAGCCTAGTTGAGCGGTCCGTGTGACCAGCGCGCCGGCCCGAAAAATTCTCGCCCCCTCTCCCGCAAACCCTCTCGCACACCCTCTCTAGTTACTTGGGGTTTGCTTTTCTAGATACATGAAAACGTACCAAATTGGGGCCCTGTTGATTCGGCTGTTGATGCCTTAATAATTAACTAGCGAGGTGTGGGTGTCGAATACTCCATTGACGCTAATAAGATTTCAACTGCGCTTATATCGACAAGATGTAACCCTGCTTTATGGAAAGAGGAGCACAGGGCATTGATAATCTCAATTTCCCTGTGATTTCTTAGTTCTTATTATCGCCTGAATACTTCCTCTTTCCGTCTCCTTTCCCTTTTGTTATTGGTATTGACTCGTTAGTCTTTTATTGAAATGCTGTTCAATCCCATTGCTGCTGCATCGCTGCTAGCTGTGCTCGGCACGCTATTGACGGATGTGTTGGCTCAGGATGCCGAGGGCTGGTACAATGCTCACCCAGCCATGGCGCGTATCAACCGGGTGAACCAAGACACACATCAGATCGTCGATGAATTCGGCCGTACGCGGTTCTTCCACGGAACCAATGTCGTTATGAAGGAGCCGCCGTGGCATCGGCCATTAGAGTGGGTACCTGGTGTCTCGTCGTTTGGCAAGCAAGATGTTCAAAACCTACATGACTTGGGTCTAAACATCGTGCGATTGGGCCACAGCTGGGCCGGTGCCGAGCCTGTGCGTGGGTTGTACAACCAGACATTTCTCGACATCTTAAAGAAGCAGACCAAGATGGCTGAGGACCATGGCCTCTATGTTCTAGTGGATGTGCATCAGGACTGCCTCTCCCGGCAATTTTGTGGTCACGGCGTACCTGACGTAAGTAGATGTCAAAGCATGTTGGCATCAACGATACTGACACTACTTTGTAGTGGTTTGTTCAGGAGGACTGGATACCGAGCAGCAGCATGTATCCATTTCCTCTCAAGCTGGCTCCGTTCCCTGTGGATGAAAATGGCTTCCCATCGCCGCAGTCGCTCTGCGATACTATCGACTGGTCTCTGAGTTACACATCGGTGGCGGTGGGCAATGCGTTTGGGTGGCTATACAACAACTACGACGGGGTGGGCGACGCGTTTGCGATGTACTGGAAAAAGCTGGCATCCTTGTATGCCGGGACGGCCAACGTGGTTGGCTATAATTTGTTGAATGAGCCGTGGGTGGGCGACACGTGGGCTGATCCGACATTGCTAGTACCAGGTGTTGCCGACCACAAAGTTCTAGAAGGGCTCTGGAACCGCGCCACTAAGCAGATCCGTATCATCGACAATGACACACTCATTTGGTTCGAAGGCGCTACCCTAGATATCTTATCGGGTTTCAACAACGTCCCTCTTAGGGACGGCTCAAAGTCAGTGCAGTCATTCCACTACTACAGCCCGCCGCAGCTGGGCTCCATTTCCACCACGCTCAACAACCGCCACAAGGACAACGAGCGTCTTAAGACCGCTGGTGTGCTAACCGAGCTTACGTTCTGGATGGGCGACGAGAAGCAGATGCAGGGCCTAACAGATGCCATGGCGGCGACCGACGCAAATATGGTTTCCTGGATTGGTTGGGCATACGAGAATCTGTACAATGGCACGTCTGGTCATCCTTACCCTGAACTAGCGAAGCACTACAGTCGTGCATATCCCGCCGCCGTCGCTGGCACTCCCACCAGTTTCAGCTTTTCTGAGAGCTCGGCCACTTTCAAGCTGCAGTTCACGTCTGATCCCAGTATTGACGCGCCCACCGAAATCATCCTACCCCCATCCACCTTCCCCAATGGATATACGGTCCAGGTCTCACCCGACGGCAGTGTGCTGCAGTATACGCTCGACAAACGTACCCTGGCCTTGTTCACATCCACCAACGTCAAGAACGCTACCAAAATCTCTGTCACTATTTCTTGTAAATAGCACCTTCCCTATTTTACAGTACCTTCAAGATTACTACGTACCCTGATTATCATTGTGGTTGTTATTATCATCCCATCAAGTTCATTCTCCCCACAGAGCTATCTAGCTATACAGACCATGTTTCTTAGGCTAGACGTCGACATCAACCTGGATCCATCGTCAATTTCTCCGCTCTCCTCATCTTCAACTCTTGGCGAGATTTTTCGGTAAAAGCGGCTTTCGGATCATCACGTTCAAGATCTACAAGCGCCTCCGATACGGGTTGAAATGGCTCGGTCACCAAAACATCTTTGGGGGTCGCCTTCAAGTGCTGATCCTCTTTGGAGCCTACCCGGGTGCATGTGCCTTGCTGCTGGTCTTTTTTTTACGCTGGGTGTTGAAATCGATCAACACAATCACTTCAACTAGTGTTGATGTCTTCTTCTCCTGGCATTGTAACTTGAAGATGGTCATTCCTGGCGATCAAAGCATTCTAGAAATTGGGTAGAACATGATTTGCAATCCATAGCTCTACAGTTGTTCCACAGTGATGCGGACATGCACTCGGGGTCAAATAGCCCGAGCGGGTAGTCTTCACCCGGTCCCGCCATTCGGAACGCCAGGGTCGGCACTGTCAAATTCGCAATTCGCCCCGAGGGTCACTGCAATAATTTCCGGAATATAGACCGAGATCCTCTCGTATACAGATCTCCCGAGCTCATGTGAAAACTAGGCCGTGACGCGTCTGCTCCGATGCTACGGCGATACGTGACTTGGAAACCGAGGGCAAATTACAAGGGTACAGAGACAGAGATACAGAGACAGAGATACAGAGATACGGAGATAAGATATAGAAATTGAAGACGGTACCAAGCCTCAGGTGCATTCAAATTTTGGTATATACAGACAAATTTAATCGTTCATCATTGCTCATAGAAGAATCCATCTACCCGAACAGGGCATCGCCCAGGCGGTAGTGGACGGTCTTGACCTGGGTGTAGTTGTCCAGGGCGTAGGAGCCGAGCTCACGGCCGAGGCCGGACTCCTTGAAGCCGCCGAAGGGAGCCTGGTAAGAGATCATGTTGTAGCTGTTGATCCAGACGGTACCGGCCTTGAGGGCGTTGGAGACACGGATGGCGGTGTTGACGTTCTTGGTGTGGACGGCGGCGGCAAGACCGTAGCTGGTGTTGTTACCGATCTTGATAGCCTCGGCCTCATCCTTGAACTTCTGGACAGCAATGACGGGGCCGAAGATCTCCTCCTGGGCGATCTTCATGTCAGGGGTGACGTCAGTGAAGACAGTGGGCTGAATGAAGTAGCCCTCGGTACCGTGACGCTCACCGCCGACAGCGACGGTGGCACCCTCCTTCTTGCCGTGGTTGATGTACTCCATGATACGGTCGAACTGGAGCTGAGAGACCTGAGGACCCTGGAAGGTGTCAGACTCGAAGGGGTTGCCGAGCTGGTTCTGGGCCGCGCGCTCCTTGAAGCGGGCAATGAACTTGTCGTAGATACCCTCCTGGACCAGCAGGCGGGAACCGGCACAGCAGCACTGGCCGTGGTTGAAGAAGATACCAAAGTTGGACCAGGAGATGGCATTGTCAATATCGGCATCGTCGAAGACGATGTTGGGGGACTTGCCACCCAGCTCGAGGGTAACCTTCTTCAAGTTACTCTTAGCGGCCGCCTGCAGAATCATGCGGCCAACCAGGGTGGAACCAGTGAAGGCAACCTTGTCAATGTCCATGTGGCTGGAGATCGCGGCACCAGCAGTGCGGCCGAAGCCGGAGATGACGTTGATGACACCGGGGGGAAACCAGCCTCGACAATCAGCTTCGAGGCGTACAGACCAGATAGAGGAGTCTGCTCGGCGGTCTTAATAATGACGGTGTTACCAGCGGCAATGGCAGGGCCGATCTTCCAAGCCCACATCAGGATGGGGAAGTTCCAAGGAATGATCTGACCGCAGACACCGACGGGCTCATGGCGGGTATAGGAGAGGGTCTCGGTGTTGGTATCGATAGTCTGACCGGTGATCTTGTCCGCCCAGCCACCATAGTAGCGCAGGCAGCCGGCAGCGTTGGCAATGTCCACCTTGGCCATGGTCACAGCCTTGCCGTTATCGAGGGCCTCGATACTGGCCAGGGTCTCCATATCACGCTCGAACAGGTCAGCCAGCTTGGTGAGCATACGGCCACGGTCCGAAGGGGTCACAGTGTGCCAGGCACCTTCGAAGGCAGTGCGAGCAGCCTTGACGGCAATGTCGACATCCTTCTCGGTGGCCTCGTGGACCGAGGTAATAACCTTCTCGTCGGTGGGGTTCGTGGTCTCGAAGGTCTTGCCGTCGACACCGGCGATGAACTCGTTGTTAATGAACCTGATCAGGGAAGGGTTAGAGCAAATCAAAGGCATTGTAGCTTCTAGCTACTAGCTGGACCAAAGGTACTTACAAGCCGAGAGGCTGCTCGTAAGTCACGTTAGGAGTTTTGATGGTGGTAGAAAGCGCCATGATTGATTTGGATATCACAGATGAGGAGGAGGCAACAGCAAAGGGGCAGGGAGAGCTCTTTATACGGAACCAAATGAATCTGCAAGTTGCGGGGTTCTCCAGCGCCACGGTATTTCCTAGCATTACTCAAGTTACCCAGTGGCGCGGGGCGAACAAGGTACATGATGATACATGTGGGTCCGCACAATGTGCCAGTCGGAGTAAGTCCCTTCGCGTACCGCTGGCCGAGCTCACCCCCTCCTTTTCTTGCGCGGGGACATTTCCTCCCCAATTCCGGTATCCTATGAGCCGAGGAAGTTTCTACCTTAATCCGCATCAGCTAATCCGCATTGCTGATACATCTACCGGCCAATCATACTTTTATCATCCCTTTCGAGCATTTATGATTCGAGAGCATATGCCACATACCGGGCCAAAGGGAGGGGCGAGTGGAACCTAAACGATCATCCTGATGTATGCGCGGAGCAACATCTGCCCGGCTACCCTCGGTGGGGTTCTTTCGGGGTCTTTTCCACGTTTAGACTTGGAGAGCAAGAGAGCGAGCCAGAGCCAAGGACCTATTAGAACATTCACGTTGGATGAGTGGACAGCTAGACTGGATGGACTGGGACTACAGTACAGTAGATCGGCCGAGAGATCTCTGCTTTGCTTCCTTATCCGGCAATTCATTACACCGAGCTTGCTTCGCTCTAGCTCGTTGTGGTAGCAGGTGTCCACCTGGTCACCCCCGACGTATGTGATGTAGAGACGTTGTGGCCAATTTACAGTTTGCCCCGGTTCAGAAAGCGCAGGGGGAGATCGACGTGCCGCGCCCGCACAAATTCCGCGACATTCTTCCCCAGCACGTCCACGGTGCTGGTCACTCCGACCCCTCGATCCAATAAGTTACGGAATAAAAAGTGTACCGCATGGAGACCGGGCAGTTCGAAACGCTCGATCGCTAGCTGCGACTGAGTGCGGCCCGTGTCACCCAGCAATTCCCGCGCCGTGCTCACCGACAACAGTGTGCGGAGCCACAGGTACTCGTCGCTGTAGCGGACCCAGAAGCCGCAGTTGGAGTCGGCCCCCTTGTCTCCCGACCGTGCATGCACGATCCATCCCAGCGGTCCACGAATGGTTGGTCCAAAATCGCTGGCCAAGTCGACTGCTTTTTCGGTATGCGTGACCGCCTGTGAAGGTTGTCGCGAGGGGTACGTCTTGGTGAGTGGTGGAGGGGCAATATCGAGAATCTGAGTACGCGCCGTGGGCTTCCAGGGAAGATGTACGCGATGCTGCACATCCTGCTGCGGTAAAAGCGTCACATAGTACTCGAAGAGGGGGCGAGGGAAGCCTTGGCGCATATCCAGGTGAAAGGTGGCGCCGGGATACCCAGCCATGATGTTGTCCGTGATGGGTTTCAAGAACCGCGTTGGGGATAGATCCTCCGCTCGTGGGGCCTGCACCACGATTCGCAGGGGCACCGTGGCACGGTTTTGATCGCGTGTATCAGGCTGACTGGAACCCAGGAGATCGAACTTGAGGCTGGTGAACCGGTTCGAGTACGGGCTCAGCAGCCGGCGAATCTGCATCTCCAGCATCCGCGCTTTGTCTTCGATATCCAGTCCAGTGAGAAACCACCAAGCCTCCGCCTGGAAGCCACCGCGAGCAGTGATACCGACCTTGGTGGTGGGCGGAGGGGGTCCAGACCGAACCCCGTGGACGGCCACTCGGTTGGCACCTCGCTGCTCGAAATGGATGCCATCCAGTACAGCTGTGACGTCCGAGTTGTAGTACCAAGGTCCCTGGATTTCGTACAGCAACTGTGACTTGCAGGTATCAACCGTCACCGCACCACCACTTGCGTGCTTTTGCATTGTGATGATTACATCGCCTTCCTTGGAGATCTCAGCAATTGGATATCCAATATTGCCCCAGCCCTGTTCCAGGGCTTTGAAACCTGTGAAATTCCCACCACAGACATAGTTACTGCACTCGATGAGATGGCCGGCGACGAAGGCGTTGGCGAGCTTGTCCAGCTCATCACGCTGCCAGCTGTGGTACCAGCAGGCCGCGCCAATTATGGGGGATGCATCGGATACTCGTCCGCAAAGCACGAGATCTGCTCCCTCGGCGAGTGCAGCGGCAATTCCTAGACCTCCAAGATAGCATTGTGCGTAGATAGGCTCGAAGGACCAGTCTGCCAGACGCTCCCCGGTGTAGATGTTGTGAAATTCCGATCCCCCCGCCGCCAAGGACTTCTGCACGGCAGGAAGTACCTCGTCTCCCGAGACCCATGCGACCTATCGTAGCATAAGATTAGGCGCACCGAGAGATCATCAGAAAGTGGAAGTCAACCGACCTTCAAATCCAATCCCTTCTCCTGGACCATCTTTACGACCACCTCGTAGAGTCCCTTAGTATCCGTGACGCCTGCATTTACCGCTACTTTGATCCCATACTTGGCCAGGTCTTCTAGTGCCGGATCCAATGCCTCCAAGAATGAAAGATCGTATGCTGGTGCCGCTGCATCAGAGGATGCTGCCTGGTCCGCTCGTCGACCCGCGGCAGTGGCCATGTTGAACTCGCTCATGAAATCGGCGATGATGACATCCACCGGGTCCGTTGGATAATGGCGTGCAAATTCCGCAATTGCATGTCGACGGTCTGAGGCAGAGCCCGAGGCGCCTGAATGGGTTAGCGACGACTTTTGGACCCCAGTTGAAGCCACCTACCTGCGATTCTAATGGGACGACCTGAAAAAGCCATAGTGTTGCTCTTATCCTGGCAGTTGAACCATGTGGAAGGCAATGCCCCCAAAGCTGAAAGAGATGCCGGATGCTGTGGCATCCAAAGTTAACACCGAGGCAGCTCGGCTGAAAATGCGGAGAATGCGGGGGTTGGACGATCGGATAACGTATTTTATGCTACATCAAATCAAGAAAATGATCCTACTCAGAGCCTGTACATTTCATCCAACCCTGATCCTTAGTTCTAGGGGTTTGATGTCTCTTCCAATTTGAGGTGCGCGGTGTTCACGAGCATTACCTCAATAGTCTACAAGTGGGGCGTAAGTCCCACAAATATATATCTATGTACAGTAGGGACTCTGGGAGATCATCACTGGACCAATAGGTGCGCATGAATATTTCGGTGTATAATAGTTTATGCATTCGTTAGGGATCATATCGAAATATATCAACGCTAGATTGTAATAATAGAAATGCATGGTGCCAATTATCGCCGCCGCCTTGAGCTCGAGCTCGGCATGGGTTCGAAGGCATCATCGTCATCGTCATTATCATCGCTAATGACACTGACGTTACGAGTGGAGCGAGTTGGCCGTGACGACTGAGGAGCACTGGTCTGCGAATTGAAGTTCAGAGTTGATTGAGTCGGCTTAGCAGATCGCGCAGCCGCTCGACGAGGCGCGGTTCCACCCATTGTGGCCGATGACGGTGCTGGAGAAGCGGCCTTACGGCCGCCTCGACGTCCAGTAGCAGGAGTGATGGATGTAGTTTTGGCGCCCCGCCTCGAGGCAGCCGTTGCACGGGGTTGCTTAACAAATAACGCCTGGGAGTCGTCCTCGTCCTCGTCGGAAATGACGTGGGCTGCAGCAGCATCGTCTGCAGCATCATCGAGCATGATCACGTCGTTATCAGAAGCCGATTCATCAGAGACGACTTGTTTCTTGCGTCCTTTGGCATTGCTACCCTTGGTTGCTGTGGTCCGGGAATTGGCTGCCGCTCCTCGAGCAGTTCCTCGGCCTCTGCCGCGGCCACGCGTGGTGGTGGTTGTCACACGGCTGCGGGCTGGAGCACTGCCATCCTCACCAGCCTCTTCTTCAGCTGGATCCACACCCTCGTTATCGGAATGAATAAGAGCGCCCGGCTGATCTTCCCACGAACCGTCAAACTCGGAGTCCCAGTTGACCGGCTTGGGCTTGAACCGTTTCTTTCCACCAGTGGTACGTTTTTTGGTCCCCTTGGAGAACATCGTTTCCATCTGAGTGCGATACTTCTCCATGGCCATCATTAAGGAGCTTTGGGCTCTCTCCTCATCATCCATGTCATCTGCATCACGGTCCAAAGACATCAAATGCTTCACCTGTCCCTCCAGGGATTCATTGACAAACATTTCCATGGCATGTTTGTCGTCTTTATCGATAAACTGAGCTACCGCATCCCCAAATGAATTTTGAGGAAGGATACTCAGTGATTGTGAAGAGAGGAATTCCTTCACCAACTGTTCTACCTTCACTGTATCCAGTGCTGAGAGGTTGGAGGTAGCTGCCTCATTAATATGAGCATCCGTCTTTCTCGATGTTGCGGCCTTTTTCTTTCGATGGAACTGCACCACGTCATTCACGTTCGCGACTTTGCCCACAAAACGATTCGAAAACCGCTGCGGGTTCTCGCAATCATAAACCCCACCCTCTGGCGTGGATGTCTCGACACGAAGGCGCACAAGTGGCAAGGGAATCTCTTGCGACTCTTCCTCCCCATCATCAGGTTCACCATGCATCTCCCGCCAATGGGCATTGGCCTCTTCAATCAGCTCCTCAACAATGGACATGAGGAATCGGGTCACCTCGGTACGATTGTTGTCTTTCCGGGCAAGCTTCTGAGCTCCTTTTTCCTCGGACAACACAATTTCTCGCATCACAAAAGGTCGGACGGTTTTCAAGCGAATAGGTTCGGACTTAAACTCGCGACCTGTGATGCTGACAATCGAGACCTGTTTCGCCACTGCCTCTCCCGGGACCAGCGATGTTGCAACTGATGAACCTGGCTGCATGACGTGGAATTTTGTCTCTGGGTTGAGATGGGGATCAATTAAACACTCGTGCTCGTGCCCCCAAATGACCAGGTCCATAAAGCCGGGCAGGAAATTCTCGGGCAAGTAGCCTGTTTCCGTGTAAGCATGATGGTTTTGATGCACCGACATCAAATTGAACCAGTCATCCTTCTGGACAGAGGGTTGGAAGAATTTGACTTTGCCATCGCGGAAAGTGCGGAACAGTCGCTCGTCTCTGACGTTGCTCATACCATACAAGGCGAGCTTTGTTCGTCCTTTTTGAAGCAAAACTGGCTTGATTTCAATTTTATCCGACTCAGGAGTTCGCCCGTAGTAATTGAGAAGACCTGACACTTGGAGCAGATCCAGAGCGGCCAGGTGACCCTCCCCAGAGGGATCGTCGTGATTCCCGTGAATGGAGAAGATCGGAATAGCAATGTTCATATCCATGTCCTCGTAGTTGACATGATTGAACGCGCCCTGGAAGCTCTCGCTGGCATCACTGAGCATCTCCAGCTCGCAAGGCTTGTCGCCAAAGCAGTTCATGCGGATGGAGCGCATGACTTGGTACATAGATTTGCGCGAGGGCTTGTTCTCATGGAATAGATCTCCCGCTAGCAAAACCATGTCGACATCGCGTTCTCTGGCCAGACACATGATCTCATGGAAGCTCTTCCAGCTGTCGTCCCCACGGATGGGGTCTCGCTCGTTGTATCCCACATGGTTGTCCGTTGCCACAAGAATCCGGATGGTCTCCGCATCTAGCAAAGTGGTCAGAGAGGTGGAAGAAAATAATAGGGTTACAAAGTACTCACCATTGATGCCCGGCATGTCGCTTCACGGACCGCGAATATACGCGCGCCAACTGCCGTATTCCAGGAGCCACCTGGTATTCTAGATGTACGTAATAACAGTATATGCTCGGTCGGACACGAGGATCGGTCATCGAATCACCAGCAGACCGTCATTCACGACAAGGGACGTTGCAAGTTGACTAAGTTGCGCTGCGTGTGTTGCCTCGCGCTGTCACGTGCTATGCGACGCGTTAAGAGCGGCCAAGCAGCAAAATCAGCTCTTCCTTTTCGAAGACAGATTCAATTAATTCAAATTGATAGACAGCATCTTTCGAGACGAGAGAATTTCAATATAGCGTATCAGCATGTCAGGATCCGCGCGGGTCCAGTTGGTCAATGAATCTTCATGAGTCACCGTATTTGCGTGTTGGCCGCTGCACGTTGCCTCTCCACTCTTCCGCCTTCGTATCTTCTCTTCTGCAACGCCTCGTTTTCGCACGCTTCCAACCCCTCTACAACTCACTGCACTATCTCGACTGGTCCAGGTCTAGTCACTGGCTCAGTCGCTTTTACTCTCGGTTCTTTTTCAAGTTCTTTTTATGCAATCAGACCCGACTGTCGTATCTCAACATACTTCACCTCACTTATCACAAGCCAATCCTAGCCCTACCCAGCATGGAAATGACATCGATGGTCGCTCAGTCTCTGGCCCTCTCCACCATGAGGTGTCCGGAGACTCTTCAGGCTTGGATCTGCCGTCGCCAAGCGCGGACCACCCACCCCTGAGCGACGCTGAGGAAGCCCCGCTATCTTCGTCAGTCAACCGTGTGAGCCAGTACGAGAATGCTGGAACACCTGGTAGAAAAGGCGCCGATCTAGCTTTTCGAGTCATCGCTTCAACAGGCCAGTTCAACGTGCCTCTGGAGTCTCTACCGAACGGTATGAAACCATCCGAACTGCCCCGCCCCCGCAGAAGAGCCACTGCTAACATTTGTGCCCAGAGGTTCTCACGCACATCTTGTCGCACCTACCTCCGCAGTCTCTCTCGGCCATCACCTTGGTATCTCGTCGATTTCACGCCCTGGTCACCACTCCCCATGCATGGAGAATTGCCTTCTCCCGGTTCTTCCCGGGTCCCCAGGCTACAGAGAATGGACATCGTCCTGCAGCAGATGAGGTGGACTTGATGTCGGATCGGCGATTTTTTGCGCGGCTGACAGCGCTGGCATCATGGCGCAGTGAGTATATCCTGCGAACCCGTCTAATGCGGTCGCTGTCTCGAGGCAAGCCAGCACAGTTTCAGCCATCTAAAAAGCATGGGACTGTGCGCTCGGCAAACGCTCGCAACGGAAGTGCAGTTGCAACATACACCTCGCAGTTGATGTTTCCTGTGAGTAAGATGCACGGGGCCTTCAACGGTTCCAATAAGGACCCAACATTCATCCACGGCGCCTCGGAGCAGGGCATCGCTTCTGCTAGCGATCCGTCGGCAGTGAAAGTGAGCACCTGGGGGCTATCTGATCTCCAGATGTTCCGGCATTTTGCGGACGTATTCCCGGGCGATGCACCGTATGGCCTTGGGTCTGGCGACATGGTTGGTGTACCTAACTCAATGGATGTGAGCCAGCCGTACGGCATGGTATATGGAGAGGGGTGCCCTGGTGGTCGAAGCTACTTTATCTCGACGACGGAGCAACGTGGACGCTACCTGGGTCCTTCGGACTTGGGATCTCATCCTCACTTGGGTATTCCTGCGGTAAAGATGGCTACGCACTCAGTATGCTCCGTCTGGATAGCTAAGTCATCTTCTATCCTGAAGACAACCGGCGGCTTGATTGCTATGATGTCTGGTTCGTCATCTGGTGTTATTTCGGCGTATGCGCTGGGTCCCCATCCAACATATGAGCGACGATACGAACGAGGACAGGTCACCGCAAAATGGGTTCTCTGTCCTGGTGTTCCTATTATTGGAATTGCTGTGGACGACAATTATTCACCCAAGCGTCATTCTCAACGACGAGCTTGGGCTGTTGCCCTCAATGCCCTCGGTGAAGTTTTCTATCTCACGGATCTCCCGAGCCAACCCGAGGTTCCCTTGACGGTGAAGCTGAGTCCCGAGCAGATGGATGAACTTGCTTGGAAGACTGGAAGAACTGCACGGTGGGAGATCATTGAATTGAGTCGACGTGCAGCACGCCCAGATCCCTTCAGCCGAGATCCGGTCGATGGCAGTTACAGCCCACGATCCTCCTCTGACTCGATGAAACTTAAGGCAGAGCAAATTGCGGCGGAGACGAAGGAAATTGAGAAGTTTTTTTCGTACAAACCGAAGCACTTCCGCAAGGTCTGCGAAGGCTGGAACATGCGATGTGATCTCCACGTTGATTTCGCAGGTGATGATGCGCATGGTTCTGGTGAATCAGTCCTTGTCATTGCCCGCGGAGGAGGCGAGCCCGAGAAAGCATCGATCCGACGATTTGTTCGCTCTGCGGCCAAGTCCGACTTGAACTCAATACCGTCGCTTTCCCACTTACAAGCCGAACAACTCCCTACCTCACTTTTTGGAGGACCTACCTATTTGCCGAGCCTAGCTGCCAATGATACTCCGCCGTCGCGTTCGTCAGCTCGGTCAAGTGAGTCCATCTCTGACGTGAACACCTTGTGGCGGATCTCCGATTTCACGTTTGGGGATGTCAAGTCCGCGGAAGTCACGACCAGTGCACTGGACAATTCTTCATTTGCTATCCTCACGGCGGCGGAGGATCCTCTTTTAGGGATGTCTGGAAGTTCCTTGTCATCTTCTACTGCCTCCTCGCCAATGCTCCCGCACATGGACAAGCCTCGATCGGATCTTGAAGTTCCCGGGCAACGAGCTCGATACCTTGCAGTAGGAACAAACGCCGGCACAGTCTTTGTCTGGGACATTCGAGCACTTGCCGCCAAGAATGTGGATGTGATCAATTCCATTCCTCCGCTGCATATCATCCAAACCGAATCGCCCCAGGTTTCCTCTGTGGCATTGACATCGTTGTACCTGGTGCATGGTGGTAATGATGGCTTGGTGCAAGCCTGGGATCCATTGGCGTCCTCAACCCGCCCCATCAGGACTATCAATTCTCGATTCTCGTCTCGTGCTCGTCGCCGACTCGTACAGGCAGAAGCATCCATGCTTGGGGTTGGAAATAACTTTTTCGCCACTGGAGCTATCTGCCTGGACCCAGATCCAACAAATCTTCGTGGAATGGTTTCTCTTGGCACGCATCTGCGTTATTGGTCGTACAGCTCATCTGCTGCCGAACAATACAAGAGTAGCAAGCGACGCCTTCGCCGCTCAATGCGCGGTGATAACGGGGCCGGTGATGGACAGCGTTTCAACAACAGTGGACGAGGCGCTATCAATGACTTCATTCAGGATGAACGCGTCGAAATCGAACGACAAAGGATTGCGGACGAGAAGGAGAGATTCCACTTGAGCCAAAGGTTCGGCATAGATCTCCTTGGTCCAGATATCGATGAGGAGCAGCTGCTCCAGTATGCCCAACTCTTGAGTCAGGAAGCATATGCTGGGGACGCGATCAAGCAGGGTGACTTGACAGTGGCCGCAAGCTCCGTTGCCAGCTCTTTCCCGGACACTACTGGCCCGAGTTCATTCGGGGCGGCGGAAGTGTCATCCTCGTCCTCTCCCTACCACGGTGCTGCAGATCACCAAGTGGATGATGATCTTGCTGAAGCCATTCGCCTAAGTCTTCTCGACGAGGGGTCTGCCTCTCCACCGGTCGACCTCACGCCGTCCATCCCGATCAAGTATGCCAAGGGGATGCGACGACGTACCCCATCCTCTCCAGGGAAGGGCAATGCCGAGGGTAGCCAGCAGAAGGAAATGACCGATTTGGATTTTGCCATTCAGCTCAGCTTGGCCGAAGATCAAAGCCGGGCGACTGACGAAGAATGGGAAGAATTTCCGGCTCTTGAATCGGGGGCATTCTCCTCTTCTCAGTCCTCCAGCAAGGGCAAAGGAAAGGCTCGGGCGTTGTAGTCATTTGTTGCGCGTGACCTTGTAGTTTTGCGATTTAAAGCTCGTTTTTTTTTCATGCGATCTTTATTCGGTCAAATTCGCGATATCAGTCCTGTTTACTTTTAGATCTCAATTGCATATTTCCAATCTGAATACATTGCGAGGTTTTCTCCTGTCTCACACAAGCGCATTTACCGAGTTGAAGTAGACTTAATTGTCTATAGACTACCGTTCCGACTACAATGTACCCCAATTTTCAAGTTATTCGGTCTTTGGAAGAGACATTGACTTCGGGCATACTTGAAATAAAGCATGAGATCTATTGGTCTAGCAAATTGGGAGAACGAAACAATGTGCAAGGGAATCTAGTAAATCACAAAAAAAACTACCAACAATAAAAATATTAAAAAGGTGCAGAGATTCGAAGAGTCTCGTATATCCAGTCATATACTTCCGCTCTATCTATCGAATCATCTGTCACTTTACAGAAGAGAAGCAATCAACATGAAGAGACCACCAAGGCCACCCATGGCGACAGAGGGACCGTTCAGTGAGGCAGCATTCTTGGATGTGGAGGTGCCGGTAGAGGAAGAAGAGGTCGAGGTACTGCTGCCGCTGCTGCTGCTGCTGCTACTGTTGCTGCTTTCGCCGGAGGGAGAGTTGACCTGGTCACCGGAGAGAACCTTGAACTCGACACCGGTGATCTTCTTGCCGGTGTAGTCGTAGACGGTCTGGGAGATGGCACCGCCGCTTACGGTGACAGCAGTCCCGGTGGGAGCATTTGGCAGACCGCTCTGAATGTAGTCGGTGACGTTGGAGGGGGTGGCAGGCAGATCCCAGGAGTTCAGGAACTTGCCGGAGGTGATGATGGAGGGGCTGCAGGTCTCGGCCTTGACGGAAGTCTGGGAGGTGTTGCTCTTCTCGATACGGGCCATGTCAATCTTGTTGAACTGAGCCTGCAGGTTGTCGTAGTCGACGAGGGTGGTGACGACGTCGGTGCTGTTGACCTTCACCAGACCGTAGTTGTTGCTCTCCTGGGTCCACTCGTAGACGAGACCACCGGAGAAAGCCTGGGTCATCTCTTCCCCGTACAGAGCCTGGACCTCGGTGAAGACACGGGGGGTCACCGCGTTGCAGCCGTACTCGGAAAAGAAAACGGGGACGGTCGCGTTAGCGAAGTCCTCGGTCAGGACGTCGTAACCACTGGACTTGTAGGAAGCATCACCACACCAGGAGTAAGAGTTCAGACCGAAGAAGTCAATGCGAGAGTTGGTGGAGTTGCTCATCTCACACTCAAAGTAGTGAGCGGTGTCGGTGAGGATGTTACGGACATCAGCGGCGGAGTAACCAACGGGAATGGTACGGGGCGCGTTCTTGGCGATGTAGTCCTTCATGTCACGGACAACAGCGCGAACATAGGCAGGGGCGAGCCAGGTAGCATCCTCGTTGATAACCTCGTTACCGGCAAAGAAGCCCAACACGTTCTCGAAGTTTTTGAAGGCCTCGATAACACCGAAGACCTGCTCAAAGTAGGCAGAGTCATAGGTGGTCCAGGGCTCAACGCGGTTCAGGGAGCCGTTGGGCAAGGGGGAGTTGACATCCAAAATCAAGTAGATTCCGGCTTCGCCAAAGATGGAAACACACTTGTCGTGGTTCAGGGTCGGCTGGATGTTATAGATGCGGATGGTGTTGATACCTAGACGCTGCATCAAAGCCGCGTCACGCATACAGGCATCGCTGTCAGTCAATGGGTCGCTCTTCGTGTTGACGGCGTCGGTGCCTCCGGGCTGGTAACTGTGATATCACACACGTCAGACGTCAGAGCGCATTGCGGGGGGAAGCAAGGAGGGCGGAATTGCGGATCGCGGAAGAGACGGAAGAGAGGGAATGCGGGATATCTCACTCAACACCGATGATCTGGAAACGCTCCTTGGTATCGGAGTTGACAAAGTCCTTGCCATCGACCTCGAGAGCTTTCAGGGCAAATGCGGAGCCAGCCAGGGCACAGGCGGCCGTGAAGAAACGACCGGCGGACTATGGATCGCGTTAGTATACTGATTTGTCCCAAATTGGAACGATTGAAACCATAGGATTCATAGGACCACAGGCGTTCTGCGCGTCACTTTGCGCGAGGGGCAGCACGTACCACAACCATTCTGAAACTTGGAATAAGACGATCAGACGGTCAGACGGAGAGAGATAAGACAAACGAAGCGATTGACGAGTGTGGGATTAAGCGAGTGACAGCGCAAAGCGCGAAAACAACGAGTGACTGGAAGAAGACGATTAAAAAGGACCCGTTAGATGGAAGAGACTGCTTCAAAAAAGGAGCAGAGGGAAAAGGGATCGGCGGGGGAAACAAGAGATGAAGGTGGAGTGGATTAGGGTCAAAGGGTCCAACCACGGCGGCCAGAAGGGACCAAGTGCCCTTAGGGCTCTTGCTCCGTCTCCAATCTGATACATGGTGGGTACCCGAGTTATGCTCTGACTTCATACGGCGTGCCAGGTACCCCTTGTGTACCTTGTTTCATCTCGTCTATGATCTACTCTACTCGACGCTACGCTACTCTACTCTACCATTTTCTTTTTGTGAAGGCCCTTTGCCTGGAATTCTTTCATTCACTCTAAAATACAGCCTGTATATCACCTTCCCTCCCATGTAAGATGCAGACAAAAACTGGAACGAAAAAAAAAGATTCAATCATTGGCGCCGAGAAATACCAAGGCCCCTGATGCCACCGGCTCGGGCCAAGACCCAATACATATACAAGAGTACACACGAAAGAAAGGGAATAGTGGAGATCGGAGACAGGGCGTTTGGATCGGGGATAGGAAAAAAAAAGGATGAGGAGGATGGTGAGAGAGGAATATTACAGCCGAGGCGAGCCAAGGGTTTTTCCAAGACAAAGTCGGGTCCAGGCGCGTTTGGATTGGACCGGACCGTCTTGGGATTGGGATAATTTTGAGCGTTTACTCGACGCCGTGGTTATCGGCACTGCTCTCGCCGGTGAACGAGCCATCGAGCTTGAGACCAGCGTCCATAGCCACCATCTCCGCCAAGATCTCCAGGACCTCCTTGGGCACGGTCTTATCGTATATGGAGATCAGGTCCTTGGGCTGGGGGTAGACCTTGAGAGCCTTGTAGAAAGCGAGAGCCGCCTCAATCTGGTCGGTGCCTATAGTTGTGCACATTGAATTAGCATCCAATAGGGAGACTGGGGATTGACTTCATCCCCAGGTTCGGGGCGCTGATGACGTACCCTCGGCGCAGAGGCCTTCACCCTTGGCGACCTGGCTCATGAAGTAGGACTCCTTCTCCTCGAGGTCGGCGGGGAATCCATCCTGTTTGGCGCGCTGAACGGCAGCCTTGATGGCCTCGCGCTGCTCAGCACCCTGGGCTTCCTCCTGTTCCTTGACGACCTTGGCGAGACGGCGGTTGTTGCGCTTCAGGGACTTGCGGAAGTCGGGATCGGTCTGACGCTTGTGATCGAAGTACATGGCATAGGCTATCGTTCCACCAAAGAATCGGCCATTAGTAAGGTGCTGGGGATTCGTGGTCTCGAGTCCGAGGAGCTCTTACCGAGCAGTCCGGTCACGATCGTGCCGGCTGACGCAGCCACCAAAAGAGACGTCCGCATGATGAAAGGAAGGGGATGTGGATTGACGGGTGTGAAACGACAAGGAGAAGGGCGAGAGCGAGGAATGGATGGGATGGAGATGGGAGTGACCGATGATGCGCTTGTTTGGACGATAAATTTGATGGGGATTTACGTTCTTCCGTCGGCCTTTCTCTCCCGCTCTGGCGACGCGACGTCAGTGTAGTTTTGGTTAACACAGCTAAGTCTTGATGCTGATGATGATAGTCAATTGATAAAAGAAGAGACTTAAAGTTGCAGAAGCCAGCGGGAACTGTGAAATTCTACCACAAAATTGGTAATTGTAGGTAAAGTACAGTAGGTTGAATGGCATTTAACCAAACGGAACTTACACTGATCTATGAGGACCAGGATCCGCCATTCTTTATCGACAAAGGAATTATAGTAGGTATCACGCGCCAATTCGTGAGAGATATTGGCCAATGGGTTCAGTGCGTGAAAAGTGTCTCGCCGATCGACCAAGCTGCGGCCTGCGTAGCTTGAACGTGTAAGAGGCGTAAGAAGGCGTTACTGTAGTATATAAATTAGATTGACTCTTTAATCACTTCTACTTGATGTAACTCTTTCAGTAGATAATGAAGCCTCAAAAGTTAGAGCTTGCAGATAATCGAGCAATTTTGATAACTGTTTGTATACATATATTGTGCCACCGTAGGACCCAACGCCATAACGCTTCAAACCCTATCGACTAGTCGTCGTGAGTCCCAATAACCACGTCAGCATGTCGGAAATGGCCTAAGGCATTCTGTCTTCGAGATCCAACAACCTCAATACACCACTCAAGGAAAGTTTGAAACCCCTGTTCTGGGTCTTCTTCATACCGCATCCAGTTCCGTCTAATGAAGGCTTTCAATTCTGAGAAGAACTCCTCAATAGGATTCAAGTCGGGTGAGTAAGGTGGCAGATACACTAGCTTTACTCCTGCTTCAGGACATATTTCCTCGATACAATCAGAACGATGGAAAGAGGCGTTGTCCATAACCAGAACAGACTTCGGCTCAGGTCATCTTCCACAATACCGAAGAAGCTGATCAATGAAGTCCTCGAAGATAGCAGCATCCATGGAGCCCTGAAAGATACGAGAGAGCACAATTCTACCTTGGCAATATGCGGGCAGTATTTGGTACCGCTGGTCGCGGTGTAAGTTGGCTACCTGCAATGGCGCCGTGCCGGACGGAGACCAGCCTGTCCGTCTGAATCCAATCCGTTTACTACATCCAGACTCATCCACATAAACCAAGTGATACGACTGAAAATCCGACAGTTAATGTATGTAGAAATCTCGCAAATCCGCATTCTGTTCCTTTGCTCTCTGTCGAGCCACCTTGTTCGACCAACCCACTGAAGCAAGAGCCCGTTTGAGGCCCGAATCTGTAACCTGGACACGGAACTCGTCCCATAAAAAGTTTACCATTTCATCTACGCATAATCTGGGTTTTTCGAGAAGGCGATCACAGAGTGCTTCTATCACCGGAGGAGTTATACTTCGTTGCCGACCGACTCGAGTTGAGGGTGCTCTGACATTTCCTGACCGGCGGAGGTTGTTGCTGATGTTGATTATGGAACGTTTACTACACTCGGCAGCTCTAGCCATTTGCGAGGCAGTCAGTGATTTAATCAATATCATGTGTTGGATCATTTTGAGCATTGAGAGAGGGAGTCTTGGCGCCGTATTGCGAAGAGAAGTCTGGACGTTGATTGAAGAGAGGTTTGGCAGGACAGTGGCCGACAGCCAGAGGGAAATGGAGCGACTCCATTTGCTCACCCTTGCTCACCCCTCTGCTCAGTGAGTAGGTTAAATGACTTTGGCTAGAAAGTCTGGGGAATGCTAGGTGTTAGGAAATGCACGTGACTTGACGATCTCGAAGTTCCTGGGAGCTTGGGGGCCATCTCAAAGCTGCGGACCTCAACGAGGTGATCGGGGGAAAGTGGATGGGACAATGCCGGTTATCGCGTATCATGTGCTGCACTTGATCTGGGTGTTCCGGCTCGGGCCCATTGAGTTCCTGGGAACGGCCGAGCAGCTCGTGGTGCAGGCGATGGAGGCTCGCAACACAAAGCTCGGCGAGGACCATCCCGACATGCTGATCAGTATGAATAATTTGGCGTCGACGTATATGAAGCAGGGCCGATGGGAGGAGGCTGAGCAACTCGAGGTGCAGGTGATGGAGACTCGCAAGACGAAGCTCGGCGAGGATCATCCCGACACGCTGACGAGTATGGCTAATCTCGCCTTTACCTGGAAATCTTCGGGTCATGATGCTAAGGCTGTCAATTGACTTAGGGACTGCCTAGTCAAACGGCAATAAACATTAGGGCAAACTTATCCGGTTACTTTTTCTACTTCTGAAGCATTGCTGTAATGGGAAAAGAGAAGCTGAAAAAGAATGGCTAGATAAACTAATTCATATACTTGAATTTAATAATATGTATATAGTTATTACTGCCCTCTGATTTAACTCCCTATAACTATTCTTCCATCATGGCTTAGCCTAATACACACTATGCGAAAAGAATAGACTTTACCACCTGATCCGACTTTGCTACCAAGAGTGGGGACGGTGATAATAGAAAGACCATAAAAATGAGGGGCAATAAGGCGGTAATATTGATTATCGAGCGTTTCGGTAGTAATTTATAGGACCTAGTCTCATAGCATCTGGATCTTTCGATATAAAACGACCTTTGAAATAAAGCTAAGTCAATTATAGATTTGTGTGTTTCACAGTAGGGTTCGAGAAAGATTCTATGAAGCAAAGCGGTGAAACTGATTTCGATCACTCCTGTACACTAATAATGATAGACCAAGTAAATCTCAGAAAGCTAAATGGTGCGTCCCAACTTATCGAAGAAACGTGCAAAACATGCAGAGGTGCGGCCACGTTCGTAGGATTGACACGACGCTTCCATCTGCCTATATGGGATGTCTATATGGCTTGCTGCCAAGATGGTTTCTATTTGCAGCGGAATTTTGAGGTCCCATCTCATAGAGATGTCCCGTTCCCACTCTTTCTATCTGCATCTAGGAACTGAATAGAGATAACCTTCTTTGGGTCAGTCGGATCTTTGCGAATCATACAACTTAGTTCCCTGAACAGAGGCTTATTTAATTTGAAAGTCCCAATTCCAGAATGTCGAGAACCCCTAGTACAATCAGAAATCACAACGCAAATGAAACTAAGCTATTTCGGGCGTACTTTACTACCCCACTTTGCTCGACATCTACTACTCCAGTTCTCTCCCTGCATTCTCATCAGCAATATTAACATGGACTCTCTCCCTATTATTGACCTGTCGATAAAACAAAACCCCGCAACCATTTCCAGGTTGCGACAAGCCCTACGTAAATACGGCGCTTTTCGCTTATGGGCCCCTGAACTGAAGCAGGCGGTTGCTGGAGGCCTATCGCGCGATGTCGGTTTCATTTTCCTGACGCCGACCCTTACTATCAGTTCACATTAACGTTTCCTAGGCCCGGAACTTTTTCCAGCTCCCCAATGGAATAAAACAGAGAACTTGGGGGTATGCAGGCTTTGGTACGGAGCTTATTCGTGGAACGACGCCAATACCAAAGGAAGGCATCAATTTCTTTCGGAAGAACGACCAGCGAGACGGTCATATTGCCCCCCCTGCTGAGTTTTTTGGCTCTGTCAAAGCACTGCATGATGTAGGAACTCCAGTCCGCCTCCCCAAAATAGTAAACGCTCGAGCTAATTCTGCGAATATTAGATTTGGAAACATTCTCGAGACCAGTTGTTCAGTACGGTGTTTTGTGATGTTCTCGAGTCGGAGATACCCCTGACGGGAACGCCCGTTCTTGACTATGAGTCGATGGGCATACAATACTATAACTCGCAACGGATGATCGTTGAGGGCGGCGATTATTCTCCTCCGCATATGGACGGCGGCACACTGACGATATTGATTCGGGAGGATGACGCTGATGACGGCTTAGAAGTCGCAGACCTTGAATCCACAGAGGAGCTAGGCAGCGACGGTGTAGGTCGCGAGGCGTCTTTTTTGCGTGTTCCTGCGGCTCCAAATGAAGTGGTTGTATTGGCAGGAACTCGATTGCAACGTCTACTGGGGAGAACCAAGGCTCGCGCCTGCGTGCACCGAGTGGTCGGCCCAGGCCAGAAACATAGCGCAGAAGATCGGGTAAGCGTTGGAATCTTCCGTGCTTGTGTTCCTCCTCCTCCCGCTTAGGGAGGCCGCCATTAGTTGCCCGTGCCGAATGTAGCCAACTCATAATAGTGATACTTGCGCTAGACGACCTTGTCCCCAGAGTACTCCACACCGGCCAGAATTGGGACCGGTGGATTCCGTAGATCGGAAGGATTCATAGTCAATCAGAAAGCGGGCATGCCGTACCGGGTAACCGGCCCTCAAATTTCAAAGCACATTCTCGGGTTCTGAGCAAAGTATCCGGGGACCTGCACGCTAATAGTCGCAATATTTCGTGGCAGTTGTCGAATGATCGGAACCTTAATTATCTGTCCGGTTGTTACCAGCGTTCTGGAGCTGGTCCGCTGTCAGGAAAACAAAGTCGTCCATAGCCCACTGCTAACTCTGCCGTTTAATTATGACAGACTTATCAATAGGGCAGGGGAGCTGATAAAGCAGATGCAAATAAAAAAGAGAGGGCAAACAGCGTCACAAAAATTACAAACCTTCTGAACATATCTCATCCAGTCCCCTCGAGATTGCTGCAGCTGATGCCCACAATGGCCTGATTGACATCATTTTAAATTTTGTTCAGGAGAAGAAGATAAAATTAGTTTAGATCCAAGACTTGATCTCCAACGCTGCAAAACATGTGTCTCCAGAATACCCATGGGCATCCCGACTCTTGTGACGCTAATCCTGGCGAGCAGTTGTAGCGAGAGCTCTATCCTTGTCCCGAGGACTGATGTCTCCTGTCACAGTCTTCATTAGATTGCTGAATCTGTACACTCTACCCGCATTCACAGATGTGCAGAATCACTCTGAAGGGCCCGCCGCCCTGTAATTCTTCTCGTAACCCGGAATTTTCATTTTCTCGCAAGACTAATATAGTCATTATCTTTCTTTTCAAGATAGCGTTTACATGCAAGCCTTACATTTCAAAAAATGAGAGTCATCAACTTCTTATCCCATGCATTTATTATTTGTAATGTTGATAGGTCTACCGCACCAAAATTACACCGAAAGACCCCACTGCGATGCTAGGGGTCCAAATAACTCGTAGTCTAAGTCAGACAGCACAGCATATATCCCCGGTGAAAACAAAGACAAGTAAGAATATACCGCCCAGAGGTTATCAACAGCTTTACCGGATCACAGAGCCCCCGCTACTTGGTACTATTCCGTGGGACCGTAACATCGAGATCGGCAGCGATCCTCATCGCAGACCTACATTTTCATCAATGGTATTCTGTAACAAAAAGAATGTAATTCGTCTTTAACTTCAAGTTCAGCTGAAATTACACAAGCAGACATTCAAATAGCTCCTTTGACAATTTTCCGATCCCATGACAAATAACTCAAGCCTCTCCCGAGTTCTGTTTCTCACTAGAGATTTTCTCAGAGACCTCACCGAAAGCCTTCTCTCCATCAAAAATCAACGCAACCTCTTCCAAACTGTGACCCTTAGTTTCAGGGAAGCAGAAATAGACAAGAACAAACTCAGCAGCAATCACACAGCAGTAAACAATGTAATATTTCCAGCTGATTGCATCCATTGCAATGGGGTTCGCGTAACCATTGAACAGAATAGCACAAGTCGAAGCTATTTGCATGATATTAGTTCCTTTAGCACGGAGATGCGTAGGAAGTACTTCAGTGACATAGACCCACGGGGGCCCGTTAAGACCGGCGTTATAGAAGAGCTGATACATAAATATCATCACAATAACGCCAGTGCCCAGACTGGTGTCATTAAAGCCTCTCTGCTCGTTAATTGCGGACAGAATTGTCCATATCACGTAGCAAGCCAACATTCCCATCGTCGAAATGAGGAATAGCCTTCGCCGACCAGCAGCTTCCATAAACGAGGAGAGGATGATCGAGACTCCGAAGTTGAAAACTGCCAAACCCCCATTGATTCGGAGCTGTTGGGGATCTGAGGTGAAGCCAATCGAGTTGAGAATAAGGTGTAGGTAATATGCGATCAGACCGTTGCCTGATAGCTGCATCATGCAAGGTACTGCAATAATGATCAAAAGGCGATGTAGGTTACCCCGCGTACTAAGGAACTTTCGATAGCCGGACTTGGTTTCCTTCGAGGCCTGGATTGTCAAGATAATCTCTTGCATCTCGAAGTCTACTAGTGGCGAGTTCTCGTCTCCACCAGCGTGATACTTCGTCAGCACTTTTCGCGCTTCGTCATAGCGATCTTTCTGCACGAGGTAACGCGGCGACTCGGGTAGAAGATAGACAAAGAGAACTTGCAGCAAGGGAAAGAACCCCTGAAGGAGAGAGGGAATGCGCCAGGCCCATGAAATATTAGGGCCCATAAAGTAGGTTCCGTATGTGATCCATGCAGCGAGCAATGACCCAAGGTACCATAGGTTGTTATAATATCCGACTAGCACAGGGCGATGTGTCGGATACGCTAATTCACTGACTAGCATGGGCGATGCTTCGACAGCAATTAAACCACCGAATCCAATCACCATACGGGAGACCAAAAACATAGCATAGTTCTGGGCGGCACATTGAAGAATGGCTCCTATGACTAGGAGCGCCGATCCGATGAAGATGGGGAACCGTCGGCCAGTGTGATCACAGAGCCAAGGAGCAATCGGAAAAGCGAGAATCTGACCAAATATCACACCATTGGAAAGTGAACCCAAGCGGGTACCAGTTGGATTGCCAAAGAAGGTTTGCCATTGTGACATCGACTGCAGGCCGTTGAGCATAGATCCATCATAACCATTCGTGGTCGACGATAGATATGGAATGACCATCCCAAGATTGAGGAGCAAAAGATGGCGCTGCTTATACCACGGCTTGTCGGTATTTGGCAAGACACGTTGCAGGTTCCATTCACTAGGGATATCAACGGGGTTGTCGCGAACTTCAGTCGTTGGCTTCTCATCGTGGTGGGTCATCTTGATCACGGGTCTACCTGTTGAATTTGTAAGGTAGGAAGATTCTATAACATGTCGATGAAGGCTGAGATTGCCGTGATTCTGACCCTTTTATATCACCTTCCCATCACATATATCCGTGATTCCGCAAGGAAGATGCCACTGAGGCTTGAATGGCTTAACTCGACTCTGGGGTTTAGTCTTCCGATTTTGTGCTACAGACTATAAACGGCAAAATATTAGTCTATATCGCGTATTCGAAAGCCTGAACCTATTGTCGTGGGGCGTATTAGCACGGACCACTTGTGATGAGCTGACAATATCTGACCGTCGGGTTGGTCTCCAGTTCTAGAATAGCGTCAGTTCTCGAGCATGCCGAGATGTTATGCCCCGCACCGGGAAATGCGTTCTCAGTCTGGGGAAGAGAAAAGGAGGAACTTTGAGACTCTATCAAAGGGCGTGGGCCAATGAAATCAATTTTCCCCATATTGACAGATGGTAACTAACCAGATCGAGAGAAAGGGTAAACCTATCATGAACGCACTAAGTCTAAAGCAGTACTTTCAAAATCACGAGGCGATTTCTGTGCTTCTCCGAAACTCCGCTGAACTTTAATTACAGTTTGTGGCCCGGCCTCTGCTCTGACTATTCCATGGAACCTGCTAGGCACGAGACTCTCCTTCAACCCTTATGGAGACGTCCAATCTATCTTACATACAATCAAATGCCTTACTTTCGGACTATGAGTAAGGAAGGAGGGTAAGAGAGAGATGTAGGTTCTAGAGATGGAAGGTATAGATCTAGATCTATCATGGAGGCTCGAGGCAAGGGATGCGGTGAAGAGGGGTAGAATCCCTCGTTTACTGCGAACACGGACAACAAGAAATCCCCAACCTCACATGTTGACTAGCGGGGACCCCAGAAAAGAAAACTTTCTTGTGCATGTGCGACCGTACCCCAGATTTCTGAATGGACCACCCAAGCATCTCATACATGCCGCTTTAGAAGGACAAAGTGTGAAAAGAACCGATTCTTGTAGGAATACTTTGTGCCGCTCGGGGCGGAGTTTTTCTATCTTCCCTCCACATCCTGAAGAGCCTAGGGAGGCATCAATTGTTAACGGGGGTTTTGGTGAAAGTCGACTAATCAAGCGACAGATTTGATCTCGCTAGTCTGGCTATCCTGAGATGGATCGATGATATGGAAACACTAATCCCCAGGAAGCGTCCATCTCCGATGGCCCCGTTAAAGGTTCAGTTTTCTACATCGCAGCCTATATCTTTTGGTGTCATTTGGTCATGCGTGATTGACCAGCAGACACCACGCTGGAAACCATTTTCCATCAATTTTGATGAGACCGTCAAATAGCCAGTTTTGGTTGAAAAGGAGTTAAAACAGCAGCTCTATCTCCTGTCTCTGTTCTAGGGACTCCAATTTCGCCCCCACTTACCGATATTCGTCGAGTTTGACCTATTCGTGCCTGACCTCCTCGGTCGGAGCACCTTCTTCGAAGAATTGTATATTTCCAGACCTACGCTCAAAATGAGATCGCCATGAAGACCCGTGGAAAATAAAGCAGAGAATATATTAAAGCTATTTCAAGTCCGAACTGTGAGCCGCTTGTCCAGACCCAGTAAAGAAAGGTCATATAACCCTAATCTTACAATAGATTGTTCCTACTGGATGAACTTTAGCTTTTCACTTCTTTGCAGGCACGGCTGGAGGTCAGGGCCTTTATTTGTTAGGCATATTATTTCTACACGCTGCCTATTCAGAGTGCACCGAGAGTAAATCCATGGAGAGGGTAAATATCCTAAAACACAATTTACATGCATGTCTGGTGAGAAAAGGTTCCCAGGTGGATACAAATTTGCCCGCGATTTCGGTTCCATCCCAATGTGCCGAGTCCGATACTCCGCGAGGCAGGCTTACCTTGTTCCGAAGATGTCCCGAACCACATTATTTTTCAAGAGATGCATAGCTCAATCAGCGCAAGTGTATGGCCACCTTGACCATTTTGTGGCCTGTGGACTTAAAGTTCGGTCGTTTTGCTTTCCATTTTTTCTTTTTCTCTTCATCCTCGCTACAAACACTGCTCTTCTACAATGTCGGAAATTCATATTGACCATGTGCTCTCAGAGCTCACCTTGAACGAGAAGGTCAAATTACTCTCAGGTATATAACCATTGCTCGTTTGAAATCATGCTGTTTACTAAACAGAAAGGAATCGATGGCTGGCACACAGCAGCAATCCCGCGACTCGGGATCCCCTCAGTTCGTATGTCAGATGGACCAAATGGTGTTCGTGGAACGCGCTTTTTCAACGGAGTTCCTGCAGCCTGCCTACCTTGCGCTACGGCACTAGGTGCTTCGTTTGATACTGAGCTCATTTTCTCCCTGGGAAAGCTTCTTGGCCTAGAATGCAGAGCAAAGGGGGCACATGTGCTTCTTGGCCCGACGATAAATATTCAACGAGGTCCGCTTGGCGGTCGCGGATTTGAATCATTCTCAGAAGATCCACTACTTTCTGGCTCCTTGGCTACCAGCTATTGTTTGGGTGTGCAGAGCGAAAATGTAATTGCGACACCGAAGCACCTTGTATGCAATGATCAGGAGCATGAGCGTGTTGCTGTTAGTGCGCTTGTCACTGAGCGTGCTCTAAGGGAGATATATCTGCTTCCATTTCAGCTAGCCCTTGCTGGCGCTAATCCTGGGGCGTTGATGACTTCATACAACAAGGTCAATGGATGCCACGCCAGCGAGAGCCCTGATCTGCTCCAGGATATTGTTCGAAAGGAATGGAATTATAAAGGACTTATCGTGAGCGATTGGTTTGTTGCTTCTCACACTTAAAATGACCTTAGCTGACTTAAACAGGTTCGGTACTTACAGTGGATCTGAGGCTATCAATGCCGGTCTGGATCTTGAAATGCCTGGCCCATCCCGATTCCGTGGGGCCGGCTTGGTGCATGCCGTCACATCCAACAAAGTCTCCGAGCGGACTATCAATGAACGCGTACGCACCGTTTTAGAAATGGTCAAACAGGCAGTCAGGTCCGAAATTCCCGAAAATGCACCAGAGGTTGAACGAAATATTCCCGAGGATAAAGCATTGCTCCGCAGAGCAGCCTCTGAGTCAATCGTTCTTCTCAAAAACAATGATCAGATTCTTCCTTTGAATCCTAATAAAAAAACTCTTGTGATCGGACCTAATGCCAACATTGCAGCATATTGTGGCGGAGGCTCTGCAGCCTTACCGGCGTATTATTCCATCACGCCCTTAGAAGGGATTAGTCGCAGATGTACTGAGGATGTCACCTTCTCACAAGGAGTGTACGGCCACAAAGAGTTACCACTTCTAGGCGACCAGCTCAAGACCAAAGATGGTCAGGTTGGATATACTTTCAGCGTTTTTACCGAGCCCGCCTCTAACAAGAACAGAAAAGCGGTGGATATCTTGCATATGAAGAGCAGTTCATGCTTTTTGATGGACTACAAGCATCCAAAAATCCACTCAGACATTTACTACATCACCATGGAGGGTATCTTCGAGCCAACTGAGAGTGGTGTTTATGACTTTGGTCTTACAGTAGCCGGCACCGGAGAGCTTTTCATTGACGGGGAGAAGTTGATCAACAACAAGATCAATCAGCGACAGGGAACATCTTTCTTCGGCATCGGGACACCAGAAGAGCGCGGCGCTCAATACTTGGAAGCAAAAAAACAGTACAAGATTCTTGTCGACTACGGTACTGCCCCAACTTCTAATTTGAAACTACACGGAGTTGTATCATTTGGACCAGGAGGACTACGGGTGGGGTGTTGTAAACGGATTGACATAGAATCTGCTATTCAAAACGCTGTTGACCTGGCAACTACAGCCGACCAGGTGGTTATCTGTGTTGGCCTCAGTGGTGAATGGGAAAGTGAAGGGTTTGACCGTCCACATATGAATCTCCCGCCAATGTCAGATGAGCTGGTTGAAAGAGTCCTCACCGTTCATCCAAATGCTGTGGTCATTGTGCAAAGTGGCACGCCCGTGAAAATGCCGTGGGCCCGGGATGTGAAATGTCTTCTCCATGCGTGGTATGGTGGAAATGAAACAGGTAATGGAATTGCAGATGTCATCTTCGGAGATGTGAATCCAGTGAGTATTGAAGAAGCTATATAGGAAATACCAGCTGATTTTACCTTTTAGTCTGGTAAACTTCCTCTCAGCTTCCCAGAGGTCATTGAGCAAAACCCAACATACTTGTCTTTTCGCTCAGAAGGAGGCAGAGTACTGTATGGCGAGGACATCTATGTCGGTTATCGCTACTATGAAAAGGTCAAGGTGAATCCTCTCTTCGCCTTCGGTTACGGTCTATCTTACACAGTTTTCTGTCTTTCCGGGCTTGCTGTTTCGCAGCCCTTGAAAGCCCTAAACAGAATCAAGGAGGAAGTACTGGAAGTGTCAGTCTCAGTGGAGAATATTGGGCCCTTTAGTGGCGCAGAGACTGTTCAGATATTCATATCACCACCTTCCAGCGCCAGTATTTCGCGTCCTGCGAGAGAGCTCAAGGGGTTTAAAAAGCTCAAACTACAACAGGGGGAGAAACAGGATATCGTGATTGTTATCCCAGTGGCCCTGGCGACTAGTTTCTGGAACGAGACGCAATCTGCCTGGGTCAGTGAAGCCGGAGTGTATAGGATTACTGCAGTCGGGACTGGTGAGCAGAACTACCTCACAAACGGATTTGAAATTTCTCATACTAGGGAATGGAATGGTTTGCTTGGACTTGTCGATTGAATCGGAGATTAGCACGTGGAAGATAAACAAAAGCTTCTCCAGATACAAATTATTGCAACTTAACTGTAGGTAAACCTAAGTAATTCGATTTCTTTTGGGCGTTCTCAGACTTAATTTGGCCAATACACTCTTTCCAATTGATTCCTGATATACGACGTGGTCGATAGTTCCTCCACTCTAATATCTTGGCAGTAAGGCTACGCAAAAACTGTCAAGTATGTATGGCTGGCTGGCGTAACGATACACAATTTTCACGAGAAAAACTGTCGTTACTTGATCAGAACCAACAATCATCCCTTCAAGCATATAATCTGCAAATTTAAAACGCCATTCTCAAGCGTTTTGTGTAGAATATGTGTGACTACAGTTCTAATTGGCCTAGGTAAGTAAATATTATAAAATCAAAATTAAATTGCATCCGCTCATTTTTCTGTTCCAACAACAGGACGTATTCTACGGGGCATTGGTGTCAGATCGCCTGGGAATAAGTCTTCAGATCGGTTACACTGGCGAAAGACGTATTTTAAGGGTCACTACCGTCACGGCGTTGGTTAATTAGACATCCTCAGTGAGTCCTCACTTTGATTCCGCTCTTTTCGTGGAAAGTTGCAGGTTTCTTCTCATTGCAAAATTTTCAACATGGGTTCCAATCAATCGCACGGCTACAGTACGTTCAGCCCTGATATTTTCCCGTTTAACATGCTAATTCGTTGATATCAGGCTCTTCAACAGTGAGAAAACAAGAAAAATTTCCAAATCTGCCTGAGTAAGAGAGGTTTTCTTTCCATTGTCAAGGGATACAAGTTGCCCGAGGAACAAAAATATTCTTTCTTTCTTTTTTTTTTTTTTTTTTTTTTTAAGTTAATTCATTTCTCATAGTGGATAAGAAGATTTCAGTAAACTAATAATTGAGGGGAAAATTCGACCTCGCACTGCTCCTAGGCCGGGATTTGGAACAAGGAGATGGTGTCAGTAAAAACATCAACGTTATTATTAGAAAGCGCCAGAGAATTGCCATTTTGGCTGATCATGTTTTGCACGCCGACGGTGCTTAAACAGTAGACCTCGATGGATTCGACGGTTCCTTCAAGGTCAAAGATATTTGGTTGACAGTTCTCGGGGCCATTCTGTGCATTGCAGGCTAGTTTGGAGTTAGCATTTCTGAACCAAGTCCGAAGGGAAGGGCCAAGTCCGAAGGGAAGGGGTCAAGCCTACTGCCGTCGTAGTTGTTGAAGAAGGAATAAAGTCCTGCTCCGTATACAAGGATGTTGTCGGAGCTCACAATTCGAAGACCCCATGCGTCGTTGCAGTTTGATGACTGGCCAGAACAGGAAGTAGAAAAGTTGGGGTCATTCAATGAGGACACCACAGTGAACGGTGCGGGCGCTGGAGGGTTGGGTTGATAATAGCTACATCCGAGGTGTTAGTCGGTTCCGCACTGCGGTGTTGGGACTGTTATTATCGAAAGAAATCATACGGTGTCTCTGTCTGAATGAATCCCATGTAAACATCCTTAGTATTGGCCAACTGATACTGGTACAGGGTGTGGTGTTCGACCGACGTTCCGACTCTATGGATCATTAGCTCACTGCCTCAATGGAAAAAGAAGTGGAGGCAAATTGTACAGCCAGAATGTTCCGGCGGTACCTTCAATGTAGAGACCGCGCCCATTGTAAACGGTAATTTGGGTGTTTGAGGCGTCATCGATGTCGTGGTCAGCGGTCCACAGCCAAACATTCTCCAAGTACAGGTTTGAGGCTGAAGTTGTCACATGCAGAGTCATATAGGCGGCGATGCATGTGGAGTCAATAGATGTGCTAGAGGGAGTCTTTTCGCACTGAGCCACCTGCAAGTCAGAGCCGGTGAAGCCTCCAATGCGGGCATGGACATCCCACATCCCCGAGGGAGTCCCGGAGGCAGCCAAGTTCCACTCAATCAGAACGGCCCCAGGCTGGGCACCTTGTGTGCTAACAATCATGTCGGACCATTCGACCTGGCCAGCTTGTCCGGCGGTACCCACGCGAACGACAGGTTGGGGGGAGTTGATGTTGTTAAAGTAGCTGCCGCTGGACATGATCACTGAATATGCCTCGCCAACCAGTTTCGCTCCTGGGGGAATCAGCAAGGTGCTGGTGACTTTATATGTACCAGCGTCAAAGAACACCACTTGTCCAGCCGCCGTGGCACTGTTGATCACGTTTTGTAACGCGCTCGTATCATCCGTGACCCCATTACCAGTGGCACCGGCACTGCGCACGCTCTGGAAAGATGAGACCACGAGGGAAGCATACTGGGGTTTGGATCGAACGTAATAGTTGGAGCCACTGAGGAGTGCTGAAGGTCGAGTGATGGGGGTGAAAGAGCCCTGGAAGCGTGTGTGGCCGGAAGTGGTGTAGCTGTTGCCCTCACCCCAGCCAGCTACCGTCATACTGCCGCTACTGCCCGCCAGAACAGTGCCCGCGGAGGTAGACTTGACAATAATTGGGACATTAGTGAAGATACTGTTGTCAATAATGAGGCTGCCGTTAGCCACATTATTGGCCACGTTCTCGGTAAATGCCGTCAGCAATCCCACCGGGGTATTGGTGATGGTGCTGTCCACAAGAATCACTGAGCCCACTGCTTGGTTGGATGACCCACCCGCGGACATGTCAATACCGGTCTGGCAGTTGTTTATGGTGATGCCTTGATACACCCAGCCCCAATCCCACAGCTGATTGATAGCGGTGACGCAGTTGTTGAAAATCAAGTTGCGCATAGTGAATTGCTGGTTGCCAACCTGGATGCCATTTAAGCCGCCATTAAAAGTTAAATCGGTGAGGAAACCAGCAGAACCTGTTATTTTTATTAATGATATAGCTCTAAAAAGGTAGATGACCAACACACCCGATTCACAAAAAACACCAACGTGCTGCGTGCCTGATGCCGAGCTCATCTGGAATATGAGATTCTGCAGACTCGTTGCTTGGGCCGTGGGCCAATGGATTCCAGTAGCCGAGGAAGTAGCTGGGATACTCATCATGTCTAGGATAAAATTACGCACTTGCCGGTAAAAGACATTTGTTGAGCCCCAATTGAGTGATGCAGTATAGTATTTGTCTCCATCAATCAGGCCAAAGCCAGAGAAGCTGGAGCTAGCTTTTAGCGTCGGTAGGCTGTTCGGATTCCCCAGCAAAATGGTGTTGTACTGGTCTATAATAGATGAGGAGATCAAATAGGTTCCCGCCGGGAAATATACCACTGCCGGAGTGGTGGTGCTGGATGAACAGCCCTCACCACAACGACCGCCATCGCTGATGGCAGCGTTGATGGCAGCCGTATCATCAGTCACACCGTTTCCTAGTGAAGAAAGTTCAGCTTCGATCCTAATGCAATCGAGATGGTGAGATATACCTGTGGCACCATAGTCCTTTACATTTCGATAGACCGTATATCCAGAGGGCCCAAAGGCGGAAATTCCCTGGTGATCAATATTCTCGTACCAGTAGTTGGATGAGCCTGTAGATGTGGCAGTCGTGGTTGCATGAGTGGTCGACTCTACCGTGGTGATAGACGTAGTGGTGGATACAGCAGTTCCATATTGGTACAGATCCAGGCGATTGGGCCCTCCACAAATTTCGGCAGAATTCCCAGCACACACCATGTCGCAGCCGGTACTTCCATCTGGGGCTGGACCGCCACCATTCTGTACGGTATTGCCACAATCTTATGGCTCAATTAGTTTCTGTGGATATAAGTGGACCATGGAGCTTACAGCATTCATCGGCGTACTCTAAACCAGCCAGAGTGAAACCCAAAGCCTGACACCCGGCCTGGCAGTTCTGTACGGTCATGTTGGTCGCTCCCCCAGGAGCAGGAATACCCTCCGCCAGGGATCTTCCCGAGACGTTATCCGTATAGCAGCCCAAGAAAGACCAGCTAGAACTTCTCTTTTCCATAGGAACCGCCAAGGCCACCCCGAAGAGGGCAAACAGGGCAGCTGTGTAGGGTAACATGCTAGAAGACTGAGAAGTGCTGGTACCCGGGAGCTTGTTTAGAACCCATATGAATGACACTAGGGAGACATCATGGTCTTATATATAGTTTCCGTGATACAATATTCGACTTTCATTCCCAGGAGCCAATCCCAGTCACTTCAGTAATTGGAGGAAGCACCAGACAGCCACAAAATGATATTGTGCCAAGAAATCTGTGATAAAAGCCCAAGAACGCCGAGGCAACCTGGCAGTCATCGTCTCATTACGCCGTAAATGAGTTCATCCGACCTTTCTAGCGCGGGGATGTATGGGGAAGGCTAAGCCATCAGAACTCACTGACCGGCAGCAGTAGGCAACCGGCATGTAAACAAGCTACGTCGATTTGCACAGCATGCAATGTGGAAAGTATGTTCATGCGGAATTTCGGAAGCTTGGATTCATGTCATTTATTACAATAATCATGGAAGAACAAGGGCAAATGCTACGCGAGCTACACAACTTTTACCCCGCAGGTTACCGATTCGGTTCGGAGCCATTTTGAGATATCCCCGAGTTAGGCCAGAAATATTCCAAAGTGTGTCTGTGCGTTTCTTCAGTAATTCTTCAGGCGCGGCTTATGCTCGTTGTTAGGCATCATCAGCCGAACACCGCTATTCCTGGAATGATTGGGCAGATGGCACCCTCCCAAACTCAAAAATCAAGGGAAAAAACAGGTACGAGGATCTGGAGTGGGAAATAAAGAAGGCTTGTGTTTTCCCCCTCCGTTTCATAACATCGCATGCGGGTAATTGCCGGCAATCCTCTAGAGCAATATACTTGCATGCCCCTGCATGACTAGGTCACGGCCCAATCCCCGCATATCATATTTATTTGACTTTCCCCTTTTTTCACCCTCGCCAATGATGTCCAATCTACACAACATATTGTGTTACATTGATTCCTTCTATCAAACGCCCCCTGATTTAAAATTGAATCGAACTCCGGAATCTATACTAACATTCAACAGAACCCCGCATTGACCGGGTTCTAGGGTGTCATTTACCCAGATCGAATGCTCTGCGGAATTTCGGATTTTATTGATTGACTCAATTAGCCAGGTGTGGTCAAACATTTGAATGATTCTTATCCCGATATTCCGCGAGCTGTCTGCTTCTAGCTATCCTACATCAGATTCGGCAGAGAGGGCCGTTGAACCAGATCAAAGGTTCTGCAGAATTTTGGTCTTAATGGTTGACTCGCTTGTCCCGACACTCCGCGAATATTCTGCTTCTAGATATCCTGTGTCGGGTTGTTCAAAAGCGATCAAAACAGCTAGTAAGCATGAAATTCTAATACCAAATCGAAAATGGACTTCTAGGATAAAGCAAGAATAAAGCGGGGTGATGGCCTTATGTGTATAAGTCTGGTTGCCTCCTTTTTCTTGATCTAATTGTTTTCAGTTATCGGACAGTTTATAGCTATCGATTTTTACCTGCCTTGAGCAATGATTCTCACGCGTGCACTCGTGCTTTTTGTTCTGCCGCTACTTGTGGTTGGCGAGCAGTTTGAGATCCCTGCGGTGGAGGCCATCGTCAATAAAGTGCTCCATAACTATTCCAAGTGGGTGCACTTTGAAGGTCACTCAAGCCATTCCGATGTTGCAAAGCGGTCTGCTGCCACCACCGTCGCGAAGCGTGGATTAGCGTACAATAACAACAACCCCGACAACAATGCCGCTTATGCAAATCTCTTCGCGGGGTACCCTAAGATCTCGTGGGGTTATGATTGGGGATATCCATCCTGGGGTCTAGAATCGGACTTTGAATTGTATAGTCGCAAGCAGCTATCTTCAGGATAAGGCGGAAGCTGACAGTATGACACAGTGTTCCCATGCTTTGGGGCCTCCCCAGCGGTTCTGACCCCGACTGGACTGCCGCGGTCGAAACTGCAGGCACCTTAAACATTCTCGGCTTCAATGAGCCAGACCTGACTTATTCGGGCTCTGCTAATATTCTACCTGCTAATGCAGCTGCGGGATATCAGACATATATGGAGCCTTTTGCCGGGAAAGTCAAGATCGGCATGCCGAATGTTCTATGGAACAATGTCGGCTCTTCCTCCGGAGGTAACTATGACTCGACCCAATGGACGCAGTATTTCTTGCAAAACTGCACTGGATGCCACTTCGACTTTGCTGCTATTCACTGGTACCAAGACTGCGACCCGGGCAATGGACAGAGTGGTGCCGACTGGTTCCAGGGCAACGTTACAGACGCATATCAGACGCTGAATCTGCCAGTCTGGATTACAGAATTTGAGTGTTATGGGTCGAATGCGCAGCAGGTAGAGTTCTTGCAGCAGGTACTGCCATGGTTGGATGAGCAAAGTTATGTAGAGCGATATGCATACTTTGGAGTGTTTCCCGATTATCTGGTGAATGACGCAGGCAATGGGCTCTCAGATATTGGGGTGGCGTATGCAACGACGTGATGATTGATATCAGCCTCATGAGGTGGGCCGATTCGGTGGTACAATGATCACTATGTATCAAGATCGACAGAGTACACGAACAACAGGTAGTGGCCTTCCATGCTGATTGTGGATTCTTAATCGCGATATGGCTTTGTATGGTCAGAAATATTATCCACATCCTCTCCCTGATATATCTTTAGACTTGGCGGTGGGGCAAGGAAATAATGGTCAAGTATGTATTGTAGTGGTGAAAGCAGTGATATCGGTCTGTAGGGCGTGAGGTGTCTTACATGCCTTGGTCTGTCTGCATTCTCCTCTCCTACATGAATGGACACACAGGAGGACAACTATTCGGAATATGACGGCACTTTTCAGTTTCTTTGCTTCATGATTCAGCTTTAAGGATAAAGCGATACCCACCTACAGAGCGTATCCACTACGCCTTCCAGAGCCCTTGGGAGGGTGTATGTGTGTTGCTGGTGCCTAGTCTGTATTGCCAGACAGCCATCGAGCCATCCCCATTTCAGTATTGATTAAGGCAATTTCGAAAATGGCTGTAAGAATGAATTGCGCCACGTCGCCTTGTGGCACCCCCAAGCTCAGTACGATCAGTGTTTACCTCGAAGTATATCTATAGTCACGTTCCCCCATCCAGGTCCATATATCAGTCGTCAGTACTATGCGTCATACTCATTATAGAACTTTTCTGAATGGAACACAAATTATCCTGTACTGGCCTGTGACAATAATGAACGATATCTTCAGTGGAAAGTACTTGTATGCCTTTCTCCATGCAGCTTGGAAGCTCCCCGGTGCGATAAAAAGGCCGATCCATACCAACCCTCTTCCTCAATACCACCGAAGTAATCTGTGATCTTTGGGATCGCTGTTGCGACAATTGTGTGAAAGAAACATGCTTGTTAGCTTTTTTGCAAGGTTTATTATGGTTATAGGTAGAGTTCGATGCATGGACCTACTCACCATATCCAACGAATTCTGATCATGAAATTGGTTGTTATTTTGTACCTAGATTGGAAGAATTTTTGACAAACTCGTACCAAGAACGTTCTCATGGCAAGTGCCATGACGGCTATCTGCAAAGTGAAGCCGCTGGCGCCAGAATCGTCGAATGGTGCATCACCACCACAAGGTTCACCACCGCAAAATTCAGGGTCTCTGCCGTTGTTTTCTTTCTTCGACTCCGGGGGGCTGTGCGAATACAGAGCATTGTTGTCGTGTTTTTTCGATTACCGAAGGTATCGAATTTGTCAACGGCGCCGTGCCCTCGGTTTGCGACAGCTGCGTTGTGGTACTCATGAAAAGATGAAAAACTGAAGGTTGCTTAGGGAACAAAATATACGTGAAGAATACTGAGTGAGAGAAAGGCCTGTCGAAGATACCAGTCTCGCTTCAGAATATACGGCATGGTGGGGTGCGAAGTGATCAGTGAGAGCTGATACACGGGCGATCCAGGATGGAGCCTTAGTGTGAAGGTAAGAGAAAGCTCCAAGTGCATCAATCGACGCTACCATGGATGCACCGACGGAACTTTTCATATTCATTATAGGTAAGGCTTTTGGTTTAATTACTAGGACTGGTGTAGGCATGCAGTCAGGTCATAAACATAGATCCTTTGATATATAACCAGAAGTGCAATCCCATGCGTATCCGATCAACATAGCGAATAGATCTTCGTCGCACGAAAACATAAGCTGAGAATCACCACCAGCTAGTGCATTTGTGCCCCGGTATCGTGTCTAAATTATTCGAAAGCATCACTGCATCGTCTGAACCATATCATCTCCTTAATAACAGGCTCTAGATCTAATCCCATCATCAGAGCTTTGTCAGCCCCAAACACAAACTTCGCATTGACCGGACTGTCTGTAAGCTCGACATTGTCCTTCAAATTGGCAATACACTCGGCCTGATCCTTGAAATGCTCGAACGTCATGGTGAAACCCATCGAGCGATCTGTAGCGTCGATAAAAAGCTGCCCGTCTTGTATTAGAACGGTCAGGGTGTGATAGCCTGCGTTCCAGTAGCTGCCCACATAGGCTTCTAGAGATATTCCTTGAGGAGAACTTTTGCTGTCATTCTTCAGCTTTTCTCCCTCCTTTTGCCTGAATCTCCGTGGCGTTGCTTTGTCCTTTTCTTTCTTGATATCTTTGCTATTCTGCCTCATTTTGGTCGTGTGGTTCTGTTGTATAGATTGCGATTCAGATTGCTCCTTGAATTGCCCTAATCGCTCATCTTTCGGCAGAAGATCTTTTTGGTGTTTGGGCTTGATTTGATTCATAAGGGGTTTCCTCGGCTCCTTTTGTTTTGGACCAATGGCCATTTGTAACAGACGGTCTTCAAATAAAATTTCAAGCACCTCATCCATCAGCATTCTCATAATCGTCGTGGCTGCCGAACCAGCCCCGGTGGAATTCCCCATCACCACAGCACCGAATTTCCGGTCAGGCATAAAAATGAAACGACTCGAAAATCCCGGAATATTACCATCATGTCCAATGACCATGTTTTCACGATAGAAATATACCTCCATACCAGCCGTGTAGTTAGCCGGGGTAGTATGGGCCTTCAATCTCCTTGAATTCGGGTTCACAATCGAGCGCATTTTTGTAAGTCCCTGGTAGACCCTATTGGTGATCGGCTCTTCATGATAAAGCAAAGCTTTCACCCATTTGATGAAATCGTTAGCACTTGAAATAATGGAGCCTGCGCCCTGGCCTTCAGGACAGTCCTGCGGATCAAGACCGCGCCATCCATTGTCTTCCCAAATGTAGCCCTTTGCCATTCGATTCCTCCAACCCTTAGAATGAGCACTTGAGGGCTGCAGGGTAGTCGATTTCATATTGAGTGGCGCAAAGATTCGTTCATCTAGAAAGTCGGAGAAGCTTTGCTTTGATACTTCCTCAACGAGATGTGAAGCCACAGTGAACATGTGGTTGCAGTACAGATATCGTGAGCGCACAGGGGCAGCAACTTTGAGGTTTCGGAGGTTTCTTGTGATGGACTTGGCGTTATCGGGATGGATTGCGCTCGGTCCCATGCAGGAACTGTCATGTCTGTTCGAGCAATTAGATGTTACTCTTATTGTTGAACATATAATCTTTCACCTAGCCATGCCAGTTCTGTGACTGAGAACATCTTCGACAGTGATACTATCAGTATACATCTTTTCTTGCATGACAAAGTCGTCTGGTAGGAGATCCGACATAAGCGCTTCGTATTGCACTTCAGGGTGTTTCTTGTCATCCACGAGCAAGGCCACGGATGCAGCAGTCAGGGACTTTGAGGATGAGGCGATGTCAAATAGTGTATCCCCAGTGCAAGGTATGTTGTCTTCGTAACTCGCCACACCGTAACCTCTCGAGGCAATTTCATTATTGTGAACGACAGCAATTGACAGACCGGGGATTTTGTTTTGCCGTAGTAAGTCGGCTACAACTGACGTGAATTTGTTTGAATCTAGGAGTTCCATCTTACCGGAATTCTCAAGATATGTTTCGTTGGTCGTGGCGAGCGAGCCAGCCTTGCGGGAGACAGGTGCGAGTGCGGGGATCCCTGCAAATTTGCCAAGTTTCATTGGACGGTCAAGATCACATTCAGTGAACCTTCCAAGGGAAAGTATTTTCCAATGAGGTGGTGCCCTGAAACGTAGGTAATGAAAGAAAAGAGTCATCCACATAGTGAAATGAAATTTCGATGCGAAAATGCTTTTTCCAAAAAAGGAGGCCGCCATTTGATTTTGGATTAGAGGGATACTGGAATATATATGAGGTCAGAGAACCAAAATAAGAATCTGCTGTAATTAAACGGAAAAAAGTTGGTTTTAATTTCAAGATTTCAAAGAGATAAGCTTATATATTGATGAAGAGAAGATCAAGTTGATTTTCAATCAACTTAACTCTTCATATGGATATACCGGGAACTCATTCCCATCGTGCGGCTTGGTTCCTGATCTGCATCATCCTCATATCACCAATAATATTTTTCACTTGTTCAAAGTGCCCTGAAACGAGGAACGAGTGAAGGGCTTACTACAATCATTAGTGAAATCTGCTTCGCACTGTCGAAAGTTTTAACGAGAGCCCCGCTACCAAGACAGCGGTGAATCATTTTACCCTAATAGCGCTCCAGGTGTGGGTACGCGACACGGGACTATTACCCTTATCTATAAGTGGATAGCTCTTGTGTCTTTGGAACGATACGAAACAAAATGTGACAGCGTAAATTTACAGAACATTCAGATGTCCTGTCAAGATTTTATCGACTTAAGAGGGGATAGATGGCTGCTTGGGTCAATGAAAGTGCATGATATGTCCAGAAACCCGCGGAGAGTAGATCAGTATCTCTGGCTGTTAATATTATACATCAAGGTGAAAAGGCTGTACATATATAACAAGACATATTAAAAAGTAGGTGGGAGGCATGTCTTGATCCTTTGCATGGCTTGTTTACGCTTATACATACCGGGGAGCTTCACTCTCACTTTCTTCCATTTTGGCCCCTGCTTAGCTGTTTTCTTCTGAACAGACTCTTCTCCGTCAGAAACCTCACACGTGTCACGATGTAGATAGCTTAGCCTGTTGGAAAGCCAGGTATACCGTTTGCCATCCTAGCCCCAAACAGCCTCAGTGACTACCAAGACCCGCTGATAATACAGCAGAGCAGCGTCAACTTTCCCATTGTTTTCACATAGAAGGCAAAAGTTCTTAAGAGTGTTCAAAGCAGGGATGTACGTGAAAGTTGATTTCGCACCAATAGCCGCATCGTAGCCTTTCAGTGCTCGTTCGTATATCACCTCTGCCTCTCGAAGCCGGCCTTGATCTGCGTAGAGGATGCTGAGGTTGTTGACAATATCTAGCGTCGACGTATGTTCTCGTCCTCACGCCTTCTCCTTTCCTTCCAGCGCTCTTTCGAACATCGCCTCTGCCTCTCGAAGCCTACCTTGATTTTGACCCTGAATGAGGCCGTACGGACTGTACTTAATGCTGCGTCATAAATCAAAGAATGTAGTGACAACCTGAGTGAATTGGGTAAATGCATGTTCTATATCTATCCTCACGTAGAAACTATTGCTTACGCCCAAGGTATTCGTGACACCTCAGGCCGCAATTGCATCCATTATGTTATGCGTTCCACCACTACAATAGGTATTTCTGGTAATGGACTTGTACAGCCCGTATTTTGGGGCGCGGGATTTTCTCTTGACGGCGCAGAGGCGGGCGCAGAGAAAAACTTTGTCCGTCTTTCCTGCGCAGCGAAACGATGCGTTCGCCAGCGGATCAAGGAACGGTGGAAGAGGCAATGTGAGGGACAAGACGGCTAAACTGGCCAAACGCCTAATCAAGGCGCCGAGTCGTAAGGCTTTGGAGTTATCCAAGGAACTGTTCAAACCGTGTACGCTGACCATCATCTGGATAAGATCAATGCGTATTGCTAAGAATATTTCTTGTATAAAATCGAGGAAAGAGAAACAGACTGCTATCGCTGTGACTAAGGACCTCAAACACCGAGACATAGCCTACTCCAGTGTTCGCCGTATAATGATCTGAGGCGAACTATACTCGACAAGATCGTTCGTACCGACCTTGGGACACTATAGACTACGGTGCAATCGTAGTCTTACCCGCATGGCGCCCGCTATGCCGCTGCGACAATGCACCAAACTAGTCTTCTTGGCTAGTTCCAATACGCAGGATTAGAGGCGGAATCTGACCAGGACGATCACGAACATATTGGCCTTGCGGCCATGAGATAGGTTGTGAAGACGCTATGTATTCACTAACGAACGATAAGACCGACCACCGTGACTGGTCGACACTCAACTATTACCGATTCACATTGCGCCTCAATCAATTGAGACCCGAAGCACCTAGATATGGGACTGACGAGCGAGAGGCGGGAGCATACGACGTGAACGAGGGGAAGCAGATGGAGTAGAACGCTGTGGGCATTATCAATCTGGGCTCAATTTTATTTAGGCTTCATTATGCGTGGGTATTGGACACAAAACGCTCATTTCTGTGCCGGCCTCACGTGGAAAGCCGATTTTCCTTTGTATGACTGTTTATTGCAAGCCGCGAGTCTCTAGTTAAGGACATCAAATTCTGCTTCGGATTTGGACGAAGCGCCTGTATAGCCTCGGTGCATCTAGTTAGGCCTTTTCAGGTTAAATGGTCGTTGATTAATTGATTCAATCAACTCCCTTTCACATAAGGACTGATTTCACTTGGTGAACAAATGTGGTGACAGACCGAGGAATACAACGATTGCTCCATCGCTAAAAGACCCCCTAGCCCTCACAGAAAGGCCCAATTTGCTTCTGACATCATCATCTCGAGTTCCGACACCCCAGCCGCCGGAAGAAAGCCCCCGAAAATGTGGCCATTGTTATCAGCTACGTCAGCTCGGTTCAAGGTAGTAGATGAAGCATTTATTTCCTGCGAAGCAGATGCAGCAAGAGAACCCGCAATCTGGTCTTGTGTTTTGGGAAGGTCTGACTTTGCGTATCTGTTTGGCTCCGTGAGGGTATCGAAGATGACAGATAACGTGGGTCGTTCTTGACCATTGTGTTCTTGCAGAGCCATATTTTGTGACCGGGTTGACGTTGCCCTTTGTAATAGTCGTTGCAGGGGCCGCCACAACATCCCCTTCTTATCATGTCTTTGCGTCAACTGCCACTTGTTTTGCACCCGGTCGATCACCCCCCATGCTTCATCTGTGAATGCATCTGGTGATCGGACACATAATTCAGAAAGCAAGAAAGCAACATAACACCAATGTGCATTGGCGTGGAATAACCAACTCCATCGATGCGTCTGTTCATTACTTTCCAGTGCGAATGAAGCCCGGATCACTTCAAGTGACAGGCTAAAAAGCTCATCTCGGGTCTGAATAGACATTTCTCTCAGGTTGAGGTGATTGTCTGATCGACGGAAATAAACGTTGATCCACAGGTTAGCGAGGACAAGTCGAGAAACCAACACGCAGACCTTTTGCAATGGGATGGATTCATCGCAAAAGTTAGTGTATTTTTGTCGAATTTGATCGCTAGTTGCTTCGACCATTTGCTCCCGTCTTTGTTGAACATTTTGACTGCCAGAACTCGACTGAATTGCAGAAGTCACCTTGTTGAGAACAACCGCCACCTCGCATCGAATGAGGCAGAATGTCATCTCGGTGAAGCCTGTTTGCGGTATTACAGGCTCCGTCATTCCTGGGTAGATAGAAGCATCATTCACATTAGAAGGAAGTTCAGTGTTGTACATTCCCTCTGAAATTTGGCTGTCAGTTCCATGTTCCTCTGAAGATCGCATATCCAACATGACAATGTGCCACCATAATCGTCGGCGAATTTCCGTTTCGAACGACGTTAGTCCGAGCTGTGAACCATCGCGATGCAAACCAAGATACTGCCCAATACGGACAATCATGCTCGTCATAGACCATACAAATCTGGTGTTATCCTCTCGGCGCACTGCCGTCAAAAATAGCACCACAGCTTGTACTAGCATCGTACTTTGCGTGCTCAGCAGATCTGCCTCCGCAATGGCCTGTTGCACTGCAAAACGAAATTTACTCAATAAGACAACTCGACCCACACCGAGCTGACTATGACATTCGTCTGCAGACAGGCTCGCAGTGGCGGCATAATAAATTGAAAACATCAAAGTCTTGGTGATTTCATCTGCAAAGCACTCCCCCTGAACGATACTCATAATACGGTCTCGTACTGTTGGCCAGTGGAGTATTGGCACCAATGGAGCAACATTTGCCTCGTAGGTTTTCATCAGGTAGCAAGCCTTATCCGCCGGTGGGTAGAATCTATGTAAAGAATTGCAAGGAGACGTCATGCCAAAAAGAAACCCCTGAAAGATGTCATCCGTCGGCAAGGGCTCTTCCGAGTCATCTTCTGATGTCGACGAATCTAATACGTCCTGCATTTCCTCAACCTGGAAAGGTTAATGTAGCCGAAAATCTCAGGTTACATGTACTCACATCATTGGCAAGGACGTTCCACACTCTATTGCTCATATACCGGCTTTTTTCTTGGTGCACGGCTAGGCGACCAGGGTCAGAATAGTTTCCATGTATTGACGAAGTAGCAAACCCCGTATCCGAAGCTTCGTGTCTGGTGTGAATTGCGCTCGTGGCTGCGCGATCGTGTCTCGCTTGGTGCGAATCGGAAGTATCCTTATAACTATCAGAGAAAAAAGAAGAGATCCCAGGCACGCTTTTGATCCTTTCCTCGAGCTTCTCAATGCGAGCCAAGATATCAGGGCTCACAGGTTGGGTGTATCTGCGACGCTTCTTTTTGACCTCTTGAAAGATGCATTGAGTCCTATCTCGGAGACATGTTGAGCATGGCTGGATACGATCACAACGTACTTTTTTACGTCTGCATTGATCACAACTGTGTCGAGATATCTTCCCACTTAAGGCGGAATGCCTGAGGTCAAATCCTGAGTTTGACATGTGTTGTGAAGGGTCCATGGCATATGGCAGGAGATATTGCCCGTACCCGAGCGGCGCCAAGGTTCAAAATCGACACCTATCCTGGGAAGCTACCGTATAATTTTGGTGAAATCACTGTCGACAGGATCATCATCCTGTTCAATTGCGCTGATGAGAAGAGCACCAATTTAAAAAGTTCGAACTGGATGAGTAACCCCGATTACTCATCCATCACCAAGATCATACGGTTTGCCGACGGACCGAGATCCCACGGACTTCCGAAGGCCGTTAAGCTCCGGTAGAATAGAGTTTCTGTGGAGTCGCTCATATCCTTTGGATTGATAATCGATATGGCAATATGTCAATCACCTACCCCGTGTATTTGTCATCAAAAATGGCGGTCTAGTGGAGTGGAATCACTCCACTTGAGTCGATTTGTCACCCCTTTAGAATGCAAGGTTGACTCTTTATCTCGAGAAATATCCCTCCAAAAGTTCTTTGATCGAATCTCAAGTCTCAAGTGCTCACCTTCAAAAGATTAGTTGATCCCTGAGAATGTCCGGATCTATTACTGCTCCCGCCATCATCGTTGTAGGTGCCAGTGGGAATCTTGGGCCTTTCATGGTTCAAGCATTATTGGAACAAAAGGCCAGATTTTCACGCATAGCCATTCTTTCCGCGCCAGAAAAGAAGGACAAGTTTGATACCGCTGCCAAAGATGGGATCGATATCATCCTGGGAAGCTACAAAGATGCAAAGTCTTACGAAGGTACTCTTAAGATATTTCTCGAATTGAGTGTTCTTAAAGTTAATTAACACTTGATAGAATTTGATGTCGCGATATCCCTTGCTGGGAATTCGATTATGGCTGACCAGCCGCAAATGATTGATGCCGCTATTCGAGCGGGTGTCACTCATTTCTACCCATCCGAATTTGGAGTTGATATTATGCAGCCCGCTTTTCTTCAAGAGCGCTATTTCCGAGACAAACATCTGACTCGTGAGCATTTGAGAAAACGCGCAGGTGAGGTCTCTGGATTTATCTTCACCGAGATGATCATCGGAGCTTTTTTGGAGACGTTCATATTGTCAGATGTCTTTGGACTGGACAGGCCTGGTCGAAAACTCACATACTATGGAAACCTTGACGATGTCAAGTCTTTTTCCTCCATGGCAGAGTGAGTTTCTAGAGTCTATTACTGCTCCTATTATTGACAAGTCGATATTTTAGTACCGCGAAGTATACCGTTGATTCTATCTTTCTGCCTTTTGAATCTGGAACAACAGAGCGAACGATAAAAGTCCCAAATGGAAACTATACGATTCGCGAAATTGTCGAAGTTCTAAATGATATTGATGGTACTCAATACGAGACGCGCGTTTTTCCTGTAAGTGATGCGAGGAAAGAGCAAGAATTAGCTCGTCTTGCCAAGTCCAATGACCTTGAACTGGCATTTTCCTTAAAGGCACTGTTTTCAAGTCCCTATGCTGTTGTCCCCAAACCATGGCAGAACGACATGTTCCCATTCAAGCCAAAAGGTTTGGTTGAAATGATCCAAGATTGTATTTAAAAGGTTTCAATATTTTATTTTGAGTTATCAGCAAATGACTGTAAATTAGATAAACCTACAATAAATGATCTCTCGATCTGCAGACGCCCACTCTTACTATTTCTACTCCACAGCACTAAGTGACGGTAAGCCCGACACACGTGACCCCGATGTACCACCGTACATTGCTAAGCACTGGTATACCGCAGGGTATGACCAGAACTCAGAGGCGGAGGATATATAAGGACACTCTTTCATGTACTTAGTTTAGTTCTTCGCGATGAAAACTACATTGTTACTTGGAACCTACTATAACGATAGTATCTTCACTGTTCGACTTGTTGACAACCCATCCTACAATTAGGCCAGTTCCTCAGTGACCTGACCTTATTGGCGCTCTACATAAGAGCACCATCGAGAAGCTAATATATAGACCCGAGCCCATGTAAGGCTTAGCGAGCTAGGACACAGTATGGTTGCAAGTGTGATAACACGGCCTTGTATGGGGATACGAACGGTCACGTTACCCTACTTTTTCTGCCATACGGCACCGCCCTTAAGGCATATTTCTATCCTTTCGTACACTTACTTAGCAATACACACCTTTCCACCTCCAGAATCTCACAAGTATAGCTTGAAGGCACGACCGTGGTAAGTATACCCGATAAAGACCAGCTCACCAGTTCGCAGGAACAGTGCATAACAAGTACACGCTATGGTATCCTATCTAATGATATCTACAGCTTCGATGAAACAGGCTTCCTAACGGGTCTAGTTTCTACCGCAAGGATAGTCACCAAAGCTAAATATTATGGCCGTAGATCTATTCTACAGCTTGATGTTGCCGCCATTGATTATATTTGTCAGAGAGGGATGAGTGAATACGGAGATATGTGTAAGAGTGATGAATTGGTGCTATGGGAGAAGTAGGCTATCTAGACTACAAACAATATTAAAGGCAAGCGCTATATAGCATCATGGGTTTACGCTACACCTACCGACTGGCGCTTCGAGGTCAGCATAAATGGTTGGACATCCGATGAAACTACCCTTCAATGGCTTCAAACGCTATTTATTCCAATGACCGCAAGCTATACACGTGGTCGGTATATGCTATTAATCGTCCATAGTCATAGAAGCCACCTCAGTCTAAATCAGATCATTTATGCGCTGAAAACGACGCGATACCTATATGAATGCCAACACATACCTCGTATATATTGCAGCCATTAGATTTAGGCTGTTTCGCAGTTCTAAATAAATGGTACGGTCGCTTAATAGATCAGCAGACGCGTATGGGAATCAACTATATCGACAAGCTTGATTTCCTTGAAGTATACACCTAAGCACGCGCAGATGTATACCAGGCTAAGACTATTCAAAATGCATTCAAAGCGACTGGTTTGGTCCCATTAGACGCGGAATCAGTGCGATCAAAGCTAAAATTTCAGCTTCGGTCACCGACATCTATCATTGAACGACCTACAAGCAAGCAAGCATTTATTACCCAAAAACTCTTACCACAGTCCTACTGCTATCGAAGCATGCAAACTCAATTGGAAGCCTAAAAGCCCACTAATGCCTACCAAAGAGGTCATCAATTGTATATTTGGCCTCTTCGCCTCAATATATTACTACTGACAAAGCATATGCATGACTGTACTCTATACAACGGTGATGTTGTATTCGGAATGAATAGTAGTAATTGAAGGTTCACGAACAATCGAACTTGGTACGGACTCGCCCATCGGTGTTGATTTGGTGTTCCATTTGGCTGGTTGGCGTTTAAATCCTGTTATTTCTACTTGCAGCGGCAATCCACGCTACAAGGCAACTATTCCCAGAAAATAAAAAAAATAAACCTGATCCAGTCATATTTCGGAAAAATGATTAAGTATCTGCTTTGGAATGATCAGTGCAGGAAGTCGACTTAGCGGTAGGCAAAAAGCTATACGTTGAAAAGCATACGCTGGATTTAATACAGGTCCTCATATCATATCTTTAAAACATTTATTATCTTAATTGATCACACAGTCATTTAATTTCAGAGCAAAACGGTAAACTTTTGTCTGATATCGCTATTTACCGAGCTGCAACACGTTCCTAGGAACCAGACTCACCAATCGGTAAGGATGGTCTTACCTGCATCTACTGGAATCTCAAAAAGCGGAACGCCGGCAATGTATCAGGTCAAGGCGAGAGATTCTTCGCAGTTCGGGGTTTCGGAAGACCGCGCTAGCGGCGCGGAAGCGATGGCCATTCTTGACCCGTGTTTTCCGGCAAGTGGATTCGATTCGAGCGTCTGGTTGGATTTTCATTGACAAAGAAGGATATGTACAGAAATAGTTCAAGCTCATATTACTATTTTCTTGAACTGTATAAAACCCTGCATGGGCTGAGGTCCTTTACTCGCAAAAGATATTCGCTCAAGTGGTTCGCAACAATTATTGATAGCCGCTTCCGTGTCGAAGCAGAGTCACCAACCCGACAAAATGTCATCTCCTGAATCCCTCGCTGATGATTCCTGCGAAACAAAATTTCAAGAAACCAGCAAAACTCTCGATGTTCCCGAAATGAACATCCACGAGACCAGCAGCTCCGAAACCCTCAACGCACCTAAAGCTCCTGCCACTCCATCTCCTAAGAGCAATGCAGAATGGGGCATGATGCAGCAAGTCATTCAGAACGCCCGGCGCGACGAGGCAGCCGGCTACAAGCGACGCGATCTTGGTGTGACTTGGCAGAACCTGTCTGTGGAGGTCCTCGCTGCCGATGCCGCTGTGAAAGAGAACATGATTTCTCAATTCAATGTCGCTCAACTCATCAAGGATAGACGCCGGAAGCCCCCACTCAAGTCGATCTTGTCCGACAGTCATGGCTGTGTCAAGCCTGGTGAAATGCTTCTTGTCTTGGGTCGACCTGGTTCCGGATGTACCACGCTTCTTAAGATGCTTGCCAACCGTCGTGAAGGATATCATACCATCAATGGTGCTGTGCACTTTGGTAACATGACGCATGATGAAGCAGTCAAATATCAAGGCCAGATTGTGATGAACACGGAAGAAGAGTTGTTTTACCCTCGCTTGACTGTCGGTCAAACGATGGATTTCGCCACTAAGCTTAAGGTCCCCTTCCATCTCCCCGATGGAGCCAAGAGCGTTGATGAATATACTGCTGAGACTAGGCAATTTCTTCTGGAGTCTATGGGAATCTCTCATACGGCCGACACAAAAGTGGGAAATGAGTTTGTGCGCGGTGTATCTGGTGGAGAAAGAAAGCGAGTTTCTATTATTGAGTGCCTCGCTACAAGAGCTTCAGTATATTCATGGGATAACAGCACGCGCGGTCTAGACGCCAGTACAGCATTAGAATGGGCGAAGGCCCTTCGTGCTATGACCGACGTGCAAGGCCTTTCCACCATCGTCACCCTTTATCAAGCAGGGAACGCGATTTATAACCTATTCGATAAGGTCCTCGTTCTTGATGAAGGAAAGCAAATTTACTACGGACCTACTGCGCAAGCAAAGTCGTTTATGGAGAATCTGGGTCTGATGTATACTGAGGGGGCGAATATTGGTACGATTTGCCTTTCCTTAATCAATTGCTTGATATGTTAACGCGAGTGTTGTTAGGTGACTTTCTCACTGGTGTGACTGTTCCGACCGAGCGGAAGGTTAGACCTGGCTGGGAAAACCGATTTCCCAGAACCGCGGACGCTATTTTGACCGAATACAAAAAGTCAGCGATATATAGCAATGAAGTCTCTCTCTACGACTATCCCGACAGTGACGTTGCCGCTGAGCGCACAAACGCATTTAAAGAATCTGTTGCTTGGGAAAAGTCCGAACACCTTCCGAAGAACAGTGACCTGACCATCAGTTTCTGGGCTCAGATCTCTTCCTGTACTCGAAGACAGTACCGGATTCTGTGGGGAGAGAAGTCTACTTTCTTGATCAAGCAGATTTTGTCATGTGTTATGGCATTGATCGCTGGTTCTTGTTTCTACGACTCGCCGAATACCACTGAAGGGCTCTTCACCAAAGGCGGCGCAGTCTTTTTCTCCCTGTTGTATAACTGTGTCGTGGCTATGTCTGAGGTCACTGAGTCGTTCAAAGGACGGCCTATTCTGATCAAGCATAAAAGCTTCGCTATGTACCACCCGGCTGCATTTTGTCTGGCTCAAATCATGGCCGACTTTCCTGTGTTGCTGTTCCAGTGTTCGATCTTCTCGGTTGTTATCTACTGGATGGTTGGTCTGAAGCACACCGCGGCTGCATTCTTTACCTTCTGGGCTATCCTCTTCACCACAACTCTTGTTCGTTGATTCATTCCTATTCCTTTCCTACTTCAACTTGCCAAAATACTAACAAGGCGACCATAGTGTATCACTGCCTTATTCAGAATGATTGGAGCCGCATTCAACACCTTCGAAGCCGCCTCCAAGATCTCCGGAACCGCTGTCAAGGCCATTACCATGTACGCTGGCTATATGATTCCCAAGCCAGATATCAAGAACTGGCTCGTCGAGCTGTATTACACAAATCCTTTTGCCTACGCCTTCCAGGCCGCCATGTCTAATGAATTCCATGGCCAACACATTCCTTGTGTGGGCCGAAGTCTCATTCCCAACGGGCCAGGGTATGAGAATGCCCCTGACACTAACAAAGCTTGTGCAAGCGTTGGTGGTGCTACTACTGGTGCTACTTTTGTGACTGGTGATGAATATCTCGGATCCCTTCATTACCACGCCTCCCAAATGTGGCGAAACTATGGGATTCTCTGGGCTTGGTGGGGCTTTTTCGCGGTATTAACCATAGTCTGCACCTGCCTATGGAAAGGTGGCGCATCTGGATCTTCTCTTCTTATTCCTCGTGAGAGTCTCAAGAAGCTCCAGACTCAGAGTGATGAAGAGGCTCAGGGGAACGAGAAGGGCGCTCCCCGTATGACTACAGATAAGCCCGCCGAGGTTGATGATGAGAATCTTGTCCGCAATACGTCTATTTTCACCTGGAAGAACCTTACATACACCGTCAAAACCCCCACTGGAGATCGCGTTCTGCTTGACAACATTCACGGCTGGGTCAAGCCCGGCATGCTTGGTGCTTTGATGGGATCCTCCGGCGCAGGTAAAACGACCCTACTTGATGTGCTGGCTCAACGGAAAACCGAAGGTATGGCCTTTCTCTAATAATGAAAGTTTGATCTACCCTTACTAACGCACTCGTCACTTACCAAGGTACCATTAAAGGCTCTATAATGGTTGATGGTCGAGAATTACCTGTGTCCTTTCAAAGAATGGCCGGTTATTGCGAGCAGCTAGATGTTCACGAGCCATACGCAACCGTGAGAGAGGCCCTACAGTTTTCTGCCCTTTTGCGTCAGTCCCGTCAAGTCTCTAAAGAAGAGAAGCTTAAGTACGTCGAAACCATCATTGATCTCCTTGAGCTTCACGACCTCGCCGATACCCTCATCGGTTCTGTGGGCAATGGACTTAGCGTTGAGCAAAGAAAGCGTGTCACTATTGGCGTGGAACTAGTTTCAAAGCCTAGTATTCTCATTTTCCTGGATGAGCCTACCTCTGGCCTTGACGGGCAATCAGCCTACAATACGGTTCGGTTCCTTCGAAAGCTTGCCGATGTCGGCCAAGCAGTTCTTGTCACCATCCATCAGCCTTCCGCGCAACTTTTTGCCCAGTTTGACACCCTCTTGCTTCTCGCCCGGGGGGGCAAGACTGTCTACTTTGGAGATATCGGCGACAATGGAGCCACCATCAAGGGCTACTTCGGCAACCACGGTGCCGTTTGCCCCCCTGAAGCTAATCCAGCCGAGTTCATGATCGATGTGGTTACTGGGGGTATCGAGGCTGTTAAAGATACGGACTGGCATCAAATCTGGCTTGCATCGCCAGAGCAGCATACCATGATTACCGTTCTGGACAGAATGATTGAAGATGCTGCAAATAAGCCTCCTGGAACAACCTCTGATGGCTATGAATTCTCTATGCCTCTATGGGAACAAATCAAGATCGTCACTAAGCGCATGAACGTCGCACTCTTCCGAAACACAGACTACGTCAATAACAAGATGTCCTTGCATATTATCTCCGCGCTCTTGAACGGTTTCTCCTTCTGGAGACCCGGCCCAAGTGTGAATGCCTTAAACCTAAAGATGTTCACAATTTTCAACTTCGTCTTCGTTGCACCTGGCGTCATCAATCAATTGCAACCCCTGTTCATCCAACGGCGCGATATCTACGATGCCCGGGAGAAGAAATCCAAAATGTACTCTTGGGTCGCCTTTGTTACCGGACTTATCGTTTCTGAATTTCCCTACCTCTGCATTTGTGCTGTCCTTTACTTCGCATGCTGGTATTACCCTGTCTGGAGACTTCCTCACAACTCTAACCGATCGGGTGCCACTTTTTTCATTATGCTTATCTACGAGTTCATCTACACCGGTATCGGACAGTCCGTCGCTGCCTATGCGCCTAACCCTACTTTCGCTGCTCTCGTCAACCCTTTGATAATTAGCGTCCTGGTCCTCTTCTGTGGCGTCTTTGTGCCATATACCGAGCTTAATATTTTCTGGAAGTACTGGCTGTACTACCTGAACCCGTTCAATTATGTTGTTTCCGGAATGTTGGCTTTCGGCCTCTGGGATGCCGAAGTTAGCTGTAACGAGGATGAGTTTGCCGTATTTGATCCTATCAACGGTACCTGCGCGCAGTACCTCAAGGATTATATGGCTAGTCAGGGTTCTATGGTCAACTTGATCAATCCAGATGCTACTTCCGCCTGCAAGGTATGTGAGTACACTGATGGCAGCAACTTCTTGGAAACTCTGAACATCAATCATTATTATGTGGGATGGAGAGATGCTGCGATTTCTGTTATCTTCGCTATCGGTGGATATGCTCTAGTCTTCGGGCTGATGAAGTTGAAAACTAAGGCTTCGAAAAAGGCAGAGTAGAACGGTGGTCAGATTATCATACATATGGAGCGGATTGAGAGGAATGTCGGTGATTGGAGAGGGTTTAGGTAAAAGTGCGCAGACAATAGAGCATAGAGCGTGGAGAAAATATAGAAGAAAGCTTGAATGCCTTTTTTTTTATTTTGACATCGAATTCAGTGTTTGAAATTTTCAAATTCGAAGCCCGGTTATATTCCTCATAGACACTTAAACAGCACCAGGGTTACCACCTATGTTGCAAGATCCTCACACGCCTGACACAATATCAAAATATATTTCTCCCGAGATTTGGGTCATAATTACGCCCAATTCATTCATTCACCATATGTACAAAAGAAATGGTAGATCGATCTACTCTCTCACACACCGCCTCCATCACCTCTGTTTAGGTATAGGAATAGTTCTGTGTTACTTTTGTTGGAGTCTCCTAGTCTGCAAAGCCGGACTGTCACCGAGCCATCCCCATATCAACAATTAGGACAGTAGAAGTTGAAGCTGCTGCAACAGACCTCAATACTTTGATATGGAATCACTTACCCCACAAACCTCCATGGCAAATGAAACAGGACACTATAGTTGGTCTCGAAATCGGCGTCACTACCTACACTCTTCGATTGTTTCTCAGACCCACCTGCCGAGGCCCGCTAGCTCACTTTGGGGTCTTTCCAATAATCTTTGTCAATGAAAGACGGTATCATACTTCACAATTGGCGAGCTGCACTGTCGCCCGTTTTATTCACTCATATCGACAATACGCCCGAGTTGGGCACAAGGGGTGTGTCGGAATGAAATAACGATTATCTAAGCACTAAAAAGTGTCATTGGCATTTGTCTACACAGGCTATATTCGTATAGCCTAAGTATGCTGAGAGGATCAATGAGGTCAAGCGGAATCAAAATGATATGGATTGAAATGATTGATTGATTAAGGAAACTCAGGAGACTGCTGTTGAGAGTAGTCCCCTTGCCCTTACGGGTGGGCTTGGCGGTCCGTACGGGATTGTCAGTCCGTACAACCAATACTCGGCGGTTACCACGCTCGAGTCCATGAGTAAGCAGAATTACATACAAAGACATAAGGAATGTGATCTTCAATGACCACTAGTTAGCGGTAAGTTATCACTCCATGGGCTGGCACAAGTGATCCCTTCCAAGTACAGAGCTACTTGGATTCTGAATCAAAGAACGGCTATTAGCCCTCTCCCCCCCCCCCCCCCTTCCCCCTCTCCGGCATTTAGGATTGCCGGGTCAAATTGTATCCTCTGGCGATAAATACAAGTTGTTTGATTCCCTTCAAGCAGAAAGCCCAACACCAGCCAAAGTAATCGGGTGCTTGTTGGTGAAGTTAGGTATATCGGCAAAGAGCTTGTCTGTGTCAGGGTCCCTCTGCGCATTCTGTAAGGATTCCTCGCTCTCAAAGACTAGCGTTGTCGCGATCAGGTACATGGACGGAGAGCCATCGAGGGATTTGGTGTATTCAACCACATGGCAGCTGATCAATCCGTGCTTTTTCCAAATACTCTCAACGAGGGGCATGTGGACTTTCATATAGTAGTCGCGGTTGAATTGAATTTCCGCGTCATTGGGATACATAACAGCAGCGTGGTAAGGCATAATGACGGTTAAAATGAGGTTTGGGAGTGCACAGGAGGAGAGGGTAGTCGTACTAAGTTATATTATATTTCTCTGATGAGATTGATGGCTAAATAAGTTTGCCGATATCCGTCCTGAGGCGAGGCAGCATTTAGAACTCTCGGGCCGGCCTTCGGTAGTCCGCTGTTCTCGGTAGTCCGCTGGTCTCGGTAGTCCGCAGTTTTCGGCCCCGTCGGTTTCCACGGGTCGCAGAGTGTCTTCGTAATAGCCTCCCCCAGAAACCACACACTTATCTCATATCTGGCTCTGAGGCTTCTGCCTGCTTCATAATCTGGATTTATTGACAGTGACGTCCATCTTGCAAGAAAAGCACCGGTATGTGGGAAGAGGTAGAATGTTGATTGGGCAGGTCAAGGAGAGTGGGCCAGTGACGCAAGACACAACTTGCTCCAAAAATCCTCTACAAAGTCGTCCCACTTTGAGGACAGCCACACAGATCAGTCATTAGCGCATGGGCCATATGAGAATCCTATCAGTCGATGGTAACCAACACTTTCTTCATCTCCCGGGCCAAAGTCCCTCCGGAATATTTTCTGTAGATCAATGCCAGCAGATTTCAAATCTGCTACTCGTTTTTGATGAGCTTGACTTGGAGATGAGATATGACGTTTACACACATCGACCTAGTAGAAATATCCCCCTTAAAATGCAAGTACCAGAATTTGTCGACTGACAACGTGATTCAAATCCACAATAACTTGTAAGAACCCCATAAACAATCTGTTCCTCGATTTTTAGAGTTAAAGATATACTTTTCCTATTATGATGGAACGCGATGGTCTGGATCTCCGACTTTGATGGTGAACTTGGCTTTTCCATGGATGAGACCCTTGTAGGGCAGCCTGACTTGCTCCAATCATCCTCACCACACAATGCACGAGTGTCGTGTTCTTGGATCAAAATGCCACGTTCTCTCAAGCTGGAAATTTTAGGCTGTCAAGAGACCTGGCCCAAGCATCTTTTGGATCAATTTAGGCATATGGTAGGCATCCCTGACACCAAAAGCAGCATTGGAAGCCACTGCAATCCTTGTCTCTTGGGGAATTTTGTAATAACCAGGATAGCCATTTTGCTGTAAGAATCCGAACTCCTCGCTTGAACCACAAAACAAGGACAAATCTCCACTGATTCTTTTCTTCTGGCGTGATATTATAAGTAATTTCCTTTGTACTACGATGAAGAAGGCGTAAACGCGGAAAAATGGGCTGACCCTTGCCATATCAGAGGGTCCCACAGAATACCAACATATCGAGGGGTGTTTATGGTTGGGACGACTCCCTGCCATATAAGATTCAAATCCCTGATCGAGGAGAAATCTCAGAACTTCGCGCTTCCTAAGCCCACATATGGCGTACTAGAATTACAATCAGTTCAATAGCGACCCCATAAAACTAGATTCTAATATCGGGAAATGGAAGAGAGAAAGTTTGAAAACCATTATTGTGGATGTGCATGTGACGTCTCCCGAATTCGCTTGATGTCACTTCAGGATCAGGCATGCCAGTGAAACCCGTGAGTCGGTCTTCCATCGCTCCGTTTGACCGTAAGTCTTCAGCCCGATACGTGTAGTCAGTTGCACTAACCTATGCATCGTGAAGAATACCCTGTTTTTGCTAACAGATATAAATAAAAATCGTCAGTGTCGTGATATCATCTTCGAAATCGTCGGCTATATCCGATCTAGATAACCCCTTGTTATCACTGCAGTCATCTGAAAGCTTCGACTTTGATATTCGGTTTTTCTCGGGCTGAGCCCGGAGAAGTGCCTCTGGAATCCCTTGCCGGTCGAAAAAGCTTATGAGAGAAAGCAAATCCGCGACGGTTTTTTTTGGCGAATATGATGGAATGATATTTGCCACGTCACCAAAATCGAGTTCTTGGCCTCTGAAAACTGAGGCGGGTCATATCTACCGGGATTCGAAAGCTTTGTTGCTTCGCGGTCATTCTTTAGAAGTCTCTCAGATACAGCGATATCGAAAAACGAGGCGCTCGATCCCTAATATAGCTTGCTGCCTGCATAATCGCTAGCGGGATAAATTCGAGCTCTTCCACTAAATGTCGAATTTCTTGACTTTCCCCCTTGTTGTTCAAGCTTTCTTTGGAGAAGCTTTAGCGCCTCAGACCTGTCCATCGGTTCAACATCAATAAGGTCTTTATAATCGACCATTTTTAAAACAGCCTCTCGAGTCCGACTTATGATAATCACAAATCCATCCAAGCTTCTACGGAGGTATTCCAATAGTGGCTTTGTGGAGACATTCACTAGACTATTCTTCGGATCTCCGTGACTAGTCACCGGAGACTTGCGAAGGAACTCATGATCTCGGAAACTTTGCTCGAATCGGGTTGCGTTACTCGTATGGACCCAGAGCACCTATGTTGCCTGTGCTTGGGATCGCACTAGTAGGAGTATTCGATGGTCAGCTGTGATTTCCTTTTATTTATTAGCACTGGATCGCGTACTGGTTGCTCTACACTAACCCTGATTAAGAAGTGTATCGCGACTGACAAAGTCTGGATCGCGTGCGAATGGCACAGTTGACAAAGGACTGGGTGGAGTTTCCGGCCGCTCTGGGGTGGGAAGCCGTGGTTAGTCAGTCGAGTCTAACCCATGCTCGGTTCCGTTCCAGACTTACCCGGAGGCAGGTGGAAGTCTGCCCTGGATGTGCCATAATTGATTCCCACCTGCGCTCCATAGTTGACACCAGAGTGGCTTGTGGACGCCATGATCGTACAAGCGTGCCTGTTTGTAGTTCATTACAAGCTCTAGGTCTCAGCTGAAGGAGGGACCCGTCATCAGGTGACTCGGCTCCTCGGCGCTAAGACAGGAAACCCGATTAGGAGGCCACCCACATGGAGCAGCGTGTTGGTCCTGTTGGGTAGGATCAGCACCTTCCCAGGAACCAGATCGACCCAAGACAGAACACTCAAATCAAGCGCAGCACGCGATAATCAGCCAGGCGAAAAGCACGCTTTGATGTTACCCTTCGAGAGTCTATTGCTGCCGATTGATTCAAACACACCTACTAGATAAAGTAGTATTTGAAATCAGAGTTACCTTTACACTCTTAGACTTTCATTCCCGAACCCTAGCTCGAAACACGCTAATTTATTTTTTGCTCTTCCCCAGTAGTTTTTTTCACACTGTATTGTAATGGAAGACTCGCGCGGGGCGTGCTTGCCCTGGAACCATTGATGATAAGAAGTGGGTGGTATACTAAGATTCGAAAACAGATTACCCTTTAGACGCTCACTTTGTTTCTCGGGCCGTACCCGAAACGTCACGAGGTTGTATGGGAAAGACAAACCCTATTTGGCTTATGTGGTCAGATCCCAGACTGATTGGAGGCCTTCACTTTCTACCCCTCCGCCTTTATCTCTGCTCGGTGCCCAGAATCCAAGGACTAAAGTTTCAGTCTTCTTTACGCCATCTGTTTCTCCGAAAATACTGATGTTGTTTAACAAGCGCATTCTTATTACCGGCTGTTCAGCTAATGGAATTGGCGCTGCAATAGCCCTGGCGCTGGCCCGGAAAGGCCACCATATTTTTGCGACTGCACGAAAATTGTCGAAGATTCCAGTATCACTTAGCTCAATTAGCAATGTGACACTTGTCCAGCTGGATGTCACATCTCCCAAGTCTATCACAGAGGCTGTTCGAGTCGTGGAAGATTATGGCGTGGGCCTCGATATCTTGATAAACAACGCTGGGATTGGCTATACGATGCCGTTGTTAGATGTGGATATCGAAACTGCGCAACGAACGTATGACACAAATGTGTGGGGTGTACTAAGGGTTACTCAAGCCTTTGCACCTTTACTTCTCAGGAATAAGGGCAAGATTGTCACGTTGAGTAGTGTCGGGGGAGTCACTAATACTCCCTGGATCGGTATAAGAATTTAATCCATTTGGTCAAACATGTTTACCGCTTACTGACACGGTGTAGGCATTTACACATCTTCCAAGTCAGCCATAACGATGATCTCAGAGACACTCAGGCTTGAGCTTGCTCCTATTGGAATTAATGTACTCACCGTTATGGTCGGTACAGTCACCACTTCGTTCCATTATAACGAACCGGAAGTTTTGCTACCTAATTCTTCCCACTTCCTAGGCGCTAGAGACACCATCGCGCAGCGGGCTACTGGCCAGGTAGGGCCCAAAGGGTGCCCAGTCTAGGCGTTTGCGGATTCTATTGTGGATGATATTATGGGAAAATCTGGGATAATATGGAGAGGACCCTATAGTAAAACACTCTGGCTTGCATCCAAATGGATGCCTCAATGGCTGTGGGTAAGTATGTAGCTGACTTGCATGAACGGCATTGCGCTGATATCAATATCCAGGACTACCTTTTAAGCTATCAGCAAGGCCTTGGCAACCTGGTCGAAGCCTGATTATTTGTTCAATGTCGGGTCAGAAAAGTACAGAGTTTCGTTCCTTGAGAAGTCCATTTCTAAGGCTTACATTCAGGGGGCGAGGGCGGGCAGCACCTGCAGAGACCTAAAATTGAACTGAGCGTCCCTGCCGATAAGAAGCCTCTCATCCGGCAATTATAAGACCGTAATATAGTTAGCTGAGGAAGTATATTAGTGTCGGACGAATCGCCTAGTAAAAGGAATCGATCAGCTTCCTCCGTCACTGGATGTCCTATCTGCACGAGTATTTGAATGTGGAGCGAATCATAGCGGAATTCACAATTTTAGAGAAGACCGTTTACATCGATCTTAGGTGTGTGAATTGAATGCAATATCTTCACTTTCCTATGCTATGATATCTTACTTAAGTGACGCTGATGGGCTAGATAGTGGGAAGCTCATGCAGAAGGGCTAACCTCTTTGCTACGGCACTGAGAACGTAAGTCGCCAATATTGCGTCGGTGAAGTGAAGCTGACCTGAGAAATTTAAATGCTAGTCGAGCGAGGAGCCAATATCAACGGCCAGGATGGATTCTACAAAAATACGCTCCAGGCTGCTTCTTCTAGAGGACACGATAAGATCGTGCAGATACTACTAGAGCGAGGAGCTTGTGTCAACGCTCAGGGTGAATTCTACGGAAATGCGCTCCGGGCAGCTTCTTCTGGAGGACACGAGAAGATCGCGCAGATGCTACTAGAGCAAGGTGCTAATGTCAACGCCCAGGGCGGATTCTTCGAAAATGCACTCCAGGCAGCCTCTTCTGGAGGACACGACAAGATCGTGCAGATATTGCTAGACCGGCGAGCGGATCAATCTGTAATCTGTCACTCCCCTCTCAAAAGGATCAAAAGATCACGAAGCTTGCAGAATACACGGTCTAATAAAGTCTGAATAATCAACAATCTCTCCCTGAACCCCTCCGGCTACCTCGGGAACGGTGCTATAATTCTCGCTATTAGTATCGATCACTGGAAACAGAACATGTACTCATATATGTTTGAGATGACGTGACCATGAGCCACTGGATACGCTATCATCAGAGTAAAAGCATATTACTGCACAGATCTGACTGTTTTCGGCTTGTTCTTTCAGATTGTATGATTAATAAGCGGCCTTTTCTTTCATCGACTTACGTACCTTGGGAATTTTTACAACATGTATGAGATAGGCAAAACTATACTGTAAGCTGAGTGTATCATGCTGGCTTAGTATCGTCTATTAAATCAATTATAAATAGCCGTAGAGTTAAAATTACCCCCCAATGGCTTGGAAGTGGGGCAGTCATGATAATTTTGAAAGTTAAGGGCGGAAGCTGTTTTCGCTAATGACTATAGAAGCGACTCTAACTTGATATGGTCTACGGCAAGAATCGGATGAGTTTATAAGTATCGGAACACTAAAGCGTGAGCAGGGGCGCACTCGAGCGAACCCTGTAAAGACGGCAGCTAGCGGGCGGCGCACAGTGGCAGCTGGGTTGCTGTAGATGGGCGCACCTGACGACTACGATCAACACAAGATCTATGAGTTAACATTGTGGGCGCCAGCGCTAACGGGGAGGTTAGATGACAAAGTCGAACAAAAGTCGTAGAAGAGGATAGAAACAAAAACACAGGTTGCAACATAACTCAGAGCGTCACCGTAAAAGAGAGTTCTACAATTGGGAACGAGGGAATCACATCAACGAAACGTGCAGATAGGTTGCGTATACAGATGGCAAGCCCTAAAGCCCTGATACACCAGACCCGAAAAGGCAAGGCGAAGGGCGAATGGACAGCGCACGTGGCAGTAGCGGCCCTACGTAGTCAAGCTCCGTTTTTTTGCGGACGCGCACGTACGTGCACGTTGATTAGTTCCCTTTCTCCCACTGCGTTCGTTTCAGGGCACTGGTGACGCGCGCTCTCGGACGCTATGGCCCTGAAACGAAACAATGAATTTTCTTAAGCGATGAGCTAGAGAAGCTTGAGCCTCGCGTCCGATGCATAAATTGTGTTGAACTGGCCAGTATACAGCACAATGCTACTACAGGGGGTTATGCTTCTCCAAAGTGGAGCAAGGGGTAGCCGAGGACCAATCATGTCCTAGCACTCATAAACGCGCCATGGACGTTCTTCTAAAATTGTTCGAAGAGTCAGTTCCCATCACAGAGCCACAAACCGTATATTAATCGAGACAGGCCGCTTCATCTTTTGCCATGAATCTCTCGGCTACGGCATGAGTTTAGCGATGTTTAGAAGACCAATTAGTTTCAAGAATAGCTAAGTCTAGTGATGGTAAATCAACCCTTGAACAGTACCATAAGAAAGGCTATCATCTATCAGGTAAATAGCTCCAGACAGAGCCAACGCCCAAGTTGAAGAGAAAATAGGCAGACCGTCACTGGTAATGGTCAGATCATTGTGTCTTCTTTGCCTTCACCTTTTTCCCTCTTCGGTGCTTTAGGGCATCCGGAGTGTATTCGGTGTCAAGGAGGTAGTCCCACCAGCGGAAGCTGCTTGAGTAGTTCCCAATGAATTTCTCGTGGTGGAGGTCGTGATGATCAGCACCAGCCCAGAAAGGCAAGAAATGGTGAAGACTGCAAGGAAATTCGTAGCCACTGTGGGCATCGATAGCCTGGAACAAGCGCAACACAATCCATATATACATAGTGAGAATATGCAGGTTACCGGTGAAAGCACACCAGAGGATCGGGCAGCTGACGGTCCCGAAGCCGAGAATCATCACTTCAATAGGAGAAGCATATTCGGCGGCCAAACCAAATGGTGCGGAATACTGATGGTGAATTTTGTGAATAGCCTTGTAGAGTGGACCCCAATGAAGAGCTCGGTGGACAAAATAGTGCCAAGTGTCCTCCATCACGAAAAATATTGCAATCTGATACGTCATAGTCCAGGGAGACGGAAAAGGAATCGATGTTGATAGACCGCAGAACTGGGCCATTGGGTGGAAAAGCCTAGAAGAGCCGTTACTACTCAATCGGGCCCGAGAGGCAAACGTCAGGTAGAATACCACTCCGTCGAGGGCAGGAACATACCAGATTTGAGGAAGTTCGACGGTGAAGTGGCTCAGAAGCACAAACTTGGCGCAATCCCATTGCTCGCGTAATGAAGGTATTTTGCTCTGAAGCAGAATGTTAGTTTCGATGGCGGCTGGAATTGAGTTGATTTCGGCTAGTGCCAGGTGTTAGGCTTGTCACTTACACTTTGAATCTTGTATCTCTTGAAGAAACCCAAGCTATCGATGAAGATCCACGGAAGAGAGCGGCCGAAGTAGACCAACTCGTGGATGACGAAGGACATGATACCGGTGGCCAGGACATCATTCTGCACCCACGCATACCATGCGACCCACAATCTCTCTGCCACGCTTAGGTGGGTATTGAATTTGGTGATATCCTGATATTGGCCCCAATAGGTGCCGGGGAGCAGCACGGTAGAATTCCTAGGAGAAAAAGGGTCAATATGCGACAAATTCCACAAAAGAGTATAATTCAACCACCTAGGGGGGTGGGGGTGCAAAAAAGCGGAGGAGACACAGACATTGTGGTTCCTAATAGGTCTTGAATAAGAGAGAAGAAGCAGAGGCTGAGAGAAGGAGAAGACTATTTCGTGAAGAGGGGAGTAAAAAAAGAAAGGATCTGGGCGAGAGTACTATGTGCTATGTAGTGTACAGTATATTCCCTACTATTAAATCCTAATCCTGCTAAATTGAACATACCACATGCAGGAAGGTTCCAGGCAGCCAAACACAGGCGGGCAAATGCGCATTATCCGGTTTGGTGGGGCTCGGATGGCTATTGGCCCGTCTGTGGCCTGACCTTTGCGTCGCTGATGACTTTTGTGTTCCGGCTCCCGGCCTCACCACTTCGGGAATGGCCTGCTCCGAGTTATCGAAAGCAGTACTAGTTCTTACAGTATTTGCAAAATCTGGTAGGGCTACGAACAGTTTCCGTAGGTGTCGTTCACCCAGTGCCGCAACCTGTAATTACGGTAATTTTCCCGATCTACCAGAGATACACCAAGCAAAGAGAGTAGATATTTTCCTAGTGAACTAGGATTAGCGCGGCTTTGGTGGAGCGCTGGGATAGAAGGCGTGTGTTAAAGGGGTAATCCGTTTTCGAATTCTACTGTACTATATCTGGTGTAGACGTAGAGAACCCACGGTCCATTGTATATCAGCGTGCTACAGGCGGTTGCTTCTGTCAAAAATTTCAATAAACGAGGGGTGTTATACTGATAACATTTTGGTTATAATACAGCGCTGCGACCCATGAACGGCAACTCAGCGAACAGAGGCGAAATCTAGATATAAGGCTATGAGTTTTGATCTAGTCGATTGTTGGTTCTCTTCTGCTCGACTTCATGCATTTGGCGCGAATATTTGTCCCATGCATTACCTCAAAATGCGCTCTCTTTTCTCACATCATTATTCATAGCTTGACCCTTCCAAAACCTCTATTTTCAAACCTGCATGACGAAAATGGCCCTGAGAACTTTCTTCCCTTCGCCGACCATATTGACACACCATCCGAGGAAAACATCGAAACCTTGATCGGTATCCTTTTCGTGATAGGTCCAATTTCGTTTGATGAAACTTTTGAGCTCAGCAACAAACTCTTCAATCGGATTTAAATCAGGTGAATAAGGCGGTAGTTAGACCAACTGCACACCAACTTCCGCGCACATTTGCGCAATCGACTCTGAGTGATGAAATGATGCATTATCCATGACCAGTACGGGTTTAGGCTCCGGCTATCGTCCATAATGCTGGAGAAGCTGGGCAATAAAGTCCTCAAATACGGCAGCATCTGTGGAGCCATGGAAAATACAAGATAGGACAATGCCATCCTGGGCATATGCAGGCAACATTTGATATCGCTGGTCTCGGTGATACTGCGTTACTTACAAAGGCGTCCTGCCAAGTGGTGCCCGACCCGTGCGTCTAAAACCGGCTCGTTTATCACATCCGGATTCATCAACATATATAAGGTGATACGAATAAAAGTCGGATAGGTTATGCAAGTAAAAGTCACGCAAATCGGCATTCTGCTCTCTTGCGCGTTGTCGAGCAGTTTTTTTGGAGCAACCTTTCGCAATAAGGGCTCGTCTGATGCTGGAAACAGTGACCGATATCTGGAACTCATCCCACATAAAGATAGCTATCTCGTCAAGGTAGAGCCCTAGCTTTTCTAGGAGGTGGTGGCACAAGGCTTCTGTCATCTGCAGCGTCATAGTTCGCTTCCGGCCTATTCGCATTTGGGGGGGTAGATACTTCCAAATTGCCACAGGTTTCTGCGGATTTTAATGATTGTTAGCTTGCTGCATTCAGCTTCTTCGGCCATTTGAGATGTAGAAAATGAATGGATGTCTATCATGCCACGAGTAAAATTGAGCTTTGAAGCAGGGAGCCTTGGAGCCATGTCAATTTTTGTGTTAGGTTCCAAATTTCCTTGATTGGTTGAGGGAGGGAGATTTGTGCCGAAGAACAATAAGATCGCTTGTGTATACGAGTTACATGTAAAATACGAGTCTCGAGGCCACGTGAATGTAACGTAAGGAAAGGTATGAATATAAAAAGCGGTCTACTTAATGGGCTAATTTTAGCACCATCCAATCAGATTTCTTCTTTTGCGGATATATTATTCGGGAGAGGACTTGTGTGTTTGTCGAGGTATAGCTGATTTCGAAAACTACTTTACATATCGAGAGTCAAGCAAGTACTGCCGGAGGGGGTAATCTGTCCGCATTCTAGCGGATGGCCACGGTGCGTTTCGGCGACGAAGGTTCACCCGATCCCTGGAACCTGTAATTAGAGTATTTTCAAAGATCTACCAGAAAAACATCAAGAAAAGATGGAGGGGCTGCCTATGATCGAATCCGGTTTGGCGCCATCTAAGTGGGGCGCTGGGAAAGAAAGCCTGTGTCCGAGGGGTAAACTGTTTTCAAGTTCTACTGTATCTATATCGCGTCTCGTCGATTCCTTCAACTCTATTTCGGGACACGCTACTCTGCATGCACTCACGTGACGTAAGACACCTCGAAGTTAGTCTAGAAAGACAGATTAGAATGAGCGAGATTTGTACTCCTTCACTTTCTCGATTCTTTATCCGTCATTATATCAACCTCACTGTACCCGTGAAATACGTAGTCATGCCGCAGAAATCACGATGGAGTGTTTCTATTCCAGAGATGGACATTCCCACCTATCTCTTCGGCTCCCCTACAGCTCCACTGGGCGATGCCCTCGCCTTTGCTGACGCTGAAGACCCAGAGACGCTGTGCATGAGCTGGACTGAGCTCCGTCTCTGGTCTCAGCGTTTAGCCGCAGGATTAAAAGCCGCGGGATTAAAAGAAGGCGATCGAGTCGTCATCCTTAGCGGTAACGATATCCTGTTCCCCGTCGTCAACCTCGGCGTTATTATGGCCAGTGGCATATACCAGTCCGCGAACCCGCATTCCAATGCCCGCGAGTTGGCGTACCAGCTGCGCCTCACCACGCCGAGCTTCATGCTGACGAGCGAAGTAAATCTAGCCTGCGCTCTCGAAGCCGCCAAGATGACAGGCATGGGGCTGGAACGTGTTTTCTTGTTTAATGATGCTCCGCTCATCAAGGATGGCGGCGGCGATGATAATTTTAAAACTAAAGTGAAGCATTGGAAGCATTTACTAGCACCAAAAGAGGTTGGCAGGCGCTTCGTTTGGAAGAAGCTAACTCCGGAAGAATCGAAATCGACAACCGTCTATACGGTGATGACATCTGGGTTCGTCACCTGGGCAACTTTTCTGTCTCTAATGATGCTAATATTATGATTGACAGAACCACTGGTCTTCCGAAAGCAGCGGAGGTGTCACATTATGGTATCCTCGCAAACTGCGTTCAGACAGAGTTCGTGATGAGCCTTGATACTAACCTCCGAACGAAAGAGCTGTCGGCCAAGAATTCCCGGTGGTTGTGCACTATTCCACTCTACCACGGTCTGGCACTGTGCTATTTTTGCACCATCTCCATCGCGAGACGGGTCCCCTCGTACATCATGCGGCAGTACGAGATCAACCGTATGTTAGAAAACATCCAGAAGTTTCGTATCACAGAGCTGCACCTTGTGCCGCCTATTATCGTGGCCATGACCAAGCATTCTGCGGTGAAGAGCGGAAAGTATGACATCAGCAGCGTCACCAAGACTTTCTCGTGTGCTGCACCATTAGGTCCAGAACCGACTTTCCAGTACGAGTCACTTTGGCCCAAAGGACACGTAAATATCAAGCAAGGCCTTGCGTCGACTGAGTTCGTCTCCTCTCTTTCGCTAACCACCACTTAGTATGGCTTGGAGTAGAGGCCTATACTAACTTTGCCTATAGATCCTGCTGCAATACTATCGGTTGGGATCCTACCATAACTGCAGTAGCCGGTTCCGTTGGCGAGCCTATGCCGAACTGTGAGATCAAGCTAATGGATGATGAAGCGAATGAGGTTGCGCCGGGACAAAGCGGGGAAATATGGTTCCGTGGTCCGAATATTATGAAGGGCTACTGGCAAAACAAGAAGGCGACCGATGAGACCATTACTCCAGACGGATGGTTGAAGACAGGAGATGTGGCACGTCAGGATGAGAATGGGTGGTACTATGTCGTGGACCGGAAGAAGGTGGGTACGTGAGTAAAAGCCGATAGCAACGGCTGACATCTTGTGGCAGGAAATGATCAAGGTGAAAGGCGTCCAGGTCTGGCCTGCTGAGCTCGAAGCACTCCTTCTCGACCACCCTGCTGTCAATGACGTCGCCGTCATCGGCTTAAGAAAGTGAGACTCGACGAGAATTTCTTAGATACGTCTTGTTCCATGGACTAATAGAGACAGGGACGGCGAAGAGTACCCTCGTGCCTACGTTGTGGTAGCGCCAGGGGCTTCCGTCTCCGCGGACGACATCATGCAATTCGTCAATAACAAGGTGTCAACGATTAAGAGACTCACAGGCGGTGTTGTCTTCACCGACTCCATCCCCAAAGCCCCGGTACGTGCTGCTCAAACACTAGTAAAGGCACATAATAACACCAAATGGACTGTTTAGTCTGGGAAGATTTTGCGACGCGTCATTAGAGATGCTATCGCGAAGGATTCGAAATTGTAAAGTACTTTGATTAAGATGATGATGTGTTTGGTTAAGGAGCTCCATAGGAGGAAGCTCGACCGAATATACTGATCTCTACTCTTGCCTGAAGATTGTAAATTAATACAAGGGCTCCTCTGATGCTGGAGGTTGTAACCTAGGTCTGGAACTCATCCCAGAGGAAAATAGCCATCTCATCCAGGTAGAGGCCGGGCTTCTCAGACAGGTGGTCACAGAGGGATCCTTTCATTAGTGGTGTTATGGTGCGTTTTCGGCCTACTCGGGGTTGGGGCGCATAGATGCTTCCAAATTGCCGTAAGTTTCTGCGAATATTCATTAGATCGTAACCTCGCTGCATTCGGCCATCTGAGATGTGGTGAAGGACCGGCTCCCTATTATATCACGAACGTACTGAAGCTTTGAGTCAGGAAGCATTAGAGCTGTGTCTTTGGTCTGAGCTTGTATAACCTTTGAAGACACGCAAGTGATGAGCGAGGCAGGGGAAGGAGGAGCACGCAGGTAGCTTGTGTATGGCAGTTTCCTGTATATTACATTACTAGGAATCATAGATGCGTATTGTAAAATACCCATACTATCCTAGGAAGCGGTCTGGGAGGCGGAAAGTCCACTGCCATGCCATATTAGGACTAGTGCGTTGCTCGGGAATTAAGTGGTAGGAGTGTGAGGCATCACTGATTTTGAAAGCTACTGTAACCTGTGTGACGCATGGTTCGAGGACAGTGAGTATATGTACATGTATCTTTTGGCAATGTGTTGTGTCGTCCGCAGGAAATACGAGAGTGGGGCAAAGCAAGTGCTCATTTTACGTCATAGATTACAACTCTAAGTCTCGTACGGAAGCTGGGTAATTTCAGCGCCAAGAAGGCGCTATTCTATTTACAGCGAATTTTTGCGCCAGTGCACCAGTAGCACTGAAGCTAATTTTATCAGGTGTGAAGAGAAAGATAAGTTGGTCTTACTAACAGCATGCCGGTCTTGGCATAATATATCCTGAGTTGATTCGGTTTTACAATACGAAACATACTCTTTGGAGGGCCGCTGAATCAGCCGGGCTTAGTGGTGAAGTGTCCCGCCTTGAGCCGACAGAAACAATGATTTTGCAGGCGCTAAGACTTTTGTTCGATAGCCTGACGAGACCTGGCCGGCTTACAAGGGTTTCATCTCCTCGATATGCCCATGCTCCCCTTGCTTGTCTCTGGGGGCGACGTCTGTGTTTCGAAAGAGCCCTTTAGTTTGAGTTTGAAGCCTCTCCCGTACCGATCTTGTAAACTCAGCTGTCGTTTCACTCTCCGCTAAGCCATGTCAGCCGGGCAACCCCAGCGCTCTCCCCATTCAGGTGATTTGTGTTGAGGCTGGCTATACCGCGCGATAACTGCTGGACAGCCTCGTTGCTCATGGAGCCTTCCACCTATCTATTCCTCCAGCCTATCCCCTGGTCTTTCCCATGGAGGACCTTCCCATTCGTATAAGCCATTGTTGGGCCCTGGAGTTACGTTGGGTACGCGCCACGGGACTATTATGACAGTATCCCGTGCTTGACACGTGGGGTTCCTCCGCATAATCTACCGTTGTTAGCTTGTCCTATGGCTCCGTCTGGTTCCGCTCATAATTGCCACTGCGCTTAGGCGGCATGTCTTGCAGGGCACGTCTCACGTTCATTATTCCTGGCTGAATGCGTAAAAGCGCCACATGTAACCTCAAGTAATCACAAGCTGGTTGGCTTTTTCAAGAAGAGTCCACGCTACAGTCTTGCGTTCAACCCTTTAGAGTTGTCTTCATATGACCACAATCTCTTCTGAACTTTTGAACTCCAGTGTCACTGCCATTTAACGCACTTTACCATGTCGAAGTCATATATTCTTATCACGGGGGCAATTGTTATATCCATGGATGTATCAGATGGGGAGCCCCTGGACTGCGATATTCTTATAGAAAATGAAAGAATCAAGGCTGTAGGCCGAGATCTTTCTGCGCCGAATGACGGGAGGGTGGTCACTATCGATGCAAAAAACTGCATCGTAACACCGGGGTTCATCAACGGCCATCATCACATGTGGCAGCATCTCCTGCGGGGTCTCACAGTTGATTGGTCTCTTTTTGGCTATTGCTGTCACCTGCGGAGCGTGTACGGAAGTTTGTACACACCAGAGGATGTCTACTTCGCGAACTATGCTGCTGCGTTGAGTCTGCTTAACAATGGCGTCACGACCGTCCTGGACCACTGCCACGTGATAAACTCGCCTGCGCATGCTGACATGGCTGTGAAGGGTCTAAAAGATGCTGCTATTCGAGGCACATTTTGTTATGGGTTCTACCAAAACCCAATAGTACCTGGGGATCTCGCTAGTGCTGCGACAGACCCGTTCGACCAAGCCACTAGAGTCAATGATGCTCTCCGTGTGCGTCAAGAACATTTCTCGAGCAACGATGCCAGCAGTACACTTCTCACCTTCGGGATTGCGTTGAACGAGCCGCCGATGCAGCTCCGGGAAAAGAATCTCGAAGAGTTGGTCATCGCGAGGAAATTGGGAGCTAGACTCGCCACTGTACATTCTTCAGTGGTCTCCCATGGGGCCCCAAAGCCTGAAATCGTGCAGCAATTTTTCGATGCGAAGTTACTTGGGTCGGACATTGTGTTCAGCCACGGGGCTTGGATGACAGATAGCGAGCTGGCTGCGGTCCGAAGTTCTGGTGCTGGTATTGTCAGTACACCTGATACGGAGCTGCAGATGGGCATGGGGTCTCCTATAGCATGGAAAGCGGCTGATCTGGGCTGTCGGACGTGCCTTGGGCTTGACATTACGTCGAATCATGGTAATGACTTTATGGCACAGATGAGGCTAGCACTTCAGACACAAAGAGCTCACGAACATGACCAGACAGTACACAGGGATGTCCGCAGGAAAGCAAAGGATGTATTACGCATGGCAACGCTGGGCGGGGCAGAGGTTATGCAGATGGAGTCGTTGATCGGTTCTATCGTTTCCGGGAAAAAGGCCGACCTTGTTATTTTCCGCTGTGAAGATATTGATACGGTGCCTGTTGTGGACCCTGTCGGGACCGTGGTCTTTCATGCAACGCCGGGAAATATTGACACGGTTATCGTCGACGGGAAGATTGTCAAGCAGAACGGTCAGCTTGTGGGTGTTGACTGGCACTCTCTACATGATCAGATAGTAAGCAGGTCCCGACGACTGAGGGACGAAGCAGCCAAAGTCGATATGGGCGAATCAGAAGCTATATTCCACTCCCTGTTTGAGAAAGCCATGCAAGAGTGAGAGCCACCAGGTGGATGTTATTGCAAAAGCAGATGGTTGTCCGGCTATTCTGCAGGCTGCATTTTATGGCTCTATATCTGTGCCTAGGTGGTGAAATCAATATTCTGTCTCGGATGGTGTTTGTATCATTTTCGGATTTAGAGATGAAATATGTGAAGGATAAGCATGTAGTCCAATTGGCAGATAATAGACGGCCGCCGACCAAACTCCATACTGTACGACTGAAGCTGAGCGACCCGCTTGTTCACAGCGAAAAGGCCCATTATTTTCCATCTGCACTTTCCGGATCCGTCAAATGAATCTAGGCCAATTTTCCACGAGAGACAATCAAATCATGAACTGTTGAAGTTTACTAGTCTGGCGGCGGAACTGCTCCCTGCCAACTCACCCGGATCCTGAACTTGGATCTTTCGTCTCTCGGTCCATAATTACTTCTTACTCATAACTGTCCACACCCACCCACAGCGTTCCTCCATGCAGTATTGATATCACCCAAATAGAGACAACTCTAGTTTTTAACCCTGTAAAAAACTGCTCGTTGATTTTTGGAATCTTGAATTCGACTTAATTTCTGCAGAATCTATGGAAAGCTTACCCTGCGGTTAGAATTCTGACCAGCAATATATAACCGAGAGACATTCTAATACAAATATCCAGTCACAGTTTGTAGAGATACCCATGGCAAACCATGACTTGATTGACTTTTTTCTCATTGGGGGATCATTCCCAGACACATTATGTGGCCGCGGTCATGCTCATTCCAACATACCTTGCATGATCTATTTAGTCCAAGCCTCTTTGCTGGGAATAATTTTCTCCCGAACCAGGTGATCAAACACCTGGAAATACCCATACGCAACCGGGTACTCCTCCGTGAAACCCACAATCCGGATCTTATCGAAGCTCAACTCGCGGTTGCGACCCAGAAAGCTGAAGCCTGCTGAAAGGAAAATCCAAGTCGCCCCGGAAATCTCGCGAGGACGCAGACCGTACTCTTGGCACATCTTCTTGTAGTCGTCCTGGTGCGCGAACCACCACTTGTCGATGTCCTTCCAGCCCTTGTCCTCGGGGCATGCGCCTTCAGCATTAAGACCGAAGTATTCACACATCTTGGGCCAAACGAGGGACCGAGGTGCGGGAGTGGCGCTGTCGGCGGTGTTAAATGCCTCTTCATGCGCCTGGTCTGGCTTCTCGACAGACAGGTAAAGCTCCGAACGGGCGATGATATCCTGCGAGGATGACGTATACGTGTGGATATAGTTTGTGTAGGGCCCTGGGAAGACAACGGTGGCACTGGGGCCATTCAAGTAGCGGTATACTATCAAGTAGAGCGCGAGAGGCTCGACTTATGTCATGCTTGCGGGAATGGGAACGTGGCCTGGCCACCGACGATGTCAGCAGGGTCAAACGCAAGAACAAGGGATACGCACCGATGATCTGATCTGGTCGAGCCTCGCACCATTTCCAAGACTTTCCCTTGTTGGCTTCTTTGATCAGGTCGACCTGCGCATAGTAGAAGATCTCGTCTCCCCAAGGCGAAGGAATGCGCGGGTTGTCCTCGCGCAAAGGAGGATTGATCTCGATGTGTTCTTGGAAGCGAAACACGGCGACTCCATAATTCTGTAGCTACTCAGCTAGAGCCATCAATTGGTGCTAGGTTGGTACATACGTTTGTTCCGGTTTGAAGCACGAAGAACTTCATATTCTTGCACAGCTGGTCCACAGTGTGCACGGCGTTGTATGTCATTCCCGCATTGATATCCCGGATAGCCAGCACATCCATGGAGTATGCAGTTGCATTGGAGTACGCTGATATAGTTAGATGACGACTGTTGACATGTGATCCCCTTACATACCAAGATAACACATGTGGGTGACATCTTCCAGGTCGGGAACTTTCGCTTGCAACTGGGACAGCACTTCATCAAGATTCCCCCGCAAATTCACTCCGGAATGCAACTCCAGTCGAGGGTCATGCGGTAAACCACTTTTCTCCAGAGATAACGGCCTATTCGTCAAGCCGATCACTCTGTCAAAGGTGGTGGGCGTGGGGTATGAGAGAGCGCATTTGGTGACGGCCCAGCCAGAGATACCGCTGGCCCCAAAGACCAATGCAACATTCTTTGATTCAGCCATTGCGATTGTTGTGCCCTTTATCTTGACGGGATATCAATGTGTGCGGTAATCGACAGGAGAGCCCTGTTTAAGAGCAACATCCTCGGGCCCTGTCTCTCCTCGCTAGCAGTGCGACTAGCCAGCCAATTTGGACCCGAAGAATTACCGCCGCAGTGGAAAGCAATTTCCCCTCATACAGACGATGCCGTTGGTGTCAACAACTCGATCGGCCCTCACCCCCCTGGCCCGCCAAGAGGCTAATGAATCATTTGAGCTCGACGCGAGGGCGATGGCGACCGTCAATCACTGCCCCGATCGCCACCTGCTGTGCGCCTGGCCCCTGTCGAATTCGGGGCTCGCAACATCATGCCGATTCGCCAGTCTAAGTGCCTGGATCCCGCCCTGTCACGCTCAAGGTAATCGACCGCGACCCGCTGACGGCGGCAAGCGCCGAGGTCGCCTGTTTTGCGCAGTGGATTTGATGGCAAACTCCAGGGGCTTGTTTCTACCGATGTTCCTTTTTCAACAAGAAGACCATCCACAAAGGCCACGATTCATTCGTTCATCGCCACAGAACGAATCCATTGCTGCGTTTAGTCCTTTTAGACCTAAGTTGCTAAATGCAGAACGTGCCCTCTGTAGCAACCGACTTCTCAGTCGATCGGTTGTTCTTCATTATTGGCTGCTAGTCAAATTTCTTGGCCAAAGATCGATAAGGATGTAGATTACTTCTGCCGTCTGCGAGTCATTGTGCCACAGTCTGTGACAGCTGGGTTTACATGGAGTCGCATAAATCGCCTATTGACGTCCCTGGCCGCATTCACTCCTTGTTATTCCACCGCGCGTTGAATATGGATGTCGCCCAGAAAGCAGCGTCCCCAGGCAATGTTTCCGAGGATCGACATGCGGCTATATTTAGCATGGGCATTAGGTTCATCGTGTTCGACTCCATCATCATCGCGCTGCGCATCTATGTACGCGCTTTTATGCTGCGTGCTATGGGGACGGATGATAGGAAGTCAATGAACCCCCAATTCGAAAGCCAAATTAACGAAAGATCTAGTTCTGATGATAGTTGGCGCAGTAAGCGACTTTCAATCATACGCCCGATGGTCTCTATTCACTCACATTCAATCAGATACTCAATTTCGGATTGTCAATAACGATTATGATTGGATCCCAGTATGGAATTGGAAAACATGCGCTTGCCATACCGGAAAGTGACATCGTGCCTATGCTGAAAGTAAGCACACCATCCCCATTTATATACCATCCTTGACCATTACCAGTGTATTTGGGTTACACGTCTCCTCTACACGCTTTCTATGGGGCTGGTCAAAATGCCATTGCTGTGGTTCTATCTCCGTCTCGATTCTCGCAAATACATGCGCTGGGTCGTCTTCTTCGTCATATTCTTCAACGTCGGATTATCCCTTGCGAGCTTCATCGGCGCACTGGCGGGCTGCAGCCCTCCATATCTATTTTGGACTAACCCAAAGTCTAGCGCCTGTATGTCGCTGGAACTACAGCAACGCTTCTACGAGGTCAAAGGCATCTTGAATATCACAGCGGATATCTTGACATATCTATCCCCAGTTCCAATGCTCTATGGGCTCCAGTTGACTTGGCGCAAGAAAGAGGCTATTCTAGGTATCTTTGGGCTAGGTATCTTGTCCATTGCTGGTGCGTATCCCCTTCGGTCCATGGAGTGGACTTTTACTGATATATTGCCATTAGCGGCCTGCGTCCGCTATGATTTTGTCACGAAACTATCCTCCGCCAAAGAAGAGTATTACCTTCTTTTGGCAGACTCCCTCAATTGGTGCACAATTGAGGCTTACGTTGGTATGTATCTCTCATCTCAATGGCACATCATTTCTAATTATTCATCCACAGCTATCTTCTGCGGCTGCCCTCCCCCACTCTCTGTCCTGATCAAAACCTATGCCCCGTCTATGTTCGGTTCCAGCGCTGCCAAATACCCAAGTAGCGCGCAGTCGCCCGGAGCAACCTATCCGCAGCGACGGAACCCTCTGAAGAGTAATCGGCGGTGGGGACTAGGCGATATGACACTAGGTAGTCAGGATCCCATTGTCACTGTCAGCAAACCCGACCAGGATCAGGATGGAATCATGATGAAGACGGATATACAGATGGATGTGGCGATGCGAAAGTTGATAGAGGATATGACTTATAGGAGAGAGTATTATGATTTTGCGAAAAGGACATGATTTCATGTTGGTGTATAAAATTAAGTGATACCTTGCTCCAGAGGCTTTGTCGTCGATAAATTATGGACTTGGGAACGAATGTACATATCTGCAATGATAAGACTCGATTTATTAGCCTACAACCATTCAATGACATGTTGGGAATACGAAGGTGGTCACCCCATCAAAGGCATTGAGACCTCTGCTATTATAGAATCCCGAGATACACATGCAAACCGCACAAACATGTAAAGGAATAACAATTTTCCACCTCCACGGGGGATTCATGGCGACACTCGCACCTTGCGTCACACGCCATCCTATTGTGCCGGGTATCAGTGGAAATAGTCTACCGTAATCACTGATAGTCTCTTAATTGCCGAAGCGAAGCATCTTTGAACTCTATCTTGATGCAAAGTTTCAGGCCATACGGCTACTGCCGGAAGACCACGTTACCTATTTGACAGGTTCAAATAGTAAACACGGAAGTAATACCTCTTCATCTGAACTTCCACAGGTGCCCATTTGACTCCAATTTATTCCAACGTAAGAGTAACATATGTGTGTTTCATTGGGGAAGTCACCTACAGAGCGACTACCCGGGGAAAAGGCGTGACGGATTCCAGTTCTAGCTCCCAGGCTAAGTGGATGTGTACGAAGTGGATGGGAAACACGAACATCATTAATAATGTAAAAGATCAATGCCAATATGATATCAACGGCCTAAAAAGAAGCGAGTAATATTTGAACATGAAAGATAGGTGAAAAAGATAGGTGAAAGGTATAGAATGACTGGAGTGTCAATGTAACCGAGCTGTGACCGCCCATCCCCGTTACGGCCGTCCCCAACTCTCCTCAACTCCAGCTTCCAGCTTCCAGCTTCCACGTTCACCTACCCTCACCATGGAAGGCCGAGGCTTAACTCTGAGAAGTAAGTCTCGCCGGCAGCGCCCGCAGATCAGTGCTCCCAAACCAATTTCCGGCCCCTTGCCCGCCAACACTAGGTCCCCCGATGTCGGTCAGCCTCCCATCCCCACGAGTCACGACCGAGCTCCTCAGAGCGGTGCTACGTCCGACCTAGTAAAGCGACGCTATTCTACCAGATACAATGCCGCCCCTGACTTCGATGTCAGTGCTCCTCCTGTCCCGGCTCTCCCTACCGCAACACCGGGTGGGTATGGTGGGTTGGGTGTCCCAATTCCGGCCTCCAAACAATTGTCGCCAGCCGAAGGCGCGGCCCCCGCGCCCGTGGTAGATTTGAATGCGCTGAGAGACCCCAGTCTGCCGGTGGAAAGATGTACGTCTCATCCCTTTGCTTGTGTATAACGATAGTATTAACGCCGCACCACAGATGTGGCCAATCTCCTTGCCAACGCCTCCGAAGAGGAGATCCAGAATTACCAGGACAAGCTGCGCAAAGTGAAGAATCGAACCTCAACCGACCTCCAGCAGAATGTGTATCAGAACCGCACACAATTTATCAAGATCAGTCGAGAGGCGGAGAAGCTCAAGGATGAAATGCGAACCCTACGTACCCTGATGTCCGAGCTCACAAACGCACTGGGGCAGACATCCGTGGGCAACACGCCCAACCCGATGTCGCCGGCAGACGATCACTTTCCCAAGCGCAGCGCGAATCGCAGCTCCGTGGCCAACCTGGAAAGCATGTGGAGTGTTCAGTTACAGACCTTGTGGAAAACTGTCGAGGGGTCCCAGAAGTTCTTACCAGCGGTTCCAGGTCGACATATCGTGTTGGAGACGGGCAATTGGGCTGAGCTGGACTCGGCAACCTGGAAGCCAAGGCGTCCGGTCCACATTGTCCTGTTGAATGACCATCTGCTGGTGGCCGCGAAGAAGCGCAAGCGTGTTGACCAGAATAACCCCAACCACCGCGGACCTGTGCCAACCAAGCTTGTGGCCGAGGAATGTTGGCCGTTGCAGGACATCGACATGATTGATTTGGCTGCCAACCTGGGCACAGGCGCCGCCCGTGAAGAAGCCCTGGACCGCGGCATCGGGAACGCGATTAGTATTCGGGTCGGAACGAAGCCATTTACCTACCGTCAGGACAAGCGCGACACCGCGACCAAGAATGAGCTTCTTGCGACATTTCGCAAGACGGTGGAGGATCTGCGACGAACTCTGCGAACAGAAACCGAGGCGGCCAGCAAGCCTCTAGAGGCGTATGGATACCTCGCCGGAAGACACATCTCCCCATCACTCAAATCTGAACAGTTTGATCTCGCCGAAGGCCCTCGCGATAAGTCCGAATTGCGTATCGATGTCGATGGCAAGCAGCAGAACCTCCGCTGGGTGGAGGGACAGGTGGATGAGTTGGACATTGACATTGCACTACAACGCTTTGAGGCAGCAGTATCAAGCATTGAAAGACTTCGAAAACTTGCAAAGGGGCTCAAGGGAAGCCCTGTCGCGCAGGAGATGATCAATGCCAGAGTTGATGGACGAGCAACACGGCTGGCAGGCATGCTGTCACGCGCGTTGGTGGACACGCACTCGTTCCCCGTGACAACCAAAACCAACGTCACCTGGCTGAGCCGTTTAGGATTCGAGGATCAAGCGCGCGAGACGTACCTCAAAGCACGAACTGACGTTATTGCCAAACGCATCCGGTATGTATTCAATTCAACTTGGGGGTATGCGAGAGAAACTGCATCCTAATACCTGTATAGGGCTTGTGTCTTCGAGGGTGATCTCCCACTTTACATTTTCCAAATTTCCTACGTCTACTTCTCGCTCATCAAGAACACAATCAGCATCTATCAACAATGCTTCCCGAGCGTGATGACCAGCTCTTGTATACGCTGGGCCAAGCATCATTTGGACGGATTCAATGCTCTGCTTACTCGCCAGCTCAGCAGTGTACAGCGCGGCACCTCCGTCTGGCAGAAATGTCTCGACATCGTCCACGAGCATGCCGATCTGCTGACAGAGGTCGGCGTCGATTTCACTGATTTGGTGGCGCGGGGCTTGGAAGAGAACGGTGAGCCTGCTCCTGTTGGTCGTACCGTGCAGCCGGACAAGGTGGTGGCGACGTCATCGCCGTCGACTCCAGTTCTTTAGATACGAGAGATTGCAACATGATATTTTGATCATACCAAGGAAATTAATTTCTATGAAAGCCTGTTCGAATTGCTAGTACCAACTTATAGGAGATTGACACAACAATACTGCTCTGCTAAGGTATCCCCTCCCTTCCTCGCAATCCATAAAATTTAGACACTTGCAATTCCGAAACACATATGACCAGGCCTTCATTCACGGGCTATATAAGCATCCTGAAGTGACCTTATTCGGGTCATCTTGAGGCTCGGCGTTCATTATTCTTCGGTATCCGAAGGTCGGTGTTTGAACATCCTTGGTGTAGACTCGTACAATGGGCTCGACCTCGATCAGACACTCTCGAACAAATAAAAAACCAAATAATAGTCTGCATGAAGAGAGGAACTGAAACCTTGAACTGCGAGGATAAGCTTAAAACTTGATTTTCTTGGCTTGATCCAAATGTGGTTGCCACTCGGCCTTTGACCGCGATAAACCGTTCAAATGTCAGTAAGCGCGCCCTTCACTTGACATTTACTTTCAAGATTTGAATGATTTCAGAACTATTTATTAGGCTCTACCCTTGGGAAATCATCGCACACTCAGCTCAATCTCTGCATCATTCCTCAAGATGGCTCTGGCCGCTTCTTTCAAAAGATACCTTCCTTGGACTCAGACACCTCTCATCATAAACGCCCCCATGAGCGGCGTGGCCACCAGTGACCTCGCCGTAGCAGTCACTCGTGCTGGTGGTCTAGGACAAATTGGATTCATGGATAATATGCGTGCTTTATCAAGCCAACTCGAAACTGTCCGCCATGAGCTTCAAGATCTTATGGCGTCTCTTTCAGACCCACAACAATTGCCAATCGGCGTTGGGGTTATAGTGTACGGCTCTCCGCTCGGAGATTGGATGCAACTATTTGCTACTTATAAGCCAGCCGTGGCCTGGCTTTCATTTGCCAGTACGGAGGATCTGCGGGTATGGACGGAAGCAATCCGCTATTCTTCACCAGCCACCAAAGTGTGGATTCAACTGGGATGTGTGCGAGATGCCTTGGATGTAGCCAAGGCGTGTCATCCAGATGCCATGGTTCTGCAAGGAAGCGATGCTGGTGGACACGGTCTGGCAAAGGGTGCCAGCATCATATCTCTCATCCCCGAAGTCGCGGATGCACTCGAAGAACTCGAAATCAAAGATATTCCTCTGATTGCAGCTGGTGGCATTGTAGATGGAAGGGGGTCCGCCGCGGCGCTTGCACTTGGAGCTTCCGGTGTAGTCATGGGCACACGTTTTCTCGCCGCTACAGAAGCGAGGATCCCTAACGTCTATCGTGATGCGATTCTTCAAGCCTCTGATGGAGGAGAGGCTACCGCAAGATCTCGCATCTTTGATGAGATATGGGGACCCAATTTCTGGCCACAGAAATATGACGGTCGCTGTCTTCGAAACAAATTCTACGATCAACACATGGCAGGAGTCCCTATCAACAACATTAGAAGCTGGTTATCTTCTGTTATGAATAGCGAGGAGGAGAAAGGGGAGGCCAAGGAACTGATGGGGCAGGATATGGGGAGTATATGGGCCGGAACCGGTGTTGGATTGATTAAGCGACTTGGAAACGCGGGAGATTTTGTACGAGAAGTAAGGGAGGACACCGGGAAGCGTTTGACCCGGGCTACCTTGTCCCTGTAACAAAGATCGATGTAGCATAAGAGCAACGACAGCTCCAAAAATTGAATGAAAGTAACGTTGTTGAATCTTGGAAGGGGTAATTATCATTGCCACTCGAGCAATCTCAATGCAACGCCGACATCAATCGCCGAAGCCGAGGAGAATCACCGAGCATAAGAGGGGTTCCTGAACCCCACTTGTTGATTCAGTATCAAATCTTCTCAAAAATCTACCATCATGCCTTCTTTGAATTCGCAATGGCTTCAGTCTCTTCTTGACCCATTCTTCATGATGAAATCGGCCATTTACCGTATGATGACTTACCAGGACATGATGTGGGACAAGCTAATCGGCGATGAAATGCTTCAGATTATGTTCGTATCTTGATTTTGGAAATCTTTGAAGGAAACGTGCCTCTGTCCGCAGCCCAATGGCAGAAAATCCGCGATTCGGCATTCTCCTTCTTTTGGCTGCAGTATTCCGGTGAGAGAGAGAAGGGCAAGAAGATCGCGTGGAGACGCTAACTTGTTTATAGCACCCAGTCCTTCCAAAAATACACCCTCGGCCTCCGCCGCTCTGATACCTCAGCTTCTCTCACAAGCCACGGGAACTGTGTTGGAGATCGGACCGGGCAGCGGGACTTGCATGCAATTCCTTCAGGGCTCACAGATAACTCAAATTTACGGAGCTGAGCCATGTATCGGTCTTCACCGACAGCTTCGATCTGAAGCCAGTCGATACAAGATGCAGGACCGATATCATGTTCTAAATGCCAGCGCCAACGTGGGTTCTCTGACTCATGAGCTTATTCGGAAAGAGGAAATCACTTCTTTTGAAGCAGGTGATACTTTATTTGATACAATCATCTGCGTTCGAGTATTGTGCAGTGTTCCAGACCCGAAAGAGACAGTCTCAGGGCTGTACGGTCTGCTACGTCCTGGTGGTCAGATGCTGATTTGCGAGCACGTTTCAAACCCGTGGCGTACCTCGAAAGGAAGTATCATCTCCCGAATATTTCAAGGGCTGTACATGTTGCTTGGCTGGGCTTATTTTATGGGGGATTGTCGCCTAGACCAAGATACAGAACGGATTCTACTGGGAACGGCGGATGAAGACAAGGGGTGGGGCAATATTGACTTGGAGGTGGAAGAACAGTGGTCTCTTTTTCCATGCCTGCACGGTTCGTTGACGAAGAAAAGGTAGAGCAGCAAAACGGACGAAAGATAAGTTTGATTCATCTATCAGAGATATAAATGCAAAATTAGCCTCACACCCGTTGTCTCACTAGCCATGCTCTGCAAGATCCAATATGCCCATTTGCAGGAACGGTTGATGCTTGAGGGGCCGCGTTTCCCGAAGCTTCTCCCATCCCATCCTCTTTTTTGCGGACTAACGATAGCTTCCACTGGCGAAGAAAGATGACGAAAATAGTGGCACCAATATACATAAATCCAGTAAATAGCTGAACGTGTCGGTACTCGTATTTTCCGGTAGTTCGAAGTTCCAGACCAATTGGTTCGCCAACTAGAGAATACAATTAGTATTTCTCGATTCATATCTCGGATCCTTCAAAATTTTCGATATACCTGTTGCTGGGGCCACGCAGAATAGCCAGACGACAGTCATAAAGGAAGGCAGATATTCCAAACCGACCACTTCAGCAGCTAGAGGTGCAACAACCGTCCAGAATGCCCCAAACACAGTTCCAGCTAGCAATGCAAAACACAAAATGGCTGCATAGGACTGGGAGAATGTCCACAAAAGTAGACACAGCAGTCCGCTTAGGCAAGTAGCGAACGTCGCCATATTCATCCTCCCAACCACGTCACTAAAATATCCAACCCCGGGCCGACCGAAGATCTGGCCAAGATTCATCACAGCTGTAACAATAGATCCTTGATGAGCACTCAATCCAATGCTCCTGGAAAATTCATCTAGTGAATACCAAATTACCATAAAGCCCATCACGCTGAAAAAGCTCCATCCAAGAAACAGCCAAAGCTCGTATTGCTTGGAAAGTTGACGAAGCGTAATGCTGGATGTCTTGGTCCCAGTCAATTTGTTATGATCGCGAAGAATGAGTGCGCATAGGCTGTTGACGACCAACTGGACAATCGCCAAGATGCGAAAGGTCCACCCAGTACCGAACCGTTCCAGCATTGCGTTGACCGCAAGCGAATAGATCAAACCACCCGTGCCACTTCCACCAGCAGCAATTCCTGCTGCAAGGCTCCGTTTCTTGGTGAACCATTGTGGAATGATGGCGATTGTTGATACGTATTGCAACCCGAGTCCCCAGCCAAAGCAAATGCCTTGACTCAGATAGAGTTGCCAAATTTGAGTGCTCCACGACGCGCCTAAAAGAGCAGCTGTCTCAAATAGAATCCCCAAGTACATTGTCACTTTGAGGCCGAGTCGACGATTGATTATCGCAGCTACTGGTGCAATCAGAAGGGCTTGAGATGCAGACAGGCCACCAATAAAGGCATAGTCAAGACTGGATCCATCCGAGAATTGAGAATGTGAAAGAAAGTAAGCAAGAAAGACTCCATAGCACTTAGGTCATCGTTAGCGATTTGTTTTCTTCTGCCAGTTCTACACTTACAGACACGATGCCCCAGTGATGGGCATTATTTGCAGCAACAGCCGCAACAATGACCCAGCCATAACCTCCATTTGGAGGCAATTCCGCCGAGCTCATGATCTATGAATAAAATAGATTAATGATTGATTGAGCTCAATATTTGAGGGGGATGATTTCTTTTTGTGTCGCATTCGTAGGGAAATTTCCTCCAATCGAGGATTGCAAGGCTGCTATCAGACGCCGAGACCGAACGCCGAGATCGAACACCGGTGGGAGAACAACGGGGCCATTGTATTAGGTTGGATTAGCTTGGATTGAAGGCTATTGGACGCTTAATGCGAGATATGCAACTATTATATTATATTCCGCAAGTTCATCCGTGATATGCCTACCCACAGATCGATAGAGGCCGAGCTGGTCTTCTACAGACCTCTTACAAATGACGCCAAATCCCAATCAATGTGAATGCAAGCGAAGGCATTGAAGTGAGAGCCATGATTTTGGGGGTGATACGCTCAAAGGGAAAAGGCTTGCACTTCGGGAAAATTTCTAAACCTTGGAGTGCTCGGGACCGTCTGGGTAAAGATATCAAATTGTCGGCGCGAATCGCTCGTTCTTTCTTTGCTCGCAATCTCGAAATAGAAATTTCTAGGATGGAACTGAAATCAATTCGAGGTATATAAAAACAGAAATGATGTCTTGTTAAATGTACAGGTTCCGAGCAGCCTTCCGGGTCTATGCATAAATCTAGATCGAGTACCACTCGTACTTAGAGATGTCGGTCACTTCGAGATCTTCCTTGTCCTTCCGCCATGTTCGTCTACTGGTCAGCTCAAACCGATTCGATGGAGCCCAAGCTGTGGCCCAAACCTCGGGGTCACTCATACGGCTCAAGGACTTGAGCATGCCAAACCGGAAATCCAAGGCCTCGGAGTCGTCGGTTTCAGATGGCAGTCTCATATAATACCGGACACTGTCAGGGATTTCCTCCTTGACATGGCTGATGAGAACCAAAGCTTGATCATCTGACAGACCTTGGAACAAATACTTGCTACTTTTCTTGAACATAGATAGACCCTCGCCGTATTCAAGGAATGCCAAACATTTGTCACGTTGGGAAGCAGTCAACCCCGAGAAGGGCTCGTCCAAGATCACAATATCCGGCTTGTGAATTAGGGCACGCAAGAACAATACAATGCGTTGCTGCGCGGTATTCAGTTGCCCGAATCGAACATCGTCGGCGTACTCCACATCATGGTCGGGTGGGAGAAATTGTGAATTGGGTCTCACTCCGGGAAGTTTGGGGAAGTTTTCGGAGTGGCCCACAGTGGGAGGGCTGCCCTTCTTCTGCGAGTAATTTGGATCGAGCTCTGGCTTGAAACAGCGAAGGAAGGCGTCGATTTCTAAGTCATTTTCGTGGAAAATCTTCGGTTTCGACAAGAAAGTCTCTGCAAATGCTGACTCCAGGCATTGACGCACCGACAACTGACGTGGGAAGAATGCATGGATCTCAGGAGACGAATGTCCAAGCCGAGACTGAAGCTCGAAGATCGAGATAGCAGGCTTGCCCACTTCAGGAAGACGAGACCGTCCAAACAGTTTGATTGGAAGGGCGTATGTCTGGGGGTGGTCCGAAGTAATGAGTGACAGCAGCGTCGTCTTGCCCGAGCCGTTGGCGCCGAGAATTGCCCAGCGCTGGCCTCGACGCACCGTCCAGTGCAATCCTTCTTGTATCCTATCATCCACTGTCTGTTTCCAGTCACCAAGGACCACCTTGTCGCCGTACTGTACACGCACCCCGTCCATCTCGATCAGCGGTTCTCCTGCGGGGAAAGACGCATGACCTTTCACACGGCTCTCATGCCGGCTGTTGGAGAAGTCTCGGAGTAGTTGTTCGTCAAGAACACCAGACTTCAACAGAGCGCGAGCCTCTAGCAAATCGCAACTAGCCGGCCCACGCATTTTCGTTCCCATCGCCACATGTTTCCAGGCTTTCATTTTTGGGACAATCTCCGAGCGCAAGCCCTGTAGAATTATCTGGTTGGAGTTGCCTACCATGATCATGTGTGTGATCCACTCAGGCACCGCATCCTGTGGGCGAAGGGCCAGAACGAGCCGCGGCGAGGATTTCTGAGCCAGCTGGAATAGAAGATCACTGATGCTCCGGACAGTGGCAGGATCCAGCCCCATGAAAGGTTCATCGAGGAGCAGCAGCTCTGGCTTTCTCAACAGAGCTTTCGCAATACGTGCGCGCCGAGTCTGACCGTTGCTAAGATTTGCGACCGGCATATCCAGCAACTTCGTCAGGTGCAGGTCGGTGATCACTTGCCGCAGTAGCGGCTCATCATACACCGTGCCTTTCTCTTCTCCTTCTATGGGGTTGAGTGAGGTTTGTCCTCGCAGGAATTGCTCCACGGTCCAATCCGTCTCTTCGCGGAGACTCTCATAGCGAGCACTCAGGTATGCACCTCGGGTGCCACCAATGGCTCCGGACCCTTCACCACTGAATCCAATGTATTGAATTGCATTCCCGACAACTCGTAACCGGGGGTCCTTCGCGGCGATTTCATCGGTGAGGAGGTAAGGATACGACCGTGCTGTGGGCGGGATGGAGATGTGCTGGCCACGCAGAATGTTAAGTAGTTCAGTTCGGTCCGAAGGGCCAACTACTGCCCAATGTTGCTGTGCAGGCTCTGCACCCTTCAATGGAGGTACAGGACCGGAGGGGATGGTGAAATCGAGGTTTCGGTACATGGGCGGGTTCGAGGTATCATTTTGCTCCGTCGGGTACTGCTTGTAAAAGGTTCCATTCTCGATACGAACCAGAGGAACCGAGGACACGAATCGTTTGGCGCGCAAGGATGGCCATAGCCGAGTGCGCAGCGTTGTTCGAAGCATCGTCGCTGGCCGATGGAAGAGTCAGAGCGCATCTCGGAGTTTGGGCGGCGTTAGTCGTGGTCGGTCACGTGTACTACATTGAGAGGAAATGCAAGTATAAAGGCAGACTCGTTTTGGAATTATACAATACAACCATGCCAGTCAATTTTACCGAAGCTAGGTCTGGGTACCTCTTTTTCAGATGCAATTTCTCGAATCTGAACTTGGTACATTTGTGCAAAGTCACAGCACGAAGCTCGGTGCGGGATCTAAATATATTGCCGACATCGGGGCTACATCTGAATGCCGAACAGCACGCGGGGAGAATCAGAAACTAGTTGAGAAAGGCCGATCGATTCACGAAGAGAATTTTGCCTTGCTGCTTCTTTAGAAAGGAATCGAATACCTCTGTTAAAGATAATGGGTATGAATTTGAGCACGTCAAGAGCCCTGGAGCGATGCTCTTCGAGGGTTGGTCGTGATAGTCAACCGGCTAAATTAAAGGTGCACTGGGCCTCGGTGAATCGGACTCCGATCTTCTGTCTCTCTGAGACTTTGCTTTTTCAAATATTCCCTATTCCTTAATATTCAAAGTCAATGCCCCCTTTGCCCGTCGTCTATTCCTCCTCGCCCTCATGCCTATCCCTTCGCTCCCGCTATTCCTGGCGGCGCAACAACACGCCCAAAATGACCCCGCGAAAGTGGCCGTGATCGACGCAACCAAGCAACAATCCTTCACATACACCCAGCTCCTCGAGGATGCGGCTGGTCTCAGAAAGCAGATTACAGAACAGCTGGGATTGACCGACTTGGAAGAACGGCGTATCGCGTTTCTTGTGCCGAATGGCTACGACTATGTCGTGACCAGCTGGGCCGTTTGGGCTGCCGGTGGTGTTTGTGTGCCACTTTGTAGGTTGTCCCATTTCCTGAAGTCTCTATAGGTGGCTAATCTCGAGCATAGGCACCAGCCACCCTGCCAAAGAATTGCTATACGTCATTGGCGATTCAGACCCATGCCTAGTTATCATCCATCCTACGTTTGACAAGGTTGCGCCGGCTTTGCGCGAGGGATGCACTACGGATGTCCCCTTCATGGGCCTTGACCCTTTCACCAAGAATGATGCCCCGTCTCTGCCATCCTTCTCACTGTCATTGGCCCTTGATAGACTCGCCCTTATGATTTACACCAGTGGGACTACATCAAATCCGAAAGGATGTGTCACCACGCATGAGATGATAACTTTCCAGGCCAGCTGTCTCGTCAAAGCCTGGAAATATAGCCCGACGGACCATCTTATTCACGTCCTCCCACTTCACCACATCCACGGCATCATCAACGGACTTGTCGCTAGTCATTTGAGCGGTGCTACGGTGGAGATGCACCCCAAATTTGACCCTCAAGTTATCTGGGGGCGATGGCAGGCCCAAGAATCTACCTTGTTCTTCGCTGTTCCTACCATCTATTCCCGTCTAAATGACTACTTCGACGCCCACATTCGCGGAACAATCCAGGAGGACGCTGCTCGAGCTGGAGCTCGCGCTCTGCGTCTAATTGTCAGCGGTTCGGCCGCGCTTCCGACCCCCATCAAAACCAAGTTTGGTGAAATCACTGGTCAAACCCTGCTGGAGCGTTATGGAATGACCGAGATCGGCATGGCCTTGAGCTGTGGACTGGAAGACGAGAAGCGGATTGATGGAAGTGTTGGCTGGCCACTTCCAGGGGTCCAGGTTCGGTTGGCCGACAAGGAAACCGGCCGTATCGTTGAGGAAATTGACGAGGATGGTATGATCGAAATCAAAGGCGGAAATGTCTTCCTCGAATACTGGCGTAAGCCTGAGGCTACAGCCTCTGAATTTACGAGCGATGGATGGTTTAAGACAGGAGACGTGGCCAGGCGTGACTCTGATGGTGCATATTTTATCCAGGGACGCGCATCAGTGGATGTGATCAAGTCGGGCGGCTACAAAATTTCCGCGCTTGAAGTTGAGCGCAAAATGCTGGCCCTAGAATCCATTCAGGAGGTAGCTGTGGTCGGACTGAAGGATGAAGAATGGGGACAGAGAGTGGGTGCAGTGGTAAAGTTCCGAGTAAGTTTTTCGAAAATCCCTTGAGCTTCAAGTTTCCAAGGTTGCTAATGCAAATTAGGGAAATCCACTGGACCTGCAGACTCTTCGTGCGCAACTGAAGACCGAAATGGCGGCCTATAAGATTCCCACTGTCCTAGAGGTCGTCGATGCCATCGAGCGGAATGCCATGGGCAAAGTTAACAAGAAGATTCTTGTGCAGAAGTACTGGCCGGACAAGGCTTAAGGCAAACGTGCACAATAGATGAGATAATTGTGCTTAGCGTGGGTATAGAGGGTGATACACGACGATACAGAGAGACAAATCCCGGATGAATTTCAATGTTGTTATTTAATGAGCACAGTCCTAGGATCTTATAATTGAAAGACCCAGCGAGGGTCCTTGTCACCCAAAAACTCTCCCTCTGCGTCCCCAACATCACCCATCAAAGGCCTCAGTCCCTGTGCTTCCCGAAGATGCTCTTTCTCGGCATTCTCTCGACTAAGGACACGCCACAGAATTGCTACAACTATTATGTTGGCCACAAGATACCCCAGGGCGAATCCATGTCCAAGAAAGTATCGTGGGCTGCTCTCAGTGCGATAAAGCTGTGTCCCGATAACGGCACCCAGATTGCCGATAGAAATTTGCATGGCATTGGCGATGCAGCGCTTGGTCTGGCCTGATACATTGTTCGCCGGCCAGGACAGCACAATAGCAACGGCAGGGTAGATTCCCGCCGCAGCGAAGATAGTACCGGCATAGGACACGCCGGCCCGGTCCTGTGAAAGCAGCATGATATATCCAATGCAACCGAGGGCAGAAGAGCCCATGATGAAAGGTGCTCGACGATTTGTCTTCTCCGAGAGCACAGCAACAGTGATTGTCAGGATGAATGCTACGGCATATGGGGGGACAGTGAGAAGTTGTGCTTCAGCGGCGGAATAACCGAGATCTTTGATAATGGTTGGCTAAACGGTCGTTAGCTTTGACATGTCATAATGTATAGCCATGAACTGACCAAGAAAAGCGAGAGTGTATAGAGCGGCAATGACATAGTATGAAACCCCAATCCATACAGCCACACCTTGGGGTCTTTGAATGCGTCAAACACAGCAGACCACGAGAATTTCTCATCCCGCGTAGAATCATTGTCATTCTTCAGACGGAAATGGATGAAATCCCGTTCTTCTTTGGAAAGGAATTTGGCAGTTGCTGGATAGTCGTACACCCAGAAGTAGGCAAGGATAGACACAATGACAGTCAAAATTCCTTCCTGATCGACCCAGTGGTATTAGCATGCCTTTCATTAAGTCCAAACGTCCGAGACCTACCAGAATAAAGATCCAGCGCCAACCATTTAGTCCTGCGATTCCCTTCATGTGCGCGATACCCTACCTCGAAATTAGCATTCATCCAGTATGGACAGAAACAGAAACCAACCCAAGCAAGCACGCCTCCAAATGCACCAGCGAGACTGGCCGCACTAAAGAACAGCGCGACACGATAATGCTGCTCATTTCGCTTATACCACATGGACAGATAGTATACCACACCGGGGAAAAGACCACTCTCCGCAACACCCAAGAAGAATCGCGAAGCCAAAAATCCGGGATAATTCTGAATGATACCCATCAAGGTTGCGACCACGCCCCAGATCAAGCTGAGAGTGGGAAGCCAGATTTTCGGCGTGCCCAACTTTAAAACCGTATTCGCGGGAACCTCGAAGAGAACATAGCCGATAAAGTATAGGGTTAAGCCGGTCAAATATTGGTCTCCTGTCATGCCCACGTCGGTGGCCATGCCTTCAAGTTTGGCATTTCCAACTATTCCACCACGTCAGTTCGAACACTGGCTGTAGTCGAGTTCAAAGGAGGCAAACCATTGCTTCGGTCCAGAAACGACAGTAGGTATAAGATTGTCAAGGGCGGCAGCAGCTTATAGTCGAGTTTGCGAAGTAAAGATTTCTCGTTGATACCGACGGTTTCTGCTATGCTGTTGGACGAAGGCGAACTCCCAGAATTTTGGAATCCGAGGTCTGCATCGGCCTGAGCTTCCTTCTTTTCGTCAAAGGTAGACATGACGATGGAGAAGGGACCAAGCTTGAAGATATTCTTCAGGGATGAAAGACGGTCACAACATGGCCGTGTTGGACACGTCTAACCTTAAAGCCAGAGCACATCATTTCGGCCCATTGCACGCGATATCAGACCCTCAGAAGTTACATCATGTCAAATCGGCCGAGAGGTTTGTGAAATAGCGAATGAGATCATGCATTGGAGATGATCGCAGTCAGCATTGGTTGACGAAGACGCAAAGATTAGCAATGTCGGGGCATTGATGGTGTCATCGCACGTGGGGGGATACAAACTTTGAACCAGGGACCACAACGTGCCCCTCGGAAAGTGCATTATCGGTACGCGCGTATTCCTACTAGGTAATATTAATTCTAACGCTAGCTTTTATCCGCGACAAATATATAGCCTCCCGGGAAGATACAAACATTCTCGCGTACCTTGCCTTGGACCTCAAATGTATCAATACGCCCCACTACGTAAAGTGGAGACATGCACGGCCCGAGTATAGATCCGTTCAAGAAGACCGCTATGTACCTGTCATGCTGCCACCGATAGTCACCGAGATGTCTGCTGAAGATCCTAGCAGACTAGAGAAAAAGATACTGTCATGCGGATTTTGATACGGATAGCATTCCAGCTCCAGTTGGTTGGCCGTGTTGCCAGTGGTACCCCCGTTGTGGACGCAATTACCAGCAGCATTGAGTTGATACCACCCCTGCACTCCCTCCTGTTCAATGGTAGAAGAATTGCTTTTGTAGGTTTCAATCAGCCATGGCAGAAATGCGCGCCAACCATCATGGGGCATGCCAAGGACATAATTGTAAGGGGCCCTGCCAGTGCTAAAAGCCGTATAGGCGGAATCTGCCAGTTCCGAACTTGCAGCTTGGTTTGATCTGATGTAATGCAATTAGCCAAAGTCATTCCACGAGATAATTCCAATGAATTCGGGTGCTAGGAACATTGCCTGTTCCCAGCGATCGTACAAGAGATCGTCCCCACGCCACAGCCAATCCTTATCATACCCGGGCATATTGGTGAAAAACCAGGGAGAAACAGGCATCATGTATAGCTTGCCGTCTAAAGAGTCAATGTAAGAAGCATCGGTATAGGTGCTCATATCATTTGGTCCGTAAGGCCACGCGGCCTAGCTGAAGAGGCCGTCGGCGACACAAAAAACCCTAATGCTCCTGATCCAAAGGAATCAAGCTGACTCCGCAATCGCGACCTGTCCTGCATGTCGAGGCCTCAAGGGGGATGCCGACTGCAAAAGGCCACCTAAGTGTGTCTTTGCTGCCCTCTGCTGAATGTAAAGCACCTTTGAAGATAGCCCTGGGTCCTATTTTGACCAGCTGCCGAGAGTCGAGGGAACCTTCTCCTTTTGTATTGATCTTTTCTTTCGAGCGATTGTATAAGGACAGTGTGACGACAGCGTCCGTGGCGAGAATGCTTCTTGATCGTACTATGTTGCCGACAATGCTATCACATGGGGGCTAGCCGTATGGCGGTGGCTCGGAAAGAAAATTTTGAGTTTATCACTTCCTTTGTTCCTAGCTGGTGGCATTTGGACCGAAAGTTATCGTGGTCAGTAGAGGGAAGAAAGAGCCTCGCGTCCGACCAGAGAAGTTGACCGTTCAGCCCCAAGGCCGCTAGTGTCTGGGCACGGCTATGGGGCCGAAACAAGCGGGGCGTAAATTTGGAAGAGGTAAGAGGTATTCTCATTTTTTTTCGACCATACTAAGGATCTTGAAATTATGACTGCGTTGTGTACTCTAATCGGGTTTACCAAAGACAGAATAATAATTTCTCGACTCGAAACTAGTCAGCAACTACACCTTGTTTGAAATTATCTGCAAGTGCCAGTCCAGATTTCAAAGAACGCCACTATGTCCTTACTCTCAATGCCGATTCTGGTGTCTGCAAATCGGACGAGATTGTTGGAAAGTCGCTACATCATGATATTCAGCAAGCTTTTCAACCGCTTCTTGATGAGATTGTCCAGATAACATCAACCAAGCAAAAAGATTCAAGCCCAATATGCCATCTAGTTAATCCGTCATGGTTCATGCTGGTTCATGGCCGGACCCCCGTGCTCAGTGAAGGAGGTCATGTTTCCATGACAGACGGCGGTTTAGTATATCCAACCAAAATGTCAGACACAGTTGTCATGCCAACTTCTAAGCATCACATGGATGTGTTCTTGGAAAGTAGGCGAACATATAGTACGAGGCTTTCAATGGACGCTCGGCTGAATGATTCCATGTTGCGGCCATTCTTCCGCTGGAGTCAAATCGATTCCAATGGTTGCCATGTGCGTTCTTGGAATTCGGTCGTCGGTCGCTTCCAAGGATGACTCTTCTTTACATGATGATGGTCTCGAGTTGGAGCAGGGTTCGGGATTCAATGTTGATCAACTGATTGTTCCCGGGGCTGTTCTCTTGGAATGTCCCCCCACCGTTGTTCGAGACCCACTCGGAACCATCCGCCGAGCGATATGCAGGCCACTACGAAGTGAAAGTACAGCTTTAATAATGTGAAAATGAATAATGAAATTGGTATATAGATAATTTGGCTGCCAAAAAAGCCAATGCAATGAGAAGATGATCCCTAAAGCCCCCAGAAACGCCAGAAACCCAATCCAACCCAAAAACAGACCGAACGCAACGCTCGCCACGCCAAAAACACATAAAACACACAAAACGTAACACACGACACACAACACACAACACACACATAATCTCATAATATACAACATACATAACACGGGGTTCATCAAATTCATGAAACGGAAATTCGTCTAATCTATACAGCTCACGTTCTATCGAGGCAGCTGCACCTACGAGAGATATCCAGACAGAACACACACAACTTTTGAAAACAGAACAGAAAAAGGAAGACATGACATGCGTGATGGAAATCGACGGCGCGCTTTTCGTGGTCCCAGTCCAAGGGACATTATGAAATGAAAAGACGTCTAAGGTGCCAAGACCAGGGCCAGCAGTGCCATGCGGCAGTACAGGCCATATCTCATCTGTGAGTATCATATTAGCAACTTCCTGGGTGTAGGGAAAGGGGAAATAGCGTACCTGGCGGAAGTAGGCAGCCCGCTGGTCGAAGTCGACCTCCTCGGAGATCTCAGCGTTGCGGGGCAGCGGGTGCATGACAACCATGTGGCTCTTGGCGTGCTTGAGCAAAGCGTTGTCAATGACGAAGCTGTTCTTCAGACGCTCGTACTGGGCGAGGTCGGCGAAGCGCTCCTTCTGCACACGGGTAGAGTACAAGATGTCGGAGCGGGCGACGATCTCGGGGGTCAGCTCCTCAGACTCGCAGATGAGCTTGCCAGAGGACACAAGCTGCTTGCGGATCTCCTCGGGAAGAGCTAGCTCCTTGGGGGAAACGAGCTGCACGCTAACCTCGTAGAAGCGGAGGAGCTTCAGCAGGGAGTGCACGGTACGGCCGTACTTGAGATCACCAGTGAAGGTGATGGTCAGGCCGTTGACGGTACCCAGCTCTTCACGGATAGTGAAGAGATCCAGGAAGGCCTGGGTGGGGTGCTCAATGGAGCCGTTACCGCCGTTGATGACGGGCACAGGAGAGAACTTGGCCGCAACATCAGTGCTGGTAGGGCTGGGGTGACGCAGAACAACGGCATCACCGTAGCAGCCGAGGGTGCGGATGGTGTCCTGAAGAGTCTCGCCCTTCTGGGTAGAAGAGTGCTCAGTGGAGATGGCGATAGTCCGTCCACCAAGACGCTGCATAGCAGCATCGAACGAGGCCGAAGTGCGGGTCGAAGGCTCGTAGAAGAGAGTGGTCAGAACACGTCCCTTGAGAATATCGAGGACACCCTGGCGCTGGACACCAAGACGCATCTCCTGCGCGACGGTGAACAGCAGGTGCAGATCAGCGCGAGAGAACTGGCTCACGGACAGCACGTGCTTGCCACGGAAGGGAGACCGAGCGAGCATGTCGTACAGGGAGGACGTTGCCTGAGAGGGGTACAGGGGAGGTCCAAGCTCGCCAGCAGATGGGACATTGGCATCCAAACCGCGGGTGCGGCGGCCGGGGGTGCCGGTCACGGAGATATGGCGGTCAAGAGAGCTCTCAGGGCGAACCATGGGGGTCATGGGCTTCTGCACAGGTGAGGTGGGGATGATCCGGTGGGAAGACATGTCGATTCCCTTGACAGCATCCTTGGTGATGGCACCGTCAAGGCAAGAGGTCTTGCCCTGGAAGACGACACGCTGGACGGAACCATGCATGGTCTTGCCGTTGAAGGGAGACCAGCCCTCGGAGCTCTGGAACACGTAAGGACGGTCAACCTCGATCTCAAGCGAGGTGTCAACCTGGTCGTGCAGCTCGAAGATCTGCTTCGGGTTCTCGTAGAGACGAGCGGTGATGTCCTCGACGGTCAGGCGGCCCTCAGCGACAGCGGTGAACAGTAGAGGAAGAGACTCGGCAATACCAGCCACGGGAGAGGCTTCCTTGTCAGCAACCTGGAAGGGAATGCTGCCAATGGAGAAGACATCGATAGTGCTCATGTGGTCCCACAGAGCCTTCTGGTCCTCAGCCGAAGGAAGAGAGCTGCAAGCGGGGAACTCCTCGTGAGAGAGGAACAGGCAGAAGATGGAGACGTCGCAAGTCACCTTCAGTCCCTTCTCCTTGCTCAGCGCAATGAGCTTGATATCCTCCTTGGAGGTCACACTCATGACGTGAATGTTGCGGCTGTGCAAAGAGGCCAGCAGCAGAATCGAGGCCAGGTCAGTGCCCTTAGCATCGGTGATCAGAGGCTTGCTCGAGGGCCAGGCTCCGAAGTGGTTGGTCACAGTAGCCACCTTGTTGATGTTGCCCGAAAGGTGGTTGAAGGGGATGAATAGAGAGCCAACCTCACCGGCGACCTGAGTGATCTGGTCGGAGTTGGAAGCAGTGGCAGCAACAGAGACGTTGAAGTCGCAGTAGGACTTGTCCTGAGCGTTCAATTGAACGATCTTCAGGTCACTGGTCTCGGTAACGGAGCTGTCAACGCCAACGGGCATGACACGGACCATGCTGAAACCAGCAGCGATCGAGGCCTTGGTGACCAACTCGAAGTCCTTGGAGCCGGGAGTAACAAGACCCGGGACGAAGGCGGCGATGTTGATCAGACCGGGGAGGACAACGGTGCGGTGGCTGGTCTGGAAGTCAGAGGTCTGGATGTTCAAAGGGAAGTGACGGGCGATAGCCTCAATCAGAATCTTCGCATTCTTGACGTTGGTAACCAGAGGAGTCTGGTAGTCCACAGCCATACGACGGGTACGGTAACCCTTGGACATGTAGTTGGCAGGGCGGCGGAAGCGGTTGGCAGACGGCAAGTTGATGTAAAGATCGATGAGGTTGTTCGACAAGTGCTGGGTCAGAGAGTACTCCGACTTGATGTCGTCCTCCTCACCAGGCAGGTGCTCCAGGTACTTGACGGTCACACCGTTCTCCTTCAGGAAATCGGCAGTACCAGAAGTGGCAAACAGGTTGTATCCGAGGTTGGACAGCTTCTGGATGGAAGGCAGCATCTCCAACTTCTCCTTGTAGGAACCAATAGAGAACAGGATGTTGCGCTTGGGGAGACGGAAGCCGGTGGACAGCAGAGCCTTGAGGTAAGCCTCGTACTTGTCACGACCGAAAGAAGCGACCTCACCAGTGGAGGCCATCTCAACACCCAGCACGGGATCGGCACCGGAAAGACGCGAGAAAGAGAACTGCGGCACCTTGACACCAACGTAGTCCTTGGGAACGTTGATAGGGGGTACTCCTGGAACGGAATGCCAATCATAGCCTTGGTAGCCATCTCGATCAGGTCGACACCCATAACCTTGGACACAAAGGGGAACGAACGAGAAGCACGAACGTTGCACTCAATGACCTTGATGTCATTGTCCTTGGCAATGAACTGGATGTTGTAGGGACCAGTGACGTTCAGAGCGTTACCGATCTTGCGGGTCGCCTCAACAATGCGGCGCATAGTCTCCTCACTCAGGTCCTGGGGAGGCAGGATGAGGGTAG